GTGGAAGGGGGTTGAAATTGTGGTATTATTGAATTGAAAGGGAATTTTATGGTGGATTAGGGCGCTTCCACTCCTCCCCCCCCCCTACATTAAATGTCCAAAATTGAACAACAACATATTTAGAATTTTGATTTAGCTCTTGAGTTAAGAGCAGTTCAAAATGAAGATCTCGAACCCCAATATTTAGAACATTGCTTAAGAGATACGAGAAGGTAACTATCGATCACTAATAACTAAATTCAAAGTCAAACCAAAAGTGAAAAAAGCAATGATGCTTATGATTTTAGAACACCCAAAAATACAACTCATCTTAATCTGAATAATCTACCATCTAATGATGCTTAGCAAATTCACCTTCTAACTCCTAACAGCAAAAATCAAGAGAAATAAAAGAATACAGGGTCAAGCATCATGCAGTTCTTTTTTATAAGACGTTTTTTGGAAAAGCTTACTTTTTAGAGAAAAAAATTGGAAAATTTAAATGATACTCACCTTAATCTAATAGATGATAAGGCATCTGACAAGTATTTGCATCATAATCATTTTTAATAGAGCTATTTTATAGGAATACAAATAAACAAAAGTGTAAAAGGGATTGACGATCAATTAATTAAATAGAATAGTAGCAACGAAAATAGAAATAAAGGAAAATAGATGGGACAAATTCAAATCTGCTTTATAAGAGCAAAAGTAAAATGCCATTAAATAAATCACTTTGATTGCGAATAAGATTCCATTAATATAACCAGAAAGTGATTTCAAATTATATTGGGATATATTTGCATCTCTTTTTAGGATAATCTTGGTGATTCTAGCACCTTTGGAAATATCATTCACAACTAAAATCCTCTTTTAAAATTATTTGGGACTAACGATAACAATATTTTTGATTTTATAATTAGATTTATTTGTGAGAATAAATACATTATGCTATGAAAATGGAAAGGCCATAACAGATCGATGGGAAATTATAAAACGACAATTGAACAAATCATGGTTTACCGATTTCTCAGTCATCATATTGATTGTTGCCTTTATGGCCAATCCTCATGCTTAAGATGGTTATGATTTGTTTCTTCTCATTTTATTAACGCAATACAAACACATATTTGAGGGTATCTCTAAAATAGATTAAATATCTTATTTTACCAGACCACAAAGAGGGATTATTGGATTAATAAAGTTTTTGACTAGTTTATTATATATCCTCCACTTATTTAGCTGCATTTGGTTTTGGTTTAGTAGTTTAGATTAATCAAATTCTTGGATTTTGAATAAGGAATTAAATGGATAGACATGGCAATTACAATATTTGGAATCTATTTACTTTGCTATTGTGACAATGCTTACTATTGGATATGGAGACAATGTGCCTAAGAACTCGATAGAAAAGATAGTTGCCATCATTTTCATTCTCGGAGCTTGTAAATAAAATCTCATATCATATAGGTTTATGGTTTTCTTATAGTGTAAATTTTATTGGGGCCATAATGAATGATATCACTTAAAATTAAGTAGAAAGAAGCTAGAAATTAAGGGTTATCAATAAATATATGACATAAAGATAAATTCCTTTTAGTCTATAACACTAGTAAATTAATGCATATATAATGTATTTAGAGTTTAAGAGTATTTGACATACAGATGGAAGGAGGATGATGAAGTAGATTTGGAAATGGAATAGTTGTTGTTAGAGTAATTATCAGATGAATTAAAAGAGGAATTGGAGAAATAAGCAAACAAGGTGTTTATTAAGAAGTCTGAACTGTTATAGAAGTACTTTTCAGCTGAATTTCGAAACGCCCTTTTTAAATCAATCAAGCGCAAAATTATATAGCCTTAAAACATTTTTTCAACAGAAATGAATGGACATTAGCATCTTTGTTATGTTGAATAAGGTGCAATTTTATATCAACACAAGGATAGAAAGCAAAGACCAAAAATGAATGCTTAAATCTTATAAGGTCAATTTTTTTGTGTAAAAGAATTTATTATGTAAAATCCAGAATATGAATTATTCAAAGCTTAGAGTTACGTTAGTTTGTTGATGCTCTCCAAAATGGACTTTTTGGAAACACTTAAAGATTTCCCTAATGATTTCTAGAAATATTGTCAACTCAGAGATACTTATTCATTGTCTAATGAAGAATTGCTGATATAATATGCCAACTTTTGTCCTGCATGTAATAATTTTGATCATCAATTAAAAAGTTGTGGCCAAGTTCAACTTAAGTTAAATCAAGAAGTCATTCTGAAAAAACATATTATGAATCAAGAATAAATAAGATAAAAATTCAAAAGAAAAACTCTTGATAAGCCTATTCAAACAAGAGCTGAATTAGCCTTTGTTTAAGAATGTGCTTCATACTTTTCAAATGAAAATCAGAACTTTATTAATGAACAAACAAAACTACAATTAGTGTATGAGGCAGATAATGATTCGATTTAAGGTAATTCTGAAACACATAATGTGTATGATGCTCTACCTTCAGTTAACATCATATAATTTAATGATATGCTGGCAAGCAATAATAAATCTACTTAAATCAAGACTCTTCCTAGATTAGAGTTTGAGGAAGAGAAACCAAAAGTAAAGGAAGATCTTACTAAGTCCAATGTCTTGTCTCCATAATATGCTCGTATTCAAAGGAGAACCTCATAGCCATCTAAATAACTTCAAAGGAAGAATACACGATCTCATTCTATTCTAACTTAAATGATCGAAATAGCTGAAGAACCACATGAAACCACTGTTTTAATTCATGAAGATGAATAACTCAAAAAGGATCAATTCTTTAGTTAGAATATGAAGGAAAATATACGATGTCTTTATAATAAACTACTCAGAACTTAGGATGATAAAGATAATTCTGTGAAATAGGGTCTCCATTCATTATAATATATTTATTGGTAACAGAATGCTATAACTTTAGAAGATTTTGAAACTGTCCAAAATTATGATTTTTACTACCCTTAAAGTAATGTTCATTATATTATTGATGCAGTAAATAAAAATTTACATTAATGGCAATTTGAGATTTTAAATAAATACTAAAAGTACTTATACCATCCATTTTTATTTATAACTAAATTTTTGAAGCTGAAAAGATTACAATAATAAACTGGAGGGTCAAATCTAGTAACCAAATTCAAAAAAGCTTAAAAAAAGATATGGTTAATTTAATTAAGGAATAATCTGTCCTCAAAAAAAATAATTTCATCAACTAAAATATCAAAATCAAAACTTAGTTCTATTATCCCTTGTTCTCAAGATAGTTTACCTTCCATTTAAATGAGTTCAAATTGATAATTATATAATAAATCATTTTTTTATGTGTTCACTAATTTATTCCTCCTTTGTAGGTTTTTCATCATTGTGAGTATCTACAGCTTCTTAAAATGTGTGCGTTTGATCCCAAACTATAGCTTGATTTGATTGACTGTTCATTTGTAATACTAAATGCTAAAATTAAGGTCCTCTCCTCCTTCTCTCACAACTAAGCTAATAATCAATTTGCGGAGAAGAACTACTAATTTCTCTCTTTGTTTTCGCTTATCTCAATTATTCACACGCTTCTCTTTCCTAAAACGCAGACTTTTCGATGCATCTAGCACTCTCTACATCTATTTTTAATTTCAATGGAGGAATTAATGACTGACTTGGATCAAATTTCTTATGAAATTAATAGAAGAACATCATTTTCTATTCGATCGCTTAGACCTGATATAAGTACTGCAAAAAATATACTTCTTTCAGAAATTCATAAATCTCCACTTCCTTTGCTTGTGAGTTTTCATTGAGCAATGCAGACAATGAATTTATTAATTATCTTTGGAATGTATGAATCTCTAAATAGATATTAAAGGCAGCTCTTTTTAATAAGAAATCATAAGGGTAATTAGTTAATGCGATTTTTAAATTTGGTACTAATGACAAAGCTTGATTCACGATATTAATTAATTTAAAACTATCAATTACCAAACTATATGAAGTTAAAGATTTAATACTTTGTATTTAGAATTTATTTTCTAAACAAGCATGTTCTATAACTTTTAATGTCTTTTATATTTATTGACAATTTTTGTAAATATTGCAAAAATGGTATTTATATAGATTAGAGTAACCAAGCCTCATTATTTCTATTGCAATGCTTAAGCTTATTAAAATGATTAAATCGAATGGAGTTAAAGATTGACGAGAACTCCTCACTTAGATTTATGATCTAATGGATGATAATGAGCATTTTCATTTTTATTGTGTAGGTTTGCATTTCTTGAGCAATGTAGACATCAAAGAATTCTCGAATATATTTTTCATCAATCATGTATTAAAGAATCAAATCTATGTCTTCTTGTCGAAAAACGAAATTGTCTTTAGTTAAACTGCACTATTCTAATTTCTTCGTAAAGTCAGATTAGGACTTAAAGATTTTTGTAATTTTTTATATCATTTATTATAGATGAATTCAAAAGAATTTTTTATTCTTATTACAGCATTTCAAAAAATTTAGATAATTTTCAAGAAGATTAATAATTTTACTTCTTGCAATTTGAATTGTGATCCTACAATTAATCTTGATTAATATTGGACTAAGTCCCTCATTAATGTATTTGAATCTATTTGGAAATAGAATTAAGCACATACTCTATTTTAATAATTATCCATAATAATATTTCAATCCTTACTTTATTTAAATATCTATATATATTAATTAATTTTTACTTTGTTTTTTCTCAATTCTTTATTCCAAATTTCTTATAGTTTTTTAGTTTAACCCTAGCTGTGAAATTATTGTTGTCACTAGAATTTGCGTCCTTAATTTGGCAATCAATATAACCCTTCTTATGAAAATCTAAGCTTCTTGTGAGATTTCTATTAATTTTTCTAATCTTAGCTATAGATAATAATAGTTTTGTAGCATACTTAAATAAACTAATATATTAAAATATGGTGATCAGCATTAATAATGCAGTGAATAGATGTATGTAATAAAGATGCATAATAAGTCTTACTTGGCATAGATATATTTGGCCAAAGTTTCACCATCAATGTAAATGGCAAAAGAAATTATACTACTGCTTGTGGTGGCATAACTTCAGTATTAGTGATAGCTATTGTGATTATGAGTTCCTGGAACACAATTATTAACTTTTTTTGGAAATCAAACTTATAAGTATCTATTTCCTCTGAACACAACATGGATTCCCCCATTATCAAATTAGACTCCGACAATTTTATGTTAACCATGGGTCTAAAATAATTGGACAATACACAATTACAATATTTCTAAATCGAAATTGAATAGCGGTAAGTATTATAATCATTTTGAGGTTGTATAACAATAATTCCGAGTAGATTAGTTATATTGAATTAGAAAAATGCTCAAATGAGAGACTATTACAACTTTAAGAGAACTAAACCATTAATATGGCTTAAGTGCTTCCTTAAGAATTCCAAGGGTCTCTTTTATGTCTCAAGTATCTTTTTTATAATTAAATAGAAATAATCAAACATTGCATTTCCATTAGTCAGGCCCAAGTAATTAATTAATTTAAGCAAGATTAATTGGAATTTTTGAGAATTAATATAAAAAAATGCAAAAATTTTACAAATTCACAATTAAGATGTGCATCAGAAGATGAAATCAATTAATTTGTTCAGAAGAATAGATAATTCACTTTATAGCTGTACTTTGCCAATTATGTCATTTAATATCTTAATTTTAGATACTGAACCCACATAATACAGGTGAAAACTATGTGCAACAATTCCTCGATGATTCAGTTACCATTAGTTTTATACCCTAAAAATTGTTAAGGTCAGTAACTCTGCTTTTGAAGAAGTACAACTTAATGAATGACGATAGTGTTATGCCGTTTTAGTAATTCCTAAATTATATTTAGATCAAATGAAAAATCAGAAGTCAATTTAATATCTTCATAAGATAAGATAGAGATTGTTGATCTCGGAAGAGATGATGATGAAGTATACGGATATATAGATATAAAATAAGATATATTCACCACTACAATCAAGAGATCCTGTCTAAAATTACACACTTTGCTTTCCTATATTGGGGGATTATTGCAAGCTCTATCCTTAGTTTTAGGGTCTCTTATAATTTAATACAATAAATTACAAAGTAAAATTATATCATATTTCAATTATAGTGTCATTAGATTTGGCAAATCAAATATTTTAGTTTGAAAAGAACTCTGAAGTAAAGATAGAATAGATTAAATAATTAAAGGAAATCAACAATGTTATCGAATAGTAGAAAGAGCAATCTAGAACTGAAAAGTCTCCTCAAAGTTAGAGATAACTGCATAAGTCCTAAGTAGATTCTCCATATTGTGGGAGAGAAGTGAATAAACTGTTTTTTAATATATTGAGATCATAGTTTGAATTTCAAACCAATTCTGAAAGAAAGATACAACTAAATCAAAGAAATAGGATAATTTCAAAGCAATTTAATTTCGAAAAGAATAATACTAAATGGGTCTAGAAATTTGGATATACAAGTTCTAAAGATTATTTTAGAAAATCAATTATTGGAATATTAACCAGATATTCACCCTTAATTTTAAACTTCAAATTTTTAATAAATCAAATCACATTTGGTAAATTGTTTTAATGCAACGATTCAAAATTATTAGAAATAGCCTTGAAAAAGATTAATATGCTATCCGATTCAAAGTATCTCTTTGAAAAATTGACTGAAATAGATAAGTTAAAATAAATATTACTCACTAAAGATTAGTTAGCTATATTCAACTTCACTTCCAAACCAATCATAAGTCTCAAAATTAAAAATAGAAGGGCTTCTAAAAACTCTCTTTACAAATAGTATAATTAATATATACAAAACAAATAAAATCTAATCGATGATATCGTTTACAATTACGAATAAGTTCTGTCTGTCTATGAAAAAATAGAGTCGACCAAAAACATGTACCCAGATAATCATTACTAAACTCACATAATAAGGAGATTAATTAAATAAATTGACCCAGAATTACTGACAATTTATAGATTGTAGAAGTATATTGAAAGTCAGGAAGTGATAGAATAATTGAGTGAAGTCGAATAATAATAAAACAGTGTGAATTGTTTAATAAGTGATGAAGTATGATTTTATTTTATTTTATTTATTTATTTAATTATTCAAATTCAATATTTAATTAAATGGATAATTATTTCACAATCATAAGTTTACTGGGACTTAGAAATTAGAATCTACCTCCATTTAGGTGAGTGTTAATTTTAAATACAATAGAGAAGCTCGTTTGAAGAGATACAGATCAATCAAGAAGATGGTTGAATTGATTGAGACAGCTGGTTGGACTTAGCCAAAAGTACCATTCAATGCCTTTTGCTTGAGTTCTCAAGATCGTAAGAATACACATTTGAATATCTATTTTAGCCGAATGGGAAGATGATATGACCTATCCCGTTATAGAGTATAATAAGTTTGGGTATTAGGCTTTTGCTTTTGGAATGAATTTGGTAAATAACATTTCTAAGATGTATTATAGTTCCTATATGCATATAATTACAATGTGATAACACAAAACATCAGATTCAGAACATTTAGATATCTATTCCCTGTTGTTTAGTGTTTTATATTCGGCAGAATATATTTCGAATACAAATCTGAATTAACAAAAGTCAATTTGTTTGATGAGTATGTTCAATTAAGAGCATAGGAGTTGGTGAAGGAGAACGAGTTTCTTTTGGAACATGAAGGTTAGTATGCGTTCATGATTTGAATAGATATCAAGAGATTCGTGTGGTGGTATGAGGATTACAAAGAGACATTATGCAGAGTCCACAGACAAGCTAATGATCACGCAGCCACTGACTTCAAAGACTCTGAATTGATATTGTAAGACTTTATTCGCAGATACACAAATCCCAATTCCGCAAGACCACTCAATATTTAAGAGAAAGGAGTTTTATTCTGAAATTATTATTCCAAAATAAATAAATATTTTACACACAATAACATTGTATATGTTGGCTATCTAACTTTTCATTTTAACACTCTCAACCCTCTTTGGATTGTCATTTTAATCCCAACAATGCCCAAACATAATATATGATACCGTGAAATTGTTTATTTTTTGCACTTTTTTGATTGAAAACTATTGCATACTAATAGGTTTATTTCTATTTATTTGGTTAAGAGAATTAATAAAAAAGTTTGATCATGAAAAAAAATTAGAACTACCTCATATATAATAAAATAACATTCAAAGTTAAAAAGCAAAGTAATTATCTTTTTCAGTGGAAGCAATAGAATCTGCAGTAGAGGCAGTCCAAATATATGATCACGTCACAAAAGAAAGTCAATATGCAATCTTATAAAGGGCTGATAAGAGTCATTTAGCTTAATTAGGAATTACTTTAAAGAATACTGTGTTATTAGAAAAGGGTAGAGTAGTTGATTCAAATTAAAATTCTAAATTAATATCTCAATTAGATAATCAGAAAAGGGGGAATGGTGCTCAATAAATCTCGATTAAATATGAAGATAATAGTGAATATTTAAAAAACTAAAACAGAATTCTAAAATCTATTCCATTTAAAATTGGTGATTTTGACAAATAAATGGGTGAAATCATTCAAGCTGAAATTATGTCTAATGAATAATTGGACAATTAGGTGAGTAGACATTAAGCTTAAGAATAACATCATGCTCTATAATAAACTATTTATGAGTCTATTCTTCTGATAATTTTATATGGTATAAATCAATTTATAAATAAAAGCTGGCGGAATATCTTAAGTTAAAAATATTTATCTATAAATATTTGATTCACTGTTGTTTGGAGTTGTATTGCATAGTGGAGTTTAGAAGTAGCAACTTTTTACGGTAACTCATTTGTTGTTAAATGTGTGTATCATATCTGGGTGCTGCTCTTTATATATATTGGGAATATACTTCAAGTTTCAAATTTTCATTATCGGGGGACTGGTCTTATCATTATAGAAAGTTAATGCCAATTTGGTGATGATGATAATTCCATTGACTACTTTGCTGAAAATATTTATAATCTGATATAAATAATACATGTTTGGTGTTTATTCTTTTAAAATCATTTAATTTTGTTTAGAATGTATGCAGAATAAAATTTAAATGTTTGAACTAAATAAATATATATATAGGAAAATGTAATCAAATTCAATCTAGACCATCTGAAGTACTACTGTTAAAAATAAATTATAACAATACCCATTTGCATTCGATTAATCTTTGTCTATCTTTTTAATGAGTTATTTAATTCTTTCTTCGTTTTTCTATTTATAATTTAATCTTACTTTTTAACTTCTTAATAACTCTTAACGATTTTTTTAAGTTTCTTATAATAAAAACATATTAACTGTATGCATTCCGTCCTGTTTGATTTTCATTTGTTCGATTTCTTACTCTAAGTATTAAATAGTCTATTGTAAACTTTAACTATTTTAAGTATGCATACGAATGGGGGATTAAATGCTTGAGTTGCGTATTTTAAGACTGGGATACTCAGCTGAATGAGTTGCTTTTGATAAGACAGCAAATTTTACAACTACACTCTGAAATTTAACTGAGATTGAGATCAGCTTTTTCTTTGGATTGTTATTTACCAAAGTTGAATAAGTTGTTATACATTCCTTGGGTGTTTTCATCAAGTTTTTCTACAATTTATTAGGTTTAAGTAGCCATTTATTGTATTTTCTGTATAATCAATTTGGTTTCATTATATTCGAAATCATCATCTTTAACTAAAAACTCGTGATTAATTTGGAAATAATTTCCACTCGATTTGGTTCTTCGATGCTTAGACATATAATAAAAAATTAAATAATTAAAATTTAATCACTTTGCTAATACATTTTGATTCTAGAGATTACGATAAATATACATTAATATACTTGTTTTATATGTTGTACGGATAAAATACTCTCACAATCCTTTAATTTTATCTTCAATGAATTGCTTTTCAGCTTCGCTTACTTCAATTGCGAAATCTTTAACTGCCAAAGAGGAACACTTTCTTGACTTGATTTTCTTTGTCTTAGTCAAAAACTTTGAAATTCCAATCCATTCTCCCAACAAAGCACCCTTCTCGACTCTCCAAACTGGAATTTGGAATTGCTTAGCCAAAGCAATAACTAATTTTTTGTATGTCTCTTCTGAACAATCATCAGCCAATACAACAAACTTAGCCTATTCCAATATATATCAATAATCAACTTATTTGCTTTCAATTGCTTTGCAAACTTCATGTACACCCTTTGATAATTATCCTCTATGTAAGGAAGTTTGGATAACTCTTTTTAAAGTAGTGAGCTCTTCTGATAATTATTCGACCTCTGCCATAATGAAAATATTTTAAATCTTTATTTTAAATTAAAAAACAAAAAGAAATATAAGTGTTATATTCCTGCATATAAAAGCACAAAAATTATAAAAAAGCTTTCATTGTTTGAAAATCTCATTGTAAAATGATCTAACAATTCTCCTATTTCAATTAAATAGAAGTTGAATCATGTTTGACTAATAAAAACTTCAATTCATCAGAATGTTTAATTTTCACAGTCTTAACTATTTTTGGTTCCTCCACATAATTCACTTTCAACCTAATTTTAAGTAATTTCTTTTGTTCTTCTTTCTTCTATTGCATTTTCAACATCGATTCCTTTTTTGCCTATTCCAATTTCAATTTCTGTACTTCTTTCCTTTACTATTCAATAGTGGTTTCCATTTTGTTTAATTGTCTCTGATAATGGGAGTAGAAATGCTCGTAATCAGCTCTGACCCCATCAAAAACTGAAGCTCTATTTCTATCAATCAACATCAATTTGACCTTCTTTTTGTTCTTCTTGGTTCTATCCTAGATTAAGAGAGTTCTGTCAAAAGTGGAATAAACTAACTGTTTATTGGATTGATAAACTCCAATTTTTGAATAGTTGTCGAGATTCCAATCTGATAGTATGGTTGGATGTTTAGGCCAGAGAACTTGCTTTTCCTTGATAGATTAATATTGATCGTCCATAAACTCAATCACAGTTTAGGAGATTAAAGGTGGATTGAATTGGTAGGCACATTCTGGATCCTGACATGAATCAAAAATCTTGGATCTATGATCCTTATTATCAAGAGGTTCTTCTTCTTTGAGAGCCACTCTTAGGTCTTTGAGTGTGTTAAATATGTCTGAGCAATTGCTAAAGGTACTTGTAAATTCTTCTTCATCTTATTTAATTAGTTTTAATTTTAATAGTTCACGCTGCTTAATTTAAGAAATGAGATGAAGAGCAACCAGATTCTCATTGTAGATGATTTGTCTGCCAACTTAAAATTCAGGAAGCTAGATATTGAGTCGTTTCAACCTTTTTTATTTGTAGGCTCTACTAGGACGAAAGGCCATGTTCATTCGGTAACTAGTGATGAATATAAAAATGATTTTTTACTCATTTTCCTAAGCCCTCATGAACACTCGCAACAGAGGTCGTTGAAGACGTTCAACCTTAGCATTATAATATTCTGGAGGGTAATTAATGGAATTCAGCAATTCATATTGGCGAACGTAGTTCCGAGTGTTAGATAGGTTATTCCTGATGTCTAGTTATTAGATGGCGAGTGGATCTGCTCCAAGTGCTTAATCTTCTTCGTCACATGAATATTCGTTTTCATCTGGATATACAATATTTGTATGAATGTAAGTAAGAGGAATTTTATGGCTTGCTTGAGGTAACCCTTCCACAATCACAAACCTAGGTATTTCTATCTGTTTGCACTGTCCATCCTAACAAAAATTCTGCCATTTCTTACCTTCTAACTTTCAATCTCCCAAACTTCACTTTTCTAAAGTGCCGTATTTGGATCGACCTGCCTCATTAAAATAAAGATTTAATATATGCAAATATTTTAACCAAAACTTAAAATAATCAATTCACCCCTCAACAGATGCCCACAACTCCACTCAATAACAGAATATATTAAGAGGAATTCACAACTTCAATTGATAAATTTTTTTATTTTATTTTATTAATAATCCGATCATCATTATTTTTTTCAAAACTATCATCCTCTTCTATGAACCCCAAATCATTCTCCATCTCCAAATCCACCAATCTAACAAAACCCCATTCTTCCTCCATCGCTATCCCTCACATCCAATCATCGCAATTACGCACATCCATATCTAAGAATTTTACATCATTTCTCCTCTAAAATACAATACCAAAAATTGCGAACTAAAGAAATATCATATATAATATCTATATCACTATATCCTCACTCAAACAACAACACAAAAATGAAAATCAACCCATTTAATACAATAATATTTCTTTTTATATAATTTTTCATATTTATATATTTTGATTATTAACAATTATAATTATACTTCATTTCCTATATCCTATTTCTTCCACTTTCCTATAATCATCACTTCATACAATTACTGATTCACATATGCTTCAATGTCTTACTGTACACAATTAAACATTAATCATAATATTTTATGGAACTATCATATTTCTCATCAAAATAGAATTATTTAATAACAGAAAAAGAACATAATTTGTGATTAACTTGAGATTAATTAAGGTGATGATTGAAGATTGAAAAATAAATCATATCATATAAATTTTCAAGATTCTTTGTATGATTTATGGTATTAACTTCAAATTATGATTTTATTAATAAATTAATGTCTCATTAGAGAAGAAGGGAGTAGTTCGAAAAAATATCGAATTCTTTGAAGGAGGACGATCGAAAGAGAAGGGAAGAATTAGAAAGGGAATTTTTGAAATGTCAGAAGAGAGGCTAAATGCACACTAATTCAATGATGAATTGGATAAACAAACACCAAAATAAAGCAGATCCTAAGGCCAAAGAAATGTATCGCTATCTACCTGAAGAAAGAGTATATAAATTTAAATGAACCATCAGCGTAAACACATTGAGCTTACCCTGCTGTTTGAGAAGTTTGACAATGATGGTTCCAAAGCACTAGATTTTATTGAAGTATTCAGGATGTTCACTAAGTAATTGCGAATGATCATAATAGATATGGAATCTTCATTACTAAGAAAGAATTGTTAGATTTTTTTAAAGTTGTTGACCAAAATAAGGATTTCTCTTTAAACCTCCAAGAATTCAAAGCCTGTTATTTGGACTCAGCTGCAAGAGATATTTTTGCTAAAATAATGAAATAATTGATAGAGAGAACACAATTGACCGAAGACGAAATTAATGCTGCCCTAAATGAAATGAATGAATTGAACAATTAGAATAGCAACTAAAATCAAAATCCTATACCTGCTCTTCCTAAATCCTTTTAGGGAGTCATCAGTCTGCTCACGTATTTGAATACCAGGGATGAGATAAAGGATAAGCTGACCTCAAAATAAGTCAACATCTATGAACAAATTAATAATCTAAAATAACTAATTGAGTTGAGTAATAAAATCGATGTTGTTTAGAAGGTGGAGATTGAAAGAAAGATCAAGATAAAAAAATCCTCAGAGGATAGATTAAATAAATTTAAGAATCAATTAAAGTAAATTAAAGACAGAGCCATCCAAACTGGACAGATGATGGCTGAAGAAGAATTGAGACAAAAAAATTCTGCTTTTTTAATTACTGTCTAACCTCAACGCAAATACAAGTATAGCTATAAAAGTGAAAACAAATTCAAAAGAATGGCACCAAATAAATAAGAGGAATTACATCTACCTAGCTACTCAGATTAAAAAGTAAATCAATTTTATGAATATATGAATATTAATATTCCCGATCAATTGAAGAATATTAATAATAGAATATGGACTAAGCTATTTGAAAACAATCAATAATTAGACATCATCCTCTAAAAGAATAGAAAAAATCAATTAGAATCTTAAAGAACTGATAGATTAAAACAGAAGATTAAATAAACCTTGGACAACTTATAAGCTAATTTTGAATCTGATTTCGATAGTGAAGCAAATAGAAAACCAACTTTAGAATCTCCACAAGAAAAACAATCTGCAAAATCTCCTAATTTCTTTACTTCAAGAAATTTAATGTCATAAACTTCAGAAGATTTTAGGACTGCTAGGACACAGAGAATGCCTCCAGGATCCTCAAAATTATCTTTTCATTGATAAAATAATGAGTAAAAATTAAGATTTTATTATTTTATATAACAATAGAATCCTCTCATCTTCTTGAATCTAAATTGACTTTCTGTTTTTAATTCGATAGATTAGTATATTTAAACATAATATTTATCTCGATTGGAACTCAGAGTAGTGGTATGCCCATTCTATTATCTCTTACCAATCATAACGATGATAGTGTAATTTTGAATTGCTATTGAATTTTTGCAAAACCAAATGCGAATCCAAGAAATCCATATCTCTGGAGGTAATGATGATATTTATATGTATATATATAATCTGATCAGAGTCCTGTCATTCTGCTTTACACTCCTACTGTCTTCATGTAATGCTCCTTGTATTTGTGTTTTCCTATCAACTTAAAAAGAAGTGCGTACTATTGAAACTGGCCATGTGCATGGTACGAGGGTCATCTGGATGACTGTAACCAGCCATGCATCTCTGTCTGTTGTAATGAAAATCGTGTGGAGTCCAACCGAATTCTGCAAATTAGTTACCGAATAATTCTTCTTGGACTGTTGATGCTAAGGCATCTTTCATTCTCAATCTCACGAATTCCTCATTCTTGGCTGGGAAGAGGTTTCTATTCGTTATTAACTATAACTTACGTCCAATAATAGGGAATCACATATGAATAATAGTAATGCGCAATGTATACACCACAAATTAAATAAACCCACATGGCAAAGGCACCCTATGATATTAGTGATCAATCGTACATCTGAATTCAAGGTATGCTCTTGCCAATCTCTGTATGCTTCATAAGTTGCCCAATGAAGGAATCCATGTGATGTGTCAACCTTAACTTCTCATATGAAAATCATTACTTTTGGGTAAATACCAATCATATTGGCGAATGCAGGCCAATCATAAAAGACATCAAATAACACCTGTTGTCTTCCATAGTAAAATTTGTTTCCGTATACTCTTCTTGCCATTCTTAAGGCATCCCATCTTTCCTCTCCAACCACTCTTGCGGCCATCTTGGTAAACCACCAGATGCCATTCTTGTAATAACTTGTTTTAGCACTGAATATACTTAAACTCATTTAAAAGATTTAATATCAGCACTAATTGTGTATTATAAAATGAGGATTAATAAGAGTTGGGCAAACATTAAGATATTTTCGAATAAAAATTCCATAATAAAAAGATACTGATTTTACAAAATCTTCTTAAGTATCGTCTAATTCTTAGTGTAGTACCTTGATGATAAAGCAAGAAGAGAGTTTATCCTATTCTAATCCAATAGATTTGCAAAAATTTGTGCAAAAATAATATCAAATTCCAACTAAAATTATGTATAATTTAAAGAACAATTTTACAACAATTTTTTTTCTCAATATATTACCTTTATTAGCATCATTTCTTTATAGATTAGATAGAAATCTTATCCTACATGATTAATTTGATGAATCTATTATGCAACATAAAAACAAGTTTATAGAAAACATTTTGACATAAATTTAGTACCCTTTTGCTTGAAATTGATTGAATGACGTAGGTGTCAAGTGTTTGAGTTGATCGCAGATCTCTAGACAATACCATTTGAACACCAGGTATTTTTATTTTATTTTAATATAAATATATAAAAGATTTTATACTTCTTAAAAGTGGCCTCCGATTAACTTCATTTCAAAGAATTATAATAAAAATAATAGTTGGTGCATATCTATGATGAAGCATGATTATTTAAAAGGACAGTTGTCATACGTCTTGATTCTCCTATTCTCATCAAATAGTGCTCCTTGTATTTATGCTTTCCTAAATATATTCTTAAATAATTGTACTATTGAATGAAGCCATGTGCATGGTTCTTTGATCATCTGGATGGACATATCCTGCCATACATCTTTATCTATTATAATGGAAATCATGGGGAGCCAAGGCAAATTCTGCATTTTTTTTAGCAAATTGTTCCTCCAAAACAGTTGTTGCAATTGCATTTTTCATTCTCAACCTCACAAATTCTTCGTTCTTAGCTGGGAACATGTTTCTATCATTATGATGAATTAACATATGTTCAATAATACGGAATCATATAAGAGTAGAAACAGTGAGCGATATAGATACCAAATAGCGAAAGATCCCTAAGAGTTATTAGTATAAAAAAATAAATCTGAATTCAAAGTGTGTTCTTGCCAATCTCATGGTATCCCATCGTTCTTCACTTATTATACGAGCTGGAATCATAGTAAACCACAAAGTACGTTTTTATAATAGCTCGTCTTAACGCCAAATATACTAAGACTCATAAATTTAGATATTTTATTAATTCATTCAACCCCCTTAGAATGTACAATTTTTATAAATCTATCTATATTAATTTATAAATAGTTTTTCAAAAATAACCAGGAATGCAAAATATTTGTCAACTTCAGACTGAGGAATAGTCAAGGCATCTTTGAATGACCAAGATGAAACATGATTTTTTTCAACTAACACCTACTTCACACCCTCGAAGAAATCAGTTCCTTACATTATTCTATTAATTTAAAAATATTTATTATACCTCCTCACAATTCTATAATCCATCTTCAAATTCTCTCTAAGATCAAGCTTTTACCCTCTTTTAATCTATTCAAATATGATTCTCAAAAAGAGTGCACAATCTTGAGTATGGGAAATCTGAAAGAAGAAAATTAATACAGTTTTGATCAAGCATAAAATTTATTTAAAAAGGTTTTAGAATAGAAGTAAGACTAGTTTAAATTTAGATTTTAGGTAAAATTAAATGATAAATTAAATGATTAAAAATTTTGTTTGAATAGCTTATTAAATTAGAATAATTTTAAGAAAAACTAATTTAGGTATCATTAAAAACTGTAATTTCCAAATTTATTTGAATTGATAATAGATAGATATACAACACCAAATGATTTAGTATAATATCGCACACCATTTTAGATAAATAATTATATCAAATTACTTCAAAAATTTCATTTAAAAGGGCAGCATTTTAGTGGGGAATAAATAATTACTTATACTAAAACAAATCAGGAAATACTATCTTCCTTATTAATATGTAAGTTAGTAAAATAAAAAATAATTGTTGTAAAGATGATGAAAGAGATCAATTCTCTCTAATATAAATTATTTGTATAATCACAGTTAAGGCACTTAGAAATACAAAATCATTCAACAATTAAGAATGAAAACAAAGTGTTTGATACCATAAATGTAAAGGAATTGTAAGAGAATTTTAGAATTGAGAATATTATCAAGAGACTCTGAAATCTTTTTAAAAAAGAATAAATAAAGGAAATTTTTAAGAATAAAGTCAGCATTATTGATTTTCTGACCAAGAAGAACTTAAAAGAACAAGTTTAAATATTGGATATGGATTATGAGATGAATGAGAATGATTATAGATGGAGATATTATTGTAAAGCCCCTTTTTTGAATTGGGATTGATAAAGCAATAGAGTTGGATTGAAAGCTTTGATATGTATAGGTTATTTTTGATGAGGTATTGCATAAGAAGTCTTTTTATTATTATAATCATATATATATTTGTCAATTCTTCGATTAGTAATAAATATATTATACACATGAGTAAATATTTGGATAAATATGTTGAGTATGAGACAATAGGTAGAGGCAGCTATGGTAAAGTAATAAGCATATTCAGGGTCTGCACATTTGGTACGCTCGAAATCAGACTAGTAAGTATATGTGGCTAAGAAAATTCAATTATTCAATCTAAAATCAAAAGAGCAAGATGATTCAAAACGAGAAGTTTATAAGTTCATTTAATTATTAGGTGATGCTTTTGCAGAAATTAAAACATCCTCACATTGTACAATATACAGAGAGCTTCAATGAGAATGATACACTCATCATTATCATGGAATACTGTGAAGGTAGTAATTTTCATTAATCCATTAGAGGGAGACCTATCATTTCACATAAACAGAATGAGTCAAAGAAAGGAGTACTTTCCAGAGCAAATCATATTGAATTGGTTTCTTTAATGCGCCTTAGCTTTGAAATATATCCATGAATAGAAGATCTTGCATAGAGACATCAAAAGTCAGAATATTTTCTTATCCTCCAATGGTTTTGTTAAAATAGGTGATTTTGGTATCTCCAGAGTTTTAGAACACACTCAAGATCAAGCCAATACAGTTGTGGGAACTCCCTATTATATGAGGTAATTAATGAAATTTATCCTTAGTCCTGAAGTCTGTGAGAATAAGCCCTACACTTACAAGAGTGATGTTTGGTCTCTTGGATGTGTTCTCTATGAATTGTGCAATTTGTCTCATGCCTTCAAATCAAATAATCTCTTAGGTTTAGTGAATAGGATTGTCAAAGAATAGGCTTCTGCAATTCCCTCACATTACTCCAAAGAACTAGCAGATCTCATTAACAAACTCTTAATCAAAAATGCTGATCAAAGACCACACACTTCTGAAATCTTCAACTTCCCTCTAATCAGAAATACTATGCAATAGTTTGTTGCAATGTAAGGCAAAGTACAATATCAAGCCCCAATCAAACGAACAAATACACATAATTAAATTGGAAAAATGATCAAGTAAGAAGAAACTACTCAATAAAACACTACAAATCCATATGACAACACTATCGATACTGTCTAGTCTATAGACTTTAGTTAATTAACTCCTTAGCAGAGATTGCAAATGAAAAAAGAAGAAAAAATCTAAAGAGAGTAAAGAGAGCTAGCCTAAGCAAGCAAATAAAGCTTTTTATAACAATAAGCAAGTCAACAAAGAAAGATTCAAGATCTCCAAGGTGGCTAATCTCTAGATTACAACTAAAAGAGAAAACAACAATAACAATATCATGAAGAATTACAAAGACAATAATAATTTAAGGAATCTTAAGCTAATACCAAAAAACCTCAATAATAAGTCTAACCAAATAAATCCAACATGTACAACTATGATGAAACCTTAGTTAGTTAATATGAGAAAACTTCATAAATGGTATACTTTATATTTATATCCCCTAGTTATAAAATGAATCTAAAAAATACAATGAAACCATATAAAACGACTCTAAAAAATAAAATGAAACCTTTAAAAAAGAGTTAGAGTAGTTTGATAAAACTGTTGATTCTGAAATGTGTCAATCTACTTATGATAATACTACTAAATAATAAGAAAAAACAGTCACCAAATCTTAATTAGATAGATTTACTACTAATTATCAAAAATAAGAATTCTCAGTCACCTAATAATATTAGGATGAAGAATTTGAGGAATATAATAGTGATGAAGATCTTGAAGTCATTAATCACAGACTCACCGTTAAATAAGGTGACAGTGAAATTGAGGAAGTCCTCAAATTATATCAAATTTAGATGGATCAAACCGTGAAGAAATCATCTAGTAACAAACTTGAAGGTATAAATATTACAACTTCTTTAGATATTTAGGAAACGAGCCAAGAGAGTTGGAACTCCTCTTCTGCATCTCCCTAAAAAGTACCCATCAATAATGATGATCGAATCCAAATCTTAAGGAAAAAGGCAATAGCAACCATGGGCTCAGACCTCTTTAATAAAGCATATCAATTTATGAGTCATCATTTATCCAAAGGAACGGGAAGTGCTGAAGTATATACATTTAGCTTATTTTAGATTCGAAAAAATCTAGAAGATTTTGTAGGAAAAAGCAGAATGGGAGATTGCATGTTAATAGATGAAATATTATATTATGAGAATTATTCTAAATGATAATGATTAAATAATAGTATTAATTACATTCTACTCTTTTTATAATTATTATTCTTATTTTCAATTGTTTTGTTTTAGAGAAAAGAAACTGCATAGTTTAATTCTAAGTCTTTTTTAATTTTAATAATATGAGAATAACTAAAATATTTGTATACAGTTTAATTAGGATGTCCTGATTTAAGTGATAAGATTACATACTAATCAGCTTAGGTCGTATGGTGTAGTGGTTAGCACCTTGGACTTTGAATCCAGTGACCCAGGTTCGAGTCCTGGTATGACCTAAACTTTTTTAATTTATATTTTTATAATTAGAATTATTTCTATTTTTTAAATTTCAAATATTGATAAATAATAATATCAAATATATATATGAATGATATCAAATCTCTTGAGTAGCTCATCTAAATATATAAATTGACTTAATTAAAACTGATTATTTTTAAAATTTAAAACTATTTTTTTATTTTTAAGGAACTACAAATCTTTTGGGGAAGTCCTTTTTCAGTAATTTTTTTATTACTTCTTTTGGTTCATATGCTTTTAGAGAAGTAAAAAAAGATAAAGTATCATGGAAAGTGTTTTTCAGCCAATCCTTTAATTCCTTTATTATTCAAACGGTTTATATTGTAACTATAAAATTATCATTATTTTATAAAACTATTCTTTTTAGAACCTTATTTTTGATGGCAAAGCTGGGTTTTAGGTTAGATTTAGATAATTATATAGGAACACTCTTTTTACTATAAGAAAAACATGAAATTATCACCTAAGTCAATAGATAACTTCTATTAAAAGTGGAATTATTCTCCTTCTAATAAATTTAGATAAATTAATCATTTAATTATACTTTTATTCTACTTTACAAATTTCATCACTACTTTATTTATTTTTGATTAAATAGAATTTTTCATTAAACTATTTAATTCTTATCACATAAATCTCTGATTTCATTAAAAACAATTTTATGTGATGCTATTGATGAAACTTTTTTCTGTAATTATTGAAATTATCAAAAAGTAAATCTGTATTGCTCTTAGTTCAACATTTACCAAATTCACTTTTAAAAACACCGTAAAGAACTATTTTTTAGAAATAACATTAAAAATTCAATAAAACATCTTTGGTTAGCAATATTTCTTACAATACAGTGTTTTGTTAAACGCTATTTATCAATCAATCAATTAAAATTAAATTATAAATATCGAAAAAATTACTATTAATATAATCCTTACTTATTTAGATTTTATCAAATACTGAAATTACACAACACAATATTAAATTGGTTGTACTGATTTTGTAAATCAAATTTTCTTATTAAAAGGAATCAATTTACATTATAATCATAATATCAACTTTGGTCTCATAATTAAGTAATCATCTATTTTGAATAGTATTAAACTTTTATTATCAATATTCTTAAATGACTATAGTTGAAATTAAAGTGTATAATTTGATTAGTATAAATTATTATGAGTGAATGTTTGTTATTAAAAATCAGGATAAAAATGCTGAGAATTAATTATCTATTATGTAAATTATAAAATAAAATACTTTATAAGTCTGCTATTCTAATTATGAATGAATAATTTAGAAATAAATATATTAAATATAATGAAACTCTCATTGTCAACAGAGTGGTTATTCTTTCATCTTTGGAAAAAGAATCCTGATACAAATTCTAGTTGTCCTGGAGTGTTTGTGGCTGATACAATTATTTATAGATGGGCTCAGCCTTATTTTTGGTACTTTACAGCCAAAGATGGTTAAATATTAAGAAAGACAAAAGAACGAATTTTTGTGGAACAGATTGAAGAGATCTTCTAGAAAAGCGGTGATATTTCAGCTTTATATTTATAAAGCCAGCAAAATAAAATTATATTTGAATACTTTGAGAAAGGGTAATTTGTTCAATTTCTTCATTAAAGAGAAAAGGCATTAAATGCTCTATTATAAAAGTTTGTTGAACCAAAATCATCTAGAAACTCTATGATTAAGGTTTCTTGGAGTCCATAATTTTGTTTATTATCTAGGAAAACAAATAACAATGATCTAAAAAATAATAAAATAACCTTAGAAGATAGGTTAGTTACATTTGAAGGTCCTGAACATCTATCCACAACTGATTCTATAGCCTCTCCAATATTATCAGCAGATATTGAATAAATTTGTCTAAATATAGTTAAACATATTTAAGATGTTTCTGGAGGTAACATTTAGATTTCCAGGATGGTTTTATTTTTTAAAATTGATGAAAAAAATAGGTTATGGTTACTTTTCAGCAGTGGAGTCAAAGTTAGATAGAAAGTATAGATACAAGTTTATATGATAGTTCATCAACGAAGAAACTGTATCTGATTTCCCTAAATAAAAAGAGAGAATCTAATCTCCAATTATGCTATTATAAACTTAATTGAAAATTGGATAGGTTTCAAAATTCTCAGTTGATACTTAAGGATTTGTAAAATAAACTGGTAGCAGTTGCAATAATTGTTCACTACAAGGAGAAATGTATGAACTAACAGTCTAATAATACATAGCATCTTATGATTAGGGAATATTCGATGAAGAAACACTAATAATAAGATAAAAAGTAGCAAAAAATCCAGTGAAGAAATCAGACAATGAAGAAGACTATTATGTGGAAGGTTCATTGAATATTCCAGGTCTTCTTTTAAAAATATGGGGTAAGATGGATATAGAAAAGTATAAGAATTTAAGACACAATATGAGTTTTATGAATCTAAAATTATAATTATGTATAGATTGCTACCTAAAATTTACAAGAATGTAATTTAATTTCCAATAATTAGTCATGTTGAATCAAAAAGTGAAAGAGAAGCCAAACAAACTGTTGTAAGCATGCCTCCATTATGGTAGCCATCAAAAACCAAGATCTAAAATAATTAAGAGACATTAACATTAGTTTCATCTACAAAATAACATAAAATGTATCATACTCCAGCAAAATAAGTGTAATAACCATCTTAATAATAATAAAAATAATAATCTTAGTATTAATCATAATAATAATCATAATAATCCTAATAACAATAATAATAATCATAATTTACTATATAATAATAATAATAACCTCAATCTTCAGTTGTAATTCCTAAGTTAAATTTGGCTTCAAAGGAAATAAGTGAACGAGTAATTGCAACAACTCATCATACTGACAGACAAAGTAATTTCCCATCAAAAAGAGTGGCCAAGATTTATAATAATTTATAAGGTGTAAGTTTACCTCACTCTTAGTCATCTTTAAACACAACAAGATCTACCATGTAATATATATTAGTATAAATATAGTACTCATTCACAACGTATTGTTAGTATTCAATAATTGAAAGAAATATTGTAAACAGAATAACTTTGATTATTGCTTATTTTAACAATATTATAAGTGTAAAACTTAATGAATAAATTAAACATCAAATCTCTGAAAATAAAATATTAAATGTCTTTTTATCCCAGGGATTCTATTTTTAATCGAAATATTCTCCAGGTCCAGGAAGATTATTCTTTTTCTATTCGTATTAGAATCTATTTTCCTTTTAAAATATTTTATTTATTTTACCTAACAATTGAACGCTGGATGTTCTTTCTTCTTTTTCTGAAATAAATCAGAAGCATTATGTTTTAATTGCACATCTTCTTCTTCGTCTTCCTCATCTATACCTTTTTTCGGTTTTTCCTAAAATCTTGGTAAGGAAGATCCAAATCCTGGTTTATTGATAATAAGATCCTTATCTTCCTCCTTTTCTACTTTTGTAGTATTTTCAATTGTGTAATTTTTCACATCATAAGCTCCAGGGGCAGGCATATTATCTTTACCACCAATAACGCTTCTTTTAGTCTAAGATTTGAAAACACAAGCAGCACTTTTAGCAGGATCTTAAAAATTAGGTTCATAAGTTCCAGGTCCAGGTTATTCATTTTCAGGATCATCGAATCGTGGTTAATTCGATCCAAACTTTCCTACTGGTGCTCTTTCCAATTTCTTAATTAATTTATCTTCTAGCTTCTATAGGATGTATTTATTACTGTAATTTTAGGGTTATAACTTTGAGGTCCTGGTTTCTTTTCCAATGCCCTACTTTCAAATCGTGTATTGGAAGATAAGAATGGAATATTTTTCATTGCCATATTATTCTTGACCAGATTTGTTTCTATTCTGTAATCACCTGGTCCCATCTAGATCTGTCTTTATTATTATATTTCATTGAATCTTTTCTGTTTTGAACCAAACCCACTTTAAGCTTTTGGCATTGACTATGAGTAAGTAGAAGCAGTAGAAAACGTTGTTTAATTTCCTATATAGTATCCTGGTCCTGGGGTTGCATTCTACATCTAAACATAGGATATACATCATAAAATTCAACATCTTCATCTTCAATATCTGCAAATACAGGATTTTACATCAGTTTTTTCTTCTAATTTTCAAACTATGCTCTCATAAATTCTCTTGTTTTCTGTCCTTTTTATTAATCAAACATTCTTTGAGATTTTGAGAGAAAATTGCCTGAAGGATTCAATTTATACAGAGGAATGATAGAATTTTCATGATCATAGGCTCCAGGTCCAACTATCAGTTCCCTTGAAGGTGGAGCCAATTTGGGAACTCTGGATTTATGCCAAGAAGGGCCTTTATTCTTATTATTATCAAAAGTGTCCTTTAATTAATATTATCCTGGCCCAACAGTATCTGATTTCAATCCTGTAAATATTGGATTTGGACTCTTGTTAAGTTCTAAATCATGGGCTATAAGTTTATATTTGAAGCATTACGTCCTTTATCAGTGTAACCATATACTTGACTTGATGTTGGAATCGATGGTATGGATTAATATTTATTTAGTTTCATTAGATTGTCGATATAATTTTGGGATGTGTATTGTTGTTATGCAATTTTCTTTTGGGATGCAGATTCATAAGCCCCAGGACTGACATAAATGAAATTAATACCCTGGAGTCTCCATTACTTTCTATTCCTAGAATCTTTTGGTCTGTGACATAAATACTGATTGCTGTTTCTATTGCTCAACAATTTTCACTTCAGACTGATGCAGATTACAAAACAACTCGTTAACTTAAAATTACTCATAATAATTACCCTTCTGTTACAAATTCAACATTATAACTGCCAGGACCAGGCGAGTTGCTTTTCTTTAATGGCTTACTTCTTGCAACTTGTGTATTAAAAGGAGCAGCATGAGGCCTAGGTTCATATTTTCTATGTTCAATATAACTTCCAGGACCTACATTTGCTGGCAGAGCCCCAGATGCATTGTTAATATCTCTTTCAGCTTGAAATACAAATGCCATATATAATTTAATAATAATATTGTAAAATAATTAAAACACCTAAAGTTCCCTTTTTTCAGATTAGAAAAATAAACTATAATAAAAGTACTCAAATCATTTTTTAAATAAATTAGATATTTAAATTAACTCGTTCTATTTATATATCTTCTCCTAAGACTCTAATAATTAAGTAACTTCAAAAATATTTTAAATCTTTGGGCTTAAACTTTTCATTAATTAAACATTAATTCTATTCTCTTCTGTTTGCTTATCTAAATCGACAGAAATCTTGTCGTAAGCCTAGTAGTTTAATAATTTAAATACTTTAAAAAGCTTAGAATACATTCGTTATGGAGAATTATTAAAGGAATCATTTTATAGAGTTTTTAACTAATCCATATTTCCATTATCCTATCCTACCTATAATGATGATTCCATATCATTAACCAAACTGAATTATAATAATAAATTACTTAAGCGATTTTTACATACTTGATTAATGGATTAATTACCTGTTAGGAAATATTTTCTATTCTTTCAATGCTATTAAAGGTTTAGGAGTAAAATTAAAAATGATTTATTAAGGCTTCTTTAATAATAAATCTTTTAATTTATCCAACTCTTGTATTTTGTTCAACATAACTAATAAATCTAATTCAGAATTAACTTAATTTCTATATGGTTAATATTATAAATACACTGCTTTATTTAGTAATCTTTCATCTTGAGATTTTAGAGCTTTTTAACAAAAGACTCTTTTTATTAAGTACTTCAACGTAAACTCTATTTTTTTTTATTTATCAAAAAGTTTTTAAATTTATTCATAAAAATATTACTTTCCTGTTTTTTACCTATTTTTCTCCAACTCATCCTTATGTTTTTATTCAAGTTGATCTTTATAATAGAATTTTTTCTATGACTATTACTGATAATTTTTTAAGTTTAAATTCGATAAAAATAATTCTTATGTTGAATTTCTAATTTACTATTAAGCACTATTAATTATTTAATCTTTGCCTCCTTAATTACTTAATTCAAATCCAAGACTAACCATTGATTAAGATTGATTTTAATGTAATATCTACTATTCAGTATCATCAGGATTCGATAATAAAGGCTTTTTATTCTCATCTTCAACTTCAAAATCAAATAATTCATTTGATAAATCAACTAATTCTAAAATGTAAAATAAATGACTTACAGGATTATTTGTTATAAACCTAAATAAAGAATCCGAAGAATACGATCATTATTTATAAGAATCCTCCCAAATAGGACATTAAATCATCTACTTTTTAATAGTTTCTCAAAATATTTTCAGTGAATGTACTCCTTCTTAAGTAAAACTGAGCATATATAACATCGGTATCTGTTCCTAACAATGTTAAATCCCTAAAGTCTGTTGCAGTTCGAGCATAAAATGTCTCATTTTTTACACTTTTAAAGGGTGTCAGACTCTCATCTGTTTGAAAATTATATTTTCTCCAAAATATGTTGCCTTACCTTTAAAGTAACTTGGGTGTCTATGTTTTAAATAGTAAATTACGAATGTAAAGTAGAGTTCGTCATCAAGGTAAGCTGATATAAAATTTTAAGGACTTGAGGGATTCACTATTAAATTTGTCATGTAGAGAGAAACCTTAAAGGCTGAAGTAGTTTAGAGGTAACTTTATATGGATTCCTCTGATTTACAAACAGGTTTCCATGTATAAATAGAATTATTACTTGTATCATTGTTACACTTTGAAACTGTGATTTTTATGTAATTAAATTCTCTGTTTGCAAATCTTCCTGTTAATTTCATAGAGTAATTCAAGTCTGGACATAAATAATCTGAGAGTCCAAGCGAATAATATTGAGATTTAAAATCAATATTAAACTTTGAAAAGACTTTTTAGAATCTATCTAACGAACATGGAATCAAATTAATTTCAGTCGTCGTTTTTAACATTGTTCCATCCTCTAATCTAGTTGAATTTCTATAATAAGATAAATTTATACTATTAAACTGCAGTAATGTTGAAATAAGGGTTAATTGTAAAATTTTTTTATTCAATTTATAATGCAATCATGTAATTCTCCTCGTTTAAAATAATTTAATCAGGAAAGTCTTCAAATTCTGTTGTTTAACTTACAAATATGTTTATTTTTGCAAAAAAGCTTAATACATTGGATTAAAAGAAAACAATTAAAATAACTATAATAATTAGAGAGGCACATCCTCCAAATCCTGTTTTGTATGCTTCTTATTTTTTATAGTTAAAGTCAACCTTTTAACCAAAGATATCGCAACTTTTAACAACTAGGGAATTTAAATAAAAAAAATACATCTTTGAACTACTTTCATCAAATTATAAAATTATTATTAATAATTTATATATAGAAACTATCACAATAAAAAATATGTTATTTTTAATTCTGTAATATGTTGAAAGAAAGGATCATGTATATTGGATTTCATAAATGTATATATTTTAAGTATATGTTTATTTATGTTATGTATTAATTAAACTAAAATTCCTCACGTGTTTCGAAAGCGCTTAATTATTATCATAATTTAAAATATAAATGCTGTTATTTTATAAGGATCTTGAATATTTAATTACTTATAATTGATATGGACCTTGAAAAAATTGCCATAGTTTAGTAGATATTCTCATCGCTATTCGCAGCAATTACAGCCATGCTTATTAAATTGGTCTAAGAATTAGATTTCAACTAAACTCTATATTTAAGGGCGTTATGTAGTTTTGTTTTACTCGTATTTGCAGTCAACCACTATAAACTTTAAGCCTACAACTTTGATAAGCAAACTATGGTAAGTTTAATATAGAGAGGACTCCTAGCGGGGTTCGGTGCCTTCATTTATTTCAAAGGATTAGATTTAGTATTAGTGTCTGAGTCTATAATCTTGAATAGAATGTCTCCACTATGGACTTCATTTATTTAGATTGTGGTTTTGAAAAAGGAGTAATTTAATTTAAGGTTACTTTTGAATATGGTGCTTTGTAGTTTGGGTATATATTTAGTCACAGGAAATACTAGAAATCAGAAATAACATGATGAAATTGACAACTAATTTTATCATATAATAGGTATATTACTGATATTGCTGGCATCTATTCTTTAAGCAATCGTAAATATTTTAATTAAATAGCTCGATAAATAAGTATTATATTATATCTAAAATTAGGTTGTTAGCATAGTAATTTCTTGTTATCAATCCTTTTTTGCAATAATCTTCCCTTCATGTAATTCATTAATAACTGGATCTAAGTAATGTTTATTAATTAAATTTAGTTATATAATTCCTTCAATGAATACAACACTAATGATTATAGTTCTAACTGTTGTCTCTCTTTTAGCAGGATAGTTATAAATAATAGCTATGAGATAGGGAAAATTAAGTGTCATTTCTAATGTTAGTTAAATCTAAATACTATTTGGTTATTTAATCGACTTTCTGGTTTTTAAGATTACATTTACCGGAGAATAGATTTTAGGAAATTTCTTATTATTGCTATCCATAATTCCTTTAATTTGGAAATGAAATTTAGTGTGTTTAATCAGAGTATTAATATAATTTAATATATCTACTTCTTTATAATTAATCTCAAATACACTTTCTCTAAATAACTTAAATGGAATATTCCAGTATCTACGTTATTTATAATTTGGATTGTTACATAGAAATTTCGATGTTATAAACTAATATTCGCCACAAGTAAGTAAGTCTCAGAATAATTAATAAATCATATTATATATATATATATATAAATTTCTTATTGTCTCAAAATTCATTGGAATTTCTTTTTCCGATAACTCTTTTCAATATGCTCTAATTTTAAGATGTCTTAGGACTTAATTGCATTTCAATATCTTAAAGATCCACTTCACCATCTGATTCTTTATCTTATTAAACTGGATTTTTAAATTTGCTAAATTTAGAGGATATCAGCCTTTTAGCTCGATCATTTACATCAATCTCTTTAGAAGTCTTAGTTTATTAGATTAATAGCCACGACACTTCAAAAATGTTCTAGATTTACGGTCCCAATTTTTTAATTAATTGATTGTTTAGATAGGCATCTTCATCTTAATTTTCTATTAAAGCCATCAGTCTTTCGTATGCCTTATAGAGTTAAATAATATACTTTAAACAATTTAGAATATAGATACTAAGGAGAATCAGGATCAAGAAAATTCTCCTTGTTTTCTATCACTTATTTGCTCACCTAATCTAATTAGATTTTCATTGAAGATTCTACCTTGTTTATATTATTCATAGATCTCGAATTAATTAAAGAATTACCTTGAATGCTTTGAAGATTTCAAAGTCTAAGCCCGTTGTCTTGAAGGCAAGGATTTTGATTCTTGCAAGGTAATCAAAGGTTTAGGAGTAAAATTAAAGATGATTTATTGAGGCTTCTTCAATAACAATTCTTTTAATTTGTCTATTTCATGTAACTTATCTAAAATACCAAAAACATCCAATTCTGCATTAATTTGGTTTCTAAAATAAATTAAATGATATACACAGCTTTATTCAATAATAGAACTTAAGGATTTTTCATCATTCTTTCGCAAAATACTTTTTAGAAAAAGAACCTAAATGTAAATTCTAACTTTCTAGTTTTAGCAAATATTCTTTATATCTATTCGAAAAAGTATTATCTTCCATTTTTACTTCCAATCTTATCTAACGAAGTCTGATGTTTCTCCAACAATTTAATATTATTAATAGATAATTATGATAAAGGGATAATTTCTTGAACTGAATTCAATTATTTAATCGAAATTCCTTTTGACGGATTCTTTATGGATTTTTATGATTTATTCATATTTGTTTAATCTTTATCAAATCTGGCACTTTGCTGTACTTGTCCCAAACTCATCATCGATTGTTATTGATTTGAGTCTTAGGCTTAGGCCTGAAAGTCGAAATCATCAGCATTCGATATTAAATCATTCCTATTTAATTTAGATTATGAGTTATCATCTAGATCAAAATCAAATAATTCATTTGATAAATCAACTAATTCTAAAATGTAAAATAAATGACTTACAGGATTATTTGTTATAAACCTAAATAAAGAATCCGAAGAATACGATCATTATTTATAAGAATCCTCCCAAATAGGACATTAAATCATCTACTTTTTAATAGTTTCTCAAAATATTTTCTGAATATGTACTCCTTCTCATATAAAATTGTGCATAAGTGCTATCCGCTGCTGTTCCCAACAAGGTTAGATCTCTATAATCTGTAGCTGATCTAACATTGTAAGTTTCGTTGACTATTGCTTGAAATGGTGTCAAACTGTCGTCTGTTTAAAAATTGTATTTCCTCCAAAATATGTTAGCTTATCTTGATAGTTATTTTGGAGTCTAGCATAAACTTAATTAAATACAAAAGTAAAATATAGTTCGTCATCTAAAAATGCTGTTGCATAATCTTTTGGATTTGTAGGATTCATTACTAGGTTTGTCATGTAAAGGGAAACTTTAAAAGCTGAATTCTTTGATAAAAAACTCGAAATTGCCTCCTTCGTTTGACAATTCGGCTTCCAAGTTAATCGAGAATTTTGACTAGTATTATTATTGCAATCTGTCACGATTATTTTTATATAGTCGAATTCATGACTTGCGTACCTTCCTGCTAAATTTAATGAATAGTTATAATCTGGACACAGGAAATTCTTTAGTCCTACTTGGTCGAATTGAGCTTTGAAATCAACATTGTATTTAGTAAAAACCTTTTGGAATCTGTCTAGTGTACAAGGAATTAAATTGATCTCTTGAGCTATTTTTATCACTGTTCCATTATCCAACCGTGTAGATTTCCTATTTAAGTTAAGATCATTACTGCTGTAACACTGTAATGTTAAAGTAAGGGTTTGTTGTAAAGTTTGTCTGTTCAATTTGAAAAGCAATCATAAAATTCTCATCATTTAGTTCTATTAGGTCAGGGTCTTCTTGGAAATCTGTTTTTTAGGCAACAAAAATTTGAGTTTTTGCAAAAAAAGTGATAACATTAGATTGAAAAAAGACAACCAAAACAACAATTATCACTAAAGATGCAAGTCCTCCAAATCCTGTCCTATAGGTATCTTCTTTTTTATAATTAAAATTAACTCCCTATCCAAAAATATCGCACCTCTTGAGAACTATAATATGATCAGGTAAATATACATTCTTATACAACTTACATTAAATTAAAAATTAAAATATTTAATATAAGTATCTATCCATTATGCTTTCAAATAATAAATATCTAATGGTTTTGTTTTGACATTTTAAATAAACCAGAATTCCGAGAAAAATTAAAATAATATATCCTTGAAAATTAACACATGTATTTAATTAATTGTAGAAGTTAATAATTAATTAATTATTATTGCTATATGATTTTATTTATAAATATTACTTTTTAATTAATTATTAGTATGATCATTTAAATTAAATTTGACCAACACTTTTTTTATCTAGATTTTGATGAGATCAAAGCATTTGATAAAGAATTTAAGCATATTTTGTAATTCTAACAGTATTTAATTGAAGAATTCTTCTATTTTCTTTTTGAATATGTATTGATAATAAAAAATTATAATTAATAAATTAAATAAGCATAATTTAAGATTAAATTCTTTATTATTCTAATATAGCAGCTTAGTGAAAATTAAGAAAACGAAATAAGAGAATTTTCGATTATAGTATATAAATTTAAGAGTATATTATCTAAACTTAGAATATTTATTATAATATGTTAAAATTGAATAGGAAGATAGGATGCCATTTGAAGCAAGTGAGATGTAAATTTATAAATGTTGAAAGGAATAGTTAAATTTATATATATTATTTATTGTCATAATTAAAATTAAAATAAAACAAAAAAAATAATGAAACTCAGTCAAATGTTAAGGTGGACAACAACTGATGGCAAACACTTATTAATGAGAATGTTTTATTTCACCTACATACCAATTATTTTGATTTTAGGTAAATGACAAATACCATGTATTTAATTAGGTTATAAATCAATGAACATTTAGGCATTATTCCCTCAATTAGCATCTAAACAATGAAAGGATATTTGATATTTATGATCTATAAGCAAATTAAACATATTATTCAAATTATTTGAAATATTGCAAATTTTATGATTATAGAATCTGAGCATCATATATTTTGCTAGAAATAGCAAATTAATATAAATTCAATTACTCTATAAAATTAAAAGCAATATTATTTCAACAAAATTTTAATCGTAAAATGGGAGAAGAATTTGGTTTTGATAAAGAGAGATTCGTGAATTATAATCAAGACATCTTTGATTGTCCAATATGTTCATGTGTTGCTAGGCTTCCAAAAGATTGTAGTGCATGTGGATCAGTTTTTTGTGGACCTTGTGTAGATTCATGGCTTAAAAAACAATAGTAATTTATTCATCTAATCATTTAGAGAGTGCATCAATAGATGTCCTAAGAACTCAGTAATATAAGGAATTTAAAAGTCATTAAAGAAAATATATGATGATCTCGAGATTAGATGTAATTTTTTAAAATAAATAAATAGGTTAGTTTTGTACTAAACCTTTTAAGATAGCTGAAATTGACAAGCATGAGATGAACTGTTAAATGCCCAAATGCACTAACTACGACGTCTGTGGAAACAATTTAGGAACAAATGAATTTGAGAAGCAAAAGGTATAGTTAATTATTAATTAAATTTAGGTTTGTGATCAAGCTTGTCTACTTTTGAGTAGAATTAAATAAACAAAAAATAAATAAGACCTCTATTCATGTTTAAAATAATATGTAAAAGACAAAAAACCAATTATTCAAATTTCACCATATAATTTTAACATTCCAGCTGTTTAGAATCAGGAATATCCAGTTTTTAAATGGGATAGATAGAGAATGGGAACTGGCATAACATTCTCTGATGGAGATACAAAAATATTCTTAAAGGAATAAGCCTATATGTTTAGAACAGCTCTTGCTACTTATGGGTTTGAAAAAGGCATTGGATATTGGGAAATTGAAGCAGATGAAAAAACAGAAAATGAATTAAAGATTGGAGTATCCACTTAAAGAGAATTCAATTATAATACTGCATTTTGTGACTTTGAATTTGGATGGGCTTATTATGGATTAGCATAGGTATCAAATCTCCTTTATATTTCAATAGTTGCGTCATAATAGTAATGCTACTGGACCATCTTTTGGAAGGAGATTTAAGAAGGATGGAATCTTAGGAGTTTGTTTGAATATGAACACCGGAACTTTAAAATTTAGTTTAAATGGAGATCTTATGGGAACTGCCTATACTGATGAAAAATTGAAACATGGGCCCATATACCCTGCTGTTTCATTACTTCATTGTGCAGGCTGTAAATTAATAACTGGTAAACCTCTTCCCACCATATTCTAGATTTGATTTATAAAAATAGTTAAACTTCATTAACTTTATTAGTCAAACATTTTTACACATAGATCTTCCTCATCTTCTTACATAGCTCCTCTTCTTGTGGGGTTACGTTATCTATTATATATTTTGTGTTGGATATCAATAAGTTTAGATAACTTGAATACAATTTATAATTCAGGACCTAATTTTTAAATAAGTGCTTTGTTTGTATAGACTGTATCAGTTGATTGAAGGATGTCATCATATGCCTTGTCTCTTAATATAAATTTACATTAAATATTTTAGAATAAATTAAGTGATCCCCAAGCAAACTAAAGTAATTTCGAGACCATTATTTTTAATTTACTAATTGTAAAGAATCTTCTCTAATTAATTTAAATAAATTATACTTCTCTGTTATTCCTGGACTCTTTACTATTTATTCAATTAGTTGTCTTGATGGTTAAGCTGTATTGTTTTCTAAGTTTATTTATGGTTTAGGAGTAAAATTAAACATAAGAAGCTATTTATAATTAAAAACTGTTTCTTTTAATTTGTCTAATTCATTTAATTTTAAAAGTATGTGATGGACATCCAATTAATCTAAAATATTTTCACTTAAAATTAAATATCATATATACAATGCTTTATTCATAAGTATCACTCTAGGGTTATTTTTAAATAATTTCCCACAACTAATATAATTACAAAATATTATAAAGTCTAAGTAGATCGGTTTCTATCTTTCAATTATATTAATAATTTATTTTTAAAAGTAATCTAAACCTGTCATTTATTTTAACTTTTCAGCCATCCTATATTATTGCCTATATGCTTCCCTAGTTGATTTTGATTTGGTTGTATTTTTTGTATAAGTTCCACCTGTATTTACAAATAAATTTAGTAGATTATACCGTTAAGATATATTAGGTGATAATTTTTCTTCCATTTGTTAATTATCTTATTCATTAATGTTTTCATCTGAATTTGCATGAATATGATTTTCTCTGTGTTGCATAAATTCATCAATCAATTCCAAATTTTCTTGATGTTGCCTATTTAGCAACGTTGAGTCTATTTAAAATTCAAATATTTTATTAGCTAACTCAATTAAAACTATTATAGTTTTTTCATTTACATTAGATTCTGTTGTAAAGACCTATGGCTAAGCCAATAAAAAAGAAAAATGCTTGTTAAATTCCACCTAAATTTGAAAGCAACTCATCAATTTTTTGATAATTTCTTACAAATTTTGTTTTAAATGGATTAAGTTAAAAATTAAATGTTGCAAATACTAAATCGCTTGATGTACCAATATCCGACATTTCTTTAATATCAGTTTGATCAATTTAAAAAACAGTATCTTATTGGATGTCACTAAGAAATGTATCAAACATTACCTAAAAGGCATTAAACTTTAATCATTTATAAACTCATATTTCCTAAAGTAAATGTTGGCTTGTCTATTTATTTAATGAGGAACGAATGTAAAATAAATTTAATCATCTAAAAAGACAGATCGATATTATTGTTTATATGGATTTATTATCTATCACCATGAAAGTAATTTTTACTTAGTTAATAGTATAGATTGAAATTTTAAATGATCCCATTGCTTTTAAATATTCATCTATTTCTTCTTGTGATGCACAATCCACTTTTTCATTATTTTCACATTTTGCAATTTACAATGTAAAAAATTAAAACTCGCTGCCTAAAAATCATTTTATAATTTACTTGTGTATGTTCCTCCCATAGATAAGGTTGTGTTTTATCTATTAATTGAATATAATTTTACTAAGGACATAGAAAGTCATTGATTCCTAGAATCTTAAATTGTTCTTCAAAGTCATTTTGGTATTTGGAGAATATGCTCTAAAACCGATCTATCGTACAAGGGATCAATGGAAGATTGAAGGAACTCTTGGTTTACTATCCATTCTGATTTCTCCTATATTGCCTCAAATAAGGAATACAAACTACTTTTATTCCAGTGTTAAATTGAAATAAGGAGATGCAGTGAAGTTATTTTGTTCAATCTTAAATGCAAACATGAATTCTGAATTGTCAACTTAAATCTGTTGTATTTAGTCTTCATACTCATTGGATGAGACTACTTTCAAGTATTCTTTCAAAAAGAAAGATGAGAGACTTTAAGAGTAAAAATAAATCATAAGAAAAAGCACTGCAATAGAGAATCCTCCTCCAATTTTGGTACGATAATAGTTTTATTTATTCATTCGAAGAAATACAATCTAGCCGAAAACATCAACTCTCTATAAACCTGACTAATTGAATAATTGTACCCCATTTTAGTGTTTGCATTAATTATATATAAAATAAAAGATCAATCAATTACTTAACATTTCATCTGGTAAATTTTGTGTATTTCTACAAAATATATCATTATTAGAATTTGCTCGAAGTCTTCTTAACCCATCAAAATCAAGCAATTTCGATAATTTGAAGATCGCCTATATTTCATCTCCTAATTTCTTGATTAACTTTTTATTGACATCATGCTATGGATTTAGTTCTGAACTTTATTGAAGAACAGCGTCATAAGCCTAGAATCAAAATGATAATACTCTATAAATCCTGTTATAAATTCTCATATCTTTATCCAAGCTTACAGCACGAAAAAATTATTTATGAATTGGTTTACGTTTTACTAGATTTTATTTCTTTTTATCATCACAAATTGTCTCATTCCTAATTATATTCATATTCCTTACATTGTATTTCTAACTCTTTCCTCGAGGATCGTTCTATTGAATGGCATTTCCTTATCTTCTTCTAAAGAGATTATAGGTTTTGAAGTAAAATTGAAAAGCAGTTACTATGAATTAGATAGTAATATTTCTTTCATTTTGTCAATTTCATTTAACCTTGTAATAATGTTGAATACATCTAACTACTCATTAATTTTGTCACTTAAATTAAAATACAATAATAGTATACAGTGCAGAATTGTAGAATTAAACTGATTTTGAATTTTAGAAGACTTTTCGAAAGCAAATTTAATTGAGAAATATTGTTATATTAAATCGTAAAGGTTACGATCTATTTAAAATTAGATTGATCTATTTTTTAAAGTAATCTAGGCCACTCACACACTTCAATTATTGTGCCAATACTCCATGATCCTTTATGGCTTACTATGTAAATTAGTTACTCTTGTCATCATTTTCATAAGAAAATTAGTTGTTGCATTCATTATTCTCAGTTGTAGGTCTATCAGTTAAAACAATATGTTGTTCGGGTTGACCCTTACCAAAGAGTTTGAAAATCTTACTCTGATGCTTGATTTAACTACTTGGAATAATTTATTATTATCCTTCTTTGTTAACATAGTATTCATGTCGAAATTGTCGATCTTCATACACATTATTGATTAGTTCAAGATTTAATTGATGCTATTTGTTTTATTCATCCCCATCCGAACTAAATTCATATATTTTATTTGACAATTCCACCATCACTAAATTGATACTGAACCATTACTTTTTTATTTGTTATAGGCTGCTATAATGAATCCCATTACTATTAATGATATTTACAGCAATCCTCCTAATTTGGATAATAAGTCAGTCACACTTTAATTGTTTCTTTCAACTGATATTGTAATGGGACTTTTTCTAAAATAGAATGATGCAAAGGTAGTATCTTAATCCCTACCTAAATCTATTACTTCTTTGGTTTCAGTGTTGTCTATTGAAATAAAATTAAAATTTTCGTTATAACTTAGTCATAAATTAAATTTACTTCAATGAATAAAAATCTAAGTTATTCCTAAACTTATATTCTCGAAAATAAATATTTGCATACTTATTTAATTTTTTCGGTACAAATGATAAATAACTTTAATCATCCAAGAAAATAGAAATATAATCTGATCCAATCTTGTTTGGATTAATTACCTAAATATAAAAAACTCATACTTTGTTTATTAAATAGACTTATACTTTGAATGCTCCTGATAAGTCTAATTAACTTTAGAGTTCATCATTAGGAGCACAGGTGCTGTTTTCTAAAATTTAGGATGGATTGCAAGCAGATACTTCAATTTTAAGAAAATTGAAATAATTAGCTAATTTATAAAATTAATCTTACATGCAAATGTACCACCAATATTCATCCTGATATTATTTCTATGATAGAGTACTAATAAATACTTTGGACATAACAAGTTCTCCAATTGCAAATGAGTAAAGTCTTCTGAAAAATTCTTACCATATTTCAGAAAAATAGTTTGAAATCTTTCCAATTTGCAAGGCTCAAGAGGAAGGTAGGTGACATTTTTTTAAATTGATCCGTTATCCAATCTTTCGTATTCTCTGAATTAGAATATATTATAAATTACCTTTGCTGCAGAGTGACTGAAAAATAAGGCTGGGTTAAAAAGTTCTATTATTCAATTCCAAATGCTATTATGAAATCCTGATCATCGAGTTGGAGATTGGAAAGATCATTATCATAGACTTAAGTTTATTTTGTTATAATGTTTTTTCCTTCTAAATAGTTGAGAAAATTGCTTGAGAAAAAGAGAAACACGAGAAAAATAGTTGTTATTGATGTAAATCCACCAAATATTGATTAATATATTGATTATTGATTCATACCTAAGGATGGTGATTGAGCAAATATATCACAAGCTTTCAAATCTAAATAATAATCATAAAAACAATTACATGAATTTATTCTTTACATCTTAAATATTTATTTTAATTATATTATAATATGATCAAACAAAAAAGATAACTTAATTAATAAATTTAAAATTTACATTCTCAGTTATCATTTGAATAACCAATCTCTCATGTTTAAACTAATGAGACACATAATTTGGTATTATTCTTTTAATAAACGACGTTTTTAGTTATTTAATATTATGTAAATAATAGAAATATTCTTTCAATAATAATGATTCTAAATAAAATATATAGATTATGAGTCATAAATTTAATTCATCTCTATCCAATATAAATGAAGCCATCACTTTATCATATATAGAAAATAGCTCTCCATAAAATACAATTGCTAAACACCCTCTCATGGTTCTATACTTGCCAATGATTTCAGTCATCTCATTATAATAGGTTCTTGCTATTTTAGAGAATCAATATACTTTTCTTAGGAGTCAGCTATTCCAAAGGGTATGACACTATTTCTGCAATAGTAGTTATTACAAATGATAATGCTATTTTGGTTATTATGTTGTTAAAGAAAGGAATCACTTGCAAGTACTTTTGGAAATGATTGTAGCCTCCAAAATATATTGCTCTATAAATTGCAGTGCTCAATAATGAAAGTGGAAATCCTCTATATAATGTAAGGATTCCCTCTGTTTTGATGATTCTGATGAATTAGGTTGCGAAAGTGTTCTCAAAAAGAGAAATTCTCTTATATTCAGGGTCTTTTAGTTTTAATCTTGCTACTAGGAAAGGATAGTTTAAAAATAAGTGAGTCATCCCAGCCAAACCTCCTGCTATGAATGCATTTTTTGATTGTTTGTCATCTTTGAGATAGGAATTTATAAGTTTTTTGTATGTGTCATTGATGGCAAACAATAATCCATGGGAGAATATATATCTGAGATCATCAGGATGGCTTCTCCAGAGATGATTGATGCCCTTTGGATCAATACATTGATGATACTTCAGCACGATCATATAAAATTTGGATCAAAGTTCGATGATGGCTTTTGAAAGGATTTCGTTATTGTTGGATGTTCAGCATTTGATAACGTTGTAATGGAGTGCAGATTAAAATTGTCGTAAAATAGCTTAGGGATCCTAACACAAAGTCTTTGATAAATTTTTGTTTAGTAGTGAGATTTTGATTTATATATTTTGATTAATTCATTAATGTAATAAAAAAAAAATATTGTAGAATTATTGTTGAAATATTATGTTACAAATTGCATTTCAAAAAGACAGTCCTATATTCCCTATGATTATTATTAGTATATTCTATAAAGGGTTTTGATAAGATTTTGTTTTTCTTTGTTTTTAGTTTTATATTTGGATATTCTGCATATTTCTTCTTCTATTTTTAGTATTTGATTATGTAGAGATTTATCCAAACTCCATGCTCAAATTTAAACTTAACAAATTGTTTAATGATTCCCTTAATTAACCATACTAGATAATATGAAATACATATATAAACATAACATTAATGGTGGTTTGAGCAATTTATAGGGTGGGATTGAAGAATGATAATATTATGAATTTCTTTATAGTTTGATATATATTTTAATTAAAAAAATAAAAATGAAGAAATAAGATTGGAAATTCATGTAAGTATTTGGTGACAAAGCCTCTTCTGATAATGTGAGTGATGAAGACATTATCTCAGCAGTGTAATTTGAAAGGACTGGAAGATTTTTAGGATTGGGAGACAGGGCAGGACGTTTAATAGTTTTTGAAGTTCCATAAACAAAGAAGAAAGATAAGGCAGAATATTAGTATAAATATTGAGCGATTGTATAGGTATTTGACTGAACTTCAATCTCATACAAGAGAGTTTGATTTCTTAAAGAGTACTGATATTGAGGAGAAGATCAATCAAGTTCAGTGGCTGAGAGGACAAGGTAAAAACATGTACGTTTTGACTACTAATGATAAAACAGTGAAGTTGTGGAAGATCAGTGAGAAGAATGTCACTAAAGTTATTAAACCAAGTGGAAAGGATTTAGCAATGCCCAAACTACAGGTTGTTGAAAGTGGACTCATTCCAAGGTAATTTAATATATTCTATAAATTCAAGTGTGAGAAAAGTATTTCCAAATCTACATAATTATCATATAAATTCATTAACTGCTTCCAATAACGAAGAATTCGTTTTGACCTCAGATGATTTAAAGGTGTATCTATGGAGTGTTGAATAACCCTCAAAGGCCTTTGTAGCTGTTGACTTGAAACCAGAGAATTTAGATGAATTAAGTGAAGTGATCACATCCTCTACTTTTCATCCAACTTTGGATAATTAATTTTTGTATACTACCAGCAAAGGAATCATCAAACTGTGTGATATGAGGAAGTCAGGTATATGTGATAATACTGCAATCACTATGGCTGAACCTGAGGATCCAGCCAAGAAGAATTTCTTCACAGAAATAGTCACATCCATATCTGATGCATGTTTTAGTAGAAATGGAAAATACATTTTCTCAAGAGATTTCCTTACTGTAAAAGTTTGGGACATTGCTATGGCCAATAAACCAGTTGCTACCGTCTAAGTCTTTGAACCACTTAAATCTAAATTATGTGATCTGTATGAAAATGAATGCATTTTTGACAAGTTTTCAATTGCCTCTACTCTGGACTCCAATAGCTTTATTACTGGAAATTTCAATAGCACTTTTCATGTTGTAGATAGAATGGGTAGCACTTATTAGTATTTTAGGTGAATGCAATCAATAATATGAACTAAACTTCAATAAGAAAACTATTGTGAGATAAATCCCACCTAAGTACTTCGAGAATTTGGGATCATCCTATGATTTTAATCGTAAGGTTTAGAAATTGAGTATGTGCCAAACCTAGAATCTTGTTGCTGTCGCTTGCCTCAATTGTCTCTATTTCTACACAGCATGACAATTACGTATTTATCCAATTATAAATATATACGATATAAATGCTAATCAGACAATATGTAGAGTTTCAGTTATAATTCTATTCCCTTCTAGAGATATTCTTACTCTATAATCCATATACACCATAGAGTTTCAGTAAATGATTAGACATCTAATTTAGGATTGTAAACAAGTATTATTCTACTTTGCTTCTTCAACTATCTTACCAACATATTCTGGCCAGAGATTTCTTGCCTTGAGGTGGATGAATGTCGATTTAATACTTTATTTTATATTCAGAGAAATTATTATAATTTGTTAAGATTTTAATCACTAAATGTTTTATTGTTTATGCATCTAGTCAATCATAATATAGACTAAGTTTCAATTGCAACAGAATTGTGCTGATCACATCGATAAAAATAGATTAATCCATAATGGATTATAAATGTATATATATAGGAAGAAGAAGAAAAGAAGGCAGTTCCAAATTAACTGCTTTTAATTTATTGAACATGTGGCTATGTATGTTTATTTATTATACTATCATATACTATCATTTTTTTGTTTTGTATTTTGCACCAAGAACGAGTTACAACTTTCCTCCTGTAGATCTTCCCAATTGACTTGAGCATTTACTAACACTATAAAGGGCAATCATTACATGCAAGTGATAATGCCTCTGGCGTGGGAGAATACGGTGTTATTAGCTTGGCACTATGGGCATTTGACATCCATGAAGTATGAGTTTGGAGCTTAAATCAATCTCTTTAATTTATGCTTTCTCTTTTCGCTTTCATATTAAGGTCTCAATAAATCTTGGTCCATTATTTAAATTTATTTTTAAATTAATTTATTTATTTCAAATACTCTAATGAACCACAAGAGATACTCTTTCAGATGTGGACACCCTCTAAAATAAAAACTAATTAACTAATCCTTCAATATATTTACTAAAAAAGATAATATACTCATTTCTAATCAACCAATAGATAGTACATCCTTCTCTTGTTCGATTATCTGATTATTCTTCTCTTTCATAGTTTAAAATACCTATAACGAAGCAATAGCATCTAAGGCAGCATAATGAATTTAAGCTTTTCTCAATGGCCTGTATTCCCAATTGCTACAAGTGTCATACTTACTTAACTTCTTTTTAAAATAGAATTCTGATATATATGCCAATGATCTGAGTTTGGGATCCCCCTCTAATACTTTGAAGCAGGTTGACAATTCTATAATTGATCTAATTATTATATTATTCAATTTCAAGTAGTTTACAGTATGCTTCAAATCATCCTTCAAACTCAACCCAATTTTCAAAATTTCGACATTCTCCAACAACTAAGACACATCATTTTTGAATTCTTAAAATTCTTTGAGTTTTTAATAGTCAAACAAAAAAACATGATTAGAAGTGGCAATCTAAACCAAACAGACTTTAAATCCTTAATAATCTAGCTTAGTCCAAGGTGTTATATGCTCACAGTCATAACCTATTGAATAACAATAAAGAATACCAACAGCATTACTTTAGTTAATGCATTTCCATGCATCCAAGTAATTCTGATCAATCTTATCAACAATAACAATATGATTTTCAGGATAACCAAAATCCTTGCAATGTAAATAAACACCAATTTCATCGCTTATAAATTCTTCGGCAGGTTTGAATTCATCCTTTAAAAACAATACGTTTGGAATCTCTTCGAATTATCCCTTTAAATCCTTTTCCATTTCTTCCTTCAAATTGGGTTTCTTAATTTCATTTATTAAGTTATTTCGTTTTATAATAGAGAGGGCTTCATTTTTTTTGCCATGAAAATATGCATCTTCACAGTAATACACCAATAATGATTTTGAGAACATTAACATTTCCTCACATTTAAACCAAGGGTATTCTGATTACAAATATCTTGTGCAACTCTTTTCAAGTCTCTCAACTATTTTTGGATAATTAGCTGGATTATAGTCTAATTTCATAATAAAATCAGCTGCTCTGCCAGCATCATGATTATTTCCCATTTACTCTATTAAAGTATCGAAACACTTCTAAGGTAATTGTAATGCTTAATAAAATTGAAAGGCATCCTAAAATTTCTTTTTATTTACGAAATCTTGAAAATGTTAAAACAAACTAAAAGTATATATATATATTGTACTTCTCATCAGTTATCTAAGCTTTTAATTCGAAAAGCTCGATGAATTCTTACAACTCTTAAACCTATAAATTCTTCCAATTTTTTGCAATTCCAGAATTTGAAAGCTGTTTCAAATTCATTTAGTCTTTATTCTTTTTCAAATATTGAAATAAGACTCTGATGAACACTCTTTGAACATTGTTTTTGAGCAATTCTTCAAAGATCTTTTATAAATTAAACTCAAACTTCTCTTTATTGTTTTGGTCCAAAACCTTTTAAAATTAAGTGTTGATCAACTAATATTATGTTAGATTCGAATACATTGAAAGATGGTTTGTTTATTGCGATGTATTTCTTTAATTCTTCAAATCCATCACATTCACCTATGACCTTTTACATGATGTGGATGAATTCTTCATCATAAAACACATCCTCTTCTTCGGCATTCTACTACATTGAATTAATTCTTTTTTAAAATAATAATAAATAAAACTGATTATGTTATGTAAAGTCTGAATAGAGAATATAATACAATTTGAAATTGTTTTAGATCTAAGTTTAGTGAATATAACTAAATTCATTTTTATTTAGAGAATGTTGTGTTGATGGTAGAAAATAATAATCTACTGAGATTGGATATATTATTTTAGATTGTACCTACTATGTTGTATATCAATTCAACAGTTGTTATCAAACTCTGATAGAGATTGGTTATTACAGCTATTACGATGGCTAAAGCATACATATACAATTGCAGCAATAGAATCACCCTGTAGCATTTGTTGTCATATGACCATGCATATTTTACATATAAACTATTGTAAGTGTAAATCCTTAAGAATAAATCTGAAATTAAAATAAAGGGCAACAACATTAAACTTATTAACATTGCTAAAAATAATCCAAACATCAATTTTAATACTGAGATGCAAATCTTTTTAACTCGATTCTCTTATTAATTAAATTTGCTATTACCACTTTCTTATATGGTTGTTTGAGTCTAATGTTTTATCTGATTTTTGTGATTCAAGTTCTTCTCCAGTCTTACCACAAACAAAATTATAATGAGATTGATTTTCCATCTATTCATCGCCTCTGACTTCCAATTTAATATCTTCTTTTGTCTCACCTTAAACTCATAAGTCGGATTTCTGAATTTGATTCTTTTTTTTTGATATTCCACAGTCTCCAAACCCAACATGCCCTTCAAGGACTTTACAGGGTCTTCCTTCTCAACATGATCAGTAGTTGTTATTTCTATGAGCTTGTCGGAGTCCGTTATATTTTAGATAATAAGTCTGGGAGCCTTGAGTTCTCTCTAAGTATCAGTTTTCAACTCTTTTTTCTCGCAATTACTGTTAGAGGGCGAGAAAATATTTGGTTCCTAGTATTTATTGTATTCATTGAACGTTTGTTTTATAGAATTTTCGACATAGGTATGACTGTTGTCGTCATTGATTTGGACCAACTTGGTGTTGTTAGGATCTCCGTCATCCCCTTTTAAGTTAGAGTACTCTCTATAAATAGGCTTATTCATTTTTAATATTTTTTGAAATAATTAGAATGCAGTAAAATCAATAACTCATTATTTTTTTGGATTGCTTTATTATCTTCTTTATGTTTTAGATTTATTTCCATTTTTTCTTTATTCCCCATTAACCTTACTAATTTGATCCTCTCTTTATTTTAACACATTTTGGAGTTCCTAAATTTTAGTGTCTTTTTCAACAATCTTATTCTACAATTCACCAATTCTGTAATTTAGCTCCTAATTATTTACCTGCAAGGCTTGTAGAGCTTTCTCTTTTGATTAACCTACGGCTTTCTCTTACTCTAGTAGATCGTTTATAGTTTCAACTTCATCTTGCAATTCGGCATTTCTTGCTTCCAGATCAGATACTCGTAATCTTAACTAAAATATTGATTCGTAATACCTAATCGTTCTCTTAAAAAGAGATTTCCTGGATGTATTTGCATTGCTGATGAGGATCCATTAAGGAGAAAATTAAAATTAAATAACAAAATAGTCCTTGCTGAATTGTTATTTTAATTGATTGCAATAAAAAGTATTTAAATGTTTATCACAAACAAATACAATTAAATTAATCAATAATTTTATTGTCTATAATAAATTAAGTGAAAACTAATAATCAAAAAAGTCTTAAACAAAATCATAAATACTACTACACAATTCTATTTAGATCTTATAATTGAATAGGCTTGGTTATATAATCCTTCATTCCCGCATTGAGGCATTCCTATTTTTGTTCCAAACTTTCATATGCAGAACATCCAATTATTTTAACATCGATTCCATACTTTTGAGACAATTCCAAGATCTTTTTGGTTGTCTAAATTCCATTTATTGTTGGCATCTCCAAATCCATAAATATCAACTTATAATAATCCTAATTGGCTTGCCATTTCTTTGAGCATTTCTCAATAGCTAAATACCCATTTGTGGCTGAATCAATATGATCTTATCCTCTTATAATAATTATCTTATATTACATTTATGCTAATCTCCTTTTCAGCATATCAATATTCATACAAACATCATCAACTATCATAATCTAAGTAGTCATTATGGCTTTCGTTGATCGTTTAAAAATTGAAGCTTAATTATTCACATAAACTTTGTGAATGGATTCCTCCTGTTATTATTGCATTATGATTGATTCCTCACTATCTTAATTTCGCTCTTCCATGCTATTCAATGATTTGATCTCATTTATGTCCTAATATTGAATCTGAAAATAAAATGTAGAGCCTAATTTCAAAATACTAACATTTAAATACCTTTTTTATATTAAGATTTGAATTTTAATCCGTTTTGTAAGTCTTAATTCAAATTCTGTAAAATTTAATTACTAATCAATAATCCTAATCCCACACCTGATTTATTCATTTTTTTATGTTCTTCACTATTCCCCTTTCCAAACGCTTAGAATATTCTTAATTAATCTTCTTCTGTCATCCCAATGCCAGTATCAACAACTGATATTTCCAATCTCAAATTCACTTAAGCCACCTTTATTGTCACTGAACCATCCTCAGTAAATTTAAAAGCATTCCCCAATAAATTTATCATAATTTATTTTAACCGACTAGGATCAGAACAGATGTATCTTGGAGCTTTGCTTTCATAATTGATATATAGTTTGATCTATTTCCTTTCTGCCATGACTTGAAATAAATCTACACAAGTTTCTAATAATTGATTAAAATTGAATTTGGCTTTGTTAATCTTGAATTTTCCAACCTTAATTTATGCCAAATCCAATAGATCATCACTTAAATTTTATAAATATTTTGCGTGATCTAATGCAATTTTAATTTGTTTGGCCATTTTAATAGGATTATTCTATTTTGTAGATCTACGTATATCTTTTTCCATAATCATAGTTTGGGATGAATATTTCTGATCATCATCCACTTCTTGTTCAAGCATATCGATTATGCAATTCAAAGGAGTTCTGTATTCATGACTAACAAAAGATAAGGTCTTTGATTTCTATTTACTATAGTCACGTAACTGATGAATGTAATCTCTATGAGTTATGTCCCTTATGAGCATCAAAATATAGGGGACATCCACGATTAAAGCATTATACAATTTGACTTCAATAGTTCTGTTCTTTTTTCCATCTTGTCCTTTTTAATAGCCCAAAATTACTACATGTTCTTAAATCAATTAGTTTTGATTTTTCATATAGTTTTAAAAGTCTACTTTTCTCATTTAAGAGGAGATTAATCTCAGTTCCTATTCCAAAATCTAAATAAATAACTTACATTACCGATTCTTCCAGAGTATCACATTTCCTCAAGATAACACCCTTGTATTCAATGTTGCTTAGTGCAGAATTTTATCGAAATAATTCCAACTTATGAGAACTCTATAACTTATTCGTTTAAGATCTCTTTTCATTTCGAGAGGCTTTGCTTATTAAATTACAAGGAATTGGAGTTTATTAAAAAGTAGAAAATGAGCTCATGGAATTCTTATAGTCATTTTATTGCTTCTGTTGATCCTCCTGTATAGACTGTTGCTCTAAACAAAACAAAGAGGATAGAATTTAATCAGATTATTCGGCCATTGATAATTTTAACAAATTTTCATTATGATACTCCAACTCTATCTTCTTGTCTGTTATTTTGATCAGCCCAATCCCTTAAGGAAATATGCTCAAGATTTCTAACCTATTGTCTCGCTCAATTGTTGGACTCTCATTATGACTGGGCTTCTCTTTAAATTTTAAACGGGAATGATTCTAAGTGTTGCCTACACTGTCAATCATAATCTTATCATTTATTTCTTATTATGTAGAGCTAATGGTGTGCTTTGTCACTAGCTTAGCTTTAGAAATATGAAATAAAATTAACCAATGAACCATGATAGTTGTGGCTGATAAATACACTTAATTATAGTCTTCCAATAAGATTATTATAAATAGAAGGAGGTCAGATCCAATTTAATGGATTATTTAATATTTGTTAAGTGAAGGCAACTATGTATTTATTTTACATATAAAGAACTCCTTTAAACTACATAATGCTAATATTGACATTGCATTAGATTTTGAGCTGATATATAAAGCAAACAGTAATGTCCATTGCTAAAACATTTCAAAATGGATTGAGTATTTCTAAGTTTGGGAAATGAAACCCATCATTACACATAAAATCTAAATTCCTAGGATAATAATCGTTATAATAAGGGATCCATCTCCGAATATACTTTAAAACATTATCAAAAGTGTAATTATTATCATGATCCAAGATTCCTTGAACACCCTTTCGTATTGATTCATACAAAATAATAAATAAATATATATTCAATAAATATTCACTGTAGTCCTCAAGCTTTAGTAAAACCATCTCCTTAATTCGTTGATACAAAAACAATACCATGTTATAATCTTCATCCTCCATTAATGAGATTAAAATATATTATTCTTCTCTTATATTAATAAACATAAATTTCAGTTTTTTCGTTGTCTTCTAATATTTGACATTGATGATCATTTATTGACAATTAATCAAATTTCAACGTCAATAATGATTAAAAGATCCAAATTGAATGATTATTGTCTATAGCAAATTTTACTATCCTTTACTTACCATATGATATACTAGAATAAATAAATAATATTAATGGCTAAATTAGTTGAATTAAAAATTGTTTGACTTTTAAAAAATAATTATCAAAACCATATTTATTTATTATTTAATACTCATTTTACTAAAAATACAGGCTCATCGCTAATTCTGAAACATCTTCCCATCATTCTGCTTTATTAGAATAAAATTTAAAGTAAATCTGAATTTATAACCTGCTCTTAAATTTATGATCCCCTTGAGTGGCAATTAATTTTATAAAAAAAATATATAGAAAATAATTCTTCCTTCTCTTTGAACATCTTAAAGAATTAAGAATTATCTCAAAAATTATAAATTAAATTTTAGAATAGCAAAATAAATCGATTAAAATTGTGATGGATAAGAGATTCAAACATACCCTTGTGGCATTTAAAATATGTCCTTATTGTATGAAGGTACTTACAATAATGTGCCATAAAAATGTTAAATTTGAAATAAAGTTTATTGAAATGCATAATAAACCTGATTGGTTTACTAAAATTAGTCCTCTCGAAAAAGTACCTATTTTAATCATAGGTGAAGAAGGTATTTTAAATTTTCATATTTAAAGTTGTTTTATTTGAGTCAGCTGCTATAATGGAATATATCGACGAGATTACACCACCAAAACTAATGTCAGATGATCCAATACAAAAGGCTTTAGACAGAGCTAAGTTTGAGTATTCAAATGAGATCATTAAAAGCCTTTACTAATTCATCTTTTGTACAGAATAGGAAGTAAGTTCTTATTTAAATAAATAGAAATTTGTCAAACTCAAAGAATGGATTATAAATAGACTCAAGCAAATGGAGGAATGGCTTAAAGATAAGAAATACCTAAATGGAAGCGAAATTTCTTTAGTTGATTTTAATTTTGTACCAGTGTTCGTAGTATTAAACATGCTGAAGCCCATTTTGCCTTGTGATATGTTGAAGGATTACAAGAGAGTATGAATGAGAAATAAAAATAGGTATAAAATTATGGGGATTCCTTAACATCCTTGCAATGTACAAAAACAGGTCGAGTTCCAGACTATGAATTTTTGATGATCGACGGAATAAAAAATTAAAACACAGTATTATTTAGATCTAACCCATGTTATTTTAATGGTCCTAAGCCCTCACGTTGTTGTTTCTTTAGCAAATGATAAATTTATTTTATTTTTTTCTTTTTAATTTTGTCAAGTTTAGAGATAAATTAATGGATATGATGATGTAATTAAAAATTTGAGCATTTCTTAATTGTTTCTAATTAAAGAATGAAATAAAATAGTAAATAGTATTTGAATAATTTTATTTAATAATGAAAAATAAAATAAAGTTTTTCTTTTCTCAATTGAAATTCAACCCAAACAAGAACTATTATCAAATTTTGAACTTAACAAATAAATCTACTTAGGAAGAAATCAAAACTGCTTATTATACCTTAGCAAAACTATATCATCCAGATAAAAATCCTGATCAAATTGACAAATTTAAAGCCATAAATGAAGCATATGAGGTTTTAAAAAATCCATCAACTAAAAAAGATTATGATGAATCATAAGTTAATCCTCAATAATTTTAGAAAAAACAATATGATCGATAATATCATTAACACTCAAGTATTAAATATTTCTAAATCAGCATATAGTTATTAATAGAGCGTAAATCATGAATAATTCAGAAGGATGTATGAGGAATACAAAAGATAGCAAACTCATTATGAATATTAATATCATTCAAAAGCATCTTACGACAAAGATGATCCATTTAAGTAATACAAGAAATATACCTAAGAAGAATAATTTGTAAATATCCACAATTAAATTTATTTTAGGAACTTTATTCAGGTAGAGCAGCTACCATGAGATATTTAATGATTTTTATGTTGGGGATGGCTGGATATGTTTTTTTTGAGTTGTTTGGTTTGATAATGGAAAACAGATAAATTGTTGTTGTGGATCAGAACACTGGTCAATAATATGTAACTACGAAAGATGATTTCAGGAGAATATAATAAAAAACAAGAGAATAGATGGATTATGAGAGGAGAAGGGCAATTCTAAAATAAATTTAAGATGAGGAATTAAGAATGATGAGACAAAACTAATAGCAGACTGAATTCAAAAAATGATTGTTGTTTTTATCAACTCTATTATATATACAGTAAATTCTATTGAATCAAGCTTTTTCCTCTTGATGAATGCAACTCATATGTCTGCTTCTTAAGAATTTTCCTAATTCATCATCTATTTGTTTAGTCAACTTAAAATTGATTGTCTTTTAACAGATTAAACTACTTTCATTATTCTCCATCTCATCTATGACTGTTCTATATGCCTTTTATAATATCCATTTAATTTACCTCCTAAAGCGAAGTAAATAACTCTTCATTCGGAGTTTCTTCCTTATTTCTTATATAAGATTAGCGATTCTAATAGTCGAGTTCAATTCTTGAAGGTACATTATTCTCTTAACTTAGAGTAATGATTGGCTTTGGAGTGAAATTAAAGAGAATTTATTGTGGTTTTTATAGTAAAACGGATTTCAATTTTGAAATTTCTTATAATTGGTGAAGAATATTATGCAAATCCAATTCATTATTAATCTTCATCCTTTAAAATAGATGTATATAAAGTACATGGCTTTTGTAAAAAAGGATGAGTTAGTATTGTTGAAGAAATATCCACAACTCAATTCATTTATTAGAATCTTCAAATTTAATTTGATAGGTTGTGATCTTTCCACCAATTTGTGAATGAATTATTTCCACTCTACTTTTTACAAGTCAGGATTAGGTTGATTATTTAAGATAATGTTCATTTCATCTGGCGGAGTTGTTATTACTCCTAGATTTTAATCAAACGCCCCTTTTCTAACATAGGATCGATTCGTGACTTCTTTAAAATCGTATAATCTATTTGATAACTCTATTAACATAGATGTTCTATTATAAAATGCAATAAAGAATCCAAATATGACTTTAAAAATTTACATGAAACCTCCTAAATATGATAAGAGATCACCAAGCTTTTCATAATTTCTATCTATAATTTCAGTAAAAGGACTTCTTCTCAAATAAATTGTTGCATATATACTATCAGTGTTTCTTCCTAATTCAGTTAGATCTCTAAAATCTTCGGCTTTCCTCACAATTATTTCTTCCTTTTGAATATCTCTAATCATAAAGTTAATTAATTACTCATAAGGTAATAGACTCAAATCATTATTAATCACATATGATCTATAATACACATTGGCTAGTCTTGATAGCTGATTTGGTACAAAGGAAAAGTACATATCACTATCTAAATACATAGTTTTATGGTCTTTAGCCTTTTACGGATTTACCATTGTATTTATTTGAAAAACTTAAAGCTTAAATTACCCATTTGCTTATAAATATTGCGATTTTGCAGTTTCATTAGCGCAAATCGGATTCCAATAGGTGGAATTAGAGTTATTTTGGCAATCTGACACAATAATTTTAATAAATTTAAAGGTTTCACTAGAGTAAGTTCCTTACAACTCCAAAGAATAGTTGACCCTAAATATATAATTCTTATACTTTGGACATAACCATTAATCCATGCCTAAGTAGTTAAAGGAATCATTAAAATTAGTATCAAAACCCTGATATTCAACGACATTATTAAATCTATTCAAAGTACAAGGTTCTAGAGGTATCTGCGTTGTAGATTTTTTAATAGTTCCATCCAAAGACCTTTCATATATTCTAGATCAATAAATTCTTACCTCTATTCCATGGTTATATTAAAAAATGGAAAATTGGTGTAATTGTTCTAATCTATTGATAAAGCAAACATTGCATTTTCATCACTCATTTTCATATAATTAGGATCATTTGAAAATGCTGTCTATGAATTGTAATAGACATTTGCTTTTGTAAAAAAGTCAGCAATGTTGGAATAGAAGATTAAACTCAACAAACAAATAATCATAATTGAAGAACATCCGCCAAATGAAGTTGTATAATAAGCATTCTTATTCATATTAAGAGTGATAGTTTGGCCAAATATATCTATTCTTTACAGTCCTTTTTGAATGGAATAGAGCATCTTTATTTAATTATATTATTATTTAACATAATAATCTAGGAAAAATCCTAAATCGAAATTTTCTAAAAGTGCAAAAAAGATATTTCATACTCTTTGATTAGATCATCTTTCAAATATAGGATGATATATCGAATTTGATAGTTAAATTTAAGACTCTTTGTTAGGAAATATAAAAATTCTAAGACTACTAAATAAATTATTCAAATTTTATTTTGAATAATTTGGAGTTGAATAAAAAGTGTTGAATGAATATCATTAATGATATATTATAATTATACATTATATATCAAGACAAAAATTCTCATTAAATAGAGTCTTTAATATGTTTTTTCATAATTCTGTTTCTTGATTTAAATTTGAATCTAATAATTTGAAAGCATTTCTTCTTTGTTGGAACGGTTGGATTAATTTCATAATATCCTATCCAATGAGCTGAGTTAACTTTAGATTTATATTCGTTTAACATAAGTTGGTAGGATTCTGGTTTATTTCGTTTAAGATATCTTTGTAAGCCTAGATATTGGAAATTGATTACTTATTATAACTTAGAAAACAGTTCTTCATTTATATATTCCTCTTCAGATTTCTAAATGTGAGATATTCTCTTGCTATCCTTAATACTGAGCCTGGAAGGAATAACCTAATCAATGCCTAAAGTGATGATAGGTTTAGGAGAAAAGTTAAATAAAATTACCTAGGATTTTCTTAATAAAACTTGTTTTAGTTTACTTATTTCATGTAATTAATAAAATATCGTGTGCAGATCCAATTCATTGTTTATCTTTTCACTAAATTAATAAAATCAATAAATTTACATAGCTTTTTCTAAAAATTGAGAATTTTTATCTTTAAAACAAAATCCAAATGTTAATTGATTAATTAATAACTTAAAATTGAATTTAATAGGATCAGATTTTTAAACCAATTTACCTAAATAATCCTTCCACTCAATATTTGAGAGATCTTGATTTTGGTTTTATTAATTTCCATTTATTTAAAATACGTCAACAGGAGATGAGATATGTTCTATATATTAGAGAGTGTTAATCGTCTTTAATTTTTTGACATCCTTTTCATCTTTAAAATCATATAATTTGTTTGCCAACTCTATAAGCATTGAGGTTCTATTATAAAAGGCTATCAAAAACCCAAATAGAACTTTCATAATTTACATAAATCCACCCAAGTAAGAAAGTAGTTCTCCTATCTTTTAGAACCTTCTACTTACTATTTCTGTAAAAGGACTTCTTCTTAAATATACAATTGCATAATTATCATCTGTGTCTCTTCCTAATTCAGTTAAATCACGATAGTCTTCTGCTTTCCTCACTATAATTTCTTCTTTATCTATTTTTCTAGGCATATTATAAATTGTATTTACTCTAATGGTAATAAACTATTATCATTATTTATTATGACATTTCTATAAAATATATTAGCCAATCTAGCCAATTTATGGGGAACAAAGGGAAAATACATGTCGCTATCAATAAAAATTGTTTTGTAATTTTCAGAATTTTACGGATTTATTACAGTATTAATTTAAATTATTTACAATTTAAATTGACTGTTTTCATTTAAGTAATTTTATCTATCCAAGTCAGAAGCACAAGTAGGATTCCACGAAATATTATTATTGATTATTTCAGAACTCTTACAGCTTTTTACAACGATTTTTAAAAATTTAAAGACTTCGCTCGAATATGTTCCTTCAAGATGATAAGTAAAGTTTTCTCTTAAACCTTATAATTCTATGCAATTACATTGGGCATAACATATTTCCAATTCCCTAGAAATTGAATTAAGTTGTGAAATCTATTCCTTCATCTGAAAAAATATTATTAAAACGATCTAATGTACATGGTTGTAAAGGAATTTCTATAGTTTATTTGTCTATTGTACCGTTTAAATTTCTAACATATATTCTAAGTATGCTTATTAAAATCTGATTACCTTTGTTCTAACGAAATATCAAAGTATGGAGTTATAGTAAAATTAGTTTAATCTATTGAAATCGCAATCATTGAATTCCTTTCATTCATTTCAATAAGTCCAGGATCATTTGAAAAAACAACTTCGCTTCCATGGTAGATATTTTGTTTTTAAAAGAATGATATGATATTAGAAGAAAATATTAGACTTAAAAGGCATATTATTAGAATAGAAGAAATTCCTCCAAAAGATGTTGTATAAAGGTCATTTCTATTCATATTTAGGGTTATTGTTTGGCCAAATAGATCTAACTTTTATAAACCTTTTTTTAATGCAATTAACATATAATATAAATTATTTATGATAATCTACATATTAGAATTCATTTCTCTATTTTAGGATAAAATATATGCTTTACAGCTTTTATTTTAGATGAACCTTAAATGAGTGATAAGCATGAGCAAATTCAAATTAAAAATAATATTAAGGTCATTTTTAGTCACTAGTTTTTAGAATAAAATGCATAACAAAATAGAGAAAGACTATTCATAGAAATTGTTTAATTTATCAAAGACAAATATCCCCAATATTAAAAAAATTTGAAAAAACAGAGCCTTTGTTTTAGTTAATTTTTAGTTCTAATTCTATTAGAATATATTAATATGTGATAAATTTAAAAATTTAAATGTTAGTTAAAAGGAATGGATTAATTATTGATTGAGAACTATTCTTAAATCAAAAGTTGCTCAAGATTAATGGGCAATTTCATTCGTTATTATAAAACTTGAACTAATAGTTCTAGTAGCTGATTAGATGCAATCATTAAATTATAATATAATTATTATTATTATTAAAAACAATAATAGAATTGTAGAAAAAGCATGTAGGATAGTCAAAACCTTTTCGCCACAGATTCCACAATGGCTTGTGAATCGACCAAAATATAACAGAATTACTCTCTATTTGGAATTATTCCTTCCACAATAACCTTAGAAAACAATAATTTATAAATGGTATATTTTAAATCCCTTTTGCCAATGAGAATAAAATTTTTAATTCGATATATGACATGCCTAAGTTTATGTAATTTTTAAATATATGAATAGAATTAACGGAAATTGCGAATAGAGAAATCCCAATCCAAGAAATTAATTTAAATACTTTAAAAACTGAACCAATTGAGAATTATTCTTATATATTTTTTTTATCAGAGTCTCCTCATCAGCAGCAAGATTTGAAAAACTAATTTATAAACTTATGTATCTTGTTAATTTAATTTTAGTAAAATAGCTGGGCTTTAATGTTAATATTTATAGATATGCAAACAGCTTTTAAGATATCACTTTCAATCTTATTAGAGAGGGTAAAGCTAAGTTCTAAGAATAAAAGAATTATGAAATTAATAATTATTTCAATCAGTTTCAAAATACTTTAAATTACTTAAAATAAGAAATAGATATCAACTTTTTATAATCCAAAAATACTAAATGTATTCTGTATCCAAAAAATAGTAGTTTGTTTCAAAATTCTTAAGTAAGCTTAATTACAAAGCCTTCTTATATAAATGGTTAAGACAATGAAATTGTGGTAAAATTATCCTAGATTAGATTGGATAATAATGATGATCATATAAGGGTAATTGAAATCTTGGAGAGTTTTTAGAAGGATATTAATTTATATTACTTTGGTTATTTTCAATTTTTCTCACTAAATATTTCTTTTTATAAATATTACAAGAAAACCTTTGAATAATTTTAACAGAAACTAAGAGCTGACTTTACTGATGTTTAATTAATTAAACCCATTGTTAAAAGGGCATTTTTTAGCATAATCCATTAAATAAGGTTACTTCACGATAAATATTCTATTATCCATAGAGATCTTAAGCCATAAAATATTATGATTGATTTAAAAAGAGATTAAAATGAATGGCAAGATTATCAAGATGTTAACTATATAATCATAGATTTTGATTGCTCAATCTAGATTGTAAATCATAAACATTAGGTTTTTGAAACTTATGGAGGAGGAACAGGCCATTATATTCCTCCTGAACGCAGAGATAATCAATATAGCAAATAATCTGATACATATTAATTAGGAGTTATCATTTTGGAAACCCTGTTTGAACTTGATTAATCAATTTAGAATGACGACTTTTGGAAAATGAAAAATGAATTAATTAAAAAAAAGAGCATATTTAATATAACTGAAAATCTTTAAATAAAACTCATTGATATGATAGCTGAATTACCCTAAGATAGACCAAGTTTGGAAGTTATTTAATAATTATTAGAATAGGAATTTTGACTTATAATAACTTTATTTCATTATTTAAATTGTGATTTAAATTCCTCTTAAAATTATAATATAAATCATCATTAGTTTTAATCAACTTGATTCAACTCTAAAACTAAAGGTTCTTCTCTAAAAATTTTTTCTTGGATTGCTTGTCTACTATTCATAATAGTTATCCAAAATTTTGTCTTCCTTCAGAATTTGGTGGATGTCTAATGCATGATGAACACTTTATCGAGGGTATTTAAATTATTGAAGTATTTAACATTAAGGATTAATGTTCTTTCTTTATGCTAGAACTCTATCGAACAAGGTATCAAACTATGCTTTGAATTGCATGAGCACATTACCTACATAAAATATTGTTAAATTATACTGTTATCTATAGAATTCTTTTTAAGACGACTTTATTTTTTCATAATTTCTTGAAATTTGTTTAGTTCTTTTAATAAATTCTATTCCCCAAAAAATTTTGGCTTTTCTTATTTTTTCAGAAAGAAAAACGATTATCGAATTATCTAGTACATGGGTAAAAAGATTACATAGATCAAAATGACTTACAATAAAATTAGTCCAAAAGAGACTGCAAGAGTGAGATATATCATATTTTGGAAATCATTATTAAAGGTTTGTAAGAGAAAATCGATTTTAGATTCAATTTCTTATTCAATTTAAAGATCATAAAAAAGTATAAGGAAATAGTTGATATTCTTTAACTTCACAATTTTAATTACAACATCTTTATTATAAATGCTATTAAACCTACATAGAATATCTAAGTTTTGATATTTGCAAGTAGAATTCAACTTTTTATTATAGTAATAATTCAAAATAGAATTCCAATCATCATTTGTAAATCCTGTGATTTCTTCATCATCAATCCTTGTTAATATTGACGAATTTGTAACAGCAATATTTTTATAATTAGTCAATATTAAAGTTCCATTTAAGTTTACAATCATAATATTGATATTTAACTTTGGGATAAAGCTATTTTTGAAAATCAAGTCTGAACAAAATATTCCTTCTACTTCCTTATTCAGGTTCAACATTGATTGAGTCATAGTCATTGAATATATCGGTTGAATATCAAAATACTTATAAATATCAGTTAATTAAGTATTATTATTTTTATCTTTTTCTAAGTTTTTGAAGTGTGATTAATACCATGCTCTCTCTTTTGGATTGAAATTTGGTTATAAAACAACTTAAGGATATAAAAAACCATATTACACTGAATTTATGGATGAGACAAAATAAATTTAATTTGGTAAATACTCATCGTTTAATCTCATTATACTCAAAATTGTTGAGCTCACTAAATTAGTTATACCTTAAAGAGGTTGGTTTATATCTCCATTTAAATCAGGAGTCTATTCATTGTATTCTAATCCAAATCTTACAAAGCAAATGATGGAAAATTTATTTTCTAAGGGTGTATGTTTGTGAATATAATCACATGTTCGAGAAAGTTACTAATTTGTGACTATATCATTATTTAATTACAGCCAATACAGTTAATTAAGGTTAGTCAAGGTTATCTATGCTAAAATTTATAGTAGGATTTTACATCTTATAAAGACTGAGTTCAGTTGATGATTCATTGCCAATGAAGCACTACTTAAATGCTTCGACATTTCATAAATTGAATTTCTTTTTAATGCATCATTAAGAATTTGTTATACATATTGCATATTTATAGTCTGTGCTATTAAAAGGCAAGGTATAATTATAGCTAAAATAATGCCATTTATAATTAAAATTTGTGTTCTCATTTTAAATCTTCCTAATTTGCTGTTTAAATAAGCACTTAAGAACCACTTTTCATAGGGTTTGTTCATTTTTAATGTAAACTTTATTATTATAATAATTGAAGCTTAAAACCTTAGATATTTAATTTCTAATTGAAATTAGATGCTCAAGAAATTGAAACAGAATGTTTAAATAAATTGATCTCATACTCATATTTATTTTTTTCATAACTGACATCATTATTTGTCCTTATGATTTTGGTTATAAATCATTTCCTATAAATTGTTAAATATTATAAATTGAATCAAACGAATAACTTCTAATTATTTGAAAATTTGTAAAGATTAAAGAAAAATTGAATAAAAATATTTCAGAAAATAATTTATTGTCATTTAATTTAAGAATCGAGTAGAATTTTCTAATAGTAAAATAAAATTGAAGCTTTTTTTGAGATACAAGAGAACCCTTGTTTTGCAACAATAAATTAAAATTATATACACAAACCTTTGAAATAAATTAGCAATAGGCATTTTAAGATTAGCAAACCTTTAATGATTTGAAATTATTACTTAGAACCTTATTAAACCAATACTACAATTAACTATGTTGTACTCTTAAAATGCTGATTTTAGTATATACTACTGAATAAACATCAAACGATATTTAATAATGTACTCTTAGATACCAGAAAAATTTTGGTAAGATGATTCTTAAAATTCTTTTTTTGATCTTGAGATTATCAAAATAATAAATTTTTTAGATATTTATTAGGAGCTTTCCAATTAAACTATTTGTGATTTATGGTCTAATTGATTCAAGTAGTTTAAATCATAGATGAAATTTGAAGCTATTTAAGATAATCTAATCACTCATAAAAATTATGATAAGTCTACTAGTATCATAATTGATTTATTATATGTAAATATTTATCTCTATTGTGATACAGATAGTAACTTTAGACATTTAAATAACGATTTCCATTATTAAATTATTTTTAGAATATAATAAATGTAAGTTTTTATTGAACCTAAATTGCTATTGTGTCGGATTTAAATTATAATACTTGAATCTAAGATAATAATAATAATATAATGCCATCTCATAGTTTTCAATAAGTAATATTATAGTAGAAATAATAAAACCTAATTCTGCTTTATAAAAATTAAATTTTGTTGATTCTGTAGTTTAGATTATCAAATGTATCGATTTCACTTTTGAATAATAATAATTAGTTGGCCATTGAGTCAATATTAAGACTACTGAAATGAATTTTAATATTTAATATGTAAGAATCTAAACAATGATATTATTTATCATTATTAATAATCAATTTTTATTATATATATATATTGTATTATAATAGGAAAAGTCATCGTTAGAATCTTCTTCTAAATTCACTAATATTTTTTCTATTTATGAGTTTTGATCTTCCCTAATATTTTATTTATGCTTAATTTCTAACTTTCTTATGTAATTACAATATAAAATCGATATTATTTTTTATATTGTAATACAATTTATGCTGAACAAGTTTACTCTTTAATTTAAGGACTAACTTCTTGAAGAAAAATATTAGGACTACTAATTAATATCAAATCGATTACCGCTTTTTAAGCATTTAACCCTTGGTCTTACTTTAGCAGGGATTGTGCGTTTATGCTAGATATTAATTTATGGTGGCTCGGTTATATGGCTTATACCTGTTCTATTTGTAGTTGGCGTTATATCTTTAGGATCATTTATTATAATGAAAAAGAAATATCTGCGTATAGCATTAATATTCATTAATCATTTGCTGATAGTAAGTTCTTTGGAAGTAGACAACTAATGTTCCCCACATTATTACTATTTAAGAGGAGCAAGCATGATGTGTATTCATCTTGTAATTTTATTACAAAGCGAATTTGTAGATGCCTTTTTTTCACTCATCATTATAACAACAATTAGATTGCTTACGATTTTCCTTTAGGATTCAATATTTCCTTACCCATCAATAATGGCAGCAATCCTTTTGATATTTTACCTATTATACGTAATCTACAAAAATAATCTCGCCTTTAGATCCCAATTTCAATTATCCTGTTTGGACAACTAATGGGATTAAGCAATTACAACTCTAATTGATGACCCTTATCTGCTAATTGATTTCAATCAAAACAATTTAAGTTTTAAGTACAAGAAATCTAATAAGTTTTAATTTAATTGCCAAAATGAGCTTGATTTAAAATTATTTTTAAGAAACACTAAATTAATTGAGGGGAAAATTAGTTTAGAATAATTCTTATATAGAAGCATTCATAATTGTATTTTTGAAGATACTAATCAATAGTTAAAAAAATAAATATAAATAGTTCATGACAAAAAAGAATTTACTCTTTAATACTCTATTTTTCTGGGATTTCAACCTTTAATCTTAATTTAAATTTTAAAATTTTCTAAGATCCAAATGGCTGAGGATAAATAATTCACAAAACTAGAAAGCTCATATTAATTCAAATATAAAAAATTATTAAATATTGTTTATCACAGACTAGATAAAGTGATTAAAAAAAAATGTTCTTTTGTAATTATACATTCAATGTATAAGCAAATATTGTATTTCTATCTAATGGAACTAACTGAATAAAATTCTCAGTAAATTATTTACACTTTCAAACTACAAAGCGTATTAAAGAAAATCAAGATGATTTACAAATATAAATCTATTTAAATATAGAAGTCAATATCATCAAATATAATGGGTAATAAATCAGTTTTATGTTTGATTCTCATAGATATAATTGAGTAATTAACAACCAATTCTATAAAAATCACATGTTCTTAATTAAATCAAAATGAATACTAAATATAAATAGATGGTATAGTAAATGAGAAAGCTTAGAATTTCATATTCAAAAGACTTAAACTGTAAGAATGGTTTTTCAAATAATTCACTATTGATTAGTCATGTAATATTTATTTAGTTAAGTTTTATAGGTATCAAATTAATTTTTTGGATTGGCCTACCTGACATTTAAGTTTAAGGAATAACAAAATGAATAATCTCAACTACCTATTCTGTATTAATCTAACTTGAATTTAGATTTAGATATTAATTATTATTAGTATTAATAATGAATCAATAATTCTTTGGTAATTCAAGGTTGGCAATTCAAAGAGCCTAATAACTCCACTAATTCTTCACTTAATCAGTGATTTATGATCAATTCAAATACACTGCCAAAATGCCATAATATCCAAAAATTGTATTTTTGTAATCAAATCAATTTTTCAGAAATCTTGTTGAAAAGTATTTCGATTATTCTATAGTAGATAATTCCTTTAATATTCAATAATAGATGCTCAAAAATCAAGCGGAGAAGTAAAGTTATTAATTTATCAAAAGGACGGTTTAGCTAGGTTGGCAGAATAAGTATAATTGCAATCTACATAAACTAATGGTGCTTTATTATTTGGATTCCCAAATACAGCATTTGAAGCAGAAAGGTACTTGAAAACAGAATAAAAATAATTTTAGACTTGATCGATTATTGGATGGAGTAAATTTAGCTGTTAGATTCAGGTTATCGGAATCATTAGCTAAGAAGATAGCAGGTTCATTTCTTTCATGTTAATCATGTGGTAAGGTTTTCAATACTAGCCTACCCTTCATTACTCCTACTCATCCAGGATACTAAAATAATGTATAATTTTGGCAAATTTTTAGTGTTAAACACCAAGTAAATGTGCTTTAGAATCTAGTTCAGCTCCAACTGATTAAGTCAATGCTGAGGTTGTTGATTACTATCAATAGAAAGTATAAATTAGATGGATGATTGATAGGGTGCTTATCTAGAATACGAAATCAATGAAGAGCATTTATTATATGATTCATAAGAATTCTTCGAAAAATTAGATAATGCAGTAGCAACACATATTAAAGTCTGATATTTTTAAGAAATAATAATAATAAAATATGATCACATATAGCCTTATTCTAAATGTTCTATGCTTATATTGATAGTTTGATTTTGCTCTTTTGGAGTGGATTTATTGATATTCAATTTGTTTTGTTTAGCAAATCCTTGTAAAGTTAAATCTCCTTATTTAGTTTTTAACTCTGTTTTTTTAGGATTGGAATCTTTTCGTTTGAGAATCTTGGAGTCTCCCTTAATAACTTTTTCATATTGTTCCACTTGAATTTTAAATTGCTTTTATTTCATCTCCTCATTCATCATCTTTCTTCTTTATTCGATGATAAATGGAGAATCATTCAAATTCTATCCTTAATAAATGACATTCTATCTTCTCAGTTCAGTCTAATCTTCCTCCAATTAATGAGTATAATACCTTTGCATCTTTTTACTGTCAGTTTATTCAATTGAATCATAAATTTATTTGAGTTCTGCATAAGAAGTTGGATTATCACTAATTTTAGTTTATGGAGCAATGGCTTTAGTTATTTTTGGTTTTTCAGAATAATCATCATCTGAAATGATTGACCAAAACACTATGGATATTCCACCTAGAGCCAAATATCCATAGATCTAATTGGAATTACTCTTAGATTGAGTATATTAATAAGTTCTCTCCTGATATGTATTTTTCTGCCTATTATTTTCATGCCATTATTTTTATTATTCTCCATATTACTACCATCCAGGATTGTTGTAGTATTGTTTTTCTTGATTGGAATCTTCATTTGATGAATTACTATGTCTTTATTAGGCATCTATTGATTAATCATATAGTTTCCTTTTAATTGGGTCTTTTAAAATGTTGTAGGCATTTGTAATGTCCTTAAACTCCTGTTCTTTCTAAGACAGATTGACATCAGGATGATATAGTTTAGCCAACTTAATGTAGGCAGACTTAATAGAATCAATAGAATCGTTAGGCTGCACTCCGAGTTTTTAATAGAGAGTTGTGCAAAAGGAGAAAGTTTTATATTTTTTTAGCATTTTAAATAGTTTTATATATTAATTGTATTATAATTCTTTATTATTATTGATTCTCTTGAGGATTATTTCGATACTTCTTTTGTGAATCATCATCATTATTGCAAACAAATTATAAACTTATTAAATTATATAAAGGGAAATATCCCTTAATTTTATGTGACAATAGATGAAATTTTTGGTTTTACATAATTTATTATTGAGGTGTAATTACAATAAGCGATTCTCTAGCTTGATAATAGTTTAGTGTAATTATAGTAAATAGATAGCTTAATTAGAATATATGGAAGAAAAGTAAATATTAATTAGTTTTAGCATTAGGAAATCTTTAATATTTTTTATTCACATTTAAAGAGATTAATGAATTAAAGACCAAAATTCTAATTAGAAAACTCTTTCCTCACCCATCCTCTTCCCCTTTCTTGTTGTATCCTAAATAAATTTGAAACTCAGTAATGCATTTCATGATTAACATTTAGAATCATTACTGCAGGTTACGATTAAACATGCAGGATATTCAATATTGAAAGTGGAGCCAAATTAAACGAAATGTAAGGACATAGTAATGTAATCCAATGTATTGAAATCGATTAGAGCAAAGAGTATCTAATTTTTAACATCATAGTGATCTAATGGCAACAGGCTCGTTTGATCACACCATCAAATTATGGAGACCCAAATCAGGAATTTGTGTTGAAACACTCAAAGGACATGATGCTGAAGTCATGTGTTTATCATTTGGCCACAATAATAAATTGGCTTCTGGTTCAATGGATTCAACTTGCAATGTCTATGATATAGAAAAATTCAAAATTTTACATACAATCAAAGATCACAAGATTTCAATTGTTGGTGTCAAGTTTCATGATTCTAATGTGTACACTGCTTCCTTTGATGGATAAATTTCAGTATGATACCTTCAATAATAATAATAATAGGTAAATGATACCAAAACATTTAAGCAAATTATTAAATTACAAGATGACAGCAAAGAGATATTCTAAATGACTATAGATCCTTAAGGAAAGTATCTTGGAACTATTAGTGGGAATAAATAATGCAAAATCTGGGATCTTAAGCACCTGAATAAGCCTTTATATACATTGACAGGACACACTTAAGATTTGACAACATTTACATTTGATTAATAGGGAACTAGAGTTTTGACAGGATCATAAGATTCAACTGTAATTTTATATGAAGCTTCTACTGGTAAGATGAGTTAAAGGTTTTATGGTCACACAGATGAAATAGTCAAAATTGTTTATACTTAGAAACACGAGGTTCTTACAGCTAGCACTGACAAGACTGCTAGATTATAGTATTAGTTTCAAAATTATACAATAGCACAATAGATGGTGTTTGCTAATAGATTTTTGAGGGATAAGAGGACGGACTTATGACTCTTTTAGTAGATTCAAAAGGAAAGATAGTAATCACTGTAGGAAAAGATTCAACATGTCAAGTGTGGAGATTATGATATATTTTATATATAAATGCTAATTTACACAAATTCAATATATCTGTAGTTTTCAATAAAAAATACAATTTTTCTGGTGGAAGTGGGAATGAAGCAATAAACTTAGTTATAGTATATCATAATCAATTCATTTTCATTGTTAATAGCTATTTTATTATTTGGAATGGAATTATTTAAAAAATAGCCTATTTATGTTAATCGTGTGGGTGCCTTAATATTATGCTTACTAAACATGGAATTAGTGTTTGAAGAGATTTCATCAATAAATACAATTTAGTTGGTAATATTCATTGTAATATTAATTACATAATTTGAAGATGAAGAAAAATGGCATAAAATCGTCAAACACTCTATTATATTTTACATATTTTTGAGGACGCTTTTACAATACAAAAACTTGTTTAGTATAACTTAGTTACTGACATATGTATTATGGCAGCCTATCAACCATTGGATGTTGTACTATAAGAATTAATTGAGAATAAATCAATTTAAGAAATAATCGCTTGATTTAAGTAAATGTCAGTCTGAATTAACTCCGTAATTGTGTAAAGAATCTTCAGAGTTAGAAGAATAATGCAGCAGCAACGTTTAGGGAAGTTCGAAGTTATCTCAAAATTTAAAGAAGTTGAAATAACTTTATATGAATAATCCATTTTCCCAGATGGCAGATTTCGATTAGAAAACCTTTTCTTAATTTTAAAAATAAACTTCAACTTTGGATGTTCCATAAATCTGGAATTTGTTGCCTTTTGGCATTGCACTGATTACCAGTAAGTTTGAAATATTGACCTACAATTAAAAATTATTATATTTTTTAAAAGCGTCAGATAATGATGGAAGAAATATCATATTAAATTTGGATTTGTTATTAGAAAGGTATATCAATTAACATAATAAGTCCTGAATCTTGGGAGAGCAAATCCGTACATAATTATGGCTCACACTGTAGCAATCGTTAAAGCAGAAGATTTCAAACAAAAAGATAATTGTCCCTAATTTCCAAAAGTAATCATGAGTAGAACTCAATAAATCCAGATGGTGGAACTCATTCTTAAATCAATGCAAACTTTGCCTTCATTCCAAATACTTCCAATTAGATTAGAGATGAGATTCTGACTACCAAATCAAGATATCGTAATCTAGATTAGTTGTTTAAGAAATTTGCCCTGAAATAATATTCATTAACCAATAATAATAATGGAGATTGCTCATTATAATCTATAGGTCAAAATATTCAGATAATAAAAAAAGTATAGGACATAGATTCTAAGAAATACTATTTCAGAATCAAAGTATATGAAATAGACTCTATTGGAAATAAACTCAATTACTTATTTGTGATAGAAAATATTACAAATAAAGAAGAATTACGCTAATTAAGTGTAAGATACAAATTTTAATAAGTTTTGCTAAATTCTTTATGTCATGAATTAAGAACTCCAATGAATAGCACCCTATCTCAACTGAATGCATTAACATCCTTAATTTCACCTTAAATTAGAGATAAGAATCTCACTCCTGCCATAATCTCTGCCAAAAAGTTGATGTTTCAATTAAATGATATTTTGGACTTTGCACAAATAGATTGTAAGAATTTTCATTTAGTGAATTCATAATTTGAATTGAAGGAAATATTTGAATTATTAAGAGAACTTTTTGAATAAGAATGCAAAGAGAAAAACCTTTAATTTATTCTAAATTTCTACCATATTAAAGATGATTAAAATATCTATAGTGATAAGGAACGTATAGCAAGGATATTAGTAAATTTGGTGGACAATTCCATTAAATTTACAAATGAAGGTGGAACTATTACAGTTACAGTCTAACAAGAAAATCATTATATTCTCTTTTGTGTTTTGGATGATGGAGTTGGTATTTCAGATAAAATCTTAACTAACATTAAAAGCAATAAAGATTTCTAAATGTAGGATTAATATCATCAAAATGAAACTAAACTTGGTTTGGGTTTGAAAATTTCTTAATAAATTGCAAAATTTTTATGTGTTGATAAAGAACTCAAAATTGAAAGCAAAGAAAAATAATTTACTAAAATTTCATTCAGAGTAGATTCTAATTATAAATATTTAAATCATTTAAAACTCCCCTTATTTTAAGGTTGTAATTTTCATATTAATTGTGATTGTATATAAATCTTAAATGTTGATGATGTTAGATTTAACCACAGTGCAATTGAAGCTCTCTTGAGTCAACACAAAATCAAGATGGAAAGTGCCTATAATGGAGAATAGGCTATTTAAATGATCAAGAAAAGATTAGACTAAAATTGCTGTAAGACTTATAAATTAATATTCATGGATATTGAAATGCCAATCATAAATGGATATTAGGCTTCAAAAGAAGTAATTTTCATTATAACATTATAGATAACAACCATATTAAATAAATTTAACTTAACAGACTAAACTGTTATAGTAATGTGTTCAGCTTATAATGGATATGAAAATAATAATTAAGCAAAGGCTTGCGGAATAAAGGAAGTGCTTCCAAAGCCTATTGAACAAAAATAACTCAAACAATTACTTGACAAATATTTATTATGATTATATAATATAATAATAAATGGAAATACTCATTAAATTATTGATATGCTAATTAATAATTCAGGACATCATTCAAATCAGTTTTATCTGGATGAATACCGAATGGTATTATGTTCTACTGAATGCCTTATCCCTATCAATATGCTTACTACTTGTAATAATAGATTATTACAAAATCCAGCAGATCTATTTTAAGGTAGGTTTGTTAATATTATGCGTAATAAATTGCGAAACCTTGTTCTAACTATCTATTAATATTGCTAGTGCTGTTTAACTATTTTATATATTGCTTATTCTGTTTAAGATTTATGAAAATACCATCCTAACTAAGATGATTGTACACTTAGTTTTAGTATACATGGTAATTAGAGCTATTATTGCCTATTCAGATTATAGAATCCAACATTTGCTATTGATAATATTCTAATAACCTTTAAATCATTATATATTTTATTCACTGAGAAAAAAATCATTTTCACAGTAAACTCAAGCTTAATTAATAATTTAACAGAATTCATAAGAATAAGTGATTTGCTTATCTAATGATAGCAAGTAAGATAATTTAAAATGTGACTTGAATGAGAGTGTAATTGTTAATTAAATAGATTATGATTTTGAATCTCCTAGAATATAATAAGAACATAAATCAATAGGCACTAACAAAAATACTATTGAATAAAGAGTTATCATAAAAAAACCTATAAATGTGTGGAAAACAACTACAAACTCTTCAGATTCCCCTTAGCAAGAATCAATAAAGATAGAAAACAATATGGATTCTAAATATTCTGATTTAGTTGCAATTATGAGTAATCTTCCCTTTGGAATCATTTTTGTTGATTAGAACCTAACCATTTTAGAATATAATTAAAAAGTGTCTTAATTATTAGGAATCACAAATCCTAATAAAATAATTCCATTTCTAGACGAAGCTATTAAAAAGTAAATAATATAAATGATTATTACAGAAGTGGAGAAATTTAAGAAGTACGTTCTGCAAAAAAAATTAAAAAGTCTTTGAGTAAATCACCAAAAAAATCATATTTTCACTAACAACCTTCCATTAATCTATAAAAAAGATAAAATGATGATTAGATTTCAGATTTAGTTTCTCAATTTTATAACTGTGGGTCCCAATCTAGAATGGATAATGAAAGCTAATAGGAAGGAAATTTAAGGTCTATATTTTAAAAGTTTTAGAAGATCCACTAAAGTTAATAAACAGCTGCTTCCAGAGAAACCTTTCAATTCATAATAAGATTAGATTCAATGGATACTTCATATTGTAAATCTAAATATAAGAGTTTAAAACTTAAGATTTTTTAAATTGATGGGAATGGATTGTGGGAACAAAATGTATATTTATTTGTATTAGAAAACATTACAAAGAGAGAGGAACTCAAATTGCTTAATCATAAATATAAATTTCAATAAGCACTTTTAAATTCATTATGTCATGAATTAAGAACTCCGATCAATGGTGTCATTTCTTAATTATATGCTCTAAAAGATGAATTGATGACTGACTTAATTCAATCACATTTAAATCCTGCAATTGTATCAACTAAGAGATTATAATACTAATTAAATGACATATTGGACTATGCTTAGATTTAGTGCAAAGCCTTAACTCTTAATAAATCTTACTTTAAATTGGAGGAAATATATTAACAATTACAAGAGTTATTTAATTTCGAATGTATATAGAAGCAGATCTAATTAGTGATCGAGGATGATCATTAAATCAGATTACATACAGATAAAGAGAGATTGCTGAGAATTTTCATTAATTTACTAGATAATTCGGTTAAGTTTACTAATAAGGGAGGGACAATAAAAGTATCATCAGAGATAGATAAAGATCAATTGAAATTCATTGTCTATGATAATGGATAAGGTATAAAGGATGAAATCATAGAAAAAATTGAAGAATAGGCAGAGATGTTATTCAAAGACTCTGTTTAATACCATTCAAATAAATTAGGTTTGGGATTGAGAATCTCAATGTTGCTTTCAGATTACTTATATAAAGAGCAAAAGTTTCAGATAGAATCTAAATTTAATTAATACACTAAAATAAGTTTTAGATTATCAAATTTAATAGAAAATTACTCTTCAGAATTTTAGATGGGTGCTTAATTATCTATATTAGAAAAAAATTGTAATTGCAGTAAAATATTGATTGTTGATGATATAATTTGCAATCATTTTGCACTTTAGGTTTTATTGAAAAAATTTAAAGTGAAAACTGACAGTGCTTACAATGGCAATTCGGCTATAGAGTTAGTAGAAGAGAGATTGAAATAATAATGTTGTCAAACTTATCGATTAATTTTTATGGATATAGAAATGCCATAGAAGAATGGATTTCAAGCATCTTCGGAAGTATTTTAAAATATCATCAATTTAGATATCTTAAAAATTAAGGTAAAATTCTCTCAATGAGGAATGTATAATTACTATGTATTCAGCATATTCTGGTGACGATGATGTTCTGATTGCAAGTTAATGTGGAATGAAAGAAAGAATTTCAAAACCTACAGACATCTAAAAATTGGAGCACATTATTAGAAAGTATATACTTTGATAAATATTTAATCTCAATATTTTTTAATTTTAATATACATACTTAAATTATAAGACTTAAAACTAGTTAGAAGGTAAAGATAAACACATTAATATTTAAAGTAAATTCTATTTTTAGTATATTTTCGAATTATTAATCAAATCATTTCAAGTGCTATCATTTTATTTTTCAAGATCTTATTTAATTAAACTCCTTTTCTAAGAAAGGGACGATTTTAATTTTTGATGGTATTTGGCAAAAGGTCTGACATCTTAATCAATTTTTTGACAAACTTAGTAAATTAATTCTAATTCAGCCCCCAACATTGAAATAAGTTGCGAATTTAGAGTTTCAGAAGATGATCCAGGTTATCTTTTGACAATTTCTTCATATGCCTAAATTATAGTTTCCAATGTTACATTATAGATTTATTAATACACATAATTATTAAGAGGTTATGGAATAAAACTAGATCTCTTCTTCTTTCTGATTGATTCATGATTCATTCCAATTTTATTTTATCTTTTTTATTTCATCATCATTCTTGCATAAACTAACATCTCTTCTTTGCTTGATATAATAAACAAACATTAATACTTATCTTTAGGTGTTTTGAGTTAGTTTTCCACCATGTTTCTATTGATTTTAAGATCCTCTTCTTCTAATGTAATTAAAGGCTTTGGAGTAAAATTAAACATGACCAATTACTTGGGTGTTAATAATACTTCTTTCAATTTATCAATTTCATTCAGCCTTGTCAACAATGAGTATATGTCTGATTGTTGAATAATTTAATCACTTAAAATTAATAAACTAAATACTATGCTTTATTCATTAATTAGACCTTTGGAATCTTACTAAATAACATGCCACATGTAATAAAATTAAAAAATATTTTTAGATCTAGATTTATTGGTTTCTTTTTCTAAAACATTTTTTGTAATTAATTTTAAAAATAATCTAATCCAGATGAGCAACATAATTTAGTTGATAATTCTAAGGATATAATATTTAATAACTTTAGTCTTATTTAAGTGGTTATGTCTAACTGTCAGTTATTCTAATTTCATTATCTGCGATAATAGCCTATTACATTTTTTGGTATATTTAGGAATCCTGGGCATTATTGTCATTAGCTTAAGTTTCAACCAGAATTTAGAGATTGTCTTGATATATTTTCTTTTGGTCTGAATCATCAATGCTAAAATCATATAGTTTATTTCCCAATTCTACCATATCTAGAGTCAAAAATAAGAAATACAATTGATTCTATTATATATAGTTACAAGTAGTCCAATAAAGAAGGAGAATATCTATAGAATACCTCCAATATTGGAAAGTAATTCATCTATTTTTTGATATTATCTCTAAAATTTAGTTTTGAAAGGCTTCTTGCGAAATAACAATTTAACAAAAGAGTCTTCAATAATCTCTGTGTAATCTTATTGTACATCTGTTGGGTCCAATACATAAAAAGATCTTTCTTCAAACATACTAAATTTAATAGTATAATCAATTAACCTTATAGGAAGTAAACTTTCGTCATTAAGAAAATCAAATTTAGTAATGAAAGCATTAATAGATTTAGTAAAATTGATGTTGAAGGAAAAAGAAAATGAATCATCTATGAACGGTTGAACATAAGATTCTTTAGGTTTATAAGGGTTTATAATCTAGTCATATGTGTGTTGATTACTTGATTGACTGTGAGTAATTTAATTTTGAATGTATGTTAGTCAGATTCACGACAATTTGGTTTCCATTGATTAGTCGAATTATTTTAGCATTCTGAAACTGACAGATCAATAAATTGAAACAAAGTGCCTAATAATTATTGTCAAACAAGATATTTACTTGATTAGGTCCCTCCAATTTGAATTTCTGAATTTATCCTAATATATATAACAATTATATCAATACGATGGGCACAGAAAGTTCTATAATTGAAGTTATTAAAATTATTAATGGAAATTGACATTGTTTTCAGCAAAAATTTAATTAAAACGATCCAGTGTACATGGAACTAATTCTATTGGTTCAGTCTTCTTTAAAAGATCTCCTTATTAACTACGAGAATAAACTCTATGATATAATAATAGGCTACTTTTGTTTCAAAGTTATATTAAAATACGGGTTTTCAATAAAATTATCTTATTCGATCTAAACAGCGAATAAGAAGTTAGAGTTATTAAAAGCAATTTGATCAACTTTATCATCGTACTCTGAAATTGTAATTACTTTCAACTATTCTTTCTATATAAAGGTAATAAAATTTGTGATGAAAATAGTCATCATAATCGCCATCACGCCAATGGATGCACAACCTCCTAAAACGGTCTTATAATAAGCTTGCTTATTTATCCTCAAGAACACCATTTATCCAAAAATGTCCAGTTTTGCAATACCTTTGATAATATATTAAAGTAACCTGCTAATACTGAAACCATTACTAAATAATTATGTTATTTTTTATATTATTCTTTGCTTTAATTACGTAAGCAAAGGCACAATTAAAACAATGGATTATAAAATATTTTGACAATAAATGATATCTCCTCTTATAACATTCCTCCTAAAATAGATTAATATAATGAAACAGAATACTTAAGTTGCGAAAATTAATAGAAATCATAAAATATGATTTTATCATAAGAAATAACATATATTAAACGAAATATGAAATTAGATCCATGGTTGCCAGACTCCTCTATTAATATACTTATTTAAATAAAATAGATGATGATATTTAACATTACAATAAAGAATACTGATTGTAATGTATATATAAATGAGGGAATAAATTTAATAAAAGCATAAGAGATTAAAATATTCATATTATTTTGAATAAACATTTTTTTATTTTAATGGTCAATTCATTGATAATAAGCTGGCATGCAGCAAATTGATTTATAGAACAAATGAGTTAATACAAATATGAATTATTTAAAAAAATTAACACTTTAATGATTTAGATAATATAAATTAAAAGGTAAATAGAAAATGTAATAGAGCTAAATTTACTTAAAAAAGCACCAATAGAGCTAGGTTTTAATCTATAGTATGATAATACTGATAGCAGAATAAAATTATGATAATTCTGCCAATAATACTTTTATTCAAAATAATCTATAAATTAGTTAATTAAAGAAATTTAGATATTGTTTTAAAAACCCTAAACATTCCTTTGGAATGTCTTAGACATTAATTCAAAACTCTGATATCCACAAGTTAGGAAGAATATACAAAAAAAATTATGATTTACATCTTATCATTAGTATCTATTCTAAAAATAAATCAAGGAATCAAATATCTGTCTCTTTAGCATTTTTTATAAAACAAACATTTATAAAATATCTTCTTATCTATAAATATCTTTAAATATTATAAGTTCAAAGGAAGAATAAAATCATAGCGTAATGACCAATAAATAATTAGAGAAATACGTTGCAGATAAAGTTTCTATAAATCAAAGAAATAAAATTAAAAGGTTTGAGATTTTTTATCCAAATTTATATGATATAATGAAATTGAACAAAGAAAGCCAAACTTTCTGAATCAATCTTATGAACCACTCAATAATTATTATATTAAAAGTTTCAAAGAAAATCAGAAATTTTATACATTATATAATGAGCTAATTTAACAATGTATAAGTATAGGGTGAAAATGAAAATAGAATTTTGAATTAGTAAATATAATGGAAGTTGGAACAATTTCTATTCTAAAATAGTATCTACTTAATGATGTTGAGAAGCTTACGTGGTTTTTTGGAGAATTCAATTTTACTCATCAAATTAGTATCCTGAAATCTCAAATTGTAGATGATTATATTATAATAGATTATTAAAAAACTTAAACATTCATTATTTTAAATTTTTAATCTATAAGAAAGCGAAATACTTGGCATTTCATAATCAAAAATTCTTATAAGAGAATACTACTTCAATGAATATATTACAATAAAATAACGTGATTTTTGAGGATTTCATTCTTAATTGTTTTATACAAGCTTTACAATATTTTAAGTATGACTACTTTGTCATATAAATATAATTGTGTATACAATACTTAAACACTATAAATTGTTACTTAGTATAAAGCAAAATAGAAAAAGTTTAAATTTAATAGCGAAAGCGAAAAAAATTTAAAAAATGGATTCTTACTAAATTACCATTATTGGATGAAATGATCTTTTGAAATAACATATATATTTTCGTTATTTAATGTGAATTATTAAAAAGAATTTCATTAATCCTCCATGGAAATATTAAAGAAACTTTAATATAAATGTTAAAATTAAATAATAAATTCAGAAGCATTTTCTGTGCACATAACCTGTGCCATAATCTTGATACTCGTTTTTAGTAATAAACATGGGTTAAAATTAACTTAAGGAAGCCAAAATACTACCACCCATCCAAACTGAGTATTTTCTTTCTGGAGGTTCTTACACATAAATTTTCATAGTTGAGGGTGCTAAGGCAATGACTTCTTTTTATAATCTATCCTTCATTCCTTTGAACATAGTACTACCTCCAGCTAAAACAATGTTTCCATATAAATCCTATTAATAAACAAAAACACTTTACTTTTTTAATGTCAACATCACATTTCATGATGGATTGGAATGTTAGTTCGTGAATTCCTTAAAATTCTTTGCTTAATTTAATAGGTTAAAACAAAGCTTCTGGGCATTTGAATAATTGACTTCCCAAAGTGATATCATTTCCATCCGGCATTCTATGAATTATTTCTTTTCCAGAATCTTAATAGATTTTCATTTCAGCTTCGAAGTCTCCAACAATATAGCACTACGATAGTAAAAATATTATACTTTTTTTTCTTTGGTGTCTTTGGCGTTTTCTCTTTCGGTTTCCTTTTGATTTGAGAATTCCTTGCCTTATTCCGCCATCAACTTTATTAAATAATCAGTTAAATCTCTTCCAGCAAGATGAATCTTCATTACAGCATGAGAGAGTGCAAAACCTTCATAAATAGGAACAGTTTCTGTGACAGCATCTCCAGAATCTACAACTAAACCAGTTGTTTTTCCAGATGCACATAATGCTAAAACTTATTGAATAGCCAGGTAGAAGGATGGGACATTGAACTTTTCAAACATGATTTCAATCATCTTTTCTCTATTGGCTGCTGGATTGAGGGGCGGTTCCGACATTAAGACAGGATGATCTTAAGGAGAAACTCTCAATTCTAATTTAATGAATTTAGATACCATTGTAATAAGCATGATGCCAAATCTTTTCCATATCATCCCAACGAGTGATAATTCCATGATCAATCGGATAAGTTACATTCAATACTCTATAGTATATGAATTTTAAAATACTCTAATTTGGAATTGACCTCATCTCCAATGTATGTGTCCTTCTGATCCATGCCAACCATTTGACCAGGCTACTTAGGTCTGTTAAAATAAATTAGGAATCAAATATACTTTCCCAAAACTGTCTGAATAGTTGCTCTTGGAGCGTCATCACCTGAGATTCCTGCCTTGATGTATCCTGATCCATTGTCTATAACCACAACTGGGATTACGTCGTCCATATTAATTAATATTATTTATAGATGTGGTTAAAGGGGATTTGTTTATATAATTAAATTTAAATATGAAGCTGAAGAGGTTTCTCTTGAGATACTACCCTCCTGGCATCATTCTAGAGTATATTCGCAGTAATGGAGAATAGGAGACTAAGTCTATTGATTTGTTAAATCTGAGCAATGAGTAAGGATGACAATTTATCAATAGCACTGATGTAGATCAGTTGGTTGATGAAATTGTGATGGAGGAACCTATCATTTCAGAAAATAGAAAGCCATAACTAGCAGCATTGATTCGCAGTATCAACTGATTTTATTTAGAACTAATTGAAAAGATCGAATCAAAGAAGGAACAATCATTTGAGTTGTTCAAGACTCTCAAAGCACACATGTTACCTCTAACAAATTGCGCATTCAATAAGAACGGGGACAAGTATTGATTCCACTATGTAGATTCATCACAGGTAGTTATGATAGAACATGTAAAGTATGGGACACTTTCACAGGAGAATAATTGGTCTCTTTGGAAGGTCATAAGAATGTCGTATATTGCATTGCATTCAACAATCCCTTTGGGTATTCTATAGTCGTTATTTCCATAGGGATCGCGTTGCGACAGGCTCTTTTGATAAAACTGCAAAAATTTGGGATGCCACTTCAGGAAAGTGTCTATAGACATTTGTTGGACATCAATATGAAATAGTTTGTATTTCCTTTGATCCCCATTCCTTACTTGTGGCAACAGGATCTATGGATAAAACTGCGAGATTATGGGATGTTGAGACAGGAAAATAAATAGCTAGATTGGATGGACATGATGGTGAAATTGTCAGTTTGCATTACAACTCTGATGGTGATAAATTGCTTACAGGTTCATTTGATAAAACTGCTATGGTAAGGCTTATTCATCACATCATAGATTTGGGATGTGAGATCTGGTGAATGTATACACATTTTAGATGAACACACAGGTGAGATTTCAAGTACTTAATTTGAATTTACAGGAGATTATTGTGCTACTGGTTCGATAGATAAGTAATCTTGCAAATATATGATATAGAACTTGTAAAATTTGGGATATTAAAACAGGAAAATGCATAGAAACACTTCGAGGACATTAAGATGAAGTACAAGACATCTGCTTCAATTCCACAGGTTTCTATTTTCGTCTATCATCTCTAAGGAACCAGATTAGTCACAGTCTCAGCTGATGCAACTGGAAGATTATACAATGTCAATTCTGGATAATGTATTGCCCAACTCTTAGGACACAAAGGGGAAATCTCTAAAGTTGCTTTCAATCCCTCAGGAAACAAAATCATTACTGCAAGTGCAGATAATACAGCTAGAATTTTGTAAAATTCATCTTAATCTTTTTCAGTTCAGAAACTGGAGAATGTCTGTAAGTATTGGAAGGTCACACTGATGAAATATTTAGTTGTGCATTCAATTATGAAGGAGATATCATCATCACAGGATCTAAAGATAACTCATGCAAAATTTGGAAAGAAGCTAATCTGTAGGTTAAAAAATGACTGTTTCCATATATATATCTATATATATTCATCAAATATTCTATGGATGCGATAGGAATGTCTAATCTATCGCATTTTCTCTATATTAAAAATAATGTTAACTCAATTAAAATAGTAACAGATATGTCTTTCATTTAATTCTAACGTTGTGTATGTTGGAAAAGATTCAATAAATTGCATGTTTTCTAATAAATATTCAAGTAAATAAATTAATTACATTATAAATGGATGACAATGTATAAGAGTCAGCTTACTTACTCAGCATTGCATATCTATTATTGGGTTTGATTTTTATATTCCTGGCATTATATAGCATACCATGTTTATGGAAGGCTTGGAAATGTCGACAATTCTTCCCAAAGGTTTTTTATCTGTTTATATTGGCAATCTGCAGTGATCAAGCCACGTACTAGTTACTCTATTTATATGAAGTATTTAGAACTTATTTCAAAGGTCATTACAGCAATAAAGAAAGAAAAAGATGATTAGTCATAAACAGAATCATTCCGCATTATTTTCTTTCAAACAATCTATGTTCCAGATGCTATATTTTTTGTGATTTACTTCTCATTATTTTGGCAGTTCTTAATTATGATGCATCACGGTAGAATTAAAACTGGTAGCATTGATATTGGTAAAAAATACATTAATATCAGGAAAAAGGAACTGGAATCCAGAACAAGCAAATTCCAAAGTGCGTCTAATATTATACTTATACATCATAGGCTAAGCTATTGTGATATGGTAATTCATGGCTTAAGAACTATCGCCGAAAGCTATAATGATATGTGATATAGCTGTTAATGCTTCCGTTCCAATAATTGTGGTAATAATGGTTTTGTACCTAAATATTAAATTCTCAGGATCGCCTTTTGTTTCAAACAGGTATGAAAAGAGTAACAATAAAATACAATAACTATTGTGGATATGGATTTTACTAAGAATTCCTTAATTGGCTGTTAATGTAATAGTTGTTGTCTACAATGATGATTTAATAGCTTTAATGGGTGGAAAATTGGAAGTAACCTTTATTGAATAGCTTTTATTGATTTTGTTTATAGTTGGAGATATTATTATTGTTTAAATTATTCCTGTTTTGATGGCAATGTCTAATAGTTTCTTGAGTGCATTACTGCTTGATCACTACAAAATAAATTAAATTATAAGTGTAGAAGCTTTTTCAGGTGATATAGATCATTAATAGCAAGGATAGGGGATAGTTCCAACAAAAAATACAACAAGAGATTACTCTTTATTTATTAACCTAAAGTTAAAGGATTTAGAAATCAATGATAGATAATTCTTTAGAAAATATAATGGATTTGGGGAAATTAAAATTGCAACATTGCAAAAAGACTCAAAGTAATATGCACTAAGAGTTGTGCAATTTAAAGAATTAAGTACTTTTTTAATTGATGAAACAAAATAAGAAATCTAAACAATCAATAACATTAGAAAGGGATATAAAATATTTTGGTTTGATTGTAATGAATCTAGCATTTATCTTTTATCTAAATTTTATCCAAATTCAAATTTAAATAACTTTATTCATAAAAATACAGATAATGGAAATGAACAAATAAAAGTTATTACTACCTCTTACACTAATAAATAATTATTAATTCGAGTGAATATTGCTACTGATCTTATTAAAGAAATCTAGAATTTGCATGATTAAAGTATCATTCATGGACACCTAAATTCAAATAATATCTTATTTACAGATAAATTTAAAATAAAAATTGTTGATTATGGACTAAGAGCAATAAAAAAATATGCTAGTTTGGTTAATGGATATTGTAACAAGAATGGATTTACAGCACCTGAATGTTTAAATGATAGAGGAAGTGTAGTTTCGTAGATGGCCATAAAAGAATCAGATATATATTCATTTGGAATGATTCTCTATCATTTATTCACAGAAACTGTACCCTTTTTTGTAAATATATATGTATATTCTTAATTAGAATATGCCACAAAAAGATATAGTTCAATTAGTTAAGGAATAGTAATCTAGGCCCAAAATTCCGGAATCATTTAATCCAAATATAGCAACTTTAATAAGATGCTGTTGGTAATAAGAACCAATCAAAAGACCAAATTCAAGTTAGATTCTATAGACTTTAAAATAAATATCAGAAAGCTTAGAATGAAAACTTATATATATATTTATTAATTCCATTACATTTATAATTCAATCTATCTTATCAAATTTGTTTATCAATCTTAAAAATCCTTATATTTATTTCATTTTCATAAAGCTCCATTTTTATAAAGTCATGAAGAAGATGTTAATGCATCATTTTGAATTTTGGTTTAAACTACAAATATTCAACAACCTTAAGGTAAGCAACCTCAACAGAGAAATTCTACTTAATTATACTCATTTTATCTTTGTCTACAAAATTAAATTAACTATATTATACTATAATTTTTAGGGTAAATTAATAACATATTAAACTAAAATGAAATTCCTTTCAGAATTTTCTCTGCTGAATATCGGAAATCTTATATGTTGTCTTGGGCTATCATTAATAGCTCCCTTTTATCCAACATATGCAGAAAAATTTGATGTATCAGGATCCTTGTTGGGTCTCATTTTTGGAATTAATCCGATAGGAGGAATTTTGTCTTCCCTGATTGTTGGGAAAATTCTAAATAAAGTAAGATTTTGTAGTTATTCATACAAAGAACAACCAAGTTAATATTTTGTCCTTAGGAATGCTAATTCAATCTATTGGAATGTTTTGTTATCCACTTTTGACATTTACGACTAACAGAACAATATTTATTACCATTTCCTTATTGGGAAGGTTTATAAGTGGATTTGTAAATATATTATAAAGATTATAGGGAGCATAAACATTTGTAACCCCACTTTATGCAATTATAACATAAAAATATGCAGATTCAATCAACTAAAAAATGGCAACAACAGAATTTTTTTCCTCATTTGGTTATTTATGTGGTCCAGTAATAGGATCAATCTTATATACAATAGGAGGATTTTCATTTCCATTTCTACTTTTTGCTTGCTTTTCTGTTATCATAGCGATAATAATAAAATTACAATTCGAAAAATAGGAAGAAAAAGCAATTAATAAAATTCCCGAACCTGTCATCTCTGACATATACGACATCGAATGTCCATCAACAACATCATTTTATAATGAAACTGATATATCAATTGGTTACTATGACCTTATCAAATATTTCCCAGTATCATCATCATTATTTGTAATTTTGGCATTATGTATAACTTTTACATTTTATTATCCAACTTATGCAATATATTTTGAAGAGAATTTCAACATTCCCCCACAACATGTAGGCTTTTACATGGCTGCAGTTTCATTAGCCTATAGTGTTGGAGCTTTGACTGTATCAAGAATTAATGTCAATAAATCAAAAGCCATTTTTATAGGAATGGTTGTTGTATCAATATCATAATTTTTTATGGGTCCTGATCCACTAATGAATATCAGTCCCAAGATTTTCATAACTGTTAGTGCTTAAGCAACATTTGGATTTTTTTCTGCGCCACCTTTCATTATGGCTCTCCCTAAAATTACAGAGGAATTATAAGCAAAATTTAAAAAGTCTGATCATGAAAAATGTAACTCCTTAGCATCTGGTTTATTTAATGCGGTGATTTCAACTGGAGATTTTTTAGGTCCAGTATTTTCAGGAGTTTTGGCTGAGTTCTTTTCTTTTCAAAGATCATGCAGTTATTTAGGTTTGTATTTAGTTGCCACAACTTTACTATTTCTTCCAAATCTATTTACATCCAAGAAAGTTTAGTAAGTTTAAATAAAATCTTATAAAGAATATTTATGATGTTATAATTTCATTTGTTTATGATTTCTATATTAATCAATATAAATTGTTCTCAAATATAAGTAATTTCTAAAGAGATTAAAGAGACACAAATAGTAATATATTTATGATTGAATAAATAAACAGATAAACCTAAAACTTATTTTCTAGCTAATAGAATGAAATTGCAATAGTGGAAATGCAAAATTTGAAGAATCAAAATGAACAAAAGATAGAAATTTGTAGCAAATCTAGTATATCTAAATGATACAAAAGCTGATTAAGGAACAGGTTATACTGTATATGAAATTACAATGAGAAGTCATGGTTCTCGAATATTAAAACTATCTAACATTATTTAAGAATCATTAATGGTTCTGAGTCACCAAACTTGAATGGAAGATCTTTAAAATAATTTTTTTCGTATTTGTATATATTTCGATCTAATTGCTGAAGAGTATATTTTTTCATTTTTTTCATTCTGATTCTTCATTATTTATATAACAAATATCATCAAAGGATATAATTTGAACACTAATAAGGAATAATTTCTTTGGTTATGATTGGAATTCAGCATGATAAATTAATTTATTATTAAATTTAATATGAGTAAATAACCAGAGTATATACTTGACTCATATAAAGTGCCATATTATTTATAAGATTCATGCGTAGATGAATACGTGTACTACCAATAATGTCTAAGACACAATCCCAGATTTTTTGAAAATAAATTGATACATTCATTGCCATTTGCAAGTGCTTTGAGTAATTGTGCAAAAAAGTAGCAAATATTTGTGAGAGTAAGTTAAGCTTTTAAAATTTAAGTGCCAAGAATACAGGGAAAGAGAAATGTTTGAAGAAATGCGAAAGATCTATGTAGAAAGTGTAAGAAAAGGAGAAGAAAGATGAATTAATGTATAATTATACAAAAAAAATAAAAAATTCGTCAGCTACAGGATTTGAACCTGTGCGGGTAAACCCAGCGGATTTCGAGTCCGCCTCCTTAACCACTCGGACAAACTGACAACTTCTAATTAATTATCCATACATTAATATATTTATATTACGAATTATAATAAGAGGAGATTTCATAACCATTTCTAAGCTACTTTAATTGAGAACATGAACAATTCAAATGATCATAGGGATAACTGTATTATTATCATAATTGTTTGATAAAAGATGTAAAATAATATGGAGGTAGGATTTGAATAATTATTGTTTAACTTTTATTAAGAGATGTTTAATATTGATTAAAATGTAATTGGTCATCAAGGGGTCAAGAAAGAAAAATTGTTGAATGATCAACAGAATACTTTGCTATTAAAATATTAAGAAAATTATCTGGAGGAAAAATATTTTTGATTTTACAATAGAAATATTAATGGATATTCATAATAATTCATATAAATAATACAACAAATAAAATATATATAGAAAAATAATTGTCTAAATTAATTATTTTACTTTTGCAAGCAGGAGTATCAAAATTTCATATATAAATAATTGATAGTTGTATAGTTTTTATTACTAAGTATATATCTATCTAAAGAATAATTATAAATTAATAATAAAACCCAACTGAAAAGATTATAAAATAATTAATTCAATATGATAATCAATATTTCAATTAAGAAAGATTGCATAAATGAAATGTAGTTTAACTTAATAAAATTGAAAGTTTAATCTCTCTATTGATGTTTTAAATTGTAATACACGAATATTAAGAGACAAATGATTCATAAATGTAATTTATACTTAATCATTCTTCATCAAAATCATTATCAACATCATCTGGCACATCTTCAGGTATTTTTGGTAAGGGATGCTCTTCATCATATTTAAGTTCCCATTCTTCTCTATTAGGTGGTTCTTGGTCTTCTTATTATTGGATAGAATTCTTATACTCTTCAAACTTTTATTCTTTTTCCTAAAAATGAATTGACAAATAAATTACTTCTTTAATTTTTGCAACTTACTCAGTTGTTTCCTAAATCAATTTTCTAAGATTGGCAATCTTCTCTCTTCTGATTTCAATATCTAGAACTCTTAATTTGATGATGTACTGCATCCATTTCAAGATTTTAGCATAACAAACATTATACTCTTCCACTTATTCAACTGTGAATTTGCTAATTCTCTTTTAGATTCTATTCAATTTAGCATGTTTGGGCACTTCTTCAGTTCTAGCTCCTCTGTATTCATAATCAAGTATTTTTTAAATCAAGTCTTCACAAATGTAATGTTTAACTCCAGTCCAATCTAGTTGATTAGTTCCTTTCTCAAGTAGATTCTCCTTATTATAATTTAGGAATAGCATTAAAGCCAATAATAGACCAGGATATTTAAGTACTCTGACTTGTTTCAAAGAAAACAATTCTTATTGCAATTGTTGAATTTATTAAGCAACAGTGTTAGCTCTGATAGATAGCAATGCAAATTAATGTTCCTTTTCTCTTTCCTTCAAATCATCATACTGAGATTATTAAGACTCCACTGCCTACTCTTCTTAAACTGTCAATGCTTCTGATCTCTCCTTCACTCCTTACTCTTGATAAGCAATCATATGATCGATGTCTTCTGACAGTAATTTGCTTTCCATTTGATTCCAACTTTATGCAAACAAATTCACATAATCCTCAAAGTATTATCTGTCTTTCTGACTGATTTCAACATCCTTACCCAAAGTATCAAAACATACAACGAATTATCGTTTTAAAGATTGGAATGGAGCTTCACTCTCATCTTACCAATTGGCTAAGTATTGATCTAACTCTTCTTGAATGGGAGTTGGATCTTGTTCAGTCTCTGTAGCTTCTTTGAGTCTAGAATTGAATTCATTTATTTTATTTTCCTTCTCTAATTTCTTTTCCACATCTGCTTTTTTGAATCTCAATCTCTCTTCAATTCCAGCATCTAATGAAGCTGGAAGCAAACACGATTAATAAATAAGTGGAATTGCTAAGAATGCTCCCAACTTTTTCCATTTAAAATAGATGAGTTTCTACTCTTTAGTTACATCTGGTATGTAAATTATGGGGGATTAAGGTTGTTGTCCTTCTTCTGGAGGTGGAATTTCTCTAAATACTTCACCAGTAATTCCTACTTCATTTAGAGGGAGGGTTTGACCAATCATGAAACTGTGATCATCGTTGGCTCCTATGTATTTAATCAATTTTGGTTATTCTGAATCAAGATGAGCATTTTCATCATCATCATTTTCATTAATTTATTTATTTGGGAAATCAACATATCCTACATAGACTCCTGTAAGACCCTTCTTTTGGAGATGATTACAAAAGTCTTTGATCAATAATTTTTAATGGAATTCATGGGTTTTGATTATATTTTGAAATTCCAATTCCCTCAGATTTTCTTCATCTTGTAACTGTTTCTCTCTGCGATCTTTCTCTTCTTAAACCTCTTATTCCTTCTTCTGTTGCTCTCTGAATTATTTCTATTAATTACATTAATTCCTCCTTATGAGTAATGTGATCTTGCATGGATCCTCTATTGGACTCAGTTCGATTATGATTCAACAACCAATTTGCCAAATACTCAACTGGGAATTGTGGTTTCACTCGATACAACTCAGCCAACCCTTTTGTAATGACCTTCCCTATGCGCTCAGACTTTAAATAAGCCATATCTATTTTATCTGTTTCAGGTATCAAGTTCATTAAATAATATAATAAATCAAACAAAACATCCATAAATCCATTTCCCTTGTAATATTACATTCTCATCTTGAGACAACGAACCCACTCCATGAAAGGCATCCAAAGCGAACCCTCCAACGAACTTAAACTCTTCTCCTCTACAGTTGAAAGTCATTACTCCTTGACCATGGAACTATCCATTTCTGAATTCTCCCTCGTAAGAAGTGAATTAATGTTAAACTAATTTAAACTACTTAAAGTTTAACAATTTGAATTCATCTTCTTAATAATCTTGATTCACAAATCTTCCTCTTCCTGAAAATTGATCACTCTACCATTAACCCTAATATACTATGTTCGAATAAAAGTCTTTCAAAGTTCCATTACCCTGTCTCATTCCATTAACCCAATCACCCTCATAAACAAATCCATTTTCATATACTTTTCTACCTCTGCCATTCTAAACATCTTCTCTTATGGTAATGTTGGATTTCTTGAATTTCCCCACAGATGGTGTTTTACTAGAAGTTCTATGATGACAAATCATCTTGTCTTGCAATCTCGAACTATCGATTGGAGAGTGGGTAGTGTGGATCGTATGTTTAACAGAATTCATATAAGATTGCAATGTATGTTAACTTATACAATTTGATTACTTATTGGATCTTGAGGGTCCACTTAAGTAATATGAATATGATTCTACTGAGTCAGTTTCTGTCTTCTTAAGTTGAGATCTTAATTAGTCATTCTTTTCCATTATATGAGCTATCTTTTTTTCTAAAAAACTCAATTTGCTTATTGTTTCATCAAGCATGTCTTCTTACTTGCTCTTCTTTCTCTTAAAATAGGTAATTTATGAAGTTGGGGATTTAGGCATCGTAGATGGTGGTAAATTATGAATAACAGCTATTTTATTATCAATGCATCTAAATGGACTTTGTGAGGTGCTTGGTGAATGAACTCGCAATAGACGAGTAGTTTGCAATCTGCTAGGTGTTTTACTAGCGATGTTAAGTTGATTTGGTCTTCTGTTCTCTTTTTAAAATTGTTTCATCAGTTAATTTTTATATTATTGTCTACTTATAGAAAAAATGTATAATTAATTAATCAATTTTTAAGTCGAAGCATCATATGCCTTTTCACAGAGTAGAAGGATGGAGGCACATTCGGTTTAGGAGGTCTGGTCGATTTTTAAGACTCTATAATACTATTAAAGTTTTTCGATAGATCTGTTATTAGTGGTTCTTCTGATTTCTTTGGAGCCAAGAAATGTTATGGTTTGACTTTCAATCCTAGTTGCTCCAAGTTCGTTTAAGTATTTAATTTATTCTTCACATTGATACCCATCTATTGCAATAAAGGAGGTGTTGTTTAATGGGATTTGGATTGCAACTTTTTTTGATCCTTAAGTTACTTGTTTATGGTAATGTTGCTTCGTAACCTTGTGTGTTATTTAAACACATTGTAATTTGATGTATTAAAGGATTGAATAGGGAATTAGATGTCTTCCTCTGTGACTTCCAAGTTTGCAGTGGATGGTCTCTATAAAGTGGTGTGCATCAACTATTGTAATGGTTGGAATTAATTAAGATTGTAATCCTCCTAAAACACAAGGGTGGCTGAATTCTGTCCAGTAGCAAAGTTGGTGATATAATTAGTAATTTTGGTAGACTTCTTGGATTATGAATTAGATGAGACTTTTTTGATAATTGAATTCTGGGCAGACCTTGAAGGATTATTAAACTTCTTTTCACTTTTTTATATGCTGAGCATGATGGATTGTTGTGAAGATTACTATTATTATTGTTATATTCTTGGACTAAATCTTTATTCTATTTTGGACTTTGAAACTGGTTGCATGATTGAAATCATTGGTTTTTCTTTATATCTAGATTTGGTTAGGTCTTCTGATAATAATAATTATTATTTTAGGTCTTCCAAATAAGTTTCACTTCCATCATCATCAGAGGAATCAGACTCTTTCTCGGACACTGATATATTCATTTTATCAGCATCTTGTTTAAGTTCATCAAATAGATTAGCAAACTTTGTATTTTGAAATTATTAATAACATTAATCTTCTTAATAGCCAGTGAAACTTCTTTTTTTATTGAATGACGAATTCTTTAGTTATCGATTTGATCTTTTGGTCTCATCATTTTTTTGATTGTATATGACATCCATCTCACTTTGCATCTCCACTAATTCAGTCAATGCCTCTCCTATTATCCATCCCATCTATATCCAGTGTTTGCATGTGAATTCAAAGGTCTAAGTTGAATTATAATAACTCCCATTGGATGATTCTATTGTAAAACAATTCACTATGTCATACAAGTCTAAAAACACTCCTCTGGCTGTTGACTTCTTCGATTGACTGATTCTGAATATGGAAGAATAGTATCGAAACATCTCTGTCTTCTACCCCAATAACTTAGCCAACACTCTACACTTATAATAATTGTAATTCCACAATGGATATTCAGGACCATAAAGAAATACATTCTTTTTTACTTATATATTTGTTATTCTTACCAGAATGACCGTGCAGATCTATGAATCCAATGAGATTGTTCCCAAAAATACTGTGCTACTCTTTCACTAATCTTTTCATCGCCCATACTGTAGGAAACAGCATCTGATCAGTCAACTTAAATCTGCGATTCAAATCTTTACCAGCTATCCCTGTTCTATAATTCCCTAAAATCACCCCATCAGGATTCATCATAGGTACAACCTTTATTACACACCTAAATCATAATCAATAATCAGTACTTCTTGATCAGTTTCAATCCCTACTGACTAGACAGGAACTCTAATAATCCTTACATAACCCAAGAACCATTCGATTCACCAGGGTGGATCCGAGCTTAAATTATCATACATTTTTGGTTCTAATTATTGTTCCCATTGCTGAATGTGTAGAGAGGTAATTGTATTCCACTTAAAGATTCACAAAATACTGTTTTTTCAACATGGTTACAGTTTTTTTGCATGTTCAAACAAAATTCAAGCAATTATGTGTATGTGTATGGTACACAATAAGCAACCTTTATAAGCTCATTATCTCCATTGCAGACTAATTTAAAAGACAAGCAATTATAATGTTAATGATAGTGAGTTTTATATTGCATTTATTCTCCTCCCTACTACCATTCAGGATTTGTTGATCTCCACAAATACGGTTTCATTCCTCTTTCATAAAGAGTACGTGATTTGCGAAAATTACATACATTTAATTGAATAGTTTCAGCTTTCTTCATTCCTGTGACTTCAAAGTTGTACCATGAAGTATGTCCTTTAGTGTTACCATCTACTCTCATATACAAATCGTATTCTGTTTCAGAACACTTGACTACAACATCCAAATTACCACTCTCAAAAGTTGAATTGAAGATGATTCTACTGCTTAGGTTGGGATTCATGCCTAGAAATGGTAATTGAGGTTTTCTTTGCAATATTTTAATTTATTTGAAAGGATAGGATGAGCCATTGGAGTATTATTTATGCATCTGGCCAGTGTCTTATGGTCTGAATCCAAGATAGACTAATTGATTGTTGTGTAATGCCTTGGCAATAATTGAGTCGTTTAAGTGATTGGCAAAGTTGAGTGTGAGTAGTTTACTATAGTCAACTTTTGGAGCCCATCCAAGAAGCATGTCATTCTCCAGGCTGAAGCTATGATCTGTAAGAGTGATGGCCTTAGGAATTTGATTAAGGAACGGTTGGATGTTCAAATCAACATCCTAATTTAACATACTATAATAAAAAGTATGAGGAACTGTCAAAATTTATTCAATCATGAACTAGGGTAGATTATCAAATTTCAACAATTCAACATTAAAAAACATCTCACAAGTATGCAGGAACAAGAAATATAATAATATTTGGTGTACGGACAGAGGAGAGTATTTATATGTGAAGTATGATCAAACATCCATGATACCTATTTTAATTCAAAGAAACCAAGATTTAAATAAGAATGAAGACTCTATTCGACTAATAAGTATATCTATTGAGTTCGATTGTTAGATGTCTAGATTTATCAAAATCTGGTTGGTAGGCAGATCCAACACAAAATCTTATTTTCAAAAAGAAATAATCTTAAAAGAATATGAGCTAAATTCGCTAAATTATTATGAAGTTAACTCCAAGACATAAATTATGACATTGACAAAGTTTAAAGAAATAAACTTTAAAATATGAAATTTGCGACTATAAGTTTTCTCACTTGATTAAGATGGCCGGAATTTTAATCTCATCAAATTTATATTATGTTGAAATTAGGCACAAAAAAGGTATTGAAAATGGGCAGTATTTCTAAAGTTGAAATTAATATTAGGAAGAATTAAATATGTAAAACTATATGGAGATAATGTTATCTCATAGATTGAATCCAAATTAACACTATTGAATAATATCCATTCTCACTTTATACCCATGGTAGTGATATATTTTGATCAAACTCAACAAAAGAACTTTCATAACAATTATCATAATTATTATAATTATTTATTTTAAAATTATCAAATTTTTATTGATTATTAATTAGTTGCATTTATTTTTCAAATATCATATAAATATCAATGATTACAAAATAATCAAACGTTGGTTGATTTTTTAAATTACTCTTAGTTCTTTAAAAAGTGTTCAATCCTAAATTTATATAATTATATTACGTTTAATTACAAATTGGGCATCTCACTAATTTTGTATTAATTCTTACCCAATCTTCAAAACAATCTAAATGAAAAGTGTGTCCACAGAATATCTATATGATATCCTGTTTTATTTCATATTTCTCAATACAGAAAGGACACTTGTCTTCATCGTATTTTAGGATCTATTATGAAAATCTCTCCTTTACTATTACTTTGTCCTTAATCATCTACTCCATCACATTGTAGAGACTTTCAGTATCCAAACTGTGCTGATTATTTTAAAGAGATAATTAAATTAAATAATTCATTCTTTTATTTGCTAAATAAATGATAGTTCCAAATAGAATTATGGCTAAACAAAGCCAACCTATTAGTTTATAAATTCTATAAAGTTCTGAATCTATTAGAGAATCTTATGACTTAATTGTGACTGAAAGATCACTCACTTTTATATTCTCCAAAATTACGAAAGTGATTCTAAAGTAATAGCCTTTGAATCTAAAATCAGAGTTAAAATGATTAATCAATATTTCATCACATAATTATGACAATTCATTTCCTAAGCATATACTCTGTTAAATGAAATTCATATTTGATTATTACTCTACTTATAAGTTGAAATCCAAATTAAATTCTTAAAAAGTAGTCGCATCATGAAATAATGTAAATACCGTACCTTTTGATACATTTCCATAATATGTTTAATTAAACTCGATCTCTTAGCCACACTTTAATATTTTATTAACAAACCATTTTGAACTTTCCTTCACTTAATTTAAGTCTATTCCCTCATAATTCTATTAAGTCTAACATATATCGTCAATCCACTCACAACCAGTTTATTACATACAAGCATAACAGCTATTAAATTTATTGCAACCATTTAAAAATTCATTATACAAAGATTCAAATATACATTCAGATTTATGTGGTATTAAGGAAATGTTCAAAGGTTCGTATATAAGATCGCAAGGTATCGAACAGTTTTCAGTTAATTTAACTTCATTTGGATATAATGAAATTTTTGTATGATATGATTATTAATACTTGATAGATTCCAAATTCATTTAAGGTAATTCTTCGATATCATATTAGCAAAATTAAAATTGATCCATTATTATATGATTAATATGGACTTATGCAGTTTCAAACTGATCATAAATTAATATTAACTCAGTTTCGTCTAAAAGAAATGCAATATTGGAATATTAAAAATCGATTTTTTGAATTAGTCTCACAGATTTTGATTAATATTAATATTGAATTTCTTCAATAATGAATATTTTAGTGTAGTTCATATTTTGTTACAATATGTATTTTGAATCTGTTCCATCAAAATTAGTTATCATTTATAGAGGTTGCTAATCAAACCAATATATCTCTTAAATTTCATATAAAGTCTCTCCTATGCTATAGAGTACTTAGAATTGCTCATATGTGATGATTATGTACCCTGATTTCCACACTTTCCAATTTAATGGAACTTTATTTTCAGATAAAGGGTATGTTGATGCCTCTCTGAATTAGTTATCAAATAGAGAGTATTCAATCAATTAGATCTGATTCTACTTCAATACAATTAACAATAGAGCATTTCTTATTTTGTTATAAGATTATGAAAATCCAAAAATGCTTCTATCATCATCTGAATTGAATTTGTATGAAATATTTTAAAACTAATTCACATTTCCAGGATAGATTGGATGCATTTCGATCAAATAATCTTGTTTGCCTTATCTTTTTAATAGTGATACCATAGTACAGAGTGAATCTATTTATGTGAGATCATAAAACATTAGATTATTTTCCTTCTTAATCAAATTAGAATGTTAAGTATACAGAGTCCTTCTTATTTCTAAGGTTTTCTATCCTTCAGTTGTGATGATCTGACAAATTACATAGTTGCTTAACTAAATTTCACCATTTCTTTCAAAAGAATAAATGCCAATCTATTATATAAACCATTTAATATCTACTTATTTTTATGCGAGTTCTAATTTTGGAACAAAAACATAATCCTATATACATTGAAATAGGTAGTGATCCGAATTAGAACCAGAGTAAGAGCATTCTCTAAAAATTTGATTCTCCACACTACCGTTTGATCTCGTATATAGGTGAGAACCAAAGACTATCTCAATAAATAGTATGTAGAAATGCATGCAAAAATTAATTGTTTTTGATTTAAAGTGAATTAAGAACTTAATAATAAACTAAATTAGTTGGTGTTCAAATTCCATATAATATCCTGATAAATATTTATAATTTTATAGAAAATAAATATAATAGTATAAAATTGATCATTAACGAACTGTCATCTATTATTTCCACTATTTGAACTATGCTATAGGTGACTGATCTTCTTCGTCAGAGGATTCTCTGAATTTTACTTCCTTGTTGATTATATCTAAGTATGAAATTGATCTATCTCTATTTCCAAATGTATCGAGAGCATACTAATCCTTATTTTGAGGATTACTTTTCTTCACTTTCTATTAGAATTAAGCCTTATAAGAAGTATTTTATTGAGACTGTTGCTTCAATTAATTTATGCATTGATTAGATTTGGTATCTTTCTTCTCTTGATTTTCTTTATTTTACAGTACATTATCTTTGCTTTTATTTAATTGTCTACCTTATTTAATTTGTTTTTCTTTTTCATCCTATAAGGATTAATCAGTAATGGCACTTTAACAAGAAATATTGAATTGAGGTAACATATATTCTTGAGAATATCTCAGATCTTCTTATTATTGAAATTCTGATTGTAATTATTTCACTTATTATTGCAATTCTTAATTTTACTATCTTAAAGTTTGCTTTTCTTATTTGAATTTTGTGATTTGCTTATGTATGTCAGTTAGATGATTTTATAATTCTTCAATGAAGTTCTAATTTTCATTCAATTACTTCATCAAATTTGAGATTTCCTTCTAATGTTTTGATTCAAGTTCTTTCTCCTTGATATCACACTATTCTTCAAAATACTTTTACATTTCTTCAATTACAACTTATTCATTGTTTGTTTATAATTATTATTCCAATATAGTAATCTATTGATTTTGTTAAGCTAATTTCTTTTCCAATTCATTAAACTTAACCATTAAATCTTGGTTCTCCTTCTCCTTTTGCTAAATCAAACTATCCCTTTCGTTGAGTTATTCATCATAACTTTATTTGGTCATCTCTAATTAAGCTTAATTCTCATCTATTTATATTTCCAATTATTCTATCTAATTCTTTTATTAGTTAAGTATATTAGTCATCTAATTGTTCTAAGTATTAACAATATTCAATTATTTCTAGAACTCATTTCTAAAACTCAGATTTAATATATATACTTCTATTGATTAAGACATTTCTCTATTGTACTCTTCTCTCTGGAGGATAGGTTGTTAGCTTCCGCAATCAAAATCTCATACTTTTCTGCTATCTGCACTTTCTCTCTTTCCAATTAATCAACTGTATGTTTCATCTTCTCTATTTGAGTAATCCTTTCTTATAAAATCTATTGATGGTCAAATAAATACTTAATTCAGTTTTGAATTCTCTCCTAATACTAAATTTATCTTCTGTTCATATTCCATAACTCTTTTCTCTTATAACTTTTCTTTTTCCATTCTTCTCGAAGATTCTAATTGATCATCCTTATGTAATAGTTTATTCTAATTATATGATAGTCATATACTTCAATCTCCAATTGTCTTAGTAATTTGTTTAAATTCATTATCTCATTATCCTTTTTATTAAGAATTTATGCAAACTTATCTTATTACTCTAAAAATTGGGACGATTTATCCACATCGCTAATCCGTTTATTCTTCTCTATTTCATCCATTAGCATTCTTTTCAATTCAATATTCTCAGCCAATTATTCTTCAAGTTAAGTTCTATAATCCTCAAGGTCATATTTGTTATCTCTATCACAAGCAAATGAAACCATTGAGGTTTTTAGAGAGGCCTCTGATCTGTTAGTAACATCTAATTATTTCAAGACCTCCCTATTTGATTATTAGAATTGCTTCTCTTCACTATCTATGTAGTATTTGTTCATAAGTTCTTTTAACGAATAAATATTTAATAATATGATGTATAAAAATTTAATGAATATTTTATAAAACATCAGTTGAAAATAAAGTTTTCAACCTTTATATATTAATTCTTAGGCTATTATATTAGTTAGCCCCATTTATATTACTAATATATATTTAAGAGTTTATTAATTAATTAGATGAATATAAGATTTATTTAATGATGAAATTAATATTCTTCTATTTTATTCATTACAAAACTCATAAATCTTAGATTCTCAGCTCTGATACAGATCTAGTTATAAAAAATTAAAAATCTAATTTTATTATATGCACAAACACTTTAACTTCTGGATTCATTTAGATTTTATAATAAATTAGGGTTAAAGATCTTCCAGGTTTAATTGTTTTTTTAAAGTTGCTTAATAATTAAATAAATAAGAAATAAACTAAAATATTAATAATTAAATATAATTTAAAATGGTGTGAATTAATCAATGACATCTGCTCTTCATCAAAGTTATTTACTCTTTTAAAATTTACTCAACTAACTTATATTCTTTTTATTTTTCATTCCTAAGTTCTTCCTCAAGCGCCTTTATATCCATTTATTAATGAGCACCAATCCTTTGAATTTGACTGTTTTGTAGGATAACCTACAATTAATGTCTAAGCTTTTATTTGAATTCTTTCGTTTTTGTTATTTGCTCACATTTGATGCCTTCCTGAATTTAGGCAATTTATTTAAGCAAATCAATTTGTCTATCATAATCTAAAGTTTATTGAATAAATGTACCTTTATGAGGTTGCTTGATAACCCCTTGTTTTCTGAATTTATTTAGTATAGCTTTTGCTGTTGAAAAGTTAATCTTACAAATTTAAGCAGAAGCTCTTATAGTTTTGTTATCACATAAAACAAGTTTGAGAAATTCGATTCTAGAGGCTAACTTTTTCTTTTTGTCTTTTGTACAATTCTTATTTTAGATATTCCTAAATTACTTGGCTTCCGACATTGAGATATTAAAAAATATTAATTTAGTATTTTGAAAGAAAAATCACTTATTAGGAATTAATTATAATCATCGAACAATCAAAACTTATATAATATATGTGGAGGTAGATATGACATAATGCCTTATCAATTTTTCAGTTTCTAACATTAATACTATATATAATTATATAATAGTTAATATATATTTTTCATTTTTGAAATTACTGGATAGAATTAAACTTATAGTATTCTAAGGAGGAAGATGCTTGAAATTCCTTGTAAAATGAATCAACACAATTTAAAAAGAACATTTACATAAATATTGATTGAATATTACCCTTCAAATTTTGAAAGTAACATTCATGTTTTTTTAGAATTTCTTGTAAAATCATTACACCCTTTGTTCTTTATTACTCAACCGATTTTTCAATCTAAATAAATATAAAATTATAATACTACCTAGTCAAATTCGTGCATATTAAATTATCTAAATTTACGTCCTATATTTTTATTTAGAAATTCTATTTTTGATTTACCGTTAAAAGTTCTAAAAACATCATGTCTTTTTGTTATTTCACATAAATAAACCTTGAATCTCATTTATATTTGTCTAATTTTAGAATAAATCTCATTACTTAATTAATTATCTCAATTAATGGAATTTACTAGTAAATTAAATTGAAACTTTTAATCATTAAGGCAATTATTAGACTTCGAAAACAAACTTTTATTCAAACCTGCATATCCTTAAATCATTACCTAACCTAATTTTTATAAAACGTTTTAGATTTCTATATTGTAAGATTACAGTTATGCTTTTATAATTGAACTTGCAACATTTTATAACGTAGCATCAACTTATTATAACGCTAAGTTGACTCTGTTAAATGTGAAATTTAATAAATTTTGTCATAGTTAAAGGAAGTCTTTTAAACTATTTTTAGGTAACCCAATCTTATAAGATTCTGAATTTAAGGTTTTATAGTACCTCCATTTTTAGTAATTTACCAGTTTATTTAGAATTATTGATACTATTATTTCTAAAGAAAATCTTTACTCTTGCGATAAATTAGAAGTTACCATTGATTTTCTTTCAAGAAGTTAATTAAATTATTTTTTTTATCTCACAACTTTCCTTCAAGTTCTACTAATTTAGTCTTCTAAATCTTTTATTGAAGTATTAAAATTATCTGTATCTTGGTCCAAAATATGCTGTTAAAAAAATTATTTATTATCTAATTTTACTTTTAATTCTAAATTTTTTAAGTTTCTTTTCTGCTATTTATGATTATAAAGTAGCGATTTCTTTAGACATTTTATTTTTCTAATTTTGAGTTGGCATTACAATTACAATGGTAAAAAAAAATTATTAAATCCAGAGCTTACATTAATTTTATGAAGTAATTAAGAGAATCGTTTCTTTGTTTTGAATTAAGATAAATAACCTGACTTATTTAAGGTTTAAAGATTGCCCTAAAATTTATTTTCAAGGGGGTTTGTTTCTTTTTAAGGAGCAAATTTAATTTAATTAATTTATATGAATTTGTTATTTTTTCATATTAAGTCTCAAAATGTCCAAAATCTGTCTTATACATCAAAATTAATTATGCTAAAGATTGAAATATATTTACTAATGTAGATATTTTAATTTTTCTGTTTCAAAATGCTGTCCTATTTACAAATCTTTATTGTATAGTTTAGTTGGTTCTAAACTGATCTCTTCTTATGAATTGGCTATTTATATTTTAGGATATTTATCCTCTAATACTATTGCTTAGGATTCTATGAAATTATAAAACTGGTCTTGATATTCAATTAATAAATTTATTTATATATGAATCAATAATTTTGTATATCTTATTAAGTAAATTATTGTGATTGTAACTTTTTATGCTGTTAATTCTATAAATAATTGTAAGAATAGAAATACTTTTATATGATTTAATCTAGAATTTTCACTGGCTAATAGAGCTAATTTGTTTTCCAATTCTATAATTTTCTTATCTTTCTCAAAATCATTGCTCATTCCATAACTGTGATTAGCACTACGAACAGAATTCTACTTGCCTGACTATTAAAGTTGTTCCTAAAGTTGATTATATTCAATATCCTATGATTTTATTTTTTCCACTAAGACTTGAATTTCTTCTAACATCTCTTAATTTTATTATTAAAGTTCAACAAATTATTGACTTCTTTAAGATGATCGATTGGGAATTGCATTAAGAATCAATAGATTAATCATTTATTCCAATGTTTAATCACCCTAATAACATAAATTAAAAGCATACATAAATAGGAAATTCTTTCAAAATCATTTATCGATATTAATTTTCTATATCCTTTGATGGCAATTTTGAGTTTCTAAGATTTAATTCTAATTGTTTATTTTTCTAATTATTTCAATTATATATTTACTTATTATTCTTGCTTATAGTTTTCTATCATATCCGCTAAATCATTTTCTGAATCTTATAATTTTAAATTCAACTCATCTAATTGCGTAGTAAGTTTTTAGATTTTTAATTCAAGTATTTTGTTTTCCTATTGAATATTGAGATTGTTAATTGTGATATTTGGATTTAATGATAAATTCTGATTTATTCTTAAGATTGCTAATTCATTTTAGTAGTTATCTGATTAATATTTCAATTTGCTATTCTCTTCCTCTAATAACTTAATTTCTTGATCTTAATCTTCATAGCCCTTTTATAAAATTTTAAATTATTCTTCCAATGAATTTATTAATCTCTATTTTTCTTCAATTTCCTTATCGTAGAATTTAACCAAATTGCCTGATTGACCCTTTTCACTTAGACTATAATCTTTTTAAGAATTTGATAGTTACTATTAGAGCTCTATAATTTTATCTTTTAGAGCTCTCTTCTTCTACTTTTACTTTTACTGATATTCATTATTTTATAATATATTAAGTTATCTTTGCAGATTTCTGTTTTATTCTTCTTAGTCTCTTAAACTTTTCTGCACTTATTGTAGGTTTGTTTATAATAATGTGATTTAATCCATTTGCTTATTAGAAGGATTAGAAATTTCATTTCTTCCTTGTTTTAGTTGATTTTAAAGCTTTTCTATTTGTCTTCTATAGTTTTATATTTCATTCTAATTAGTGTTTTATTCTGAAGTTATTTATTATTTTAATATTATTATTTCTTACTTTTAAATTTCATTTTATTAAGTTAATTATCTGATTTATTATCTTAATTAATTAGATTGATCAAATTTAAAATTCTATCCATCACTCTTTAATATCTCATTTTCATTAATCAATTAGTTGATAGTCTTTTTTAAATCAGCTATTTCATTTTACTCTAGTGTTGAATCCTAATTTATATCATTAAGTTAATTCTACAACAATCTGATTTAATTTTAATAATTTCCTTATTAATCTTATAATTATTTAATCTAAGTTGATAATTTTCTTATTTCATCTTAATCTTATTGTCTGATGATATTCAATTGGCTAATCTATTTTAATAATTATTAATTCAATTGATTGGCTGATTCTAACTTTTCATTTGCTTGTTAATTGTAGGTATTAATATCCTTTTATTAATTAAGTATTTATTATGATAATTATTAATTTTATTTTTAAAGTTTTTCATTTTAAACATTTTAATCTTAATATTATTAAGTTAATAGACCTAGTTTATTCTATAAATCTTTTATGTCCTTTTTTGACATGTTTAGTTAATCACTCAATTATTATTGTCTTTAATTATGCTCCTCTGTTAATTTCTTAATTTCATTCTCTTGCCTAAATTATAAATATTTGACCTTTTCATCATATTCATTGAGTTATTTTTCTAATAGAAAATGCTATGATGAAAACATTTAAACTTAACTAGTCAATTTAATATTTTATCCATGCAATTGTTAAACTTCTTCTGGCTAATGAAAAGTAACAGTAGATTCATAGTTTATAGATTCTTTTTCTTGCTATTATTTAATCTCATCTTCCAAATGAGTAATCCTATTTTACAAAGTCTTTGCTTATTTATCATACAACACTAATTGATGTTGTAACTCTTTATTCATTTAATTTGTTTTATTTTCTTTTTCCTGTATTGCTTCATACAAGTGTTTAAATTTCAATTCTTAAGAGGCTGTCAAATTCGTAACTGATTGATTGTCCTTGAATTTTACATTCTGTAATTCAATCTCCATTTAATGCAACTAACTTTTAAGTTAATTGTTTTCATTCACTATAGCGACCTATAATTCTTAATAATAGTTTTATTATTGTAAAAAGTCTTACTATTGTCTCTAGATCTCATATTCTCGTTCTCTTAATTGTTAACTCAATTTAAGTATTTATTATTTATTCTCTTGGTTTTGTTTGTTCAATTGGTCCACTTAATCCAGCAGATCAACTGAATTATTATGAAATGTTGATATCTATCTTCTTACACTATTTTGATAGTCTATCATCTTCTATTCATGTTCTAACTTCACCTATTCTTAATCATTTATCAATTAATCAATTTATTCATTTAGCTATTCATTGATTAATTAGTACTGTGTAATCTTTTGTCTAAGATCATTCATCTCTCTAACATTATTCTATTATTATGATTCTAAGAAGTTTTTCCTATATGTTATTTCTTCAATGATATTTGACTTTTCCTATAATTCTCTATCTAAATCATTTATCCTCTGAGTTGAAGAAAAGGTAGTTTATTATTATGATTATTTCTCAATTTATTTCTATTATTGTTCGATCAGAACTTATAATTCTTACATTTAATTCTAAACAGGCATATACATTTATTGTAAAGATTATATTTATAAATTCAGACTTCTAATCTCGACATTCTATTGTTCAGTTTATAATTAGAGGTTTTTATTTTGAAGAATCTTTTCTTGCAATTTTGAATTTAAATCATTAATTTATTTATCAGCCACTAATTAATTATTTTTAGAATCTTCCTCAGAACATTGTGATTTATTTAATCTTTGTAAGTTTTACAATGAAATATTTAACAATTTAACCTAAGATTGCAATTACTATTTTTCTCTTTCTAAAAATACTATTGTTTTTCATGTTAAGCTTACTGTTCTTGTAGTTATTATTTCAACTATTAGTATGTCTTTTCTAATTAGTTGACCTTTATAGCATAATCTTCATTTCTTACTAATAGCTTGTTACTATCCATTATTATCCTATTTTATTCCTATTCCAGCTATCTTTTCTCATTTTCTAAATTATCTATCTTATCAAGATATAAACTTAATTATTTCTATTATTCCTCATATTTCTTCTCTAATCCATTTTTCTTTTGCTACTAGTTTTCATAATTAGAAATTAATTAATTTTACTCTTAAATTTTATTTTGTAATTCTACATTTTATTATTTTAATTGTTAATTCTCAAATGATACAATTTAAGAAGTTTAATCTTGCTTCAATTAAAATACTCTAACTTCGGAATTTTATTTAACAGTTACCAACTATTCTTACTTTAACTTCATCTATAATTCTAAAATCTGTTATTCTTAAGTTTAATTTAATTCATTTATTACAGTTATATTTTTTCTTAGTTCTCTATTTTAATCATTTAGTCTATCTATTTATTGATATAACTCAGAATGCTCTTATTATAATTGATTTATTAATTGCGTTTATTACGTTTTTGATGATTATAAATTTTCTAATTATTAGTTCATAGCCTTTACTTTTGAATTAATTTAATCATCAAATGATACAATATTTATTTCTTTTTTCTTCTTTTAATTTATTTCTCTCTCTAATTTTTCCTAATTTTATTATGAAGATTCTAATGCCTTTTGAACGTATTAAAGTTTAAGAATTAATTCACTATTTTCATTTTTAACTTAATTCAAACTCTGAATTGTTCTAGTTAAATCATTTTATAGACTTTATTTATCTTAATTAAGTAAATCTACCTAATTTCTTAATCTAATATTAGTGTCAACTATTTCTGAATTCATTTTCTCAATGAGTTTATTATCAGTAAATGATTCCGAAGACTATTGATGAAAGCATGGCAATTTATTATTCCCATTTTCCATTAAAAACTGAGATTCTCCATTCCAATCAACTTCAGATTTTTCCTATCTGCTAGACTCTGATCTTTTGCTCATTCTGTGTATAGAACTTTTCATTGTTTATTAATGAGAAACAGCAATTTATTTAGGTTAGATATTCTTTTATTTATTTTACAATTCAATTTTTAATTATTTGATCAATTACTATTAATCCTAGATTACAACCATGGATTACTCCTTCAAATCCAACTTTCCTTTAATTAATTTATTTTCTTATTTTAATTTAGCAATTTCCTCTTTTAAATATATTATAGAATTATCCTTTTCCTCATTAATCATTTAGAGATTGTCTGCCCTTTCTTAAAATTCATGTTGATCCATTAGTTGTACCTATAATTTTTCAAATTCACTTAATAGTTGTTAGGCATATTCTCTTTATTAATCAATAACACTGTCTTTCTCTAATAATTTTTATTGAGTTTAGGACTTTAATTAATTAATTTCAGCATTCTTTTTTACTAATAAATCATTTAATGCTATGATTTAAACATTAAAATCCATGATTGGAAATTCTAGTTTTTAATTTAAATTTGATTATTTCATATCCTCTAATTATTAAGTCAACACATCCATTTATTTATTATAATGATTTTATAACATCTAAATTTAAACATTTTTAACCATACTCTTTTATTTAGTAGCCTCCTCTGCATCCTCTTGCAATTGCTTATATTAATTAGTTACTATTTCGAATTATTGTTTTAAATTTTGCAATTCATTTATTAAACCTGAATTTTGTGATGTCTATTATTGTAATCTCATCAATTATATAATTAAATCTTCATTCAATTTCTATTATTCTTTCAATCTTTCATTCCAAGTTTAAACTTCCATTTCTTATGCTTCTGCTAATTCATCGCATCTTTCTCTTTCTTCCTAAATTTATCGTTTCTGAATAGTGATTCTTTGATTTAGATTTTCAATCTCTTTCTTTGCTTCTTAATCTTTTTATCCCAACTTTTTATTCGCATTTTATAATTATAATTCCAACTCATTAATTCTTTTCTATAATTATTGTAACTTCTGCTTCAATTCCAATATATAACTCTTCTAATTTCCAATTTCAATATCTTTCTCTTTTAATTAGAAATCATCAATCACTTGTAGATCATTTTTCTATTCATTAATGATTTTTAATTCTAAAACAACTTATTTATATAATGTTTCCACTCTTGATAATTCTGACTATAATTTTATGATCTCTGAATCTTTATCAGCTTGAGCATTTAATGATTCCTTGTTCTTCTAATGACTCAAATTATAGACTTACTATGCTTCAAGCTGAGATAGCTTCAATTATTCCTTGATTTATTTTCCTTCTCTTACAGAATTATCATACTGCTGTTACAATTAGTCAATTTTAGTTTATAAATTATAGATCTCCTTTTTATGGGCTAAATTTTATTAATTGATCACATTTAATAACTCTAAAAATCAAGATAATTAATACCCTCTTTGCTATTTTTCAATGTTGCCATCTAATTCTACATTAATTCATCTTTTCTTTAATCTCTACTATTAAAATTTTATGTCTTATCTTAAAGTTCGTTTAACTTGACCTTCATCAAATCTAATTGAATAATAGAATTCTCTCTCTCCTTTTATAAATCTAAGATCTGTTTATTAAGCAATGATAATTAAACATTAAATAATTCTTTCTAAGAATTTAAAAATTAATTATGATTCTACTCGATTACGTAAATCTTTTCCTTGTTAGTTTAATCCATCTATGCCAATTACATCTGATATTATTAAGTTAATTGATAAATATCTTCTTTTGTCTATTTTGATAAATTATTGTATTTTTCAGTCCAAAATTAATCTACCTGTTTTATTTGTCGATTTAATTCTTCATTTGATAAAGTTATAACCTTTTAGGATTACATCTTATTATTATTGTTTAATTAATCATTCTAGATTAATAGTTCTTTCTCTCTCTGATCAAACTTCAATTTCATCTAGTCTATTTCTTAAACTTTCAAGACCTTCATCTCTAATAATTAGCTTTCTGCTTACTGAAGCTACTAATTTTTCAATTAAATTTCCTTTTAAAATGAGGCAACTTATAAATTCAATTATTTGATTTAAGCATCTGATTCTGTTTATGATAAACAAAGGGATTTGTGTTTTTCACTCAGCTGTCTTTATAAATCCAAGTTTTGGTTCTTTAGTTGATTGATTTCATTATTCAATTTTTAAGTGTATTAATTGGAGGATTATTATTACATATTTAAATCTTTTTCTAGATTATCAATCTATACCTTTAGATCACCCTTTTTTCTATCATATTGAGTGTTCTCTGATTCAATTGCTAATTATAATTTCTGAACCTGAATCATCATTTATTACAACTTCTTTTGATTCTAATTGTTAATCTATTCAAAATTTTAATTATTTTCCTTTATTTCTTATGCCTTTTTGGCCAGATCTTAATTGGCCTTTTCAATTATTGTATTTTTTTAGCCTATTTCCTATTCCATTTAAGTTATCTTCATTTATGCTTACAATTAAAATTATGCTAGCTTATCATTAAAGTCTTATTAACATTTTTATTAGATTTATTATGCTTAAATCAATTACTAGGATTTTGTTGCATTTACAGCTTCATAGTTGGCAGTACTCTAGTAAAGTTCATTCTTTTTGATATTAATTTCCTTCATTAATTTATCCAATTGATCATTTTTTAAAGACAACTCAGAAGTCAATGATTCTATTTTACTTGTGGCTGACAATTACATTTTACGAATTTATTCTTAGAGTTCTTCTATTACTTTTTTAGAATTGGTATCCAATTACGAGATTTGGTATGTTTTTTATTATTATAAACTGTCATTATTTCTCTGTAATTAAAGTATTTCATTCTTTAGCTTTTGGATATCTGTGTTGGCTCTTTCCAAATTCTGTTTACTTTAATCCTTTTCAATGTTATTAGTTTCTTAAACTTGCTTCAGCTAATTTTTCAATTAATTATTTTGGTCAGTTAATTATTCAATTGCTTTCTTTTGATCTGTGTTGCCTTGGGAAATCTATTGAATTTGAAGTTGTAATGATTGATTTATTTGAATTTGCTGTTATAGTTAATTGACTTGACCCTTATAATCCATTTCTAATTATGATAATTATTGATTCTTGGTTTTCACTTCATTTTGCAAAGACTTTATCTCGAATTCTAATCTATTGTTTTTGTTCAATGAGTTTCGTAGCCACACTTCTTAATTTCGATTTTATTCTGGTGTTTGAGACATTAAATTAATTATATAATATTTGGAACATTTATAACATGATTCTATTGTTATTTTCATTAAACAAATACAATAATAAAAACAATACAATACCTAGCCTAATCTACTTAAAATTGAACAAAATTCTACTGATTTAAGATTAATCATTTAAAAAATGGAAAGTCATTAAGTAAATTTTTTAATTTACTGAAATCACTTTGCCATTCCAGACTACTTATAATTTGATTAAGAAAATGATATAGATTGAATATTTCAATTAACAATTTAATTTTAGAAATAATTTATAGAGTACATTAAAAATAAATATTATTTATTTTAAGATTTCTTATCAGACTAAATTCCTAAGATAAAATAATTAGTTTATTTAAATTTTATTAGTTCCTGCTTATAGTGAATCAGAGATTATTAAACTATCTAAATAAAAGAATTAAAAATTAATTTATTAATTATGATAAAAAAATGTTTAATATTTTACATCATTATTATTCAGCAGCTCTTCTGGTAGCCAATCTTTCTAATTCATTGACTAAGACTAATTCTTATCTTCTTCCTGCAGTGACAGCTTCATATTCAACATCGAAACTGTGACATAAATCAGCAGCGTCATCCCATAAAGTTTAATTTCTCTATCTTTTGTTAGTAGCAGCTTAAGCAACTGCGGTTTAGGTTGAAATTGTTCCTTATAAGTTTTCAGCTTTGCTACTTAAATGAGTCTTGGCATCGTCAAGTCTAGCTTATGAACTAAGATAAAGATCTTTTTGTTATGCGAAAAGACCCAAAGCAGTAGTGTTATCTGCTGTGTATGATGCCCAAGCTTCTTCAACTGTATTTCTCAAGGTTTATAACAATTAGACGAGTCTTTCAGCTGCACCTTCTGAATCTTCTTCTTAAGTAATTTAAGCCAAAGCACCAATGGCTTACATGAATGTCTTGTTCATTTTGGTAGCAATAGCCGATTTCATTAATTTAGTTGTCATCTCAGCAACTTAAACCAATGAAGCTTTGCCCTTAGCTAGAGCAGTAGCAAGATCAATGGAATCATCAATGGCATTGATGGCATCGTTGAAGGAAACAGCTCCTCTGTTGTAGGATTGAGTGTCTTCCTTTCTGGCATCATTAATTAAACCAATGTGTAGAGAAACTGTATTCAAAATATTTTCGGTTTCTCCAAGAGTTGCTTAAGTTTTTTTCAAAAGGATGGTGGCTGTCTTTAGAATACCATTGGCAATTTTGAGTTTGCCATTGGCATCTTCAACTTCAAGTTTTCTGTAAGAGATCTCACTATCGCATTCAGTTTTTTATGCGTTGTAGACATCGTCATGTCCACCTTGTTCTTATGCGACTGCTGATTTAAAGGAATTAAGGATTCCCTTGATTGAATCTAGTGGTGAATGGGTTTTAAGCTTATTTTCAACTTCAACCATGATGTTCATGATGCTTCTTTTACCACCATATTGTAGTGGGTACTTTTACATCAAGCTAGCATTGCTAATGGCTAAGACAACCAAGATTGTGAATGCAATTTTCATATATTAATAATTGATTTTTTCTTATTTTCGAAAGTTCCTTATATACCACAAAATCTTCAGATTAAAAACGGATTGTGGCAAAAAAAAAAAATAATAATTTATTAAAAATTTGATTCTGTTTATAAAATTAAAAAATTAATTTTTTAATCCACGTATTTTGATTAATTAATTTTTCGAATTATTTTCTTTAAAGAATTAATATTTATGAACTAATTTCTATTAACGGGAAATTTTTAGATATTTAAATAATAATAAATAATGGGAGAAATAAAATATTCATAATTAATTTCTATAACAGCAGTAAATAACCGTTAAGGATACAAACTATGATATATGCCGAAGAAATAGATGAACTCTTATTTGGAATGAATTTTTAACGATTCATTAATTTTTTATTTGATTTGAGAAATTTCTACAAATTACAAATTATAAATTTATATAATATTCGGATCAATATGTTAAGAAAGAAGAATGATTATGTCATAAAAGCTGATATATATAAATTAAAGTTTGTATTTAGTTATTTCAGAAATAGAAGTCTATTATTGATTATTTATTAAATGCTTCATTCACTTCTCAATCTTTCAATATTTTATATTCATTCACATATGGAATTAGTATCTTTTCAATTTAAGATTTTTTACATTAATTATAATGTAGGTTGGTTATATTTAATTTGATAGAAAGTTTAGCACCTTGATTATTGATAAATTATATTATTTAATCATGAAAAGAGCAACTGATGGGAACTATTGTAACTATATGAACTATATTCTTAGATGAAAATGAATACATTGCTAATTAGGAGGATAAATTACTTGAGAAGATGAGAAAGAAACAGGTATGATAATGTCTAAAAGAGAGGAACGAGAATTGGAGCAATTAAAATTATATGAGTAATAGTAAAAAGAATAGGAAAGAAGAAAAGTCACTCTCTTAGAATCCACTCGTTCAAAATAACAATAAGTAGAGTTGGCCTTGAAGGAGAAGAGATAAATGGTGAGTATATATCATAATATAAATCTTCTAGATAGAATTGAAGAGAAAAGAAAAAGAGAAGGAAAAATTGCTTTAAGTGTAAAAGATGGAATAAGAAAAACTTAAAGAATTGACGGAAAGGGAAATCAGCAGAGATTTTGTTATATAAGAATTACATAGCAATAAACATAGTTAATAAGGAGTAATTCTAGATAAGATTAAACCATCTATTGTAAAAAAGTAATAGTATAATTTACGTAAGAATAGCTGAAGGAATAATAAATACATAATAAGAGGAAATATTAATAAAGAAAATTGAGTTGGACAAATTAAAGAAGGAATAAGAGGAATAGATATAAGATTTGAGAGAGAGAAAGGAATTGTTGTTGAAAGAATTGAAGTAAGCAAAAAGAAAACAATTAAAAAAAGTGAAACAAAGAAATGAAGCAGAATATTAAGCATAATATGAAGAGAAGAAACAAAAAATAGAGTAATATAAGAAAAAGTTAGATGATATTGAACTGAATTAATAAGTTAAAATTGAATTGATTGAATAAAAAAAAAGGGAGAAGATGGAGAAATTAAAAAAAGTGATGGTGTATTTATTATATTGATTTTTTAGGAAAATCAAAAAAAAATAATGGAAGAAAAGAAAGAAAAAGATAAATAAAAACTTTCACATTTAGATGAAAAGATTAATTAGATTTCTGAAAGAATGAAATCCACGGAAGATAAAATGGAGAAAATAGAAAAAGAAAAGGCAAGACATAGATAAAATGTATAATTCTATTAATATTTAAGATTAAATCTAGAAATGGCAGTATTCAAAATAATAAATCATAAACATATAAAGATAAGATTAAATAAAAGGAACAAGAGCATTTAAAATCAATTACAGAAACTTATTTAATTTCTAAACTCAAATAGTAATAAGAAAAACTAAAAAAAGAAGAACTCATTAGGGATCACAAAAAGAAGGCTGCGAAAATATTATAAGAGATGGTAGAAATTAAGGATAAAAAGTTAAAAGAGAAATTAGAAAAAGCATAATAATTTAAGGATGAAAAAGAATAATTGTTTGTGCAATATCAACAACTAGCTAAAGAAATTGAAAAAAGGAAAAACAAGCTACTTTTTAGCAGTCCTAAACATAATATTGTAGAAGATAAATGAATTATTAAATTAGTTGTATTTATAGAGTCTATTAAATAATTAATATAATAATGTAATAATAATAATAATAGCCAAGATAATTGTAAAGGATAAAGGAGAGATTTGCAATTGCAATGAATTTAGTTTAATTATGGAGGTTTTGTCCATTCCATCATAAAGTAGATAAGTTCATTAAACTGAAACCAAAATCGTAGATGGCAGAACTGTTCAAATCACATTAGACTAGGCTGCATAATTAGTAGGCTTTCCATGAATAACATTAGAAGACTACTATTGTCTATTAAGTGATGCTGAAACTCTAGGTAGATTGCTTTAATTTAATTTTTTAGTTAACATAGAAGAGAAGAAAAATGAAATGATGGGTTATATTAGAAAATTATGTAAGGAGAATAGAAAATATAACTAATAGATAAAATAGGAAGAGGAATGTTACTAGCTAAATTAATTTTAATTTGAAGATAATATTCATGATGATTGAATTAACATAAATTCCATGTTTCTAATATTTAATAGGAATATAATATAATCTCATTTCTGCTTTTTTTACTTACTTGTTGATGAAATATCAACAAATGGAGATGCAGGCTTCACATCAACTCTACCCAATGTTTTGTTTATTTCAGCAATTTATGGTAATGCTTGAACTTATTTAAACCTATTAAAAAAGAATTATTAAATAAAATTTATACCATCTGAAGAAATGCACATATTTTCCAACTTTTTGTTCATCATTCCATGTAGACACTATATCATATGTGTGAATATATAAAAACAAATCCGCTAGTGTTACATGATTTGTAACAAAAAATACTTTGCTTTCTAAATGTTTCAGAAATGCCTTAATTTAAACACTATTAATACTTCAATTAATTCTTCTCCTTAAATCTTTCTTTATGCTTCAAAAACTTATAAAACCTATCAATTTATATGATTATTTTACTTGTCCCAATGTTTAATTATCTGTTCCGATGAGTATTTTTTCTGTAAATGAAATATTAGTTAAATATCTAAATTAGTATTTTTTAATAATACTGTGCAATAGAGAAAACATTTGATAAAATTTATGCATCCTCTGTCACCAATGAAGGAATCGATGGGAATTTTAATACACCTTCCTCATTTAATTTTAATGCTTGATGTGAAAGCACCACTAATTTTACTCTACCTGTTGTAACCAATCTGGTATAATGAGCCAAAAGTGTTAAGAATTATGAATTTAAATCTGTTGATAAGAACAACTCCATTAATTAATATAATTTATATCTTTATTTTAAACATAATTTTTATGTACTTCATCAAATATTCTTTTATATAAAAATGTTTCCCTATTCAATATTACCCTATATTTTAATATATTTTAATCCAAGATGTAGATATTTTTAAATATTTCTATCTAATTAAAATGCATTACATGTAATAAATCTATATTCTATTCAGTCAATTTATAAGCAATTAAATGATGGATCTTGAATCCAATTAATAAAAATGAGAGAATTAAAGAAATTATCCAAAATTAATTAACGCTCTCCCAATTAAGGGTAAACTTGTCTTATAAGTATATATTATTTAATTGAGTATATTGAACTTGGATTTAGTAAATAATTCTGAATTTTTATCTTTAACAGAGTTTATATAATAAATATTTAAAATAAATGTAAACGCGTATGAATGAAAAAGCAAATGAAAATAAATCAAATCTATTATTCAGCAGCTCTTCTAGTGGCTAATCTTTCTAATTCATTTATTAAGACCAATTCTTATCTTCTTCCTGTAGTGACAGCTTCATATTCAACTTCAAAACTGTGGCATAAATCATTTGCATCTTCCAATAAATTTTGATTTCTTGATCTTCTATTTGTGGCAGCTTGAGCAACGGCAGTTTAAACTGATATAACTCCTTCAGTTGTTTCTAGTTTAGCAACCAATCTTGACTTAGCTTTGTCTAATCTTTCTTATGTGGCAGTGTATAAATCTTTTTGACCCATGAATTATTGGAGACCTTATTAATTTGAGGTTGTATAGTCAGTCCAAGCAGTTTCAACAGCGGTTCTCAAAGTTTGGAGTAATTAAACAAGTCTTTCAGCAGCACCAGCCTCTTCCTCTTGTGTAATTGCAGCCAAAGCAGCCATTGGTTGTCTAAATTCTTAAATTAATTTAGTTGCCAAGGCTGATTTCAATAATTTAGTTGATAATTCAGCAACTTAAGCCAAACTGATTTGTCCCTTAGCCAAAGCAGTAGCCAAATCGATTGAATCATCAATAGCATTGATTGCATCATTGAATGATACAGCAGCTCTGTTGTATGATTGAGTATCTTCTTTTCTGGCTGAATTAATCATATCAATGTGTCTTGTTGCAGTGTTCAAAATTTCTTCAGTAGCATCAAGTGTTGCACTAGTCTTTCCTTTGATGATTTTTGCTGTTTTTAAAATACCATTAGCACTAGTAAGGATACTGTTGGCCTCTTAAACTTCCTTTGATCTGTATTCAATTTCACTATCGCATTCAGTTTTTTAAGCATTATAAACTTCATCATGAATGCCTTATTCTTAAGCGACTTCTGATTTGAAGTTGTTCAAAATGCCTTTGATTGTGTCAAGTGGATTTCTAGTTTAGAGTTTGCTTTCAACTTCTGTCATAATTGACATAATGTTTCTTTTATTAGAATAGTTCAATGGATATTTTTAAACAAATCCAGCTTGTGCTAACACAATTATTGCTAATAAACCTAATATTGCCTTCATTTAATATTATTGAATTTTGTCTACGTATGAATAGAATTTGAAGCAACAATCTTGAAAAACGGGAATGCCCTACTTTGAATTAACGTAAAGCTTTGAACTAACGTAATTGTTTATAAAATAATTAAAAATTCTATTGAATTTAATAAATTTGAATATTCTTAAATTTATCTGGTAAAATTTTAGAAATCTGAGGATTAAATAACTATTTAATATGTTTTGTATTTATTAAAATTTATTGATTTAATATTAATGCAAAATTTAATGAGTTATGTTCTTTATTATATATATGGAAAAGCTATAAAATTAAATGAAAATTAGTAATTAATACTTTTAAAAGACATTAATTCAAAGGTATGAGCATATTTATTCTTTGAATATTTTGTAGAACCTAATTCTTATTAATAAGATTTATCTAGATAAAATGGAAATTTACCAATTTATCTAGATAATTAAATTTAATCCTAATTTATAAATATAAATAAGAAATTTGAAATGAATTGCGGGGTTGAGACATACTCAAAGCATATAACATTTAATTGTTTTTCTAGGAGATAGAATGGTGGATGGGGATTTAACATAAAAAGTGTCAATAATCATCAGAAAATAATATAAGGAAGCGATTTAACATTAATATCTGAAAATAATTAATAAAATGAATAAGATATAAATTCAATACTGAAATGAATTTTAAATATTTCAATTTATATGATAAACATTTACATTGTTAAAGGAGACTTATTTATTGCAAATTAGTGACATTGGCATTAGGAAGCCCATTATAAATTTAAATAATTTTATTTATAAATTGCGCTTTAATTTAAAATTGTTTTATTATGCAAAAAATCGGTAGTTTTATATTTATCCTGAATAATAGATCATTTCAAAACGATACTCTACATTACTCTTTAATGTATGTAATGAATTTCTTCTAATCTATGTCAACCCAAAAGTTACTAATCCCTTCAATTGTGCTTATACATTCCCCTAGAAAATTGCTTCTTTTTAAATCATATATTACTAAAATTATATTTTGGAATCTTCTTTAATAACAAGTATCAATTCACTATTATGGCACAGAGCAGCTCTAAAAATTATATCTTCAAATTGTAATTATAGGATCAAATTACTTAAAACTCTGTTATATACTTCAATAGTTTTATCAGATACAATCAAAATGTATTACTCTCTCAATTATATATTAAAAATACCATTATTAGAAATAGAAAACTCCTTAATATTTTCTAAATTACAAAAATAACCTTAAACATCTCCAGTTTCTAAATTCGCTATTTGGAAAGAAGATTATTATTTAGTCGGATCAAAACAATTTTAAGTGAACAAACAGTGTTTACAACTTGAATTAATAAATATTTCTGGTCTTTCGGACTTCAATTCAATTTACCAAATTACATATTTCTTTGTTACATCAAAACCCCTAGGTAAAATTTGTTCAAAATACTTAAGCAGATTATTTGGAATAGGAATACAATATAGTTTGAGAATGATTGAATTTTAAATAATGAGGAGAACCTATTTTTTACCAATAACTAGCTATCAATCCACTTTTAATGTTCAATATACTTATTTTACCCTATAAATCAGATAATGCTAATATAGTTTGTTAATAGTTTATAGTTAAACATAAAACCTGTAAATCTTTCTTCTTAATATTTTTCAATAACAGAGCTGTGGTTAGATCATAAATTCTTAAGCTATTTGAATCAAATTTCTTTGAAACCACTATGTTTCTTTTAAATATAACAAGATGATTACTTTAAATAATAATTATCAGGTATAATAGGTTATTCTATGAATAAATTTCTCAATAATTTTTGGCAAGAAATAGAATAATATAAGACCTTTGAATCAGCATTTAGAATAAATCTATTATAAACTGACATAAATACTAGGTTCCTTGTTCATTGATTAAACAATTATTTACTTTTTGTTTGGTAATAATGATTTTCCTTTCCTTAATTTTAATTTACTTTTACATTAATTAAATAATAAAAATTGATTAATTATAAAATCGAAATAATAAATCATTAATTAATTTAATTGATTAAAGGAGCATCTTGAAGAAATGAATTTTCTGAGAGTTACCCTACAGATAAATGGTATCCTCGTTTTGTGTCTAAATGTGATCTACCTGTAAACAATTTTTGGCTACTTACTTAAAGTAATCCTTAAAATTGATGACTTGCCATTGAATTATGATTATTTGTTTAATGATTTGATTTTGATAAAATTAAAAGACTTGTTTTATTTGGAACACTGTCTATCAATTGTGTGGAAGGTTCTGATAAAAATTTCAACATACTAGAGTATTCTTTCTAAAGAATTGAGATCTGACTTTCCAATTAATCATATTCATTAATTGAAAATTAAAGGTCTGATGAAAACGAATTCTTATTTAAGAAATTCTCCCATAATTTATACACTTTTGGTTTGTAAATTAGTTTATGTGTAGGATCACCTAATGACACCAATATGCAAGTTGCTGATACATCGAAAATGACAAGGATAAAGGAATCCTGTTTAGTAAATTTGATTCTCTTATTACCCTTTTGTGTGATTTAATTTATAAATTTAAGAAGACAGTTAATAAACTGTTAATTTTATGGTAAATTAAAGATAGATGCACAATTCCACATCCCTGTTACTAATTATTCTGAATTTAGTATAATTCTTTGTCTGTCATCAAAGCTAATTGTGCCAGAAGATAAATTGTATCGATTTTAAAATGCTTCATTCTAAATGTATTAAAACTAATGGTCTATGACTTAGAAATTCAAAGACGGTCCATAAATGCTAATTTATCCATTTAAGACTAGTAATTATATGATTGAATGATTCAATTAAGCTTCTTCATATACGACTGGAAATGTATTGCCTTTCACAATTTCATTTCCATTAAAATTTACACTTCTAATGTTTGTTGCAGTCAATAATTCCTAAGCCAATTATTCTCCTATTATCAATTATTCATAGCCTATTTTCCAATCCAAATTTTAGAGATGTTGGATAAATTTGGCACCTTCCACATATTAATACATTCGTTAATTAATTAAATCACTAATTAAGAGCAGCAGAATTTAAAAAGCATTTATTAAAAACCTATTAGAAGTTGTAATTTTAAAGTTATTAAAGACACATTACTCTTTCTGCTCTCCTTAGAGTATTAGCATCCAAAATCATAAAAAAAGTAAATTCATTAATTCAACTTTAAAATCTGATATATTCTATTAAACCAGCTATTACTTAGAAAGACTTCTGATGGTTTTCAGGAATAAAAATATACATAATAATTAAATTTGCCCATCATCATATATAACTATTAAATTAAAAATATTATTTAAGAACATTTCCAACTTAATACAATTAACTTCAAACATATGATAATATTTTATAAAGATCTATTTGTAAATAAAATTAATAGATATTTTCAACAAAATTTGGATGAAAAGTAGAATTATGTAATATCTTACAAATTAATTAATAAATATTGAGTAAGAATTGATAAATGTTAATGTCATCCAGCAGTTCTTTCATTATTTAGACATCCTTGTTTGATCAAATGATTTTTCCATGTATTCTTCTCCAATTTCAAATCTTAATGACACAAAGGACATCTCACTGTTGTGTTGTCATTTCTGCCTCTGCAATCTTCCAAATGTCTATGTATAATAGAGTATTTACTTATCATAACCACTCAATAGAATAGCTTCTTTGCACTTGGGACATCTCTTAAACTTTCTTTTATGATCACATTCACTCAACAAATGATTAGTTAATTCAGCTATTTCAATAACCTATCCGCATTATGAACAAGTAACTAACATAGGACATTCTGACCAAAGGTGTTTATCTATTTGATCTGGATCTCTAAAGGAGGGATTAACTCTATCACAATAATCACATTTTGCTGTATTATTTTAGTCATATTATTATTATTATTGCTATTTTTATTATTACTATGGTTTTTAATTCTATGTTTAATTTTGATTCCCCTTTTTGGCTCCTTAAGATTCAATATTAGTTTGAATTATTGCTCGTTATTAATTAGTTTATGGTTGATCATCAACATCCCCACCTCCATCTATTTTATTAAAGAAATCTTCTAACACATCTAATTGGGCTTATCTGACATTTGTCAAAGATTGTTTAAGTCTATTCCCAGAAAATTTATACACTTCTACCAGAAGTAAGATGGCTTAAGTTCTAATTGGTTCATTCTAAAGCAATTTAATAAGAGAATACTTTATCATCTTATAATTTAACAGCAAAATCAACAATTGGTTAATATGGCATATTAGCATTATTGATTTCATATCTCTTCACTAGTTCTGTCAACATAGCCAATCTTCCCACTATATGTTTAGTAGAGCTTTGCAATTTAGATTTCCCAACAAAACCTTTAATTAAATGCTATACACAAATAGCAGGACCAACAGACGGATGATCTGCCATTTGTAAAAATGCATTTTCTGCTTATTCCTTTCTTTATTCGCCTAACTTTTCCATGAGAGATTATAAAATCCCATCAATATGTTCATTGAATTCTGCACTTTTATTTATTTTTATTTTTGGGTATTTTGCAAGCAGAGATTGTAATACACTTAAACTTCTAATTGAAACAGCTGCAACTTTATCACCCAAAGTATAATTTATAGATGCTATTGAACTCAAAAAGAAGATGGAGGGATCCTATGAATTGACTTAAGTTGGTCTACCGATCTAATCTTCCAACCATTTTAATCCATCCTCTCTAGCTCCCCATTATTTGCTAAATATTTTTTAACAGAATTCCTCTGTCAAAATTGGTATTAACGGTTCAGCTTTTTAGAGACTGTCTCCTGTTAACGGTTCGGTTGTATCTTTAATTACAAATTCATCATACATTATTATTATTACTATTTGTCATCATCAGGATATTAGTTGTTATTTTACTTTCTTAGGGCACCTGGTACGATCATATCTTCATGATGTTGATTCAATTCTTTTGCTACTCGTTTTTGTCTCATTTATGATGGATCTGCTCTTTGTTCCTCAAACTATGATTATGAAATCATTTCTTCTCCTTGTATAGGCATCATTGGTGGAGGTGCTTAATAAGGGGGAACAAAGGCCATTTAAGACTAAACAGGTGGTGGTTAATATTATTATTAATAGTATTATTATTATTACTATTATTACTATTAGTATTATTATTATGGCTAATACACAGGTTATTAATATTACTAATTTAATTTATTTAATATTACAGCACTATCTGGTCTACGTATCATTGAATCTGGCGCTACAGCATTCCTTAACTTCTCTATTTCCTACTTGATAATACTTGCTGAATCATAGTCTTCATTCTATATTGCAACAGCCTTTCTTTCTTCTAATGTTCTTAATTGAACTCCTATTTATTTCAATCTTTCAATAGCTTCTTTAATTCTCTTGGCTTCCATGAAATCTTCCCTCGAAACAGCTAATTTTTATAGTTGAAAATACCTTTGTCTTTTGCTTCCTCTAATAATCGCAGTCTTTCTAGTGTATTTTGATCAAATTATGTTTCAAATTAAATTTCATTATAAAATTCTTTTTATTTCATTTACCCATATCCAGGAGGAGAATCAAGAGGTTCACCAAACACGGATAAAGCAATAACGCCAATTTAATTGAAGAGATTAAATTTGTTCACGAAGCATTTTTGAAATACAAATTTCATGAATAAACATGGTGTGTCAATATACACACTTTTTAATTCTCTTGCTTGATATCCACCTCTCTCATTGGAATCAAGTGATAAGTATCCTAATTTCTTATATTTGATTTGATTATATTGTGGAGGTATATTCTTATCTGGCATGTGAACATATAGTTCAATCTAAAACCAATTTTAATGTATGATACTTTTGTAGATATCTTGCAATGATGAGACAAGAATTGAACCTGTCGAACTCTTGCTGCACTAACAAATTAAATTGCTATTTCCTATGGATATTCACAATATTTTGGTGCTTGCCAACCCCTGCTTTATGGCGATTGAGTGAGTAATTCAGTCACAGGATAGTCTTAATCTTCTCCTGAACAATACACAATCCTATATTTCAATTTAGAAACTCCTTTCATAAATAAATAAATATTTATTGAAAATAAAAATCAAGATCAACTATCGAAAATATATTTCATATATTCATCTGAAGACATCTATTTAGATGATTGTATATTTTTTGGATTCTCTAAATTCATATTTTATAGCTTCAATTCAACTGTTGTCTCTTTGGATTTGATTTCTTAATAATGTTTATAATATTTCTTTTATAATTGTTATTGTTATTATTGTTATTATTGTTATTGTGATTATTGTTGTTATTATGGTTGTGCTTGAACATCTATATCTTTAATTGTTTAAACACGCATATTTTAAAAATTAGTTATGATATAAAGATATATTTTCTTATTATGTTCATCTAATTTGGTCAATGCATAATAAGTGCGATTATTAATAATCTATGAATTAAATTTGACCCTTTCTTCCAATCTCTGATCTCCCTATGTTGTATTTGCATAGAGTAATTCAATATGAGTGGATATTGGTTTGTAATTAATTTTATCAATCTTGTAAACAGATTCAAACTCCTTCATTTAAGTAATTGGAAAGTTTAATAAATGGAAGGCATCCGCTGTTGGTACTAAAATGACATCAAAATCTGTCATTATTTTTAATAATAATAATAATATTTATATATATATAAATCAAATATCAAGTTATTTTATTTTATTTCTTATTTCAATATAATGGCCATAAGTTAATCTGACTGGTTTGCCATCAGCAATCTATTCGATTTTTGAATCAATAGCAAATTCATAAGGATCTTCGAAACATTCTTAAATGAGAGAAGCCAATTAAAAGTAAGTGATTAAATAGTCAAGTAGAATCACACCTCCTTCTATATCCATGGGTAATAATTATTAAGTGTCTTAAACTACAATTTTGGATTCGAGTGAATATTCGATTTCCTTTATTGCAGTTCTTAAGATAGAATTCAAAATAATATAGAAAGATTCATATTCAGTAAAATTGTCATCAAAAACAGCATCAAACTTTTTGTCAATTGCTAATAATGATTTTTAATCTGGATTCTATAAGGACATCCAAACAGTATTGAATTAAAGAGTGTATTTTTGATTATATTGATGGATAGCTGTACACAATTTTGTATACTAGGGATTCTATACATACTGCTAGAATTTCTCTAATCCAAGAGTGTTTTGTCCTTACATCACTTCATTTAAACAATTTAACTTAATCATGATGTTCTTGTTCACTAAAAACAATAGTTTTTCTCTCAAATAAGAGGTTTAAAAAAATCGATATTTGTCCATTAAAGCAGAAACCCTATATAAATATCTACAGAAGTTTAGCTGGGCCAAAATGATGTAATCATTCTTCTTAGATTCACTCCAACTTTCCTCCTCTCTCTAACTTGAATGTTCTTGATTCATCTATTAACTTATTTAAGATTCCTTTCTTGACTCCTAGACTCTTTTGATTGACTTCAAAGGTTACTACATGATGGATTATTATGACTATTTAACAATGACAGTATTTTCCTTTCCATAATTTGATTCCCTGGTTTGAAATTAAATAGATTGTTTATTCTGAGTATCACCCAAAGGAGTTGCAATATTATTATTCTATAAGAGATGATGATGATTGTTTTGTTGATTACTCCTGAACATACTAGAGAACCCATTGCCTTTAATAGGTTAGAGTTCTTGTTTTGACAACCAAACATGGCCTTCCAATTCTTCAACAGTGGCTCTTCTATTTTCATCTACTATCAAACACCTGTAAATAAAATCCTTGCATTCATCTGAGATGTGTCCTGGGAATTGCACAGGCACAGTGGCCATTCTTTAAGCTAATTCTCTCTCACTTCCAGCTTACCAGGGAACTTGCCCAAATAATAATTCATAAAGACTTACACCCAAAGCCCAAATATCAGATTTTTCTGAGTATCTGTTTTTGAATGCCTAGGGACTCATGTATAGAGGTGATCCTACATTGACATTAGGCATGGTGGCAGCAGTTTGGGGAGTGGTAGCAAATCCAAAGTCAGCTATTTTTGGAACTGATGCTTTGAGTAGGATGTTGGCTGGCTTGAGATCTCTATGTACAATACCTAATTTAGTAGATAAATATGAGATACCCCTTTGTTTCATCTACTTGTAACCCTGGATGATACCATAGAATAATTTTTGCATATTCTACTCTTTTTAGACTCCTGTTTTAGTTACCAGTTATCCCAAGTCACCCTAGTCACAAAATTCAGTGATCAGGTATGTATTATTTTCAGTGTAGTACACTTTGTATAATCTCATGATATTTGGAGAATTGAGTTGGGATAAGGCTTCAACTTCGGATCTCAGGAGTTGATAATGCAGAGGAGTCTTGAGTCCTTTTTTATCGATCACTTTTATGGCGACTACCTCATTGGTTTCATCATTTCTGCCTTTATAGACAATGGAACTAAAGCCCTTTCCGATAGCATCTGATAGGGCATAACTGAAATTCTCTATAACTTTACGTGCATTGCCTGGAATGGGCGTAGCAGGCATCTGTCTTTATTGCTGTTAGACAAGCATAATATTGTATATTTTTAATATTTAATTTCAACGGTAAGTGAATAAATTAATTATTATCATAAAGGGAAAAATTCATTTCCTTTTATTTGTCGAATTGACTTTTTTTTGTTTTTGTCTTTTGATTTCATCATAATCCAACATGTCGTCATCATCCTTGATCAATTTCATATTCATTTTCACTTTGGTGCCATTGACTTCCACATATTGCTTATTTTGGAGTGGTTGAGATTGAGATGTGGATAACCTGCTTGGATTTTACTAGGGTTGCAACAAAAATTGAGGAGGTATCATTGATACATTCAAAGGTGAAATTGGAGACATCATTTGCTATTGGGACAACATTGGAGATATCTACATCTAAGGCATTTACTGGAATTGTTGTTACATCATCCAATAATTCCAGGGTTGAGGTGACCTTTAAATCCTATCAATAATTTACATCATAGGATAACAGAACTATTGCTATAAAGGGGACTACTATTATTATTGCTGCTATTTGTTTTTGATCATGGCCAAATAATCCTAATTTGGAAAACTCATTTATCTAAAAAATATTTAATTTTAAATATATTTATATAAATCTCTCTCATACTAAACACTTTTCCTATATCAGATCCTTATAAGCTCTAGTCCCCTGCAAATTCTCATCCATCAACAACCGAAACAAGTTATCCTGACTAATACTGATTCCTTACTCCAATCTATCCACATATGCCTTATGAATCTCCTATCCAATCTGATTTGTTATCAAATCCTTCCCTTTCTACTTCTTTGACTCCAACTCGGTTAATAATTTCCCAATTATTCTTTGAAACCTCATAAATCTACTTCTCAGATATGCATTCGAAATCTCAATCATGTCCTGCACCATCTTAAAATGCTGCTGTTTCCTTGCTTCAGTTGTATTCAGAGTTTAAGGGTTATAATTGATCTCCATGATATGCAGATCCAAATCATCGGTTAACAAGAAGTCTGCTGCAAAAAATTCACCTAATTTACTGTCTTTTGCAAATGTGTGCTGAGTACTTCGGATTGCATGGATGATCATCCTGTCAACCTTAGGCAATAACTCATTTTGCAACCACTTATTGTTCTCAATTCTACCTTCCTTCAATAAGATTTCCTATAGGTGATCCAACTTCCAATCTATAAACAAAGTGTCCTCTTAACTGCTGATCTCATCGTTATTATTATCATCATCATCATCAGTCTCATCACTATCATTATCATTGTCATCATCCTCATTCTACATTTTCTTTAAAGTACTTTTCACTATGGCTGTATTACACACATGAGCTCCCTTTAATAGAGAAAATTTATCAAAAGGATATATACACCTACGAATCAGAGTTTTATCATAAGCATATGCGATAATTGGATTTGTGGATGCCAAGATCCAATACACTCTAAATTCAATCTTATGTCCCTTGTACAACAGAGGATTGACAATATATTATTGAGCCACTTTGAATGTTTTCACTGATCCACACAATTCTCCTTTATCGAATTTCTTATTCAACTCCTCTTTCTCTTAAGGAAACAACATATTAATCCCACGACCTCTATGTACTTCCTTTCCCATTTTAATAATAAACTAAGGACCATCCTTCGTAATTTTGTCTTCATAGACTTTAGAGTTTATGTATGTAAAAAACTGCAAACACTCATTCTCGTTGAATAATCTATAGGTTTTAGGTAAATAGGTTGCATTAGCCTTTTATTTAAATTTATATGGATACTATACAAACCGCATCTACTCCATTTTAACGAAGACTTCGCAGATAATTCATCTAGTTTGTCATCAATCTATTTTTGTGAGACAAGGATGCTCTTTAAGGCATATGATTATACTTTTAGAATAAACATAAAGATTCTATGATTAATTAGATTATTACATTATCCAATCTTAAAGTAATGGACCAATTAATCGTAATAAGTAAATGGTAATGTAAGTTTGAGAGGTAGTTTAAACTAATGAGGCTCTTCAATAATTAGGAAACATACAGTCTTTATTATTTCTATGCAGATTAACGTTAGGCAAGACATCAAAGAAATGTTATTACAATGCTTCTTTCACCACACCTCTATATTCTCTGAAGGTATATGTGTCATTCATAATCACATCTGGATGGTAGTACTTGTAAGTGTCTGATTTGATGCAATAATCATGCTGAGGCTAAACGAGAATGGTGTTAAACTTAAAATTGAAATGATATTTACTTCCTTCGTAAATGCTTCAGGAGAATAATAATTTTATGATATAAACTGATTCAATAAACCAATTACTACTTCCACACTCCCCTTATTTATATATGTAACTCTCGTCATGTAAACATGTCCTAATGAATATATAAATATGAAAGAAATCAATAACGTTATTGTATTCACAAACATATTTAATAAATATTTTTATTTCAATATATTGTACAACATCACCTAATTATACATTCATCCACTAACTTCTGATTGGGCTCAACAGATGCCAAAGTCCCCAAATTGCATTTATTCAATTCAGTCGCATGTCCAACAGCCGATTCATTTGACAAAATGCAATGTTGGATGATACAACTATATTTAATGTGACAATAACATTTACTTAGAATTAATGACTACATTCTTCATAATAATGGAATTACTAATTTTAACATGATCTCCAATGGTGCAATTCTTGCCAATAATTGATCTCTGAATGGTAACCTTATTGCCAATTCTCGTTCCTTCACCAATGACTGTGTCAGGACTAATACGAGCATCTTGAGGGTATTAATTTTGGATTTGGAAATCTTGTACAGTTTAATAGAGTGAAATTCCTTTATTTCCTTTTATCATGCTTTCATAATTGGCTTATTGATAATCTTTGATGTTGTTCAATCTTCTTGCATAGTCTTAAGTGATGAACACTTTAATAGAGAACTGCTATTGTTTTCTTTCATTGAAGAGTCCTTACTCTTTTTTGGACATCAAATTTAGCAAATTCACATTCTTCTAATGTTTTATGATATAGGGCAAGAATTCTAATCTCCAATTTTAAATTTCTAATTCTTATTTACTTAGTTTTTGAAACAATTCGAGTACTTCATATTGACAAACATAGACGTGAGTATCAAATAAATTGGTCATTATTTGTACACTCTAGCAACTTAATAGAACATTTCGACTCACTTAAAGATTAACTTGATCATCATCTTCTTGACTAGTGATATGTAACAGGCTCTGATCGGAACCTATAAACATGATATCGAAAGATTCGTCTAGATTGCAAGAAATGGGAGCTCTTCCTTATTTTTTATCTAAGTCTTCTTCCTTAATCAAACAAGTGATAGTTGCTTTTTTTGAATAGTGAAAATCCAACAAATCTAAGATATTGGCTCCGATCATACTGTCACAAGACAGAAGTATGAAATCCTTCTTTATTTTTTCATGTGCTTCCAATAATGCAGATCCTGATTCAGAATCTTCGCTAACATAAAATATTTCTGCTCTTCTCTAAACTAAATCAGCTACAGCTTAATGATTTTTAGTTAACAAAATTAAGATGTCTTATGGTCCAAATCCAGCTGTTTCCAATAAATCTAGTTAGTAGAGAATCATTGGTTTATTGCATATTGGCAAGAGACTTTTGGAATAATCTTGGCAGAGTGGAAATAACATGCTTCCAGCTTTTTGTCCACCTCCAAGTATGATTGCTTGATATTTGATTTGCATTAATTATTAAAGAATAAATATATATAAATAATTAATCTATATTTATCATATGATCAATAATTTATTTGGGCAATTTCTCTACTTGCATTTTGCTAAATTTTATACTTTCGCATAAGAATTAGTACTTAAACATAAATCATACTATTTAATTAATTAACAATCTTACTGCTGCCTTGCTCCTCTAGATTCCAGCTGGTGACAAGTCATCCATAGCTGTCTAATAACAATCAGCAATTTATTTTTTGCTAGAATAAATGATCTATTGATTACCAAGTCGAATCTTTCCGACAAGCCTCAACTTCGGCACTGCAATATTGAGTTAAGCAGTCACTATGGGTAGTGGTTTCTTGAATAGAAAATACTATCGAAATGATTGTAAGGAACAATAAAAATTTCTTCATTGGTTATTTAAAAATAATAATATCTGAATAAAAACGCTTAGTGTTATTCTAATCAAGCTATAATTTTCTCCAAATTTCTTATATCGATGTCTATGCCAATCAAATTGTTTTTAAGACAATGCTTTGTTTAACACTCGGTAATGGTTCTTGCAATTTGATGAGTTCTCATACAATAATTAAACTAAACAAATGATTCTAATCTTTTACATCATCATATGCGTGTTCAGTTCCTTAATACGTTTTAGAATCTTATGCCTTTTTAACACTCTTTCTAAAGTCATTTGCACAATCAGCGAGGTGTTGCTGACAAGTCGCATCTTCCTTACATTATTTAATTTCAGTTGAACAGAAAGCTTAAACACAATTGTCATCTGCATATGTTGCAGTGATGAATGTGACTATAAATATAATGACCAAAAGTCTCATATTTAAAATTAATTTAATAATATTCTAAAGAATTATAATGATTATTAACAATTATTTGTTTAATTTCCCCTAAGTCTCTAATTATTAAGATGTTACGTAATTTATTAGATATCATTAATAATAAATGCTTCCTAAGTTTATTAAACTAAGAGCTAGTTTCTCCCTTCTTAACTTCAATTTCATTTCTAATCTATCTCCAGAAATAGAAGAATTGCGATCTCATGTCACCAAATTTGCTGCAGAGGAAGTAGCTCCATTGGCTGACAAGGCAGATGAAGAAGGCAAGTTTCCACCACATTTATGGAGAAAGATGGGAGATCTGGGATTATTAGGAGCCACAGTTGATCGTAATGCCTAATTGTGATTATTTAGCTGCTTACGGTGGATCAGGATTATCCTATTCTGCTCATTGTATGATATTGGAAGAAATCAGCAGAGCCTCTGGTGGTATTGGATTGAGTTACTCTGCTCATAGTGCTTTAAATGTAGCTCAACTTCAAAGACATGGAAATGAAGCTTAGAAAAAGAAATACCTACCCAAATTGTGTTCAGGAGAGTGGATTGGAGCTTTGGCTATGAGTGAACCAAATGCTGGATCAGATGTTGTATCTATGAAGACAACAGCCAAAAAAGTTGGTGATAAATATATTCTCAATGGAAGTAAGATGTGGATCACTAATGGACCTGTTGCAGATGTCATTGTGGTTTATGCCAAAACAGAACCTGAAAAGAAACAACATGGAATTACTGCTTTTATTGTAGAAGCAGGAATGAAAGGATTTTCAAGAGGCAAAAAATTAGATAAAATTGGAATGAAGTCTTCTGACACTGGACCTATCTATTTTGACAACGTAGAAGTCCCTGCAGAAAATGTACTTGGTGAAGTCAATAAAGGAGTTTATGTTTTGATGAGTGGATTAGATTATGAGAGATTAGTGTTGGCTGCTGGACCTGTTGGATTGATGCAAGCTGCATTTGATATCTCAAGAGAATACTGCAACACCAGATAATAATTTGGAAAACCTATTGGGCAATTTTAATTGATGCAAGGCAAATTGGCTGAGATGTACACTACTTTGTAAGCCAGCAGGGCTATGCTCTATTCAGTTTCTCGTGCTGTTGATGCAGGGAATATAACTAATACAGTAATACATACTTATCTATTTTTAGGATTGTGCAGCTTTGATTTATTATACTTCTGTTAATGCCACTCAAGTTGGATTGGAAGCTATTCAATGTTTAGGTGGAAATGGATATACCTAAGAATATCCAGTTGGAAGGATTATGAACGATGCCAAACTCTATGAAATAGGAGCAGGAACAACTGAAATTAGGAAATGGTTGATTGGTAGATAATTGACTTAATGATCCTCCAACATAACATTGTTAACAAATATATTTATTATCAAAAGTTTTTAAATAATTCTATAAAATTAAAAAACTTATCAACATATTTGTTTTGTTTTGGAGATGTATTCGTAGATATTGATTAGATTGTATTAATACTATTAGTTGATTTGCCATCGACATCATCATGTGAAGTCTTCATTTTTTTATTTGGCGTTAAACTATGTAAAATTAACAAAATCATTTACTATTTAACATCGTGAACAACTTTTAGTGCGATATTTTTTTGTTTGACCTTCAATTTCAAGGACTCATTTTCATAATGATTGAAAATGTTATGTGTTTTCATATTAGTCTTTACCCATTTACACAAATAAATTTGTTGAACAGTTGGTCTGAGTTCAGGATTCTTGATTAACAGAGCCTGAATTAGGTTGATTAAATCCTCGCTAACTCCATCACTTCTAAAAATTAATAATTGGTTAGTAGTTATATTTTAGATCAATTCCAGTTGATTATGTCCATTGAATGGGAAAGAACCATGCAACAATTCCTATATTGATAGAATTTCAAAATACATAGAGGATAACTCCCAATGACCAAGTATCAACTTTAAAATCCAGTACTTATTTTGATACTACTTCAGGCGGCATATACTCAGTTGTACCACACATCACATTTTCGACTGGTAACTGTTGAACCTTGATAGCCCATCCAAAATCACATAATTTTAGAGTTCCATCCTCGTGAATTAAGACATTTTCGAACTACTTAGAATTTTGATGATTACTTTTAAATCCCTGTGTATGATGTTATGCTAATGAAGATAATCAACTCCACTTAGAATTTGATGGAAAATCTAGAATACTTCATCTTCAGTGAATTGAGTCTTGGGATTAATTAGATGACCCTTGCTACAATATTCAAGTAGAATATAGATGTTGTTTTAATCTTCCCAATATGAATAAAATTTCACAATATTTTTATGATTACAAGAAGAATGAATGGCAATCTCACTCTAGATCATCTGGGAAGCATTGTACATGTTAATTAGATGTTTCGAAATCTTCATAATCCTATTGAAATATTTACAATTTTGCAAGCAAACTCATATTGAGTGTTGAGATCTTTGACCAAATACACGGATCCAAAAGAACCTGAACCCAATTACTTAATTGTTTAGTAAAAGTTACCACATCCAGTAATAATCATTATATTTTTAATTAAATTAATTTTACCGATTGCCCTCTCTCAGTAATATAGAGTTTAAATGTTCTTAATATGTAAATAATTTGTTAATTCATAAGAAATACTTGTATTAAACAAAAATTCTATATGCGAAATTTCGAAAAGGAATATTCATAAAAGCCATTTCAATTGTAATAGTTTGAAATGGAAAATTGAATTTAACATTATTTTTAATTAATATAAATGTTTATATGGACTATTAATTATAATAATATAATTTATTAGTAAATAATATAATACACATTTTAATCATACAGACTTTATTCTTTCTTCTTCTAATTATGGATTACTTCCATTACTCTAATTTGTATCTAAAAATAGAAAATTAGTATTACCATCTTTACTAGATCCTCCATTCTGTTCGTTGTTGTTATCAGAACTTCCAGCTCCGTTGCTCATAGTGTTTTGATTTGTATTATTGAATTTTTGAACCATGTCTAAATTATTAATTTGGTTATAATACTTTGTATTTATTCACTAGAATTAGGAGAAGCATTGGTCAATTTAAATAGCAATTGGCACATCAAATCATTATAGGTTTGGCGCTTGCTCTTGATGACACTAAATTCCATAAATATAGAATGATAGGACTCAACCAGCGTGGATTAAGTGTTTTAAAACTAATAGCATTACAAAAATATACCTGTTCTACTTGTTTACTTATGAAGTTGGATTCGATGTTGATGTTCTATATGTCTTATTTCAAAGAATTATATTTCTCAAATAAGTCTTCCTGAATTTTTTTCACTTTGTTGTTTTTCATTTTAATGGATTTTTCCTTTTTGGCCTTGACCCCGCCATTTCTCCTGGGTATATTGACTAACAGGTTTCTAGATTAATATGTTTCAAATACTCCATGTTTCTCCTGAAATAATAGTGACTGAACTCATTTTGATTGTTGACATTACGAATTTTCTTGAATCCGTACATATTTAATTGTCTAATAAAAGAACTGAAGTTATGGTGTTTAAAATGGGTTGGGAGGATCTCATTACTCAATTTGCTTTGATCTTTAACGACAAATGCATTGCCCTTATCAGTAAATCCAATGATATCTTCGTTTTCAGGATTCTAAAAGTTATTAAAATCAAATGAATATATTTAATAATTCGAGAATTTAATTCCTAAAATCATCAAAATTTCTGATGATCAATTTAGGAATATTCGTAGATGTGTAAAATGTTTAATACCATAACGATGTCGTAGGTTTTGTGTAAGAAGTTTGGTACTCCTTTTTTCATACTTTTAGTTTTCTTGTAGGACATTCCAAAGTGTTCTTGATATATATTTTGCAAATTAAAAAAATTATTAAAATATCTGATTATCTATGTGCCTTTTAGTCATATTATTATAGAATAATAAAACAATAAGTTGATTTTGCCATAAGAGAACACAAACTTCATAGAATAACACAACATTCTCAAAATAAATATCTGTTAACAAATGATTTCTCAATATTCAAATTTCCACAGTCTAGAATAACTAAAATAAAGTCATAGATAGAGGTAGTAGGTGTTAAAGGATAAAGAAATGAAAATTAATTACGGTAACTTCAAATTAAAAAAATCGAACAAATTACTAGAACAAAATATTTCGATTTATTAGCTGATCAATCAGAATGGTTCTTTTTCTTTAAATGATACAAAAATATAAAAAAATAACAATGATCATAATACCATTTTCTCGATATTTAATTCATTCTTTCTATTCTGAGTAATACCGAGTTATGAAAAAAATTTTAAAAGGTTTGAAGTAAATTTAGCCAGATCAAGCTATATTGAAAAGGTCTTCTCAACTTAAATACCTTTAGAAATTTGTGTCATTAAGAAGGCTATCACAGTATTCGTTTTTGAGTTTTCTTTAATTTTTTCATGTGGAGAGTAGACAATGTTCCATTTCAACAAAGATAAAGTCTTCATCAATTTCTAATTATACTCCATCTCTAAGAATCTTAGACAACACATCAAAAATGGATTATTCAATAAACCATTTTGGGCTATGTGTGATTATGCCATACTTTATGATCCAACACCATTAATTAAGCTATCATAAAAATAAATAGTTTATTAAGCTAGATTGATATTGATGAGTATGGTTTCTAATCCAGCTGCAATCACGATGGGTATAAGAATGATATCAAATTTATCAAATATCGTGTTGTCTTTGCCAATATATTTGGACGTGTAAACAGAAGCAGATTGATAAGAGATACTATCAGGATTGTTATGTTCTTTAATTAAAGTCTTGTAGAAAGTGGTAGATAGATAGAAGATTCTCAATTTTAATTGTTTCAGAGTCCCTTACTATTGAGAAGACTGCTTCTCCTCTAAATACTTGATATAAAAATTAAGTTGATTTTCAGTAATTTCTCCTTTATTTTGTAAAAGATTGATCTCTTAATAGGTGATTTGTTTATTGTATCTTGAACAGACAACTGTGTTTTATGGGGAGGGTTTGAATTGAGGATCAATAGATCTGGAGATATTAACACTGCTCTGCAATTATAAATTTTAACTGAACGATTTAGAGACATTGAAACTTGGTTGTATTACTGGATTAATAGGTTTGTTGTATCGATCACTCGATTTGCTATAGGAGAGTGTTTGCATTTAAGGAGAATATGGAACTTTGAGAGATTGCTAACTAATGTTTGCTTGTGAGGACTCTTATGATTTCGTACTTAATGGGATGAGGGGTTTCAAATTTTGTAATGTTTACTCATTCAATCTGCTATAATATTCAGTAACTAATTTAGAGTATTTAGGAGGATCATGTTGATAATAATAATTGAGTAACTATTGGAATTGAATATATTGTTAATATTGTTGTTTCATCTACTCCTACTGTTATTCAAACTATTTATTGTTAATTTACTATTGATAGTATTTTTCATATTATTGTAGCAACACTTACAATTATTCACCTTTCAATTTAACAATCAATTCATCTTTTCCTGAGCCATCTTTCTTAACCATCAAATCTCCATTACCTTTCAAATATTTCTGCAAGAACACAGTTGGATGTTAAGGTTCAATTTGTTTAAGTTCCTAAATGACTTACTATTTGAATTATTCAATTAGATAATTATATTCTTCCTTTGAAAATTCAATCATCTCATCGGTGACTTTGCCGTGTCTCACTCTCGAAACACTAAGTGATTTATCAAATGAGGAACGCTATTTCATAGAATATAGCGAATCATCTAACATAGGTGCTTCTCCAATTTTGGATCTATCAGGATTGAATTCTATTGGTTTGAGTCCTTATTTGATGGAAAGGTCTGGGTTCGAATGCATGTGTGACTTTTAGGAATTGCTTTAGTTCTATTAATAATCCATTTATTCTTTGTATTGTCTGTGCAGTTCGAACAAGAATAAATCTATTACTTTAACCATTTTCCTCCAATCTACAGCTGCTTCTTAATTGAATTCAAATATTAATTCCTATTCTTTGCATATATAATAGAGCATTTTGACCATTACAACTGTGTCTTCTTCAGCTATGGTCACAGTCTACCCTATATTTATTCTTTAATCCACCTTTATTCCTTCTTTCGCAAAAATAGTCTTAATTTTCCTCTAAGTGGATTCACTAAGAATATAGCTGTACAATGTCTTTTGTTGCGTTGAGTAAATACACAAAGACCATTCGTCTAAATATTAAAAGAAATAAAAAGTGTGAGTATATTCCTCATTAGGTTTTTCAATATTCCCATGATTGAAATTCTCATAATACTTTTCAGTTGTCTTCCACTTGGGAATCATCGTTTTACAATATTGAACAATAAAATTGAGAATCACTAATTTAAGTTTCCTATCCTCATCAATTAAATATGGCCAAACATCTCTAAAAAGAAGTTCAATCCCAAATGCCTTAATGAAAATAGTCTTAGGTGTATGATATTCTATCTCCAATTCCATTTTCTTACGATTATACTCATAATCTTTATATTATTCAAATAACATATAATTTTAAATATTCACTCAAAGAGTGTGATATTATGAATACTTAGGATTCAAAACTATGTCGTATGAATGAAGTCCATTTATCAACCCTTTGAAAAACTTGAGTGCCTACATTCTTGCTAATCGTTCGCCCATCAGCAATGCAAATTACTATTCTCCCTTTTCTTGTGCATCCTACCTTTGAATTCTCAACAGTTACATTATTTAATTGGCTTAATCCTATGAATATACTAAACTATTAATCTAATTCTCTTACATTCATAAATGGATTACTGCATCAAAATAAATGTATTCTCCACTTTATCAAATAAAGTAGTTTCACTATAACAAAAGAAGAAAATTGTCCTTAGAATTGGACTTATGACGCAAGGCCAAAGGATGTAATAGATGATAAGCACAATCAGTATGCAAGTCAAACCAATGCATTAACTTGTTATTGCTCTTTTAAAGAACTCTCCAAATACATTGCTTTATGCTGATTGAACAATGGAGGATGACTAGATAGATTGAGTGAAGTCTATGGTTTCAGGGAATAACTTCGTTGACCCATAAATCCAAATTGAGAATATTATATGCCATATTAGCAGTAACTTCAATATCTCTCTCACCAATTTTGCAACACTATCATCTACTTTTTGTGGATTCTTGCAAAAATGTAATAAGTAGTATTTATCACAACAATATGTGATAAACAAAAATAATGCCGTTGTCAAATACAATAAGGGCATTCCTGAGGAATATAAGAAGTTAACACAGATAACAGTCAATATTTGCGAGTATTTAAGTTCCACATTGAAATCTGAACCCGTATAATATTCATTTAGATCTTATTGTGTTAATTTCCTCGTGAATTGACCGTCTTCCAAACAACATTGATCAAAACATCTTTTCAAACATCTGAAAATGCTCATTAGAACTATATTAATTAAAGGACCCAATACATAAATTAACATTGTAAGTAACTAAATATAATATCTATTAATTACAATTGTTGTTCCGACTTAATTAAACCATTGAACACTGATATCATCAAATTTACCATTTAATAATACTGAAAATGAGGATAGATTTAGTTCACTTGTAAATTTGATATTAATTATCAATATTACTAAGGCTGTGTTTATGTATTAGACAACGAATACTTTCAGAAGACGAGAGGATAATTATTTAGATTTTGATCGATGAGCTTCAAACTCAGCAAATTCTAAGATTATGAATATAAATCTACTTGTAAAGATTAATTAAATGACTTGATTTATTAAAATAATGACGACAACAATTAGAAATGGCCAACCAACTATCTTAACATAATCATTGAACCATTGCTAACATAATTGTTCACCATTACTAAAGGTCATATTTATTCTATTTAGAAAGTCTTCTTTGCAATAACATTCCAACAATCCTTTCTTAACACTCTTACTCTGATCACCAATTACATCGGCCTCTGTGATATTAGGATACATTGAACAATTAGGTTCTGGGTAATCTTATTAATAAGTCAATTATTAATATCTAAATGAAATGGATACAGTAATACTTCAAGAAGATAATGGCTGCAATTGTGAAGATCATCAAGATGAAAGTGAGCATAAAACTTAGAGTTCTGCGAGCAAACAATTCTACTGAGGAATATTATAAATTCATCCAATTAATATCATCTGGAGGAGGTGCTGGTTATGCTTTGATTATTGCATTATCGATCTTCATAATTTCATTGCATCCACAACACGAAAAGAGATCTCGCAAGTAATCTTCTTGATAGACAAAGAATGCCATGTTTCTTTGTTCAATTGTATCAAATGTGATCCAAGCATATTAGATAATCTCATTGAATTATTCTGGCTACTGAATCTAATTGTCGAATTCAGATATTTGGTTTTCTAATTTCTATATTTCATCCAGAAGTTCTTAAGCATCTTCTTTCTATTGTAATTGATTTAAAGCCTATTACAATACTGCAGTTGCTAGATTTTGTTTCAAATCCATAGAAGTTATGAGAGAAACCTTAAATTTATTCTCAAATCTTCTAACCAAGTTATTTCGCTTTTTTATGGTCATAGCTCTTTCCTCACCTATTAAAACCGATCTGTTCCCTTTCGAAAATTAAATGTCGACTATATGAAAGCTAGGTATCTAAGGGAATTTCTTAGCTAATTGCAATTCGATTTCAATTAGTTTTTAAAATAACTCCTTAGGATCCGAGCATTCAGGGAGATTTCTAAATTCTAATGAAAAATTTTCTATAAATACTTGACTTTCATTCACATTTTTCATAGTTTCTTTCTCTTATCGTTCCAAGCTTGAAATTAATTATATTAATATACGTAAAGAGAAAGATACTTAGAATCAGGACGATTGCCAAATCAATATAGCCACATATGATGGAGACTGTGTTGTTCTTAACACTTACTGATCCGAGTGAGAATTCAGAATCCTGGCAAAACGAATAAGCATAAACTATGTTCGAATGCAAGTCAGGACAACTGTCAAACAAAGACTCTCTAATTATGAACTCACAAGATTGTTGTCCTACACATTTATTTTATATCTCTGTAAAAGCTTTCGAGTTAGTACAATTTATTATTGCCTGTGATGGATCATAATAAGTACAAGGGATAGAATTGCTACCTTCTTAGACGAAACCCAAAACAAAATTTTAGGATGATATGGTTCCAGAATTACAATTAAATGTTGTCTTCTCTAAGATAGTTGCAGAATCAAGTGTTACATTATTCTATATATAATGATTTAGTTGATTACATTCAATACTACATCATCCCAAGACATTTTAACACAAGAATCTCCTTGTAGACTCAATGATCCTAGCGTAGTTCCCATGAGTATTGAATTAAAAGTCAACGTATCCTTCACACAAGATAAGGAGAAGATCAATTAAGGAATACTCAGGAGCGCGAATAGTAAAAAGTATAAAATAATCTATATAAGACCTGATGTAATACTTATTTGAGGAATCTAAAATATATAGTAATGCCTGCTCCATATTAATTTATGTCGGATTAAAATTCAGTACTGCAACAACAATTAAAACCAACATCTACGTTATAACAATTGGTGCAATCATATAATTTTTCATCAACATCGGTAGGATGAGTATTTTTCAGATAAGTATTCAATGCTTCCTAATTAACTGGAGCACGATCAAGTATGGTCTGCTTTGTCTTTAATAATTTCTCTTCACTTCCTGTTATATGAATTTAAGAGTCCTCTTTTAAAGTAGTACTGAGAGCTTGAATTGGATGAATTTGCATAAGTAAAATAATTAATATATTCTTTACAATTATATAAATTATTAAATAAGACCATCTTAATCTATCTATTAAAACTTTGACAATTTAACATTTCTTTCCATTAACAAATTTGAACTTACATCATTTAAATTGATTATCAAATTTTAAAACCATTTTATAGATTTCTTTATGCTTATTATATATTCAATTGCACCTCCTCTTTTCATTAATCAGATTAAATCTAATGCAATTTATAATTTAATCTAGATATATTATTGATTCACAACTAATTACAATAAGAAAAACCAACTCATTTTACATTCATACCCATTTAACCCTTCTTCCACCTTCCCAAATTCCTTTCTTCTTCATTCCATTATTATCTACATAGATCCCCTCTCCATGTTATTATCCATCTTTCCACATACCATCATATATTCTTCCATCCTCCCAATAGTATACTCCATAACCATGTTTGATGTCATTCTAGTATTCACCCACATACTTCTTTCCATCAGGCCATTTCAAAGTACCCTTCCCATTCATTTTATTCTGAACCCATTATCCATCATAGACTTTTCCATTAAACCAAGAATATATCCCAGTACCATGAATATTATTTTATTCAAATTGGCCTTAATAAACTGACCCATCATAAAATTGAATTTTACCATAACCATGCTTTTTACCTTCAAAGTAATCTCCTTCATATTATGAACCATCTGGCCAAACTTCCTATCCTTTCCCATTTTATTGATCATCTTTCCATAATCCCTTATAAGTCGCCCCATTAGAATGAACATATATTCCGAACCCATTGGCCCTATCATCTATCCATTGACCCTCATAAATATCACCATCAGTATGAATTAACTTTCCATTTCCTTACGCCATATTTTATTTCCATTCACCATCATAAATGGAACCATCCTTATAAACCAATCGTCCCTTTCCCCATTTTTATCCTTTCATCCATTCCCCTTCATATAAACTTCCATCAACCATTTCAATTTCTGGTAGTTTCATTGGTTCTATGTAATTCATAGTATTTTTCACAAGCAATTGATCCCTCTTCTATTTGATTGCCGCAACAACACTTTATTTTAAAGTTTCCCTTTTTCCAGAATAACCAACTATATCTACTGTATCACCTTAACTTTCAGATTATTTTTTCAATCGTTGTTTTTATTCTAATTTTATCATTTTCCTTATACGATAACCGCGGTAATAAGCTTGAATTTTAATGACCTTAACTATTTTTTCGATCTCTTCCTTTCCTTCATCTAACGTAAATGCTTCTACTATTTCTTAAGTAATCTTTTTCTCGACAATAATGACTTAATCTTTTTTTGCACACAAAGCAGAAAATCTATCCCATTATAAAAATTATTAAAAAATTAGTCTAAAGTGTTTTATAATTAAGAAAATCTAAAATAAGACATAAATTATCTATAACCAAATACATAGATACATCAAATAAAATATTTCAGTTGTAATAATTATTATAATATGAAAATCACTTCAATTCAGGTTAAACTGATTTTAAAAAGGCTTCTAAATGTTACCCTTAATATTTGAGAAATTCGATTTCCTATTTCCTCTTCTATTCCTCAATCTAATTTCTTTCTTTAATCTTCTTATCCAAGGAATCCTTTTTATTAAGCAAATCAATCCTCTGAATTCTAATACACATTCATACCTTTTCTTCCAACTTCTATTTCCTCTACTCCAATTAAACTATCTTCTCTTCCAATTCACTCTTGCCCATCTCAGCCTACAATTATTTTCTCATCCCAAATGTCACAGACGAGTTATACAATGTCTAATAAGCAGCGATTGTCATTTTTAACTCGTCCCTCACTCTCATTAATAGTAATCCTACGATCGACTTTTAGTATGAATACCTCTCTCTGGACAATCAATTGTAACTTGTCTTATAATCTCATCAAAACATTAACTCAACAACTCTTCTCTTATAGGACAGATCCCCAGTCTCTCTAAAATTATTTAATAAAATCCCATAACTACCTAGCTTATCTTGCCAACAATCTCTCATCCAATAGTTTTTACAAGTTACCAACATCCTTCCCTCGTGGCTGGAACGTGTGAAACATATTAAATATAATGCTTCCCATCGTGATCCCATTCTATAGGAGGTAAGATGGCATTCAATATATCCTAACATTTCTCATCTCATTGCTTACTTCTGTATTTGGCTTAGATTCCAAAGGAGACAGTTATGCCTTCTTTTTCCCTTGTAGAGTCCTGGATGCATCATTGGCATTACTGACTTCAATGGGATTTTCGTATTTGACCAAAGACTCTCGAGGAGGTTTAACTTCTGCCATTTTATTTAAAATTATTATACAAAGTTATATAAGTGTAAAAATAACTAAATTACTGCTTTATAGAAGTCATCTAGAAATGAAAAATATATAGTGGAAAATCAAAAATTTATTCTCATGGTTTGATTTTCTTTTTATAAATTAGAAACCTATTCTAAATGTTATTTTAAATTTGTGTAGCAATAGTATCCATTTGTAAAAGTTTCTAATTGGAGCTGATTTCAGTTGGTTTTTTTGTGTTTGATGTAGATTTTTAATGTTTGCCATCCTTATTACTCTCATTAGGTTACGTTGACAAGGGTTTTTGCTCTATTTTGAATGATAATCTTCCTTATCTCGAGGGTATTTTGGAGATGGAGGTGTTGTTTTGCATACTGACACGTTCAGTGATGATAAATTTATTATATCCTTGAGGGATGGAACTTTATCGTGGTTGATTTACAAATTAATCACTATCAGTTTTCTTAAAGAATTCTCCAATTTAAACTTGTCTTGTTTATTTGGTGAGTGGTTATTGATTGCTAAGAGAAGGTTCACGTTTTTGAATGGGTTCTTGAGATCTAGTTTTGGTTCGTCTATTGGAAAACAATTATAAATAATATATACATCTTTTTAGTAATAGAAATATTGTTTGAATTTTCTAATTGATTTTTTCTTGGAGATGACGTAATGTGTGCTAATGTAACATCGCTTTGTTTTTCTTATTGTTGATAAGGAGATTTGCTCTTAAGTTTTATTTTAAATATGTATGGAGTATTTTCATTGATTTGACTGTGTGGTATTTAAGAAATAAGTTGTTGTGTAATTTTATTGAATGTTGATTATTAAAATTGCTATTGGGATTAAGGGTTTTTATTTTGTAAAAGGTAATAAGTAGTTGTGATTTGATTATGCTTATTGTTTTGAATCATTTCAATGATTTCTGATTGATTGGACAATCCATATTATACCATTTATTGTACGATATCATTGTCAATCTTAAGTGAATGAGGTATTGAATATTAACCAGCAAATTTGATGAAGTCATGATTTTTGATTTCTTGTAAGGTAATTCTTTATGTTGGATCCTTCATTAGTAATTTCTTAAGTAAATCACCTGCTTATAAGCTAACATGTTTGGGTAAATGGAAATCGGAAGTCTTGATCTTTTCATATAACCTCTTTGTATTTTGATCTTCAAAAGGGACACATCTGAAGTTAACTTGATAGAATTACCCACAAATCATCGCATACAATATGATACCACTAGACCATATGTCAGTAAAGAGGCCATCGTAGGAAAGTCCCTGTAACATTTCAGGAGCTGCATAACAAGGACTCCCACAAGGGGTTTTCAATTTCTGACCAGGCTGATAAGTGGAGGACAATCCAAAATCAACCACTTTGAGGGTGCCTTCGTTAAGTAGTACATTTTCTGGTTTTAAATCTCTATGAACGACTTGATGATCGTGAATATAAGTAACTGCATGTATCAATTAGATGAATAGTCTAGCAGCTTCACGTTCTTCAAGACGTTTATTGCGCACTATATGGTCAAAGAGCTCTCCTCCACTAGCATATTCAGTAACAATGTACAACTTAGAGTCACTTTCGACAATCTACTATGCAAATGGCTTACTTCAAATAATTGCACCACATTTGGGTGTCTTAGTTTTCTCAGGATCGAAATCTCACGATGAATCCTTACATAATCAGAATCTTGTTATTTGGTCTTGTCAATGATCTTTATAGCCACCTAAATTCAAGTAATGATGTTGCTAAACCTTTTCACCAGTGAGCTTGTGGATCCCCAATTTGACCTTGCTGAATGTTCCTTAACCTAAGTCTTTATCTATAATATATGATTTCATTAATTTAATGATTGATGTGAAAGGCGATGGGAATTGTTTGTTTCGTTGCGTTGCTCTTGCACTTCAAGGCACTTAGAACACTCATCAAGAGTTCAGACTCATGTGTGCCAATGTTATCTAAGAGAATCAGGCCATATTCAAAGAGAAAATACATCAAGGAATGCTGAAATAATATGATGAATCCAAAGAAGTCTTTCAACAGTACATAGAACAAGTGCAAAATGGAGAAATTATGGGTGGATTAATAGAATTATAAGCACTCTCTCTGGGATTAAATGTCCAATTCAATGTCGAAGGAATTGGTAATAAATTGCTAGATATTGGGTTGTCTCATAATCCAAAGAAAGAAATACAATTATGTAGAATTAAGAATGATAAATACAAAGACGGCCATTACATGTTCAAGAAAATACATAAAATCAAAAAGAAAAAATGAGTATTAATTATATATTAATAAATATATGGGTAATAATTGCACTGGTTAATGTGCAGGGTGTTACAAAAGGGATATTGAAATATTAGTAATCCTCTTCAATTCTATATTAGAAAAGCGAGTAGCATTAAATATTATCAGAAAAACCTTATGAAACTTTAAGCAGAAAAAGTTCTAAAAATGTTTTATAAGATGCTATCCCTTTGGGCAGCATATATGAGATCAATATTAAACCCATCACTAAAAGTGTTGTAGATATTGTTGGAGACAAATCAAGAAAAACAAAGGCTGTTATTAAAATTTAATCTTATTGGAAGGGGTATTTAGTTAGGAAAAAACTTCCTTATAGAATCAATATCAAAACTAGCGTTGAAACTGAAGGAAGTAGAACAACTGGCAGTTACTTTGAAAGGTTATGCAATGAATCAAATTTAAAAAAGTATAATTTCATCTAAGCAATTAAGACTAGCCAAAATGTACATTGGATAATGGCTGGGTAAAGAGAGACATGGAAAAGGAATACAGACTTGGTCAGATGGAGCCCTATATGATGGTGAATGGTAACATAATAAGGCTTATGGTAAAGGAATATTTCGACATGCTGATAAAATTGAATATGAAGGAGAATGGAAATAAAGCAAAGCCTGTGGTTTTGGTATAATGAGATCCCAGAATGGAGCTTATTATGAAGGAGAATGGGAAGATGATCTATAGCATGGGTATGGTAAAGAATAGTGGGCGGATGGTTCTATGTATGAAGGTCAATACTATAAGGGTTTAAAGCATGGAAAAGGCAAATATGTTTGGAAGGATAAAAGTTATTATGAAGGAGAGTGGCAGAATAATAAAATTCATGGATTGGGAGCTTATCATTGGATTGATGGAAGAGGTTACATAGGAGAATGGAAGAATGGAATGATGAATGGACATGGAGAATATAGCTGGAGTGATGGAAGAAAGTATGTTGGAGAATACCTAAATGATTAAAAGCATGGATATGGAGAATACAAGTGGATAGATGGTAAGGAGTTTAGAGGAATGTGGGAGAAGGGTGTTTAGCATGGAGAAGGGGTTTATGTGACAATTGATGGTAGAACTAAAAGAGGAATGTGGTCGGAAGGCAAGTTAGTTTAATGGATGAAATGATTGAATACTAAAAAATTAATTTTATAATTTAACGTTTATGAGTATATATTTTGAAGAGTGTGCACCATAAAATATGAGTTCGGATGTTATTAAGAGGAGATCTAGAGGGAAAGAAAATTTGTCATTTAATAGGAATTCCTCTAAGTTGAATTCTATCACTTAAGTTATTGAGAAATCATAACAATTTCAGAATCTCAAATTAACACTGGGAGAATATTGGGGATAAGTCAAATTAAATAAGGCAAATGGAATAGGGTCATGTCATTTCAATACAGGAGGATTTTATTATGGAGAATGGAAAAATAATGTAATGAATGGAGTGGGAATATACTTTTTTAATGTTGGCGGATACATCAAGGGCGAGTTCTATGATGGAAAAGCCAATGGATATTGTGAATTATGTTATCAAAATGGATAGTTATATTTGGGAACCTTTAAGGAAGGTAAACAATAAGGATTAGGACTCAAAACAAGTAGAAGAGGGAAAGAAGTTGTCTAATATAAGGATGGAATTCGAGTAAATGTTACTGAAGAACAAACTTAATAGGAAGATATTAATTAGTTATTGAAAACTTAATTGCCATAAATATACTCTCATAATGACAGAACTGTGTATGGATTGTAATGCGATTTAACAGGTTTAGGGATCATCCAGTATAAAAATGGCAGGGTTGATATGGGACAATTTCAGAATGGTTTCTTAAATGGAAGGGGAAGAATAATCTTCAAAAGTGGAGATATTTATGATGGATAATTGCAAAATGGACATTTTTAAGGTTAAGGTAATTAATATATCTAATTACAAAAGGATTCTACTTAAATTACAATTCTAAATAAATGACAGAGGGGATTTTTGAGAAGAACTAAATAGTGTCTATTCTAAATTAGTTCATTCAATATCCTCCTAAAGGAAATGATGAATAATGTATTGTTGATCAAAGAATCATTATCAAAAATGTACATCTCAAGACTCGAGGAGTCAATGCGGATTCTCAATATAATTCTGGGTAAAAGACTACCAAAGTAAATAAAATATAAAATTTGATTCAACAAATGCTTAATCCAATTAAAAATAGTATCAATAGTGAAAGTGGTTAACATGAAGTTGTCTTGGACAATCTATTATCTAGAGTGTAGTCACCTTAGTAAAGAAAGAATCTGGAGTAGATCATTAATTAAGTTACATCACCCTAAAGAATAAGATGATTAATTTATTAATTTATTTAATATTTAATGACTACTGCTAATTTAAGAAATAATAATCATAAACAACACTATTCACATTTTGTCGAAAAACTATTTTATCTTCTACTTTTTAAGATTAGCAATAGATTATTAAAGATTTTTAGTTTTTAAACTTTTTTATTTTTTCTACTTGCCATCATCATCTTCATCATCGTCATCATCATCTGAATCGTCTTCTGAATCATCAGAATCTCCCTCCATATCCATATCTTTCTGTGTTTATTTATTAGTATATTCAAATTCTGTTTCATTGACTTGAACTTTAGCTGTTTTTCTCTTATTGACAAAATCAGCAATATCATAAAATTTAATTGAACTGTCATGTGACAATGAGGCAGCAATTTTCTAAGTTCTATCAACAACTATTTTAGTAATTGGGAAATATGAATTATCCTCATGTTAACCTAAAATTCCTGTGATCATATTTGGGAATACAGAGACTCCTCTTACGAGACCATCTTCACCGCCTGTAATGATAGAATGTTCATCTATTTTACACTAATAAATAGAATGAAACAATTTACAATTGAATCAATTGAATTAGGATGACCAATAATTCTATCTTTAAAATCCCCAAAGTAATCCCATTTGAATAGTAATAAATTACCTTCACTTGTTGATATACAAACAAATTAACCATTTTTGACCAAGCAAATGTCTGTTAATTCCTCTTCCATACAATCACTTTTTGCATATAAACATTTTTCATTTGTACTCTAGAATCTCAAATCATGAACACTTAAATAACCATCCAAACTAGATGAAAGCAATAGGTTATTAGATGAATCTATTTCAATTCCAGAAATAGCTTCTTCTGCCTCTTTGACTTTAAATATGCACTTATTCTGTCTTAAATCCCATATTTTAATGTTGCCTGTATCATCTCCTGTGGCGATAATACTATCATTCAATTATTTGAGGGCATTTATGGCATGTCTACTTAAATGTGTTATCATACTTATGAGCCTTGAGTTGATGGAGTACCATCTTACCATTGTTGTCCAAAATAGCAAATGAGCAATCTTTGCTGGCTGTGACTAGGTGTTGACCATCTCTAAAGAACTAACTGATTCTTGCAGATTATTAATGGTGTGTAAAGGCTGCTATTTCAACAACATCATCAGATGAATATTTCAATCTTAACTTGTGGATATAAATGATTACATGTTCACAACTCCTGTCACCTGTGCACAACATACAACATCTTAAAAAGGATGGAAGTTGAGATCAAATAAATGATCTTTAGCAAAATAGAGAGGTGGTTCCATTACGATTTCTTATTGCTATTAAATCATGGTAATAAATTATCTTAATTTATTTAATATTTACAACACATTTATATTGTTGATTAATATATTCATATCACCAAGCGTATTCTGTTCTAAAATCAACCATTTTGCTACGATCATTGCTTGGATAAGTCTTTTATGAAACTGTAATCAGCCTCTTTATTGCCTGTATGTATTTCCTCTGAGTTTCATCATTTAAAATGTGAGCGATTTGTGAACTCGAGATCTTTGACCTTCCAGTCCTTTCATGAATACCAACCATAGTAACACCCATAGCTAAGAGATTGTTAATGTATACTTACGCCATGGAGCATTCCCAATTGCCAATTCCAAATATTTATCATATGCTCTCACATACTCCTTATATACACAAAATCTTATGATAAGGTATAATGCATTCAAAATTTCTTCATTAATTGACTACACCATCCTTGCCTTCTATAATTGTTCTGTTAATGGTTTTATGTAATCGAGTGTCTATTTATAAGAATTAAATGCCTGAGAACCTTCTAAACTTCTTATTTGTGTTTCTGTATTGAATTTATCCACCAATTTTATGTTCCATTCTCTCAGCATTTTATTGCACCACAAATAAACATCCTCGCATCTTGTCAAAAGTGATACTCCATCCAATAATTATTATTCAATTTCTTCCTTTCCCTTACATTGGAATACAGGAACAAGTGCAGTATTTGGATCTAGATTTCTCTCCTTTATCTTATTTAGAAAGACCTTGATTTCCTCTTTGTCTTCTCCTTCTAAAATCTTGATTTCTAATTCCCTTTGGTGGTAGTCCTTTTTTTCTTAAACAAATTGCATCAATCTCTTATATCTTTGCCAATCACTCTCTCCGAAATATGTTATAGGTTCACCCAAATCTCTAAGTCTTTTTTGAACTTCCTTTTTTTCAACCGGAGGAAGATCCTAAGGAATTTAGATTTCATCCTATTAAATTTTATCACGTTCAGAGTTTATACATTATTAGTCCAATCTCTTTATTTTCACTCTCTCGATGTCCTTTGTTTTGTAATATTCATCTTAAATTTTTAGTTTCTTTACTAATTTTTCATGCTAATTTGAATGTATTAATATCATACTTTTTCTCTTTCCCTTTCTCGTTACTCCTACAATAACCTTAGTCTTTCTTATTCAACTTTCTACTTTTGCTCCTAAATTGATATCGAATTAGCTTATGATTACTTTTTTTGTTCGATGAGTTTTTTTAATGATTAAAATTCTTGCATTATAAAATACCTGATGTGAGATAAGTATATTTTTAATATTTTTTTTAAGATTTTTATATACATATGAACACTCATACAATTAGTCAACCAAAACCATTAATTCGACTTATTTAACAAATAAAAACAGATTCTGTGAGTGTCTCATCCACCTAATCATACGATTCACATTTTTCTGAGATTGAGAGACCAGAAAACCCTATGATCAAGAACTTTATAAACAACTATGAAGATGATCTCGACACCTTCTTTGATCAATTGGAATGAAAGCTCTTAACCTTTGACTTGTGTTATTATGTGTTATATATTAACTGAATAAATGTTGTTAATTATATATATTTATATTCATAGCAATTCTTAATTTAGAAATACAGATAACCTTTAAGTATTAGCTACTCCACTAACTTGTGTCTAATTTCCCCTTTTTAACAATAATCTCTAAGTGGTCTACTGACATAATTAGTCAATTTTTAAACACAATTTATTAGCTACTGAAATCTCTAATTATGTTTGTGTTGATTATTCTTCATGAAAATAATTAGGACTCTAAACATAGATTACGATCTAAAACCAATCTGCTTTACTAATTATTAAGTTTTTCACCAAAATAATTATGAAACACTATATAAAGAATTATTCTTCATTTTGCATAATGTACAACTATTTCTTCCTGCTGACTTTAGGGTCTTTTTAGTAATATCAATGTAATCCTGAATTTACGATTAAGATCTAAAAAAAATAATCTATATTAATTTTATTGGTTTTGTTCATTTAATATAGTCCTTGGTTCTTGTTGCAATATAAGAGATACCGATTCAATTCTTATAGGGAAGTCGAATTCTTCCTTTATCTTTTTGCTTTAAGATCATTCTTTTATTTTAGGTTTTTCTATATTTAATCAAATTATATTAACCTACTTCATTGTTGCAAAAAAGTGGATACTCATCGATTTAATTTTTATATCCTGCTTTCTTCCTTAAAATCAATTATATTAGATTATAGTTTATTGATTTGATTATCACCCTTTCAAGGTATATCTGTAATATAATAAACAAGGAAATATTAATAAAAATTATATAATACCTATAATAATCAAGAATTTTTGTAATTAAAACACTCTAAGAAGTCAAGCATTGTGATTTAATTATGAAGCATTTAAGTATGTTCATTAATTGAAAATATTATAAATGCTATTCTAAAAATATAATTGATTAATTAGAATTGTTATGGCTTTTAATAACTATAACAACTAAATAGATTAATTCTTTTTACAATAATTATTTTATGATTAATATTGAAATGTATAACTATATTGATATATTACCACTGAATTTATATATAGGTATATATGAAACACAATTTTCACAATAATATTTTATATTTCTCGGTTGTTGGAACTGTATTTATTATCATGTGACCACTATAACCAATGGATGCCAAAACCCAGGCAGTTCCTCTTGACCAACTTAACCCATAAATAGAGTCTTCGTGTTCATCATACTATTTAACCAAATAGTCGTCTTCCTTATTCAATTAAGGAACAGAGGAAACAGATGTAATATTATATAATGAAATAGTGCCATCATCAACTAAATATATAGAAATTCAAATTTACACGATAATGAAACCAATTAGTCATGAAATTTATTAAATTTTGCTTATAAGACTGAATTCTACAAGTCTTCAAATGATTTAATTGCATATTAGGTTTTACGAATATCCCAAACTTTGGCTAAACAATCCTCACCACCAGTTATGAGATAGTATTATTTATTTGGATTGAAATCTATATCTAATATTTAAAGGCTGTGTGCTTTGAATTTGTTTACTCTAATGATGATAATTTGAATTACTTTTTTTCTCTGGTGTCTTAAATGCATAGATAATTGTTTTAGGATCTAACAAATAAATTCTTATGATGTGGGTCTTATTCGCATAAATTATAGAGATCATTGTCATCAATGATATTGTCAAATGATAATTTATTCAAATCAAATTGAATAATCGATTTATTGGAACTCAAATAGATATTTGATTCATCTTCTGGACAAATGACACTATGATATTAAATAAAAAGTAATACTTTGTTAATCCTTCATACAATAAATCGAAATTTACTTGATATCTTCCATTTTCAGCTAATTCGATGCAACAAAGCTTTGTCTTTTTTTGTTATGCTACAATTTAATTATTAATTAATACGATCAATGTAGATAACATATAATTACTCCTTTTTTGCTATGATCTTCTCAATCATTCCATTAATTGGTATTTTATGTAATTGTACTATCTTTTATTCCAATTCTAAATATTCATTCACATAAATCTGTAGATAAATTAAAATTCATTGTTACTTCATTATTTTTCTTAGCATTCCAAGTTCCAACAGCGAATATGTGTCTCTTGTTGATTACAATATTTGAAACACATCTGCAATTTTATTCACCAAAAGAAATTTACACAGGCTATGTTTATTAATCCATAAAATTATAATCATTAATGAATAGAGTGAATAAATTTTGAACTATTTTTTTTAATTATCATATAAAATTACTAATAATTAATGTTCATGAAAACTATTATCCCAAACTTATTTTATCATTGTACAATTTAAATAATGTAAATACTATATAAATATATTTCAGACAATTATAATAAGTCAGTTTTGAACATTATTACCTTATTGTTTTTTGTTTTATAATTTTTTAGTCACATGCTTTAAAGGCTTATCAGCATGCATTCTCGATTGATGTCTTTTTAGGCCTGCCTAATTTTTACAGTGCTTTTGACAGTCTGGACATTACAAAAATGTAGAACTATCTACATTTTATTTAATTTTCTTAATTTTTTTAGTTTCACTTTATATTGGTTTGGTTCCTTGTTCAATTTGAATGTCTTCATCTGTCACCAAACTAATAAGTTAAAAGTATTGGTTACTCAATCTCTACTGGTGACTTGCAATTAGAAGATAGAGAATTGGGTCTCTGAGAATTAAGATCTTAGATTTAGGGAGCCTCAGTATTTTGCTCTTACAAGACTCTATCTTAATCGAACATAGGAGCAATTTTAATGTGATTAACCTATGCATTAAAGATGTCCAATCCTTTGGCTAGTCGATCATGTTTTTCAGACAAAGTGGCGCATTATTAATAGAGTTAGGCTAGAGCATTCAAATGAACTGTTAAAGGAACGTATTACATAATTTATTACTAAGAGAATTATTGAGGATGTTTTTTTATAATGTGATATCCTTATAATAATTTTCAGGTATTTTTTAAAATTATTGAAACTAATAAGTATATATATAAAAGTTGAATCATTTATGATTTATAGCTTCTTGATAGATTTCATAAAACAGTGAAGATTGATTATTTAATAATTCATTTATTGATCCGAATTCCTTTAATTCCCCTTTGCTTATCACTAGAATTCTATTAATAGATAAAATCTAAATTTACTTATCACAATGTAGAATAGTATTTATTCGATGAGCAATGGTCAATACTGTACAATCCTTGAATAATCTCTAAATTGTCTATTATATTTTTTGTTCAGTCTCTATATCAATATTGGCTGTGGCTTCATCAATTAAAACTATTTAACTTTTCTTCAATATTGCTCTTGCAATACAAATCAACTATTTTTCACCTGCACTTAAATTATCACCTCCCTCATTGATAGGTGTATCTAATCCATTCCTTTCATTAATCAATTACAATAAACAACACTCTTCAATGACCTTCATAACTTCTTCATCACTACAAGTCTCTAAGGGATCTAGATTTTATCTGATTGTTCCTGTAAAAATTACTGGATCTTAGAGCATAGTAGTAATTGACGATCTCAACTTTTACAATTACACTTTTGAGATATCAACGTCATCAATCTCTATTAAACCTGACACACCTTCTAGAATTCTTAAAATACTTAGAGTAATTGATGATTTTCCAGCTCCAGTCCTACCTACTATGCCTATCTTCTCTTTAGAATTTACAGAGAAACTCAAATTTTTCAGAATTAATGGTAGATTATTTCTATAATTAACTGAATAATCAATAAATTTAATTTTGCCTTGATTTGGCCAAGGCTGCTTAACAGTTGTAATTTCTGCCAAATTTTCTGATTCTATCTTGGTGTATTCCAAACATCTCTCAAAGGATATCATGTTATTTTCTAAGAAACTTAAAGAGTCTACAGTCTGTTGTACATTTCTATCCAAACTAGCAGCAAATGTCAATATCAACCCTGCAAATGAAGGATTACTAGTGAATAAGATACAATAAGCAATTGCAAAAGTATTGACTATTAGACTAGCCAATCCAAGAACTTAGAGAAACCATGAACTTGCTGCTGTCGAGTAATAGACAATTTGTTTATTATTGTCTAATTTCTATGAAAACTCTTTCATTACAAAATCAGTCTAACAAAAAGCTCTTATAGTTGTTAATCCCATCAAAGATTAAGTAAAATAACTAAGAATTGGGCTTCTACTAATGAGCTCTAATCTTTGTAATTCTCGGCTGGCCTTCATATATAATCTTTGGATTTTCAAGCATATATAAAAAAAGATGGTTAAAGGAAAAATGAGTAGGTATGTACTAACATAAATACTCAATAAATTATTGCTCAGTATTTGGCTTATCTTGGTGGAAAATTATGCAATATTAATGTGTATTTCAACATCTAGAGAATTAATATCTTTAGTTAATCTATTCATAATTCTACCCAAGGGCACTCTTTCAAAGAATTAACATTGAGGTGCAAATATTAAGCAGTGGATCATATCATTATGTATTTAGGAAGAGGATTTTACACTTTATGATACAATCATAACAGCTCTTATATAAGCAAACAAAGATTGTACAACTCCTAGAAACAAAAACACCCAAAAGTAAGTGATCTCACTATAATGATCTGATAATGAAACATATCTACTAGTCCATTCAGTTACCCATAAATTAGCTATAATTTAACTGAGTATCCAAATTATCATTACAATTAATAGAACAGTTTAATAAACTAAATTCTTTTTGTATTACAAATATTTAACATATACTTCTGAGTCGATTTCTCCTTTCTTCCTTTCCTCAACAGTCATTAAATCAGATTTATTTTTCTTCTTGTCTCTAATCTACACTTAATTATGATCGATGTCCTTTTCTCCAATCATTTATACAATATTTTTTTACTCTTAGTTCTCTTACTTCTAAACATCAAATTCAAATTTCTTTTCAATTTCTTGATATACAATATTATTCTGCATCTTCAAATAATCTCCTTCTTCTATGACTTCTCCCTTTTACATCAAATAAATGTAGTCTGTATGTTTGCAATAATTTAAGGCGTGAGTAATAAGAATTCTTGTTTTACCTTTCAATAAATTCATAAAACAATCTTTCAATATGAAATTACCAACTTGATCATCTACAGCACTCAAAGGGTCATCCAATAAGAAGATTTCAGCTTTACTATAAATGGCTCTTGCTAAACTTATCCTCGCCTTTTATCCTCCAGATAAGTTAATTCCTTTCTCTCCTATCATAGTTTGATCTCCATGTACTAATATTTCTAAATCTAAAGTCAAGCATGAATATTTTATTGCTTGCTCATAAAGATTCTCTTCAAATGGTTTACCAAACAGAATATTGTCTTAAACTGTTGCATTTTAAATCCATGGCTTCTATCCAACATATGCAATTGACCCAGTGATATTTATGATTGGCTTATCATCATCCATCTTGTAGATCATCTCTCCTAAAAGTGATTAAATCAAAGAAGACTTCCCAGATCCAACATCTCCTATTATAGCTACAAACTTCCCCTTCTCCACCTTTATATTAATATTCTTTAGAATTAACTACTCTTAATTACACTCCTTTCTCCAATAAAAGTTGCCTTGCTCGATCTCCAAAGAAGAATTTGCAACTTTCTTATAATCACAATATAGATCATTCATTAATTCATCGCTATTTAAGAAATCTTGTATCCTTATAAGGGATAATTTTGTTTCTAGCAGATCATTCAATGAAATTGGCAATAACTATAGACTGGCTGCTAAAATAGACAACAATCCTATTATGGGAAAAGTCTTACTGGGAACTAATTCATTTCCCAACAGCACATACAATCCAAAAGTAAGGCTTAAAATCATTTAAGGAGACAGCCAACCCATAAATACATTTATCGAAAAGTATTATAGTCTGTCTTTTATAGATTCTAGTTCAATCTCCCTTAACTTGTAGATTTTATTTAAGAAATATTATTCTAGTGCGTTAATTTTAATGAATTTAATTAATTAAAATGCTTCTGTTGTAACCTTCACTCTATTATCTTTCGACTTTAACACCTTGGTTTAGGCTTTAACAATTTATCTACCAACGTAACTATTCTAAAATATGCTCAAAATTATGATTATTATTCCTACAAGCACAGAGATTCCGATTTCCTCATAGATGTAAGCCAACGTAATACCTAATTAAAAGGGATATTTACTCAATTATAAAGGGATAATAATCATATTAACCACATTATTGGGAACCTGAATTAGTCGCTATACATCAACTTAAATTAAATTGGCAATTTCTCCTATTGATTTCTCAGTATTGCTTAACAATGAAATCTTTAGACATTTACTCATTATTTCCAAACTAATTACTGACATTATGTCATATCCATAGATTTTCTTAATTAAATCAATTGTCTTACCATCATGAATCTAGAATGGGACATTGACAATAAATTAACTATTCTTACCAGTATTACAAGAGAAATAAGCAAAAACGCCTAATAATAATCCTTATTTTTCTCAGAAATATATCCAATAATATATTTTGTTAAAAAAGGCATAGCCAATTGACTAAAAAGTACTATAAGTTATATTAAAAATCCTTTTAAAAAATACTCTATGGTCAATCAACAAATATTTACTAAAGTAATATTACAATATCAAATTAACCAAATTGCATTGCCTATTGATATTTAAATGGTAAGAAAATTATTGATGTCGCACATACGATTATTCAGTAGTCTCTAATTCAGTCATTTCTTTCTCATCCAATTCTGCCTTATACGCTTTCTAAATGGTTCATTCCTATATATTACTTCCATTATTGGATAAATCTAAACGAAGAATAATTTTTTAAACCAAGGGGTGGTCCTTTTTATCAATTTTTCTTGGAACGTGATGGTTTGTTGATTATCCAAAGTAATTGATGCAGAATCCATTATTTAATTAATTAATTTACTATTTCTACCTAAATTAATTTTTTTATTTCGATTGAATCCGTCTAATGAAATGGTTTTTGATCTTCTTATATATAAATGAATATAATTCTAAACCTTTAAAAATCAATTAAGAATATAGAAAAGTAAATTACATAAATTTAATAAGAGATTATTATTTATTATAAATATATTCTAAATTAAAATTGACTGATATTTATTATTGTGACATTTGAATCAAATTCAGATATGCTCTTTGGATCTTAATTTGGAAGCGGGTCTTTGTTAAATTAGTAAATATATCATACTCTGTGAATACTTCACTTACAACTTCAAGACCTCTATCTATGAGATTGACGAATTTCTTATCTTCACTATAAACCATCAATGATATGAACATGGCTAAGATTGCCAACACTAACAAAAAGATTTCAGTTACAACTGTGGATGATGTCAATCTATTAATACAATTAAATCAATCTTACTATTCAAGCAGTTTGCAAATGAATGGAGTAATGGTGATCCCAAAATTTTATAGACAAACAAACAAAGATAAACTTCTGCCATGTGTATTAGGTTGAGTCAAGTATAACACTCCACTCCAGACTGTTGTATATGACAATGCAAATGACAATCCTAATAAGAGAAGTCCTTCGAATGGTGATTACAAGAGTACTAAGATATGTGCCCATATGGCCATCAAACCTGAAAAGATTGTCTAAATTATGTTGAATAATAATTACAAGTGAGGATCTTTGCCCATATTTATCGATAACAAAACCTAATAATGGTGTTATGACTCCTGAAAACAACCACATCAGAGTTACTAATTTCCAGGCTAATGTTTCTCCGTTGTCTATTGCAATCAACCATTTATCGTACAAGAATTCTTAAGCATAGTCTACTAATACTAATACAGAAGTAGATGCAAAAGAATAGAACCATAATAAATACCAATATATGGAGGGATATTGATTTTTATTGAAAAATCCAAAATACTTCTCAAAAAATGATTGTGGCAAGATTTCAGATTCAATCTATTCTACAGCCATCTATTCTTCTTAATGATTTAATTAGTCCACTTATATTTCTTCTCCTTCAATTTGTTATTACTATTAATGTAATGTAGAACTTTTAAGTTTCTCATGATGCTTCTTAAAGTACTTTGCCCCTTTGTTTAGGATTGTTGACTAAGCATCGACATCTATATCAATAGCAACAATAGACATTAGCATTCCTAATGATGTTGCCAAAATGGCTATGGTATTTGACGCTCCTACTGATGTGATTTGAGGAGCAAACCAAATACAAAGTACAAATCCCAACGTATACACGAATTGGTACATACCCAAAACAAAGGTCTAAATATACACAAATACAAAATTACCAAATATGTATATTTGTAATATGAACATATAAAGGATGTTAATACTATTAAGAGGGATTCTATTCCCCAACCCAATAGAATTCTTCCAATTATAAATACAATTTGACTTCCAGATGAAATACCAAAGGTGACAATAATTTAACCAAGGGCACATAATCCATTTTAAAATATGATGCTTTTTCGATCTCCATAGAAATCTCTGATAAGACCAGAGAAGAAAGGTAAAAATGAATTCAATAAAAAGTGCAATGATGTTAACCAAGTTAAGAATTATTTTGGATCATCAATATTAAATGCTTCTCCAATTTAAGTTTACATTTGAGCAGGTAAAACCAAACAATATGAAGATGCGATCAATCCAAATGATGTCATTAGAACTAAATGCCATTTAGATTTGTGGGATTGCTTATCCAAATAAAACATATTTTCCTCCATATTCGTTTTTATAAATTTATATATAAATATGTCAATTACAAATAACAGATAAAGTAGAATAAACAATTAAACTAATTATCTATTCAATTATATCAAAGTCAAGACTTCAATTATTCTTATTACAAATCTCAAAAGAGCTCATATATATTTGAAATTGAGATCTTTTGAATTTCAATCATAACAGTTAGATCTTAATTTGTTCTTAATTATATAACAAAAAAAATGCCAATTCTTATTGCATCAATACCCTCATGATCATTAGACTTATTAATGAATCAAATTAACTTAATATCATTATTCATTTTGACCATGGCTAATTGATGAAGCTTCATATTCATAAAATAACCCTTATCCAAAAATGGTAAATAATGATGAATCCATCCCCTCCATATAATATAATTGTATCGTAAAATAATAGATATTTTTATTATGTCTAAATTTCTTCAGGATTATTAATGTTCGTAAGATAGTTAGCATTATCGGAAACATAAAGTTAAAAAATTTCGTACAATTAATAATTCATCATATGAAGACAGATCTTCTATTCCAGTAGATGTTCCAATCTGAGTTCTTCATTAATCAAACTCATAGCTCTAATTTATTCTTCTAAGAAGAAGATTGATTCTGTGATAGATGATATTCAATTAATAGCAGTTAGTGAATGGAATAATTTAGAGAATTAGGATTCCATTGCAATATATTTAATATTGTAAATTTTAGCATTCAATCTTTTTTTAATGGATTATACTACTCATTTATCTTCTTTTCATTTTTTCTAAGCAGAAAACAAATGATTAATATTTTATAGAATTTGCATTTATATTCTAGCTCTGCATCAAGATTGATCATAGTCTCGCCAAAAGGGATTTAATTTGATGTCTTAATATTTCATTTTTATATAATAAATATTTTTATTAAAATGGCTGAATTCAGTTCTTTGAAAAGGAAGTTTGAAAGTCTAAGGATAGTTGATGATGAATCTCCTAAAACAATAAAAAAAACCTTAATCTAGGATGCTGATTTGTATCTATTGGGAAAAAAGATTTAATCCATTCATTTAGTTTAGCCTTTGCAATAAGTCATAAAGAAACCGGATATCTATTAGGCTTGCTTCTTTAAGAAGGACGGTTACAACCCTTTTTTATATATTGATCGACCTATCACAAAGGAAAAGGATGAGTCGTGATATATATTATTATAAATGATATATATATACTTTATTAGGCTAAAAAAAATAGAAAATACTTTCTATTCAAAAGCGATTAAAGCTATATTCATTTATAATTGAAAATTATGGGTGTAAGTTAATAGAGAATATTTCAACCTTTTAATTAATGCTTTGATTAAAGTTAATATATAGTATTAAATATTTATAAAAAATATTATGAAATGTAAAATAGAAAATGGAGTTACGCTTCTTGTTATTTAATGAAATAGTGAAGACTTAATTAAATATATATATATTCGTAAGTGTTTTACTTTTAATTAATTATAATATAATATATATAATTCTAATAAAATGGAACAATTTGAACAATAAAATGAAAATGAAAACTAAGAAGAAGTTAGTGGAACAGTCAAAAAGAGAATAAAGAAAGTTTAAGCAAAGAAAAAAGTATCAAATGAAGAGCCTCCTGAAGATTGCAGTATCTGCTATCAAGAAATAATTGATAAAGTAAATTGACTTTTTTAAATGATAGGGTATTATTCAGACATGTAAGCACTCCTATTGTTTCAAATGCATAGAGGTATGGGCTAAATAAAAGTAAACTTGTCCTTAGTGTAGAATGAACTTTAATTAGATTAAAAGAGTGCGAAAATATGGAAGGGGAAGAAGATAAAAAATGTATAGTTATCGATCAGATGATTACAAGATTTATCATCTAATTTCTCCTAATTCTATATTTCATTAATTCATAAACTAGTTGCTTAACATGCCCGAAGAATATTGATCTAAATTATTTGGGGATTAAGAATGAATTAAATAAACATAATGGTATTTTTACTATTTGTATAATCTAATGTGTTATAATTATTTTTGCATATTCTTTTTTATTAAATTTTATACTTGATTGTTATTAATAATAAAATTATATGGTAATTATTAGAAATCAGAATATAATTAAGAAGTAAGTGAATTAATAATAAAATAAACCATTATTATATCATAATGAATTTTTAGACTAAATTTTGACTTAGATAATGTTAGTTTTTGATTATAATTAATATTTAGTCATTAAAAAATCGGTTATATTAAACCTATTCAAGATTATTTAAGTAATTCATTATCAATTTTAGGTTAGGTTCGATTGAAAATAGACTGATCTTGTGATGTTGACTTTAATAATAATATTTGAGATGCTTAATTAGTTGAATGATTTTAATCCACAAACTTCTTTAATTTCCCTATCAATTAATATTGAGGTAATTTATGAGATTGAGGCGGTTCGTCTTCAAATATCATATCTCCAAAGTCACCTTCTAAATTTCTAATTGAAATGAATTTTTCACTATCTTTAAATTATTCTTGTATAGATTGCATCATAGCATACTATGGTGTATATATGAAGGCATCTTATTTGTTGTTTACAATAGATATTTATGCAGTACAGAATTCAGGTATACCACAGCTAAAATATTTCATATATCCACAACTCCCAATATCATTTGAACTTGATTTAGTGATTTCTTTTTTAGATTACCCTTATTCTGCATTATTATTCAATTCTAGGTATCTTTACCCATCTAAATTGATCTAAAACCATTCTTATTTCAACGCTTCATTAGGATTAGGTCTTTGTGATGGTCGACGATGGAGTAATAATTTTAATAATTGTAGACCTAAATTACAATTCAAATATACATTATGTGGATACTATTGATTCGATAGATTGATAATCAACCTTGCAATTAAAGTTTTTCATTACTATCTCATCATACGAGGATCCCTTGAATGGTGATTTGCCAGTCAATAATAAATACATTAAACATCCAACACTAAAGATGTCCACTTTAGAATCATAAAGTTTGTCTTACAATACCTCAGGAGCCACAAATCCAGGAGTACCACACCTTTAAAACATATAGTTTCCAAAAGGATCACAAAAATCAGCCAATCCAAAATCAGTAATTACTATGTCTTCCAAAACACCTTTTTTCCTTAATATCATATTTTCTGGTTTAAGATCTCTGTGGAGTATATTATTCTTATGCAGATACTCTAAGGATTTCAATATTGTTGCTATGACTCCGGCTACAATATTTTCTGGCAATTTTTAATTTTTTTTAATATGCTGGTATAATTCTCCCCCTTATAAATAATCTTGAACTAAATAGATGTGTGTCTCATCCTCATATACTTCATGCAATTTTATTAGTCCTTTGTAATTCAACTTTCTCAGAATGGATATTTCTTTTAATAAAGCCAACCTATCCGTTTCAGTGTTTATCATCTTACTTTTTTCGAAAACTTTTACAGCAAAATACAATTTGTCAGATTTTTTGTTACAAAGATACACCTAAAAAATCGAAGAACATTCAATTACTTTAGCAAAGTTTCCTTTCCCAATCATTTTTTAAATATCATAATCTTATTTGAATGTTATCTGAAGAGACTATTTTTTTAATTCTTCCCAAATTTTTTGGTTTATTTCTTATGATCTTGAATAGAATTCTCTACATCTCTAATTTCTAGTAATTCTGATCCCATACTTCTTCTAAAATGTCATAGATAACAAATTTTTACTCTATTACAGCTCTCCTTTTCCTGATCATTTTTATATATAATTTTCTCTATTCTACTCTTATTAAGATTGATCTGATGTTATGTTTTATGATTTGGCTTGCATATAAATTTATATTATTACTCTAAGCTTGATTAATTTAGAATCATAAATTGCATAGTTTCTGCTTACCCAAATTCCAGTTTTTTAACTTTTCTCAAAGAAGATAAACTGATGTTCAATTTTGTCATTATTTATTTAGGATATTGACTTTTCCCAAAAGGATGAATCAATTGTTTGTTCATCAAAAAATGACCTATCTATTTTAGATTACATTAATAATTAAATATATTTTTAGTAATTATAAGTCACTATTTCCTATTTCCGATTCGAGAATTAATCATCTCATTTAAAATCTCCAATTTCTGGGTCATCATCTTATTGAATTGTTCATTCTCACCTTTAACACTACCCCTACTCAACGGTTCTTTCACTTAAGATGGAGTCTCTACTTTTTTTAATTGATTCCGAAACTAACTCAACGGAGTTGATTACTCTTCTTCAACTGTGGCTTCAATCAAAGGTTCTGCCGATAAATATTTCTTATTCTTAGGAGAAGGGGATTTCACTTAGGCCTTGTCCAAATTATGAATAATAGAATAAAGTGTTCTCCCAATTTATCTACTAACCTCGTATTGAAAATTATCATATTGAAATTGAATATTATCATCAATTTGTTAGGATTACTGAATCCTTTCATATTCCAATGAAATGGACTTCTTTGCTTCAGCTAAATTTGCTTTATTTAAAATGCAATCCTTAAACTTTTGAATACTTTCATTAAAAATAAGTTGCATCTCTTCGCAAATAGAATTGATCATAGTTTAAATAGTGTAAGCTTCTTCATTTAAGTTAGGAATTGATTCGGACTTCTCTCTTCTATATGAATTATTTGTAAACTTTGTTTAAGTTGACTTCATTGAATTAATATTGGATTATTGCTTTGGTTTGAATTTATCTGGCTATTTCACTCTGACTTCTTCTATTTGCAATGTCTGTATCATAAACTATAGAGTATCATAGTCCTTGCAAACATCAAATACTGTATCTTGATTCTATAATAATATGATAAAATACAATTATACTTTATTTAACAGTTAGATATTAGCTTTGGCATTCAATAATAATGCCACTGTCTCCAAATTTCCTCTCTAAGCTGCAATCATCAAAGGAGAAAATCCTTTCTTGAATATTCAAAATTAAATACTTTGTCCTACTAATTTACATCAGCACCATGGTTCAACAGAAAATCAGCAGTTCTGCGATAATTGTAAAATGAACAGATCCACAATGGAGATTGATTTAACTATATCAACCTTTATAAATTACTCTATTTGTCTTATTTATATCTGCTCCTTGAGTAATCAATTTCTCGATCATTGGACCATCATTCTTACGACAAGCAATTGTCAAACAGGTTTGTCCTGACTTTGCATTTTCAACATCTATCATATTCGGATATTGTTGGAGTATTTCAATAACTTTATTAACATTCCCTTATTCAACCTTTAAAAATAAGACCTAAGCAGTGCTATTCATTGATATTATATTGAAATTATATATATAAATTCAATCAGTAATAATAGATTCCCCTTTATGAATCCATCTAACCCTCTTTCCTTATTCCCAAATTCCTTGCTTCTCTACATTCGAATCCCCTATATAAATTCCTGACCCATGCTATTTTCCATTCTACCATTATCCTCGATAAATCTAATAATCAACATCAACAGCATACTCGTCCATCTGGCCATTTAAATTCTCCATATCCATCCTTTTTATCATTTTTATATTCTCCATTATATCTCCTACCGTCTATCCATGTGAAAAACTATTGCTCAAAATATATATATACTCCTTGCCCATCCATTTTGTTGTTCTTCCACGTTCCTATATACTTTCTACCATCGAACCAAGTGTACTCCCCATAACCCTATATCAGATTATTATCAAAATCTCCAATATATTTAGATCCATCTTTCCATTGGAACTCTCCGTTGCCATGTTTCTTGCCCATTAAGTATTGACCCTTAAAAATAGAGTTGTCAGGCCACGTTTCGATGCCTTCTCCATGCTATTTGTCATCTACCCATTAACCTACATATTTTGCGCCATCTGCGTGAATATAGGTTCCCCTATTATCCATAATAAATTACATATCCATTGGCTTTATCATTCTGCCATTCTCCTATATAAACATCTCCACCACAATGAATCAGTCTACCTATACCTTAAGCAGAGTTCTTTTGCCATTAACCTTCATATATTGATCCATCTATCCATATTTGGGTACCATAACCATGTTTCAATCCATTTTTATATTAACCGTAATAGACTGTTTAATCATTATACTCATAAGGGCCTAATTTAGGCAAATCTAGTTCTGACATTTCTTCAAATGGTCCTTATTCATCAAGTACTTTTTTTGTTTTTTCAGTAAGATAATTAGGCATTCTGGATAGTTTAGCAACCAAAGTCAAAGGGGCATGTTCATTATTACTATGATATTAATTTTTCATAGATTTCATGTCTTTTCTAACCTTAATTCCTCTGAAATAAGATTGAATTTTGATAGCTGCTCTATCAACTTAAAGAGAGCTATTTTATTAGTCTGTAACTAAAATAATTTATGGATTCTGTTTATCTAGCATTTAATTCCCATTACAGCAATTTCCCATTATATTTTTAATATAATCTTATATAACAGTCAACATCATTATAATAGTAATGAAAATAAATTTTCAACAAAATTGTGCTTCACACAAAAATTTGTGACCTCCTTAGCAAACATTTCAAATCTGAAAGTGCCTCCTCTTTCCTCCATGATGATTAAGACAGGAGCAACAATTTGTAACATTTCATAACTCATTTATGACAAGTCAACTTATTCAGTATTCAATTCTCCCTTTTGTTCCTTATCAAGCATATTAAATAGCTTCATCAATGAGGCTCTCCAAACCTATTAAACGACGCTTTGATCAGCACATGGTAAATTCAATACATAAGAATTATTATTACTAGATTTGTTATCCTAATTATAATACTCTGGAGTCTTATTATAAATGTCCTTGTAAGTCTTGCTCACACTCTTTTCATTTAAAATCTCATGAGATCTCTGAGTAGTTTTTGGATGATATGTGAATGACTTATTTTGTTGGTCTTAAGAGTGTTATTTCTGCATTCTCAACTCTTGTAACTTGATTTACTTCTCTTTGCCATAATTGAGCAACCTTTGTTCTACACTATTATCCTAGCGTTTTTGTTTCTATATATATTGTATCATGGCTCTTACGACAATCTATTCAGAATTTTTATTGATTTGGGGAGTGAATGTCAACTCGTTCTCATCTACAGGCTTCTATTATCTGATTTCTCTAGCGCTCTTGTCCCTCATCATCTTGCTAACTAAAAATAAATTCATAATTTACTATCTTATGAGATATCTCTATAATGTGATCTACTGCTTACTAAAGGACTCTTCTTTTAACAACTTTGAGTTGAAATCTAACTATTCTATTTATAAGGAGTTGAATTAGTTGAATTTCTGAAATAATTTGATTTCTAATCATGGATCACCTTTTATTCAATATTTATAGTGTGTTGTGCTTATTATTTATGTTACGATATGCTATCAATCAACTTTAATAGATATCGTCCAGGAAGGTCATGTTTTGATGCAAATGCTATCCCCAAATCTCGGGGATCATCTCTTTCATAAATGTATATCTAATCTCTCTCATCTTGTGTGATCTCTACTGTCTATAATCAATCATTCTAAATTGTACCATGATCGCTAACAAAGTCCCATTATTATTTTGCATTTTAATATAATATTAATCCAATTTAGATTTTATATTCATTTCTATAATAATCAATCAAGATCAACCGCTACTTTTCACAAACTTCAAAACTATTGGAGTAGTTATCACTCCTATCGCAATTAATCCAATTAAAATAATACAACACATTTTCTAATTTATAATATCCATATCTTACTTTTCTACTCTTCTTATGAATCTTTTATTCCTTAGCTAATGCTTTCTCTCCTTTTTCAATATAATTCTTAGCTTTATTCAAATTTTATTCTATCTACTATCATAATTCAATACCTATGCTCTCAATTTATTCTCCTTATTATGTTACCAAAAATGCAATCTCAGATAACATTTGAAAACAGTACTGAGTACTCTAAAAATACAGTAAGTAAAATACTTTCTCTAACTTTTGAATATCCTAATATTTATCTTATATATCTTAAACTCTGTAAACTAATTACAACGATGGTTAACCTAGGGTCTCTTTCATCACCATCTTTTCTAATCCTTAAGGGTCTTAAATGATATCTGATTTCTATTTTTCTGTCAAATTAGGTTCTAGTATTTCTAACTATTGAATTTGAATTTCAATACTTATCTCTTCATCTTCTTTTGAATAGTTTTGTTATAATTAAAAATCGTATTCTAACCAGATTACAATATAGATGCAACTTCTTATTGAATTGCCTTCTAATTATAAATCATCGCTCTGGTTTCTGGTTCATCAGGATCACTTTCTTTAACTAATTTATCCATTTCATCAAATAACTTTTTTATTTCAGACGTATTTTTATTAATTTATACTTGTAATTAATCAACTTTCTTCATTGATTCTATATATAGATTTTCTATAACCTTTTTCTTTTTAAGTGGATGCTGCTGTCTATATTATTTCAGTCAACCTACTAATTTCTTCGTTGTTATTTCTAATTAATTGCAATTTCATTCTAATCATTGAACTTTTTTTTTAAAAATCAGGCATCATTTCAGCTATTGATTATCTATTGGAAGGTATCAATTCTATTGTAATGCCATTCTATTGAGCTGTCTATGGTTGTCTATAATAGTTCTTACCTCTTTTAACTAATAGTATAGATCATTCATTTATTAAATAATAAATAATAATAAATGTTGGATTAGCGTCAAACATTAAGTGATATTAAAAAGCTAAGAAATACTCCCTACATTTATTACAAATAATACCAAACTATTGAGAATAATCAACAATAAGAGTCAAAATAAGCGAAACTGATAGCCAGGCCTAATGTTAGGTATTTGATTCATCTAATTACTGAATGTAGATCCTCTCATTTATCAACAGACATGAAAACCTTTCAAAATGGTAACAAGAACAGAACAAATTAAGATAAACAAGCCAATAACGTGAAAGAACCAAAACTCAATCTAATTACAGGGCCTTCAGTCTAAATTAAAAAGCTCCTTCTAATTCCAAAAGTCAACCTGATTTGATTGATGACAATGAAACCATTTTCGTACCATATCGACAAAGAAACATTTCCTAAAATAGTATCTCAATTTCATATGATAATACTAATAAAAAACAAAGCTTTTTGCCAGCTATGAATCACTAGGATCCAATGTTATAAACCTTTGGAAAATAAGTTATCATCCTCAAACCCAAGAGATTCCCTACTGAGATATTTTAAGGAAATGTGAGCAAGATGAAGAAGCAATTCTAATAAAATTATTGAAATATTTATTTATAACTATATATAATGGAAATCTCCTTTGATTTCGACCTTAAAGTGTATCAATAAATAGGTCATGGTGCGTTTAGTTAAGTATTTCTTGGTGAATACGATTCCAAAAAGGTAGCAATAAAAGTATAAACTTTTTGAATTTAAATAGGTAATGGATCCTATATACCTTGACTAATTTAAAAAGGAAGTAGAAATTTTGGAGTCCATTCATCATCAGAGTTTCGCCTAATACTTTTATGTATTATAATATTTTCTATTCAAAGAGCAAAGAAACTGAAAATTCTTTATACATCGTCTAAGAATATTTGGAGGGCAAAACACTGACTTAATTCATCAAAACTGTTTAGATGGAAGAAACACACATCAAACAAATCATTATTGAATTACTCGATTCTGTATCCTATCTACATTCTCAAGATATTATCCATCGAGACATCAAACCAGGTACTGTATCTATACAAATAGACAACATAATTATTACGACTGAGGGATAACTAAAGCTTATTGATTTTGGTCTTAGTTCCCATTCAGAATCGAAACTATCTTATGATAAATGCGGAACCCTCTTATTTATGGCTCCTGAAATGATTTTTAAATAACCATATCTTAAATCTGTTGATATCTGGAGTTGTGGCATTATTGCATATCAATTAATCAATAAGAAGCATCCCTTTTGGGATCCATCAGAATCTACTTCAACTTTTGTTCAGAGAGTTCAATAATTCAGCCCTAATTTCTAAGAAATGAATGAATATCAAAAATCTTTCTTTTTAAAATGTGCTGCTTATTCACCTGAAGCAAGAATGAACGCGAATCAAGCTTTATAGCATCCTTGGCTTTCAGGAAAAGGAGAATTATGGCAACCAATTACAATGGCAGATATGAAAAAACTTTTTGATAATAAGATGAAAACACTTTAAACAATTAAAGCTCTTCTGATGATTAAATTTTTATGCCAAAAATTTGGAACTATTATACCTAACGAATTTAGTAATTATGAATTCAATGACTCCACAGCAGATACTAATACTAATTTTAAGTTAAAACTAGTTAGAAGTAGTTCTCGAAATCCTTCATTCATTAAGCAAGTTCGTAGCACAAGTACTATCTTCTTTGAAAGCAATAATCTGCCATCCCCTATTAGATTTACACACAATAATAAACGAGTTTCTATCTCTCCAAATAAAACTATGCTGCATTCAGAATCAATTTAATTCAGCTAAATTGCCAAAAGAAATACACAAGTTATAAAACTGCCGTAATTTTATACTTATAATATAGTCCATTGTCAAATTCTCCTGTTTTAAAAAAATAAAGAAAAAGCAATTTAAATTTTAGATTGAAATAGTATTGAATTTGTTTATTGATAAATTTTAACAGAACAAATATATTTTGATTGATGTAAATTTATTTAAAACACTTTTACTTTCAATTTATAGGAATAGTAAAGGTGATAAGGCTGACGATTATAAATAATTTTACTTAATTTAATATTACAATACAAAAATAATGGATAATTATAAACTTATATATTCATCTATTTGTTGTAATAAAGGTTTTTGCATAATAAAATTCTTGAAGAGTTTTTATTCTTTTTCCAAATTCATTTGTAGCCAAGGGACAAGAAGAGTCATGCGATGAGGATCTTAATTGAGTAGTGATTAATGATCCAATTTAAGATTTAATTTTTAAACTGACTTCTCTATTAGCTTAAAACTACTAAAATCTCATTTTTCTATAAGATTTTAACACTTAACATTCAAGTGCAAAATTGTTTTGGGAGATGGATTTTTATAAATTTATAGGCGGAATGACACTGTTACTTTTAATTTAGGACTATTTCTTTTATTTCAATAATTCAATTTATTTTTTATGAAAGATAAACATATTTTCAGATTGAGGAGTAATTTTCTTACTAATTAAATTATTAGAATTAACAATATCAGTAGTAGTAAACATACTTTTTTATTGAGATCTCAAAATCTTTTAGTTTAACTTATTAGTGTCTCTATATAATTCATCGACTGTGACTCTTTCAGTATTGGTAGAATCAGGATATTGTAATTTTTCCATCGCCTTATCTTGTTTTTGAATATTTTCAAATAGATACTTCTCTCTTCTTTGTAAGTAAGACCTGATTACAAAGGATTTCTCTTTCAAAATTTTAAGAAAGTCAGGATGGTTTTTCCTAACAATATTAAAAGCGTCACTTTCCATATAATAAGCGAGAGTATTATCAGAGGTCATGCAAGAATAGAGTCTGACGGGATGGTTGTCTATAAGTTCTGCTTCTCCAACAAAAGAGTTATCAGAAAGCTGTGAGAGAGTTACTTTCTTTTTTGGTTTTATTTTTGATTAAAAAATAGATGGTTCTTTATGCTTGCCATGCAAAGCATCTTCATCATAAGATCTATAAATTTCGACTCTCCCTCTAACAATCAATAAAAAGAATTTAGGTTCATCTCCCTCCTTCCATAAAACAGTTTATGGGGCAAATTCAATTTTTTAAAAATATTAAATAAACTTGGTTACAATAAATTTACTGACACCCACAAAAATACTTAAAAAGTATTCAAAGGTTTGATTCTTTTCTTTAATAGATCTTTCTCCAACGCTTTTAAAATCCTGTCTATTCATAGTTAAAACATGAAGTTCATCTGATAACACTAAAATGCTGGCAGTACGTGGTTTGTCAGAAGATAAAGCCATATCACCAAAGGCTTAACCTGAGTAAAATTAAAAGACTTTTTTATAAAGACAGATTCCATCTTTGAAATACATGTTATTAACCTCAAATGGGTTCTTTTACGAAGCTAGAAGTAATTCCATTTAGAGATCTTAGGCCCTTTTTTTCTTTTTAAATACAGTTTCATAATCTAACACCTCTTCCTCAAATGGGTTCAAGTTACTTTTATACGTTTCAATAACCTCTCTATCATTAGCAATTTCTTCTTAAGACTTAGAAACAAAGACTCCTACTTCTCCAAATAATATCAAATAAACTTTGTCCCCATATTCTCCATAATTAAAAACTATTTATCCTCTACTAAATTATTCGTATTTGAAATATGAGCAAGCTTGAGCAGTAAATTCTTCTATTTTAGTTCCCTCTGGGCAATTTTTTTTTAGAAATTCAATCTACGACATCATTGGAGCAATCTCCTCTAAAAGGGATTACTATGTTATTCTTGTATAAGAACGGTACAAATTGAGAGGAATCTTCAAGTTCTCTTCATTTTTCTTTCTCTATTGATTGTCATCCACCTTCTGATCTTAAATTACAGACTTTTTCATGTTTTTCGTTGATTGATTCATTATAAAATAATAAAATTATCAATAATTATGCAGACTATATTGATTCTCTTTGACTTTGAATAGGCCCAGTTATTTCCTCTTCATGTAAAATAATATTCCGCCTATGATCAATCCTCCCCCAAAAAGCACAATCAGTAATATCCACCACCATCTAAAATATAAAAATCATTAAATACTTGGAACTACCACTTTTATCATCATCTGGAGGGTTAGGAGGAGGTGCTGGATCATCAACTCTAATGACATTAAATTTTTCTTCCTCCTTGTTGTATGCATTACTCACCGATATTGTAACTTATTATTTATCTTTTAATTGAGAAGGTCTCAAAACTGAAAGACTTGTTTCTAAACTCATTTAATAACCATTCAACATCTTTCCTACTAAATTGGTATATAGCCTTTTATTTTGACCTTCATTAAAACCATAAACTATAAATAGCCCATCCTTAACTTGAAATGCAGTATCTTATAATCCATAAACCATATTAACTGACAATTCCTTATCATTTAATTCATAAATGGCCAAAACAGTGTCTTGTTTATTTGTATAAGGAATAAATAATAAGTTATCCTCAATAAAATACCCTTTATTCAAGGCTATCCAATTTTTGAAAGGATTAATGACATTAATCAATCTACTTTTTACAACTAACTTAGCATTGTCCAAGTCTAACTACAATTTAAAGGATGCAACATCATTTGAAATGATGATATAATTTAATTAATTATCTTTTATTTCTTAAGTTGCAAAAAGCTATATGTAATCTGTTGTCTTAAAAGCAAACTGATTGTTCTTCCTAACTAAATCGTACAAATAAATATTATTCTCTTAGATTATGTTAAGTTTATTCTATTTAAACTCTGTATAATATATGTTTAAATGATCAGCTTAATCAATGAAGCTCAATATATAATTTTAATTTTCTCCTTCTTTAGGAGTACTATACTTCTGAATCACAAAATCTGTGAGACCCTTGTCATTGTATATGATTTATGTTAGTGTAATGCTCCATTTCGTTAATTCAGTATTAATATTAAGATAGTAAACATATATTTTCCCAAAATCTTACATAAGTATTAAATCGCTAGGTATTACCACCATTTTTTGAACTCCATTTAAATCTAATATATCTTAAGGAGTATCAATATTACTACATTTCTAATCCTTATCACACACAGTCAAATATGCATGATAGACATTATTATATTTACAAAGTGTTACTATATATTTAGCATTTTCTTGCATGGCAATCATTTCACAGCTATTCGGCGATTAAAATTCAATTAAACTACTCACATTATCTTTGTGATTTATAGCTAGTAATTTATCTTTGGTAAGTGCAACATTATATAAGGAATTGAATGATTCAATATCCAAAACATTTGTAGCAATATTTTCACTTATTCTCTCAATTGGTAAGTTTAATTTAATCAAATCCTTGCATTAATCACAATCAATGCTAATGTTCTGTACTTAACCTTTATATAACTAATTTAACTTAACTGTTGAATTTTATAAAGATGAATTAATCGAAATATCTAATTATTAAGTTAATGCTATAGGATATTTAATATTTAAAATAAAGATTGTTTCTAAAATTTTTTAAGTATGTTCAGTATTAAAAATTGTCAAAGTTTTGGTTACATTCACATAATAATCAAAGTTGTTTAAATTAATAGATTTTATGTATAATTTAGATTATTTTAGGATTGCAAAATACGATTAATGAGTTCCATTATTGAAATACAAATGAGTTTTTTGATATCCACAAGCAGACATCATAAATTTATCATCCAAATGAGCATCAATTATTCTAAATAACTGATCATTGCTATTTTAATTATATGGTTGATAAACTAAAATCTATTATTGTTTAGTTAGAATGAATAAAAATCCATTATCTTCTGATTGAGTGATCAGCATTGGATTCTTAAATTCATGATTATAAATTTATAATTATCTAATTAAATAAACATTATTTAAATCTTCTAAAGAGTATTCTAAAATCTGAGTTTGCTTTATCATAAAAAAGGATGATTTATACGTTGTTATCTATACCTCATCAGTATTTAATATACATTCTACCATATTTAGTTGATTATTATAAATAGTAATCAATATATTGTCTGAATTACGAATGAATAACAAATGACCATTATATTTTTAATTTCCAAATAACTTTTTAGGACTCCAACTCTTTATCATTCCAAGAGATTTCACTGTTGGCTCATCAATCTAATCTAAGGGAGCGCCATCAAGTGAATTGTATATTCCAATCCTTTTACTTTTTTCCCTTAAAAGGTATATTCTTCTATCCAATTCTAAAAGTTGTGTTATTGCTTCTCCAACACTAGTTATTTTATTAAGTTTAACTAATTCTTATTCATTTATTTTCCATAATTCTGCAGTTTATTCCTAATCGCAAAATACAACATAGGCTTATTCATTATCAATCCACCATTAAAAATGCGATTCATCAACTAAAACGCTAAAACTCTTGCTGAAAACACTTGAGTTTACAAATTAAGTGCATTACTCAATCAAAGAGATTGAATTTTATTTACAATTATAAATTTAAACTTCTTTATTCTTTAATTAAAAGAGAACATAGACTTGTGTGTCATTAAATTATAACATATCTTAATAATGTATATCTGATGCTTGAGGCCAATTTGAAATAACCATCTCTTCTAAAGTCTCAAATTCCATGTCTAAATCATCTCCTTAGTTTTCAAATTTAAATTAAACATTTGGGCCACTCATAAATTAAATTACATCTTAAGTATAATTTACTGATGCCAGCACATCTGTGATTACTTATTATGGTTTATCATTAAAATACAAATTAAAATCATTTTAGTTTAAAATTTATAAGGAAATCTCTTTAGTAAAAGTTTCACCTTTTGAAACAGCTTAAATATTAAAGGATGCTTTATCAACGGCTACATTTCCTGATTTAATTAATAGATATCCATCGCTTATGTAATATCTTCTAGTTAAATTATAACTAATCGATATCAAATCTGGATAGACCGGATTAACCAAATAAAAATTAACTTATTGTAAGGTCTTCTGATTAATTAATATCTTATTATATATCGAATATTAATAAATAGTATTTTCATCTTCAACTATAATATAATGATCAGATATTTTTATTTAAGAGTTTTAGGATATTTTCTTAGGTAGGGAATAGGTACTTACACCTTAAGAATTTAAATATAAATCAAATGTGGTATCTTTAAGAATAACAAGTATGCTAAGCTTTTTCCCGTTGTCATCCAAAAAGTAAACATAATCAAAGGCTATGATATTACCATATAATTTAATAAAAAAGGTAGAAGTCCAATCTCCATACTTATCAAAGCTCAAAGCTGCCACAAATAGGTTATCCAATATAAAAACCTGATTATATACCAATTTATAATCAATTAGGTAAAATTTAAAGGTCTCTTCCAATTGATCTTTATAAAGAATTTTCAAAATGTTAGTGCTGATTTCAACTGATTATTCTTCAAAAGTGATTGCAGGAGTTTTGATTTTATATATTTAAATGATGGAATCAGATTAAAAAATGGATCCTTATAATAAGTAGTCTTATTCATCTTGATACAAATGAGCAATCTTTCTTTTCCTCATAGTTTTATATCCAAGGGGATTGGCTACTTACTGTTATTGGAGACTTTAGTCTTTGGCAATGACATAGAATTTATTTTATAAGGGTTAATCTGTAACTTAGAGAGCACAATCCACAATATAATGAGAAGAATCAAATTATTCTGCATCGAAGCATATCATATTGTTTTCATTAGTCACTTATAAATGTTCATTAAATTTAGGTGTAGCAACATTTTCCTCCTAAGGACTTAAGAATTTTGAGAAATAAATACTTTTCGGAGTAATGTACATTGAACGTTCCTTTATTATTTTCTAAGAAAAGGAAGTGATTAGTCCAATGACCAAATAAATGCTATGCTTTAACACTAATGATGTCATCGGCATCTAATAATTATAATTCATCAAGATTACTTTGATTATGTTTTTGGGAATCTGTATATAGATGATATTAAGGTATTATGCTAGCATATGGATTTGCATCTACAATTGAATAAGTAGGATTTTCGAGGTATCCAAATAGATTAGTTAATTGTAATTAATAAGTCTCATTCACATAGATGATGTAGGAATAGGCGTAGGCAATAAATGTTAATATATAAAGCATAAAATAAATAATCAATTTACTTTAAATTAATGATCACCATATTTTTCTTTATTCACTCTATATTCTGGATTGAATTTGAGAGGCTTAGATAAGTTCTTAAATGGAAATATCAAATCTAGAATAAATATGGCAATGTAGTCAATGATGAGTAATATCAATAAATATAATCCAAAGAAGGGACCATTACTTTAGCATGCCTTTATTCTACCCAATATAGATGGATAAGGCGATGATAAAATTTTATTGTAAACCGTCTCAGTCCTTTCAGCCACCATATGCCAACTGTACATCTTGGCAACTTGTTCGTGGTATTAATGAGATGGTACATTCTTAGCAATAGGAATGGCTACCGCCAACTTCTCACAGATGTCATCTGGATCAGGCTTTGCAAAATTGACCATGTTTTTAGGTAACACCTCAACTACTCCGCCAACATTAGTTGAAACAACAAACAAGCCACAAGAGGCAGCTTCAACAATAGCAATACAAAATGCTTCGGTTAATGAAGTATTCAAAAAAATATGACCTCTAACAAGTACCTCTCTTACTTTATGTCCTGGTACCGATCCTAACTATATTGATATTTTTATTTATACCATTTCCACTCTATCTGTCAATCCATGTTTTCTTATGCTTTCTTCAATAATTTTTTTCTTAGGTCCATCACCCCCAATGATGAAATAGACTTAAGGGAACCTCTTGCAGATTGTTGGTACAACATCTACTAATAGATCAACTCCTTTTCGAAAAGTCAATCTGCTTATAACAACAATATTGACAGTATTGAGCGGATACCTTTTAGATGGATCAGGTTTGAATCTGCTGCAATCTACTGCATTAGGAATTACACTTATGTTTCTAGGATCTAAGGATGCTCTCATACTTAGATTTTCTTTGCTTATATGAGATACAGAAACCGCATGATCCACCTCGCTCAAAATGAATTTCAATATTTTGTTAACATGAAATGAAGCAGCATCGTTAAATGCAAATAATGAATGATCGGTAAAGACAGTTTTGTATCCTAATGATTTTGCATGCAATAATAATTCTCCTCCAAAGAATGAAGTGGCTGCGTGTGAATGCACAACATGGATTTCTTCTCGGAGTAAAATTTGTCTCAGTAATGCCAAACTTCCCATATATGTGAATAGCACAACTTATTCATGTGCGGGGACAAAAGGACAATAATATACTTTCAATCCATTTGTCATATATCTAACTCCAGCTCTATTGTCGTATTTATGAGTAATGATAATGACCTTGTGACCTCTTTCCATTAAACACAATCCCAATTAGAATATGTGCATTTCAACCCCTCCCAGTCTTGGATAGAAGAAATCGCATATCAGACAAATGTTAACCATTTTATTTAATTTTTAAATTTGATATCAACCCCTTAAAATATTTTACTTAATTTAAATGTGGAATATCCTTATAATCATTATTCTAGTTCATAAAAATGTATCCTACTCAATTAACCTATTCTGAAATTCTCTTAATAATCTAATACATCGAGTATCAATTATAGCATATATATCTAATTAATTAGAAGAAGCTTTTAAGCGATTATCAAGGATAAGAATCCATAATCGATTTTAATTAGTATAATCTCAAGATGATTACAGAATCCTCTCAAATCCTCGATAAGAATACTATATGATCAGGCTGAGATGCAATAAGAAAACCAAATCTAAATATCAATCTAAAGAAATTTTATCATCTAAAATGATGAAATACTTAGATCCTGAATCAAACCAAATTTAATTTAAGACCCTTAGTGAAAAAGAAATCTAGAAAAAGATGATCTAAAGACTTAAAATTGAATTCTTATTTATTTTAATTATTTCATTCACGATTATATTCAAGTATTTGATGATACAATCTACATAATAATATTTATCAATATGGAATTTTTTACCTCTGTTTCAATTCAAAGAATGTGGATATTTGAGAGTTTGTAAATCATATATAGTTGAGTCAATATAATTTTTTTTTTACATCACAATAATGTAATCATGTAATAATTTAACTTGTAATCTAAAACTCAAAATCGACTAAAAAGTGTATTTATACTTTATTTGACATTCTTTTTAATTTGCAAAACTTGAATCTTAATTTCTTTTCCTCCTAACATTTACATTTCATATAAGTAATTGAAATTCCAAAATAGAATTCTTTTGGTTAGCACAAAACCTTCTAGATATAAACTACCATTTTCAATTGTAAAATTCACTTTTTTAATAAATACTTAAGTTTATTTTCATTGAATAGAATAATTGTATGTTCATAATTTACTATTTTCTTATTAATTTCTCACATTCTTTGAATTAATTCTTAAAAAATTTTTATAATTGAACCAGCTATTTTTCCTTAATAACAAAGGTTGAAAGGTAATGATATAATTTTAACTTATGACTTACTCTAATTATAAATTGAACTTGCTTACTATAATATTCTATGTTTTATGAATTGACTTAAAAGCAAGTTAAGCATTTATGGGATAACATTAAATAATTTCAAGATTGAGTTTGTAGGTTATTAATTGAAATTATTAATTAATATTGTCCTAAGCAACTCCAGTTACATGTATTTTTTTTTGTAAGTAATTTAATATTGAGTAGTTTTTATAAATCACAACACTTTAAGTGAGATCCTTAAATATATAATCATAAAAATAAATTTGCTAAAATCAATCTTTTCTTCTATCTTTTCATTACTTTTGTAGCATCTCTCCTTTACATTAAAGTAAAATTACTAGGTATTTAGAATAATTCAATTATTTCTGAATTGTCAAAATCAATTTATGTATAATTCTAAAATGTGACGACCCCATCAATTGTAAAATTTATTGGAATTTCGATTCTTACAGGAAATCCATTATCATTTAATACCTATTTTACTGTTTCACTTAACAATATTTCTAATAAAGATTATAGCATTTCATTTCCTCTTGCTAGCATTTTTATTATTGGCAAAAATTATCTAAAGTCTAAAGGGAATTCTTTACTTATATATAATTAGCATAGCTTTTATTATTCTATTCATATTGTAAATTAAAATACTTTTGGAATTTCCATCATTTTAAATGATTTCTTATGCCCATGGTTCAAAATTTACTTTATCTTATCTTGAATCTGAATCAAAATTTTATTTTATATATTATTCGAAATTCATAGAGTAATGAGATCTCTATTTCTTACGAAATTGTTTATTTCCTTGAATTCTAAATTCATATTTTTAGCAAACAAGATTATTAATTTTTTAACTAACATAATTCCCAAAAATATTTTTTCTTTTTATCAAGTCGCATTGTGTTACTTTCATTTCACCACTTACACTATCACAGTGAAGTAGATCTAAAATAATCTGTTCTTTCTCCTCAATATCTATCTCTTACTAATATATTATTATAAATTACAATAGGATAATAATAGATTTTTTTTGTTCTATTTAATATAATTACAAATCTGCAATTTGATTAGTTTTCCTTTCTCTAAGAAGGACCAATCATTGGATTATAGAACACGCTGATGTCTCTCCTTTTTGTCTTATAATTCTTTGTTCCTGCAAAAGTTGAATCAAGCCTTAAGGATGAACCTTAAATCAAATTGTCGGAATACCTCTTTTGTAGATTTTGAAAGTATCATTAGGTGTTATTTTCGAGATAAATGGTATCAAATTTGATTTAAATTCCCATTTCATTTCAAGATAAAAATCATTAATTCTTAATAACTCTTAATCAATTTGATTTCTTTCTTGTTAAATATCAAACATTCGCTTTTATACTAAATAATCAAATAGTATTGAAGTTGTAGCTACATCCATTTAAGCAACTGTTTCTTCTATTGGACTCCAACCATTTAAATCTTTTATAGAAGGATCACAACCACTTGATAGTAGTAGCCTAATAATTTCAAACTAGTTTTATTAATGAGACAATTTTATTGCTAATAAAAGTGGTGTATTACCATTGACATCTTTTTAATTTAAAATCTCTGTTCTGTACTCCTTTTACAGAAATTTTATCATTTGAATCAGAACAAAAACATTTTTAGAAAAAATAGCCTCTATGATCTATAGTTGTAAATCTTTATCAGTATGTTTAGCAGATTATTGTCCCAAAGAATCGCATGGAATATCTATAGTGTATTGGCTGTTTTCTTTTATTTATTATGAAGATCGATTGTTAATAGCATGAGAGCTAGTAAAGTTGTTATTAATTTAAGTGCTGTTAAAATTGAATTAATGATTGTTGGGTATGTAAAATATAAGTGGAGAATTAATTTATTTTAAAGATTATTCGACAGAGAAATCATTAAATTCTTTGATTCTTCTCACTAAACTTATCGTATTATGATTACTCTCAGAAACTGATGATTATTATCTCATAATAGATGATGATTTTATCAGTTGAACTGATGCTTCATCTTAATTAAGTTATGGTTGTTACTTTGGCCAAATCTATTTTGATTTTATCTCATTGAACACTTTTATTTTCTCATTAAAATAACTATTCTTATATTCACATAGAATCTTTGCCTTTTTATTATCATTCATTATATCGAATTCTGAAAAATATAATTCTGACTAATCATCATAAGAAGACTCTGAAATAGATTCTGATGCTTCTTTTCTCGCCTTTATATTTGCATGTGACTATTTTCTATTTTCCCTAACATTATTTTTAAAGGAGATTGTAGAAGATTTTGGCTCTAAAGATTGAAACTTTAATTTCTCAAGTTGTTCTTGCACAGTGCCATGCTAATGTTCGTCATCATTTTTATCATAGTTTAGCATTTGTATAAAAAAATAAATTAATGAAAATAAATTGAATTTGCCCATAAAATGACATAAACTTAAAATTAATTGCGAATTCTTACATTTCTCATTAAAATACATTTAAATATTATATAGTCTAACGATCACTATTAAATCAAACTCATTTTAGTCGAAGCAGATTCATTCCTAATCTAATTTTGAGAACTACTTTTTTAATAAAAATATGATTTTTAAGTTTGATTCTTCTGTTGACAAAAAAGTTAGATTTGAAACTAATTACTTTAATTTATTATTTCAGCTTCTTATGATGATTGCTGTTGCACCATAAAAATACATTTATGCTTAGCACATTTTGTTCTTAAATTTATATTAAATCAATCAAAATTAAATAAAATTTTATTAATTATTAACATTATTCTCTCAAAATTTCAAATAAAATAACCATAATTTAAGATATGATCACTAACTACTTATTATTATATTATATTAAAATTTAGTTTATTTATTAATAATTTTGTTTAGGAGAAACATTGTATTTATTAACAAATTGTAAATTTGAGAATTTTTCAAATTCAAACTCTATATATTTTTGAAACCATTATAGCTGCTTTCTCTTCTGCTTCAATTATGAAAACCAGAAAGGTCGTAAATAATCTACAAAGCTAATCTATTTTATTTAGTATTAACAAAATATTTTGAAGTTTCTCCATATGTAATTTAAGGAGAAAGAAATAATCTGTTGTTTGTTTATAATTTTATTTAACTTGAAAATATACAAATGATTGCTGTGCAGATTGATAAATCTTCCTCAACCATGCATCCTACAATTATTATAGTTAATTCCACCTATAGAATCTCAAATTTTGGATCATTGATGTTAGGAAAATATATGGCTAAGATAACATCCCTTATTTTTTCAGATACTAGGTAGGTAGGTATTACGATTTTATACTTGGTGTCAAAATTGGATGAAGCCAAATGAGTGCTCTGCTAAAATCCCGAACAAAGAATGAATTTAGATAATAAAGCACATGAATATAGAGATATTTGAAAGAAATTTGAAGGTTGGGAAGGAGAGCAAACTTATAAAGGAATGAGAAAAGTTCATTAAGTTGATTAAGTATAGAATCTAGGATATTAATGCTAGTTGAAATAGCCTTTAAGGTTAGGATATTTTAAATTACTCTCAATTTTATCAGTCATTTGAAAATTTCTTAGAATTTGAGTAATTGATTGAATTTCATACTTTGATGTGAAGGTAGTAATGAAAAGTTCCTTATGTTTAAGACTTAATAGGATTGTTATTGAATAAAAGAAATATAGCATAAGATTCTCATGTGAAGATATGATATGAATAGAATTTTAAATCATCTTTACTTTATTTTTTTATTGTTATGATATTAGCTAAGATTTGCCTAGTTTAAGTTTTTCCATTGGTTCAATTGAGTGGGTATGGTGGTAACCAAATGAAAATATTCCACTGCAATCAATAAATTTGCCACTGTTTTTGACTTGTGAATAGGACTATTATCAAGAACAAGTACAAAAGGCTTGTCATCATAGTATTGTTTTTAGCACCATAATTAATTAAATAAGCTACAATACACTATACTATTTACATATCCTATTAAATTTTAATAGCTAAAAAAATTATTTCTCCTCATAGCTCTTAGAAAGAAAGTATTTTTTGATTTTTTCTCACAAACGGAAACCGTATTTTGGTGTATTATTTGCTAGCATCAAATTTGTGTTATTGAATGTCTTAATGAAACTTCATCTAAATACACAAAATTAAATTGTGACAATGAATAACTCATATTTAATTGCATAATTAAATCGAAGTGATAACATTATGTTTATAAATCAATATAGATTTTGATTTACAAATATTTAATAATTATATTAACTACCTATTATTTTACATAAAATATAATTTTATTTGAATTCTTTTGGTTCAAAATTTTTGTACTGTGTAATTCATGCTCTTTTTGTAATCAAAATAGAGAATATGATTCAATAAGGTTATTCAGAAAATATTTTTATCAAATTTTATATATATATATATATATAAATTGTTAAATTATCAATCATATGTTAAAGAATAAATTTTAAACCCTCCTTAGTTCCAAATAGCTAGATATTTACCATTATTTGTCATTTTGCCATAAAAAGTATTATTTTAAACTATTTTTTACTTTGAGAAATTTATCAATTAGAAATCCTAATTAACGATAAGGAAGTACACATTTCCATTATATTTCTAAACGATAAGATTATTTTTAATTTCATAAATAGTTGGAAATAGGAATTACTTGTCTTATTTTACACTTTTAGATAAATCTAGGCTTTGTTTTTATGAATACGAGAAAGGCTTATCAACCTTATCGCGAGTATAGATAATTCTCTAAAAATGTTAATATAATATTAATTTATCATCAGACAAGAAAGTAATAATTTGTCCAAAATTCGCATTAGAATATTCAATTACTTATTTTAAACCCCATTTTTATTTTATTTTTTCCCATATTATTATAAATTAATCTTTACTTATTGAGGCAATTTCTGTTTCTGTTTAGTTATAATTAATACTGACAATAGTATTTGTATGCTTTTTGAGCTACTCATCGAATATAATAGAGGTACCATTTATTTTCCAAATTATTATAGATTTATCCTCACTGCCTGATATTATATAATCTTCATTTTAATTCAAACAGATGCAAGTAATTAATCCTTAGTGAGACATAATATTTGTAGAATTGTACTAATTCCATAAATTATCTGAAATTTCATTCCATATCCCAATATTATGATCGTAACTTCCATATATAAATAAATTGATTCTTTTACTAAAGATAAGGCAAACTGCAAAATCTACTTCTGATTTCCCTTGTAAAATAATCTGTTGATCAATAAATTATCCATTAGTTATCTTCCATATCTTTATGCAATGATTAAATCCAGCGGCCATTATAGAATCATTCTTATTGAATCCTATTGCGTAACATAGTTCATTTTATTTAATCTCTTTTACTAAAGAATTCAACACCTTCTGATGCATCTTTTATTCTTTTGGTTTTTAAAAAAATTAATTCTGATTTTCTTTTTAAATATTTTGATAGAGTTATTCCTCTGCAGATAGGATTTTCTATACTTGCCTTTGAATTTCATCAACCCTGAATTTTAGAATGATACTATGCTAATGATCGATCACATTTATTTAATTTAGAGAATGAGATAGTTTTTCTAATACCCATTAATTTTCTTCCTTATCTAAATTTACAAGTTCTTTTATTAGGCTAAATTAACAATTCTCATTGAGAAATAGTTCAAGTTGCTTCTTCCATATATTTATTCTATCTTGAACATCTTATAGTTATTTTTCTAATTATATTTGTATATTGTTTAAAGTTTTTGAAATTTCATCAAGATGTGTGATTTTATCAAATATTAACTTTTCCAATTCAGATAAATGCCTGTTTAAGTATTTTTCAATTCTTGATTTAGCATCTTCAACCGTTATAGCATTAAATTCACCTCTCTTTGTTAGTAAACACTTATCACATTAAAGCCTTTATTCATTCTTTAACCGACTATCAAGCATTACAAACAGACTTTGTTTATCATTATGTTACTCTCTACAAGTGATCTTTTGAATGTCTTCAATCATATAACAAGGTTTAAATTTCATTTGGTTAATAAGATAATAGAAATTTTAATAAAAAATAATTCTAAAAATGCATCGTAATGCTAACTCAAAATATTTTTAAGGAGCAATAATGATAATATTTTATGGACTTTGAGAGTATTTTTAGCATTAAACAAGATTGATTATCTTAAAAATTGAAAACAATCATCCTTTTAGATAATCATAACTTATATATTTGTTGAATTGTTATTATCATTTTTATAAACCGATGAATAATTCTAATTTGATGTTTTCATTCACATTTAATTCTTCTGGGTACACCTCAAAGTCATAATCATATGATCTTGTTCCTCCTAATTCATCAGGGGATAATTTGGGCAATGATTACCAAGCATCAATTATTACCTTAGGTATAGGACCTGGTCCACAATCAAAACGACAGAAACGATGTGCTGGTACCGTTACAGCTATTAATCCTTCTGGTAGATTAGTCACTTCACTTACCATTTCTCCTAATACCATTTTATATTTGATTTCATCATGGTCATGAGGATTTTAGTATTCATAATACATACAATAAGTTCTTTTTGGGTGTAATCGATGTGGTATTTTTTCATTCATTTACATATCAAAATATTCTTCGTATGCCTTCCCAATTTATCCAGTCTAGGGATCTAATTCTTCTTTTTAAATAATATCCCTCGTCAATCCAACTAGTGTGAAGGTTGGTAAATCTATGACTGTTAACTTAGGTTTTTATGTTTATGGATCCATTTATATGATGATATATTATTTAAAATACAATTAACTTCGAAATTTGATTTAATTAATATTCATATATGCGTTATTATGGAAAATGTGTTAGATAAATCATTGAAAATTTTCATCTCAATTTCTTACTATTTGCTGTTAAAATTTACAATAAGCATTTTCAAACCAACACATCTTAAACCGACGTTTGATATCAAATTATAAAATTATTAAAATTTTCCTTCATTACATTTCTATTTATGAAGATTGAAACTCATTTCCATTCACATAATGATTTCCTCATAACAACTTTTTGATTTTTCATATTACTAATTGAATTGAAACATTATACATATAATTGAACTACATTATTTAATATTGAAAACTAAAATTTGAGAACTTTGTGTTGAAGAAAGCCCTTTTGTCTATTCCGTATAAATTCCAAACATTATTTTCTAAAAATAATTAGAATGATTTATTGCTTGGTTAAGTCAAGATAAAAATAGAGATGATTATTTCTGAATTAAAAAAATGAGAAATACTTCAAAGAATTTAAAGAGAAATTTTTATAGCGCAATTTCAGATTAAAATTAATTTATAATTTCCTCATATAAATTCTATAGATTAAATCAAAATAGTTATATTTATGTAGATATTGTTGTTTACTTTTACAATAATTAAATAATTTAAGTAACTAGTTAATCTATTACAATTAAAAGTTCAGGAAGTGATGAATGGAAAGGAGGTATTATAAATTTGGTTAATTGACTGATATATACATGTGTTGATTTCTAAGTCTCTCTTGTAACATAAGCAAGAATAATTTTTGATAGATGCAGAAGGAGTTGTATTGATATTCTAAAATATTTCACTCAATTATATCGACCCAAATATAAAAAGGAAAGAAGTATAATATTATTAGATGAATAAATAGAAAACTCACTAATCTAATCAATATTCTTTGCCTAGTGTTTTTTAATAAGGATACCACTAAAAATTAAAAAAAAATAATAGAGTAATCATTAAATTTAAAACAGAAATTTAGAAAGAAAAAAATAGGATTTCTTAATATAATTGAAAAATGTGTTGGATTCAAAATTTGTAAAATATGTAAAAACAAGTAATTTACAATATAATAAAACTATTTTCATGAAACAACATTAATTTTTCATCTTAAAATATAACACGAAATTTAAGTTCGCAAATCACTCAATGTCAAAGTGTACATAAATTAACCTTAAAATTTCGAGATTTAGTAGTATTTATTGTTTTATGAATCATATCGATAATATATTTCTTTTGAAATACCTCTTAAAAAGTCAAATATCTTGATTTTATAATGATTATTTGGACTTTCATCATTTAAAAATGAATATTTATAAATGCCAAATTCATCTTAACATACATTACCAGAACTTTATAAAAGGTCCTTTATTCTTCTTACTAATCTTCCACTATGTAGTAATCTAACTGTATATTCTGTTTGATAGGCATTTTCTTATTCTATTATTACGTAACTTTGAAAAATGATTAATTCTGTTCTAACATCAACTTACTTTTTAATCTATTTAATTACTTTACAATTTTCAAGATACATTATATATTGAAATAACTCCGTGCTTACCAATGCAAACTATTATAAAAATGATTTAAAATATATGATGTATTGAAAATTGAATTTTAGGTGTATTTCCTATTGTAAATTTATCTATTCTGCATTAATTTTTAATATTTTTTTATTTCTGTTTAAATAATAACTATTGATTGAATCCATCTACAAAATAAAATCTTAATCCTCTTTATTCTTAAAGATAAATTCTTTCTTTTCTTAAATGTCTATTACCAAGTAACCATCCCAATACCCTTGACAAATTAGATAATGTGAATCTAGTGAAAAATGAAAGTTTATATGAAGAAATCCTTTGCATAATAAACTACTTTCAAATACAACACTGTTAGATTTAATATCCAATAATTTTACTCTTAAATCACTTTTTTAACTCCCTTTTGTTCTCCTTGATTAATTATATGATTTTCTGGTTTTGTCTTCGAAAATGGCCATATATTAAAGATCGTAAGATAATCCAAAATCAAATATATGGAAATATTCATCAAATATATTTTATAGTTACTCATCTGATTTATTATGAACTTCCATATTTAAAACTAACATTTCTTCATTATCAACCTCATATGTCCATAAAACTATGGCGTCCATGATTTTCGTAGTTTATTCCATAGTTTTGTAATTTAATATAATGATATATTTATAATAAATATTGTAAACATAAAAGAAATTAACCACATTTCATGATTCTTCTTTTTAATCATCTTAACTTCGGATGAATATTTGAAATAATTTTATTCGCTCTTAAATCATTAATCGAATTTAACTAGATAGGTTTATAGTTTAGAATTATATCTTAATTTGAGAATTTCTATTATTATCTAATCATTTTTTATTTCAATTTTTCTTTCATACAAAGCGGTGACTTTTTTTTTTCATCTTATCTAACATAGTTAGTTCACTTATTTTATAAATAATGTCGATTAATTTCTTTTTTCTTTTTTCTATATTCAACTCTTCTACAAGAAACCATTAAAATAATATTATTTTTCTCAACCATTCTAATACCCAAATTTGTTATAATTTTCTTTGTTTGAACAATGCCAAATTATAGTATTAGCTTTGCTTTGCTTTTTAGTGATTAGAATAGAAAATTATTTTTTATTTTAAGTAAATGTACTTATTAAATATTAAGAAACCAATACCAAATTAACTCAGTTAATATCCTTATAATTTCCAACAATTTACCCCGCCTTTCAACATGCACAGGTTGTTACAAATTATACTAGAAATTACTAGAATTAAGAATTAAATAGGTTCAGAAACAAATTTTAATTCAATTTTTTTTGAAGAGTAGTGTTTAGTTTTTAACAATTAGGAATTAAGATATAATTAACAATTACATTAAACTGAATAGTTTTCTGTATGCCATGGTTTAAATATAAAATTATAAATTTAGATATTTAAACAGGAAGATATGAAAAATAGTAGTTGGATTTGATAATAATTTCATATTATCATAGATGTTCATTAAAGTGTTTTCTCCATTTAGAATACAGATTGTGATTTTCATTATTATGAACTAGCTGAACTTCTGATTTTACAATTGCTACCAAATCTTCTATTCAAGTTGTTAACCTTCTTATTTTCTTTTTTTTTAATAAACATTGAAGATTATTTAATTTTTATTTTATATACATAACTTTTATTACACATCATGTTCATGTTTTCTTTTAAAAAATTTCATAGACTTCTTTCTACTATATGAAGTATTTAATGTACTTAAAATGCTTTAAGTAGTAACTAAATATAGAACTTCAAATAATCTTAAATTAATCCTAATACAATGTCTATATCTTAAAACTATTGAAAGATTTGATTATTTACATACAAAGTGTATATATTTACTAACCATTCCTTATTAGGAAGTCAGTCTTAAATGTGAAAATCCTAATTTAATTTTCCTGTCCTCTGCAATCTTAGGAAGTGATTATAAATTTGAATTTTTGTGTATTTTTTTTAATAATGTTCCAATCTTAACAATTGCTTAGAAAACTCTAGAGCATTTATTCAAAGCAAAATTGACTAAAAAGTCTCAAGTTATAAAATCTGAGTTCAAATTTGGAAGGTACATTTATTTCAAAGATAAAGCATAATTAATTGATTCTAAACTTCCGACAACCGAGTTGGCCTCTCTAATACTAACTTGATTCTAAAATAATAATAAAAATAAAGGATAGAATAGTATAATAGTAGATAAGTTGTATATAAAAATAAAATGAATACTTTTGTAAAGAACTATCATGCTTAATGTAATCCATAATTGAGCTTTGGTTTCAATACCAAGCTTAACTATTTTAATAAAAAATTATACTTTGAGATAAAGAAGATTTGCTAATACATAATATGAAATAACTTTGGATTCATTTCCTGAAAAATTATTTTTATTTTCAATCCAAAAAAAAATTCATATTTCAATAGTATTTTATACTCACTTGGATTGAAGTGAAATAAATTACAAAAAAGAAAAGAAATTATTATTTCTTTCTTCATAAGTTGCAATCTAATCTCATAGAAATTTCAAAAAATTGATTAATATTAAATAAATTAGATGAACTATTAGTTAATTTTTTTAAGGTTTTCATTATTGAAGCAGAAGAGAAAGCTGCTATAATTACCTAAACTTAAAAATTAAATGTAAGGCTTTAAAATTTTAATGAAAAATGTCAATCATTTAATTACTTTGAGAGGAAATAATTGTGCTTATTGGGGAGAAATATACAATTTGAAGAAAATCTAAGTTAAGACACTTTCTTTTAAATTATTCCTAAAGATAATAAAAATATGCTAAGAAATTCAAGAAGCTATCAAATCGAATTTAAAAAATGATGACTATCAATCATTTTATCATTTAAGGAAGGTTATTAAAGAATTAAAAGAATAACTATTAACAAATAAAACAATTTCAGGCCATTTAGGACTCTCAACAAATAAGTACAAATTTTCTTTAAAATAATTCAGAATAAATGGCTGATGCAACATTTTTTCAGAATTCCAAGAAATCATATTAATTGGATTAAAAGATACATCTTAATGAATAGTAAGGTAAATTTGATAAATTTTAAATATATTTCAATGAATTTTTTGGAAAGATTTTCGATTAATGAGAGTGCAGTATCAATTTCTTTCTTTGGAAACTTGTGAAATAATATGCTAAATGGTCATATAAGTTACCAATTAAACATAATATAAGAGTATCTAGTAGAAATGTTATTGAAAAACGATTTAATTAGGCATTGTTTTTCATTCACCCATTTATATCTTCATTGATGAAGCAAGTCTTGAAAAACTCTAAAAGGTCCAAAAATTTGGTAGCGACAAGATTCCCCAAAAATAGTAGATTATTACTAACCCACATCTACAATTAGAATATTAGGAGCTATAAGTTTAGATGGGTTTTTTTAGCTTATTAGATATTGATACTGAATGTTATCGGGTAAGTAGATGCTCAACATTTAATCGATCTGTTTCAGAAAATTGGCCATCATTACTAAGAAATAGAGGATATAATATTTATTTTAGACAAATCTCAGAAATTTGTAGTATTCATTATTTATATTTTTCGATTGATTAATATTTAATTTCTCGATAAGTATAACTAAAGTATTTAAATCTTAAAAAGTAAATAGGAGAATTTAAAAAGACTTCATAAATAACGATTTACGATAGAAATCAAAAAAATTTGATTTCATTTTAAGTTATTTTAGTTTAGGTATTTTAAGGGAAATTTCTAAAATAAAATAAAATATAATTATTTTCACTGCTTAATAGAAAATTATCTAAAATAATAGAATTGTTTTAAATTCAAGTTCCTTATGGAATACTTTTTTAATATTTGATTTAGGTAAAAATAAAATAATAACTCTCATGTATCTTAAGTTGTGTTATGCCTAAAATTAGACTTTTAGTCATTGTTTGCTAATCTAATGTACTATTGAGTTTAAGAAGGAATTATTAATTGCTAAAGAAACAAAGCCTCGCTTAATTTTTATAAAATCATTTTTTAGGTAATTAACTAACAAATATGATTAACAATATCTGTTAAGTTAATTTAAAAGCCTTCGAAAATGAAGTACGACAGAACTTTTTCTTTTATTTGATGTTGTAAGGGATGGATAATAGTGAATTTCTGTAAGATCGAATTACATTATTATTATTTTAAGAATAATAATGGGGTCTAATTGTTAAATTCTCACACGCTAAATATCATTATTATTTGATAAATTCTATAATGATATATCTATCTAGATGATTTTAGGTGATTCCTTCTCAAGCTTCTTAAAGGTTGGGAAATTTTCTTTGTAAACAATCGCAAAGGTGTGCATCTACTTCAATTCCTAACCACTGACTTTGTGGAAATATATTTGCAAATAAAGTTTTTGTTAAACATCCTTTGTTCCAGGGCCTAACTCTAATAGAAATCTTCTGACTCTAAAATAGGTTGGGTGACTTCTACCATGACTTTTGCTAGGCATATTGCAACAAGTTGGGCTGGATGTTCAATAAGCTTTTCAATGAAGAGAAAACATTCTTTCAGTGAGCCTGCAGAATGAGAAAGCATTTTATATATAAAATTTTTGCATACAACTTTTTTTATTATATCCTTAAAAACAAATAATTTGAATTGTTCCCATGAATAAGATCTGGTTTGTAATAGATAATTAATCAAAAAAAGAATGATACCATTTATCGACATCAGAGTAAAAAATATTCAAATATTAAAGTGCTAAACAATATTGGAAAGAGAGTGTAATTAAACATTTAAAATTAAGAAAGAAAAAACTGTTTTCAAACTTTGTTAAATACATTTTTTATCCATTTAGCTATTGGATTATGGGCAAATTTTTATTTTTTTATTACTTGCAGCTGATTTTAATTTACGGCCATATCTTTTAAAAATTATTGTAGATAGCTGAACTGTTGTTCAGCTATCTACTTGCCTTAAAGAAATTTAGAATCCTTGTAATATCTATCTATTTTTAGCTGCATTTGGTTTTTGTATGTACTATTTATTTTTGGATAAAATTAAACCTGCATTAAAAATACATTTTGGATTTTGTCTTCGGAATAACTGATAGAACAGCCGCTTTCTACATTTCGTGAACAGCTTATAAGTAATGTAGGAAACATAATAAAGGATGCTATGAGTGCTATCCCTGAAATGTTAACTTTGTGTGCAAGAATTTTGGACGCACTGCATTAGCCTGATAATAGCTATTCTTTTAGTATAGTTCATATAAATTTTCTATTTTTTTTTTAATTAAGTTGGGCTTTAACTTATTTATGGGGATCATTTACGCTTTCGTTACGGGAAGAGTGTTATGTCAAGAAACGCGCAGTTCAATCTTATGTTATAGGACAATTTATAGATATTTTTTGAAATACTTTTGGTGTTAAATTATTTGCATCAGAAAAAAGTAATTTCATATATTAAAAAATCGCTTAAAACATCTTGTATTGTCAGAAAAATAGAGAGATTGGATTTTTTGAAAATTGCAGCATTTGCCAAATTACCTTACAACACAACACGTTCAACAAAATTTTTGAACAATTTTTCGATTGGTTTAAAGGTTGTGTGAATTTTTCTTAAAGGCTGCAGTCAAGATTATCCAATAGGAATTATGATTCCATAACTGTGTTGCATGATTGAATATTTTAACAGCTTTTTGCTAATTTGAAAGTATAATTTCTTCAAGAGATTGACCTTGATAATCTGTGCCTTATATCAGGGTATTAAGAGCATTAACGTACCCTTTATGATGGGCACCATGATGATAAGAGAGTGTTTTGGCAGAAATATAAGGGGAAAGATCTTTATAAGGCAAGGATATAAGTTCAAACATAAAATTTATTTAAAGGATGTTACCACTTCATTTTAATAAAGAATAAAAAACTTCAATAGTCTTTTTTTACAATAAAAAGAGTTAGCAAATGGTGCTAAAAGATACTAAAGCTCGGCCTCTTGAATCTTGGCGTGTACTTTTTGCCAGCGTTGATGAAGGCCATTTTATTTAAAAGGGTCTTGCTCTTCAGCGGGAAGCAAGCGGACCATTCCTGTTAAGCACCGTGTGTAGCGCTCAGTCTCTTTTGTGTAGTCTTTGTCATTGGTAGGGGTAACTTTTGCTGCAATTGCTTCTAACTTTTCTAATGTATGGTGAATGACAGCGCGAGTATGACGGGCTTCGCGTGGATCTTGCTCTACAACAGGTTAAAAAAAAGAAGGGCAGTGTTCTTTTGCCACCATTTCTAGGTCTTTTGTGATTTTTTCGATATACTAATACACCTCTGCTTCCAAAATCTGATGCTTAATTTAGTTAGCTCAGCAGCATAATTAATATAACTGGGATCATGTTGATAAAGATGAACATACTTGTTATAAGTTGCGGTATTCACATATGCATACGAATCAAAGAGTGCATGCATATATTTTAAATTATCTCCTTCACTTGTATCCATTTTTCTAAAAGTCTTTGACGATCTTTTGAAGTTGTGTCATAAGAAAAGAGGCCATTGTTAAAAGCACTTTTTAACGAAATCATTATTTCTCTAGAATTTTCAGCAGGATGGTTATCTTCTTCTATCTCCTCCGCTTGCGTTGAAAAAGATGCGTTAAGAAATTGTGGATCCATTTTAAAGCTGAAAAAAAAAAGTAAATGTTTAAATTAATTAATTAATATAATGACAAAAATTTTACTCTTGTTTTTCATAAAAGCAATCTTAAAATCCATGCTTCTCATTCATTTGACCCGAATTTTATAATGAGGTTTAAGCGTTAAAAATTTAGTATTTTTGCCCTGAGAGTTAGGGTCTTTGACCTGAAGGTTTTTGATAAAATCTAGAAAGCTCGTTAATGAGTGCATCTCCAGTCTTAACTTTTTGATGTTCAGTCTTGCATCTTCAAGATTATTAAACCAGTAGTGCTCGATGTTTTTCAACTGTGTTTGTATTTCCTTCAAATTATCTATATTCTCTTCACTTAGCGGAGAATAAAACATTAATCTTCTAATAATAGTAAAAGATTTATTTAAAATTTATAGACAATATAGAATATCAAGCATCGTTAAAATAATATTTTTTCCGCTTATTTTTCTATTGATCATTAATTTGGTTGTTAAAACTCTTAAATTTAATTCAATATTTTTTAAATTAATTTTTTTCAGATAATCTGATATTTATTCATTAATTAAAATTTGAATAGTTAATTTATTATTTAAATGGGATATATATGTAAATTAAAATTTAATGATAAATCACTACTCAACTTATTAAATTAGCAATCTTATTCTCTAATGTCTATATCCTTGATTCAAACAGATATTTTTTTATCTCATCAATAATTTCAACTTCTATCGCCAATAATAATTTGCTTGTTAGTATTTTCTTATTTCTGGATTATAGATTAGACATTTAACTAAGACTGCATCTAAAAACTTAAATGATAGATTCTATCAAGAAAGTGCTAAAATATTTCTTCATTATCATGTATTTATTCAACTCTTGGTATAACTGTGAGCTAAATTTACTGTCCATATTATTGAGCATTCCTTTATTCTTCAAATGGTTAACCATTTCTCTCAAATAATGTTGATAATCAAAATCTCCCAATTCCTTAATCAACTAGATTTGTTGATTCAATTAATCTACTTATGTTTTATGATTGTCAATCAACTAATGATATAATTATATTGATACCTGTTATACTCTTTCTATATCATACACTTATGCAAATCTAGTTCCCTTAATTTAGTTAACTTAATACTCAATATTCTATATTTAATAATTTAACTTTTAAATCATAACATTTTATTACTCAACTTTTTGTTTAAATTGATTAATAAACTCCATTTAAAGTATTATCTCTAGTGGTTCTGTGTATTCTTTAACATTTAGTTCTCTGCATAATTATTAAATGCTTGGTCTTATAGCTACTTAATAAAACTATCTATTTGAATGAGGATTTGATATCTATAGTTTCTTGCATGCATTTTGAACCTGCTTATTATGAATACAAAAGTTCTACCTTATAATAGCCTATATAGTATTATTTGTAAAAATCTTTTTTACTTTTTATTGATCACATAATTTTTCATAAAAAAGGTCAAGGACTAATGTTTACTTTTAAATTTCTTCATCTTTTTTATAGATATCAATAATCAAGTCATAGAAATACATTAACTCATTATTAAGAGCTTATTTATATTGGTTAAATTGCTAAATTTCATTTTTGACATTATTATTATACTTTTTATCACTCTCTCTCTGACAAATTTCAATTAAATCGCCTTTAATTTTTGTGATATCATAACCTTATTTGCTTTTGGCTATCTATAATTATATGTAATTTTATGCCATTTAACAAAAAATATTTTTAAACCCAACTACATTATATTTAGATTATTAGAAGCATAATTTAACCAAATCAAGAATCTGAGAGTATGTTTCTTAACTGATATTGTTTAAATTTACTTAATTACAAAGAACTTAATTTGCCAATTCAAGTATCTAAGTGTTAGAATAAGCATTCTATGTAACATCAGATATTTGCCTCAATGTTTCATATTAGTTTGATATATTCACCTTTTCATTTTGAGTTAACCAAAAACATGACTTTTCCAATCCTTCAACTGTAACAGGTGGGATTTTGTTTATAAACTCAGTCATTTCAACTTTCTTAATTGATTTCATCTTAGAGCCTCCAAATATCAAAGCTTCCCTAATACAATCTGGTCCTGCCAAACCCAATGTTGTTGCAATTTTAATAACTTTATTTTATCCCCAAGCTCCCCAATCAATAGCAATTCCTTACCATGCTGATTTGATTGCATAAACCATATCTGAAATTCCTTCTGCAATCAGAGTCCTAGCTAGAGGTAAGGCTGCTCCACAAGTAAATACACACATAGCACAACCAATAACTAATTAGGCTGCTCCTAAAAAAAACATCAGAATTGAGTCAAAAATACTTTTCTTTTTTTTTATTTTATACAATCTCCCAAGTTTAGGCAATGGACCATCATCTACAACTTCTTATTAGTCTTTAATGTATTGTTCTGATTCTGCATTTTTTTCCTTACTTTCATTAATAACTGGTATCCAACCTAATTCAAAATGTTCATCGCTAGCCAACTAGGTTTACAAAGTATTTAGGATTTGATCAATACTATCTATTGCTTTCTGGTACACTTTATTATGATTTTTTATTTTTTATTCCAGAGCATCTAATTGTTCATTTTTTTAAATGTTTTGAGAGACTGATTTATTCTGGTTTTATGAATCACCTTATAGATCTAGCTTTGGCATTACTTTCTTATCATTTGAAATCTTTCTTTCTGATTATTACAAGTCTGGCTTTTATTATATTTATTAGGATGACTAAACTTACAATTTATTTAATTTAGCAACTGTTAAAAAGCCTTAGTCATCATTAATTTTATCTTGAAAAAGTTGTCTGGCTTTTATAAATGTTTCTGCTCCTTCTTTGTAATTTGCCATTTTTATTTATTAACATGCTTTGTAATATTCAGGAATAGGATCGTTAATCGCTATCTAAATTGCTTTTTCAAAAAGTTTTATATTTCCCTTATCGATTCCTTATTAAACTAAATACTTTGGATTTTAGGTTTCATCCGAATTTAGTTTTTCTTCAATATCGTCTTCATCCAATCCATCATCTTAATGTTCTTCCAAATATAGCCCCCATTTTTCTTCTAGGGCTCGAAAAGCAGGTTTGTCTGTTTTTATACATACTTACTTTTTAGCAATCTGACAAAACTTTTAAAAGCATTTATCTTCATTCAATAACTTATTCATTCTCTCTTCAATTTCATTTGAATATTATTACTCATTTAAATCTCTAAAAAATAATAGAACGTCTATATATGTATAATTGATTGTCTAATTATATTGTTGATAATAACTTATTGCATCAGAAACAATTTTAATTTCTTTTATCTATCCAACATATAGATTTGAGGAGAAATGTACAATAAGTTAGGCTGTACCTTATTTACCTTGTCTTGCAGTTCTACCAAATCCTTAAAGTTAGATTCTGATATTTCGAGGTAAAAAGGACATGATAACATGAAGACCACCATTCTTTTCTAATTCTTCATTAGTAGTTAAATCTGTTCCTCTTCCAGCCAAGTTTGTAGCAATAATAATTGTTTAAGGACCAATTTCCTTTTTTAATTCTTAATTATCATCAATATAAGTGATTGAGTTTATCTTTTGTTTTTTTAAATAATCCTCAATTTTATTTACATCATCGATAGTTTGATTGATAATTAATACAGCTCTCCCTTTTCTCATCTACAATTCAACTGCTTTTAATATCTCTTGAAACCATTCATCCTTAGTCAGAGTTGCAATACCAGTTTCCTCTTTTAATAGCCTTTTCTTATAAGGAGGCATGAAAGCAAAGTCAAGATTGTACTATTTAGCTAGCAAATCCTAAGTAACTTGTGAACCTAATGTGCCTGTAAGGCCTAAGAGTTTATTATTGTACCTCTTGAAGAATCCAACATTAGACATAAAGTTTGTACTAATTCTTAATGGAGTAATAGGAAGATTGTGCTTCAATTAAAGAAATTAATGTAACCCTTTCTACCATTACATATCAACCTTATGAACTACACCTGTATTTTAGTAATCAATAATTCGAATTTAATTGTCAATAAGGTAATGTTTCTTTTCATGTAAATGAAATTTAGCCTCTATAGCATTTTCAATCCAAATCTTTTTCATAAAATTGATATAATTCAATCGAAATCTCGGTAGATAGTTTTTTAAAACATCCTGTATTTAAATGTTTAAGGTATTTTCTAGATATTCTTACAGATCAACACTATAATAATCCTATCCAACGATCATCATAACCTTCATATCAGTTGAAAGTTGTTTCTCTACTTTACAAATTTCATCCCAAATTAGTCCCAAAACTTTTGTTAAATCGAGCATTCCTGGATTAGAGGAACTTAATATTGTCTTATTACTATTCCCGTCAATAAGCATAGAATCAACTTCATCAACTATAATGTATTCTTATTTCCTTTCTAACATAATTCCAGATTCTGAATATTCATGACTTAATATATCACCTTAAAAGCTATGGGGATCTCCATAAATTACTTAGAAAGTATAACAAGAAACCCTTCTTTCATTCTATTCAATTGATTTATGTATGTTATGAGTTACTGATACTTTGAATAATTCATAAAACTTCGCCAATTCTTAAGAATCTCTAATAGCCAAGACAGGAGAACTAGTTACAATATCCACATTTTAATTTTTCTTTTTACATAATAATATAGCAAGCATAGCTATTATTAAAGACTTACCTTCTCCAGTATATATCTAAGCTAACCTTCCCTTATCTTCATTATGATTATATAATTCTAAAACTGATAACAGCTGAACTGGTCTTGGATAGAAGGAGAAATGCTCATATACTCTGGCACATAAAAGTAGCAAATCTCCTAATTGCAAATTAGGAGATTTAGAAAAATCATCATTTTTTGAGTATGTTATTGGATATTTTTTAATAGAATTGTATATTTCCTAAAGTAAATCAAAATTTTATTTATTTAATCTCTTATTTAAGGATTGAAATTCTTTTAAAAGTTCTTAAATTTAATCATACCATTCTGGGTTATTTCTATTAAGGGTTTAATTATTTTAATTGATGAAACATTATTCGATATTCTTTTGTTTCGGATCTATCTTATATATAATTGACTAAAATTCTTGAATAGATTTAAAATCTTAACTTAAGGCATTATTGATAACTTCTTAACTGAAATTTTTTTATTGGATATATTAGATTAATCTATTTGTTTACTAAGGAGACTTGATTTTTTATTGAATTTATATTTTGATGTTGGTCAACTGATTCAATGATATCTAATTTATTAACTTTTATTATTCCAACTCTTCATAATTGGAAGTCTCCTTCTGAATAGATGATTATAATATTTCCCAATTCTGATTGCATCCCAGAAGATATGTTATGACTTTCTCTGCACTTTTCATCTTTTGTATTTGTTGTTGTAAAATTCCCTTTTTTTCTTCATCAAACATCAATTAAATTAAAATAGATTGGATAGTTTCATTTTCTTGAGCAGACCAATTTTTATTTTCAATCAGTCCTTTCATATTTATAATAATGTTCTAAATGTCATAGAGTATTCCGATTTGAATACATCTAAATTCTATCAGAAATTAATTTAAATTGTGATATAAGTAAGGCTCTATTATAAAGGAAAAAATGTATCTATAAAGTAAAGATTCTAATAAATGCCCTTTATAATCTAATATGGAAGACTACATCTAAAAGTTAAACGTTTTTTGAAGTATAGGAATTTTTTGATATAGCTTTTAACATTTTCAAATTCTATTAGAAATTTAAACTAGAATCTGAAAACTAATGCAATTTAAAATACTATAATTAATTTTCTAAATAAAAAATTCTATTACTATAGCATTTAAGACTTGCGAAGCACCAAAAGCTAAATATCATCTTATTAATTCATATCACTTTTTGGTTACAATAAACCATCTAAACTATTAAAGTATCTCTACACTCTCAAAGTCATTAAAATTTATAACCTTTGACTAACCATCAATTATTGAAAAATTACACTTTCGTGCTGAGGTTTTACCTTCAATAAAGACATTTTTATGTATTATTTTGCAATTTCAACTTTTATTAAGTACATGAAAATTTATTATATAGATAAAGTTAGCACTAAAAAGTAAAATTTAGGATTTTTATAAGCAAACAGTTAGAGTCTTGATTCTTTCTTTGCTGTTCAAAATTAATTAATTGTTTTTCACCGCAATTTTTCTCATATCACAATTGAGTTGTTTTATTAAGTGACTTTACTTTCATGAATTATCATGCAATAAATTCACAATTGGAAAGAATCAATATAAATTTCAATCGTAATTGTATTAAATATCTAGAACTAATTATGGATTCTTATTTAAGGAATAAACATATTTTGTGCAAGCTAAAACAATTTTCTACGAATAAGGGAAAAGCGTTTTTAGATAGGATAAATCTATGTTAGTTTATTTTAGTCATATTGATGACAATAATTATTCAATAAACTACTATTAAATTACAAATAGCAAGTAAATAAATGAAAAAACTATTAAGTAGATTTGGATCTTTCATATATTTGTATTAAGAAAAACAGAGTAATTGGATTATTAAGTGTAAATTAAATATATTTCCTTATATATTTTAAATTTTACATTCTCATAAAGTAGTAAAAATTCTATATTTAACATCAGCAATTGATTAATTAAGAATATTTTGAATTTTGATAGAATTTTTATTAATTCTTACTCATATTACTTACCTTTACTAATGATGAAACTCCATTTTTTTATTAATAATTGTAAAACAATTTTGATATGAAAAATTGATAAAATCTTATTCACTCTACACTATTATCTGAAGTACACTTTTGCTTTGATAATACAAATTTACTTCTGCTATAAATTCAAAATAAATTATTTTCATTTTCTTGTTTAAAAATAGGATTAATAAGAAACATAAAGAAAAACTAAAGCAAAATGGAGTCTTAATAATTATGCTTGAATAGCCAAGCGCTAAATCATTCAGCCTTTTGGCTTTTAAAGGTATCTGAGCCTAATTATTATTTTTATCTAATTGTAACAATCTTTAAGCTTGTTTAATCTAAGTTAACATCATCTACAAATAACAATACTTTCTGCTCTAAATTTCTTTTGAACCTTAATCCCAAGTTATTAAATATTATGCATCATTATTCATACATCCAAATATCAAAATCAGTTCATATTCAATTGATTATTCTGTTTTAAATTCCCCATGATCCACTCCTATTTAGCTTGTCACTAAATTGATTGAAAGAGATATCATCATCATTTAGAAGGCATATTCTATTATGATATTGATTATTTAGACCATAATCAATCAACGATCTTTTTAAGACTATTCTATAAACTCAAATATTTTGATTTCTTTACCAGATCAAACTATTACACTTGAGCTATCTTTTATTAATTGCAATTGAAGAAATTATCAGTTTCTTTATTGTAATTTCTCCACCAATAATTAATAAGTAAAATGGTTTGATCATAATGCAGAATAATATTTAAGAATTGGTACTTATGTTTAGTTGAGTTGCGATTAATCAATTCCTTTAATTAAGTCTTCAAATTTTTGGATTCCATTATTCTTATATTACTTTATTGTTTCTATTTGAGACATTACTCTTATTTTAAGCTTGATTTTAATTTGGCAAAGTTCCTATTTTGTTTTCATTACTCAATTAATAAAAAATTATAAACTGTGAATTTTTTATTGCAATACAAGGTAATAAAAATCTTATTAAAAATCTGGTGATAATTTGAATCTCAACGATAAGTGCATTTCAATATCATAAAGAATCTAATCAAGAAAATCTTGAATCTTTTTTGAATTTAGACAATTAATATTAAGCATAGACATGATACTTAATTTTATTATAACCAATAAGCTCCTAAATTATAACAGATTAATTAGACCCTGCATTTTAAATAGAATATATCAAGAATTTAGAGATCTTTAATGAACTATTATTTATAAATCTATTTAAATACATTCATTGCAATTGATCATAATAGGCTGTATCTTGATAGCTTTTCGCCACATTTCTTAAATATGGCGAAATATTATCTAAAGATTTGTGATAATTATGTGTTCTAATTGAAAAATTCTAAGGTACCAATTTAATCGAAAGAAAATATTTAATTTTCATAAGAATTCTCTTTTAGAATTGTCCTAGTAAGTGATAGTTATATTGAAGTCTAAGAGTGCATCACAAAATAATAACATGATACTTTTATATTATAATAAAATTTTCCAAATTATAAGTTTAGATACTTTTGTATTAATAAAGGTAAAATAGCTTAAAAGAGAATTTATTTTATTCCTTTTTTAATTTTCATATATTTTGTCATTTTATATTAAAAATATATTATAAATAAGGGATTATTCTTAATATTATTAATAAAATATGAAGTAGGTTCAAGTTGTTAAAACCTTTAAATAAAGGACTAACTCAGAATCTAGGTCAATCGGTCTTTATAAGTAAAATAACATAATTTGGAATTTCATAATTCAAGATATTAAAGAAAAAGAAAAATTAAACAATTTTATAAGGACGAACATTCAGTTATATGTTGGATTTTTCCTGACTTCTTAAATAGCATGTTTAATTCTGATAATTATAGATTGACAACTGCTGAGAGAAATTAAGTTAATGAAAATAATAAGGTTCAATATTTACTACTAAATGTAGATCATGCATTTCTATCTTAATAAATATAAAATGTTTTAAAACTTTTTGGGAATTAGAGAAAGCCATAAGAAATTAGAAATATCTGATAAAACATGTCTTCGAATTAATGTCCACAATTAGTTAAGATTTAAGAGAGTATTGGCTTCCTTAAGTGTTTTAGGCTAAGAAGTTCAGTTATATAATTGTTAGAATTTATCTATGAAAAGGATAACTTAATTTATGGAACTTAATATTATGTAATAAATAACTTTTAGTATCATCTTAAAAATTTGAGTTTTAATAACTATATTACTTTTATGATTTGGTGATGAAGGAGAAACAGGTTGACATTAAAGGATAAAATTATTAGTAATAAGACTTGTTAATTCATAAAAGTATTTAAATTATGTATTTTTAAGTTGAATAACTAAATTTAAGTAGGAAAATAAGTAAAACCTAGATTGATTAACCAGAGCAGAAAAACCAAAGTTATTCAAAAAATATCCTTAGGAATAATAAGAGAATAATTCAAATTTATGAGACCATTCCAAATAAAAAACACTGGTGCTCCAAATACATTAGGGCAAGAAAAAGAAAAGAATAAAGATCCAGTAGGAAAATAATATTATGAAGAATTCAATAATAAAGACAGGGGAGAAAATGTAGCAAAAATAGAAGACAAAATTAAACCAAATTAAAAGTTTAAATCCTTCATTAACTAAAAATTTAAACCTAATTATAATCAAGGTAAGTTTGAAAGACTTAATATTAATAAAAGTTTGACGAAGTAAAATTTCTATTCGTAGGGAGAATTATTGGATTAAACCTGGGTGATAATAAAATTATCCACCAACTAACAAGTTGATATATAATAATGAAATTTAGAATTATAAATGGCTACACACATTATATACTATACTATCAGATTATTAAATGATCTTCATAATGCTTTCTTTATATAAGTGTATTATTAATTACTATTTTATCAATAATAAATAATAATATGGAATTATAAAGAAATTTTTATTAATCCTAATCCATGAATTATACTTATATTATATACTTTTTATTTACTAAATTTTATTAATAATATATCATAATTTAATTTTTACTCTTTCTGCCTCATTTACTTTAATTAAATTATATGTATTAATTATTATAATATGATAAATTTCTATAAAATTAATTCAAAATATGAAAATTCTTATTAATGTTATTTATTCGCTGAGCTAATTTTTCTTATTTTTTCCTCAAATTATGTTTTTCAGAATAATATATGCTAAATATATTACCTTAAATCTCTTGCCTATTTTACACTATTTTTATTATAATAAAATTTTAACCTTTCATTTAGAATCAAACTAGAACAATTTTAAACAACTTAAAATATGAACTAAATTGTCATACCTAAATTTTTTATTTTCTCGTTGTATTTTACTGAAAGTTATATCTTTTTTCTAATTTAAATAAATCAAAAAAATGGTACTTAATAAATTTTAAGATTGAAATAAAGTTTTATAATGATTATAGTTATAAAATAGGGCTGTAATAATGTAGAAATATTTAATTTCTAATCTAATTAGATATTAAAGTGTATTATTAAGAATACTTTCTAAGTATTTAGATGGTAGTTGTTATTTTAATATTACCTGCTTGGGTGTTGATAAAAAAATTAAGAAATTTATAAAATTGAGTATAATGTTGAAGCTGAAAAAAAGTCAAATGATTAAAAATTTGATTTAGTATTAAATATTTGATTATCATATTGGACATTGTGAGAGGAAAGAATTTTAGACAGTTCTAACTTTTAAGATTAATTAGAATCCTTTGATTTTTTGTTTTAAGAAAAATATTTGAATAATAATTATTTGATTGATGAATGTATTGGAATAAATGGAAGTCACTATCAAAACATATTGCTATGCAATAATGAAAGAGACAATGTCTTAATTCATTTGTTCTGGATTAGTCTACAAATTATTTGTGTTTGTTGAGTTGATGCAAAATGTATAACATTCAATATAAATAGATATATTTTATTATGCATCCAATCTTAAAGTTTGAATTAGATATTGTGTTTGTCGAATATTTTAGACAAGTAATCCAATATTCCTAATTAACATACATATTAGATGCAATGGATTAAAATCAATCAATAATTTTACTCTACACAGCTTTTGGATTATAAATTACATTACTATTTCTGATAGGGCTAGGTGTAAACTTTGTGAAGCAAAAGGTAATTGTAATAATTATGAAAATAGAAAAAAATAACAACAATCACGTCATATTCTTTTAAAGCAATAAGTTTTTATGCATTAATTCTTAATTTATTTCTGCATGTTTGTATTATAAACATTTTCTTTGTGTTTCTCATTTGTTATCCAGATTCATAGTATAGTTATGGTGTGGAATGTTATTCAGGTGTGTATATACTTCATACAGTAATGGCCGCGATTGGATTGTTGTTGTACTTTTTAATTCAGTATTACTTTTCGACTTTTTATATAGACTTAAAGTAAGTGTTTATAAAATATATAATAGGCCATTTTCTGATGTTCCTTTTGCTTAGCCTTAGAATAGATATGACTATGTGAAAATCATATTTAAATGTGCAATTCTGTTATTCATTACAATTGATTATAAGGCAGAGAATCCTTACACTTATATTATCTTTATTCTGATACTATATTTCATTTTGCTTATGTTTAGAATTTACGAGCCTTAACATTTTCAACTTGATATATACAACTTCTTAATTGCTTGCGATGTTATTTAGTTTAGTCTGGCCTTTTGTTATACACTCCATAAATTTTTGGATGATGGAGCACCTGATACAGTGGGATTTTACTTTATATTGGCTGCAATTCCTTTTGTTTATTATTGTGCTATTCAGGTTGGTCATAAGAAGAATCATTATTTTTAAGTGAAAGGAATAAAGAAACTAAGTGATCCAAATTAACATGAACAGCTGTTTAATTAACTTATATACATAATTGATAGAAGAGACAATCTCTAACATTATTTACTGTTGGAAGGAATACTTGTATAACATATGGAGACTTGTTAAAATGCAAATTGTCAATGTTAGTATTTAAGTGAATCAAAATCCAAAGAATTAGATGATTTAACATGGTACAAATTTATTATTCAAATGATTGATTTATCAATTTCAAAATTTCCAAAAAGCTGTAAATTATATCTGTTACAATCATATATTTAGAATAATAAATTAAACAATAAATTCAAATGTTATTATTCACTTTAACATATCAAATCGTTAGAGACTTCATTAAAAGAAGAATTCTAATCATATAGAGATTTACATACACTTGAAGAGATAATGCAGGAAGAGGATTAGAAGGCAGAAATCATTATTGATGTTCTTCAGGTTGTTAAGTTCCAAAAATATTATGGATAATTTTAAAATCTTTTAGAAGAATCTGTTAAAAGACATTATGAATTTTGGTGTGAATTACAAGAGAATAATCCAGATATCTAAAAATTATTTACTTTAGGTAGTCAAATCACCTAATCAGTTGAGGATGTAAAGGAATTATATGATAAATTAATGGAGATTAATCCTAATCATATTAATACATTAAGAATCTTTGGACAATTTCAAAATGAAGTAATAAATGCAGACAACTTGGGTTTAAGAATATTAGAGAAAGCAACTCAGATAGAGAATGCTTAATTAGCTTATTCAAATGAAACACAAACAGAGAAATATGGTGAAAATAGTAATACTTGTATAATGACATGTTCAGCTGAAACTAAATCCTTGGGATTAATTTAGAGTTGCAATAAAGAAATCGAAAAATTAGGATATCATAAATATGAATTGATCAATTAATTTATTACTCGTATAATGCCAAAATGTTATGCTGATAACCATGATAAGTTTATGTCCAAGTATTTGGAAACAAATGAAAGTAAAATAGTTGGAAAGGAGAGAACAGTATATTGTTAACATAAGAATGGATCAATCATCCCTTGTTTGTTGATGTTCAAAATTCTACCATAATTGAAAAAGGGATTAAGAATGGTGAATTTCTTCAAAGTATTAGATAACTATGATTCCCATTATTATATCTTATTTAATCCGACATCCTATTTGATATACGGTTTGAGTTAGAATTGCTAAGATTCATTTGGTATACCTGTCAATTTTGCTTATGGGAACAATGCTCATTCAAATGATTTTAATATGGAAATTTTGATTCTTGATTTCAATCATTTAGTAGAGAAATTGAAGATTTCATAGGAAAATGTTTAGACAGCATTTCCACTTTAATTGGATACAACTAAATTGTAGAAATAATTCATAATGGAAGATTCAGTTGATCGATTATCTTTAATGGATGAAGGTGAAATCAATAATAATAATAATTAATTGAATCAGAATGGGATATCAGATAACTTAAAATCTTCAGTGAAAAAGGAATCATTATTCAAGGTCTACAAGATTAGTTGTACAGTTGAGAAATAAATATACACAGATTTAGAAGTGGCAATTTTAAAGTTTACAGAAGCAACAGCATTTTAAGAGGCATCAAAAAGTGGTAATTATTATTAGAGTGAGATAAAATTGAAATCAAAATAAACCAAGTATTCTTCATCTGCTACCAAAAAGAAAGCTGATTAACAAGTTAATGAAGACTATTTGAATGAGGATAGATCATCTGTCAATTCAGTTTAATCTAGTTTGAATGATGATATGCGTAGATTAAAAGATTTCAAAGCTTTGATGAGTGAAAAGAAAGTGCCTAGAAATATAAGAACAATCTAAATTACAATGTTATCATTAACATTAATATTATTGACTGTTTCGATTGTAGATTTAGTATTAAAAGGAATATAAAATACTTCATTTAAATATTCATCCTAGATTTTATCGGACTCATACTCAGTTACAAATTAGATGTCTACAATAACTTTGCATTCTAGAATATTGGATATGATAGGCACAGGCGAATATAACAATAGTAATGGATTCCTACCTTCATTTTTGAGAGATGATGTAAGTATAATACAATTATAATAGTTAACAAGAAGATTAAAAGTTGTATAATAATTTCAGTTTGATACTCTGAAAGTGAAGAACGACCTATTGAAATCTGATGTACAGGTCCCTTCTGAATATCATTACAATTTCACGTCTCTTTTGATTGATAACTCATATAAAGACACCGAATTAACATTAATAGATTCTATAAGAGAAGCCCTTAGTCATTTAGTGATTATGGTTGGAACTGATTTAAAGAATTTTAAGTCCAGTGATTACATTACTCCAGCCTAATAGTCTTTCTTTTATGTAAATTACAATGGATTAAGAAATATTAGATAAGGATTGGTAGAGAGGTTAGATTAATTTTACACATTTTTTTAAGATCTTATTTCTAGTAAGTTCGGTACATTCTTAGCTTTGATGATTATTAGTATTATAATTTTGATTATCACTCATGCTATTGTGATACCAATATTATTAAAAGTGGATAAAGCAAATAATAAGGTATTGAGTATGTTTGGACTGGTAATTTATTTGTTTATCTCTATTATTAGATCCCACCAATAGAGATCAAGGAGTTATCGGATAAATGTGAAAAGTTCTTAAAAGATTACATAGAAGATTTCAATGAGAAAAAAGAACTAGAGAATAGAATCAATAATAAAAATCAGGAAGAGATCAAGAAACAGTAATAATAATAACAAGATAAACATTATATTGAGATGAACAATGAAGAGCACATAGATGAGAAACAGAAGGAACAAATAGAAAAGCAAAAAGAACTATAGAGATTAGAGGATGAGGAGAAGGAAAGATTGAGATTAGAAAAGTTAGAAGAAGATAAAAGAAAGAAGTAAGAAGAGGAAAATAAATAAAAAAGGTATTTGAGACATAAAAAGAAAAAGAAACACAAATACAACATTTAAGAAATAGAATTGACTGAAGATGAAAGAACTCGCATAGAAAAATTAGAGAGATCTAATGAAAAGAATGATTCTTCAGCTCTCCTCAAGTTCATGTTGTTCTTTATTTTATTTACAGGCTTTTTTATAACCCAATTAGTTCTTGAAGTCATCCTACTTAAATAATGTAAATTTTTTATTTGAACATCTAAAATTATCTCATTAAAGATTTTATATAATGATGTATAGAGTGGTTTATGGAATAGAAGACATCATCTAAGAGAAATCAATTACTATTGACAATGTTTGGATGCAGCAATCATATCATACTTTAATTTATGATGCAGAGAGAGATGTATTTGAATCATATAAATCGGTACTTCTAATATAATATAATTATTTTTAGTTTCCATTGAGTGGGTTTGATACATATCAATAATATTATGATTGGTTCAATTTCAATGATATGTGTTCTAATATTACGTTGATGTCTCCACTTGATACCACTATCACTGAATCAGGGTGTCGTTAAGTTCAAAATGGTATCTTAGAAAAAGGATTGAGAACTTCAGTAATCAATCTAGCACTTTACTCCAATGATTCATTAAAGATAACTGGTAACAATACTAAATCAACAATAATTAATGGAAATACATTTTAAATAATAAATGATATTGTCAAGTACATTCGACCTGCCTTTAATACTCTGAATGAAGTTTACATTACAGATTCACAGGATTACATTAACTATTCCTAGAGCATTGAAATTGTTAAATTTGTAGTGTTGATAATTGCATGGATCATCTTGTTCTTCATCATTTGGATGCCATATTTGACAAAACTGAGTATTTAGATCTGGCAGACAAAAGGTATGTTGAATATGATACCTATGTCAATTATTTAAAAGAATGAAAAACTAAAGTTCAGATTCTTACAAGATAATATAATGACTATGGTATAATGAATATCAATATATAATTATATTTATTACGTCAAATATATAATTGATACTAAAATTATCTTTATTTCTGTTTATAATTTTTATAATTTGTTCATATAAATTGCAGAAATGATAAACCATCAGAATAAATTTTGAATATATACATACATAAATAAATAACAAAATCATTCAATAGTAAATTCAGTTGAATTTTTATGATATTACTCTCTTACTAATTGATACTTTGCTTTAAGTTTGTAAAAGAATACACAAAATATAATCATTGTCATAAAAGTCAATGCTAATCCAATTGTTAAACCCACATACAGTCCAACATTTCCATTCTCAAATATTTCAAAATAAACATTAATCTCTACTAACTAATTATGATATGCTTTTTTCTCATTAACAAAATACCCAGTCCTTAACTCCATCATATATGTTCCAGTCGAATAGTTTTGATTTGGTTCACATACCAATTATGCTGACTATTATTTTATTTCGTATTGAACTATCTCATTTTATTATTACACCATCAACTATCCCTAATCATATTTCAAAATCTTATTTGTATTCTCTAAAATATTCTTACTAAACAATTGCTGTGACTCAATCTTAGCAAATGCCAATTGAATCAAGTTCTCTTATAGTATTATGATGTACTAAATCTAAAATAATATATACATTCTATGTTGAAAATATCTAACGCACTTTGGTAGTAAGACTTAGATTCTACTTTAATACACCTCTTTCATATTCTAGAACATATTATTAATTAAGCTTATTGTTCAATTTCTAGATCACATAAGTCAAATCCTCTTAAATTTCCACATCTATTATTTTGCCTTCCAAACGCAAAAAAGAGTTGAATTGGATTGGCTGAAATTATGCATCCAATTAAACATAACCCAAACTTGATTCAGTAATCCAAATGATATGGTTTGCACTTTTTAATTTAAATCCAACAATACTTGTATTCTAACTTTCAAATTTTCCTATATTAATTGATTATATCAATTCCACTTGTTTATCTTGAATTATGAATATTTCTAAAGTGTTATTACCAAAGACATAGATCAAATTATCGAAATACATTATTTATGTAACCGCCTCTATCTATGATTACAATGTAATTGGTTTATTTATTTCATCATTTTAGTCTATATTTATGATGAATAAGTTCACTCCATCCAGAATTATTAATTTATTATCTTACTGTATGTTAGTCGTAATTAGTATTTCAGATAGGTTTTATGAAATCTATAGGAGAGTTTCGCTAAAAAATGTAAATCCCTATTCATCATTCATCTCCAATACTTTTAAGTAACCAGGCAATAAACTATAAATCTACTCTTTAAAAATATATTTACTTTATTATTTTGAATAATTATTTCACATTAATCTGCACATACATTAATTGATTGAATATGCTCTAAGTAAATTGATGGATTCTTTGGTTAACAGAAATCAGCAAATAGTACTGATGGTTCCTCACCTTCTTTCGTATTGTTTAGAGTTTTATTTAAATGATGTATTTCAACATTGAATACATTTTAAATTGGAACCTAAATAGTTGAAATTCTTCCATGTATTATTGAAAATCTCTTAACTTCTTGCTATTGAATTTGTTCGGTAAGTATTCCATTAAGTAATAGGAATTATAAAATAAACATTAAATAATATAATGTTATTCAAATAAATAAAACAATCCTTTATATTAATTTTCTTAAATCCATCTTAATACTAAATATAATTAGAAAATTAACTATTTTTAATAAATATATATATTTCTATTAAAGTCGAATCATAATATTTATTGTTTTCTAAAATTATTGTATTTTCTATTAATAAATTCTTAAAATGGATTTAAGGGAAGTGGATCTGGAGATTAGTTTTAAACTTTCTCCTTAACTTGATAAGACTTTACGAATGGAAAAAAATATAGTGTTAGAGGAATTAATTGAGTTTTTTTAATCGAGTTTGCCATTGAATGCTATTCTGAGTAAAAAAAATAAAATTTGAAACTTGATGATAACTTTAAGTATGTTAAAGAAAAGGATAAATTAATAATATCAGCAGAAAAGCAGTTTATGGTTGAATTAGATTTTGGGGATGTTATAGAATATAAAATAGTGAGTTTTTCATAATTTAATACAATAAAGGAGCTTAAAGAAAATCTTTAAAATTATTATAATAAACAATCGAAATTTGAATAAATAAATATTGAAATTTATAAAGATCACATTCTATAAACCAATGAAAAAATCACTATATATAAATTGCTTGATTTAGATAAGGAAATAAAACAACCAAAAATCGAAGCTAAATCTATTACTTAAAACTAATAGAATCAGGAGCCGAATGACAAAACATGCCTAAATAAATAATAATTTGGAAAATTGTAAAGTGATTCTCAAATATTATAAGAATTATAATTACTTAAAGAGTTGATCAACTCAAAGTTCAAAATTTTAGAATTGTAACTTACAAATATTTTAGCAGATTCACAAAAAACTATTTTAAAAGAATTAGAATTTTATGAGAGAGATTTTACTTAAAATTAATAGTTATTAAAGCAATCATTTATAAATAATCCTGATTGGATTTATTAAAAATATAAATCATTCAGAATATATAATAAGGTTTGCTAAGCACATGTATAATCAATATTTGTAGAATTAGAGAAGTTTGAATCTAATTTATAAAAGGAATAAGAACAAATTACTAAATTATATGAAAGTGGTTCTATTCAATCAAAAAACTTAATGAAAGAATAATAGTACACTGTCGGTAAAAAAAACAAACTAACAAATAACAATTTTGAAATAGAAATAGAAATAGAAATTGATACTACTTTTAGTGAAATAATTGAGTATTTAGAAAGTTAATATCCTTCTGAATTTAAGTAATACATATAAGTCTTTGGTCCAATACAGAAATGGGTAGGATTCTCAACCAAAAGAGAGAGAGTCGTGAGTATTTCAGAAAAAATGTGTACCTATCCAGTCGATATAATCAAAGTTGGTCCATTTCACATAAACATACCAAAAATAATAAATAACTTAGAACTAAAAGTTGAAATATATGAGTTGAAGAATTAACATCAAGTTTGAATAATTTAATAATTTAACATATATTAAATTTTCATGTATAATTCATCACACAATTCTTTAAACCTAATTCGGCTTACTTGATGATGGTTAGTATTCTCTTTTCTTAGAGGCTTAATTTTCTGGTTTTCCTTTATTTAAATGATGAAGATCTTTTAGGTTTGATTTGTGGTTCTTAAGGGAAATTATTAATTCTGATAGATCTCAATTTCTATATGCTTTCTTCAACTTCGATTTCTACTTCATCATTATTATCTATAGGCATAAATTGACTTTTGTGATATTGTTATTTATTATCTTATCTTGATAATGCTTTCATTAATTAGGATTAGGAATGCTGTCTCATATTTTTAACTTAATTCATTCTGTTTCGTTTGGTTTGGAGAGGGGATGGAGAGCATATTTATTGAATCTGTTATTGTGGAACTTACAATGAAAAGATAGTTGATGGATCATTCTTCTATTTGACTACACCAAGAAATGGATTGTGTAAGATAGCCTTTCTGACTCGAGATAATTACATCTTTTTTTATTGCACTCTGCTTTCCTTTTCTTATTAGATTTATTTCAATTTAATGTCTGCATTGAGATTGATACTAAGGATGATTTCATCTACGTTTCCTTTTGTAATATAAAATTCAAACTATTTCACTTAATCAATTTCAAAATGTTCTGAGTCTATGAAATTATTATCTATTTTCTATTGTTAAGGTTTGAGTATCATACTCTATCTACCTAATAAATGTAATTTCATTAATTTTTGATGTAATTTCTTCAATGCTCTCAGATGTGTTTGATCTCTTAAATATTTGTATGAGTGCTTGTGTTTAATCTTAAACCTAGGTTTAGGACAGAGTTATTTATGTGGTTCTAGAAATAGAACTTATTTGTCTATGATCAGATGTGCCATTGGACAATTCAAAGCCAAATGGAATTCCTGACAAATGTAACATCTAATATCAAGAACGGAATAGTCTTATTCAATTTCAAGGTAGTATTTGATTTGATGATACTTTTCTAGGTCGTTCTATAATTGTTTGATGATCATAAGGAATGGTTCCTTTTTTAGGACCAATAAATTAACAAAGTCTTCTGTTATGATGGTGGCACTTCTAGTTTGTTCTGAGAATAGACAGATTTCTCCGAATATTTCATCTTTGCCTAGATTAGCAATTCTGGTTTAGAAATACTTGACTTGGATTGAACCATTTACAATGCAATACATTTCATCTCCAATTGATCCTTATTCAAATATCATCTCCTCAGGACCAAATACTTTCTCTTATAATCTATAGGCAATATTGCTTAGTAGATCTTTGGAGAAGGTTTCAAAGAATGGTATTTTCTCAATGATTTTACTATTAATGAGACAGATGACTTCACTTTTAAGATTGGCTGATAGACTGTCAATAACGGTTGATTCATGTTACTAAGATTTAGCATATGAGATCTATAACCATTCTAGATAACTAGTAACTCTTGATGCCAATGAGACATCTATCTTTTTCCTTTTTAAATAACTCTTGATATTCTATTCTCTTTCAATAAACTTATCATATTGATTACTAAACAATTCCATCACAATATTAGTAGTATAACCAAACACTGCAGATGCTAACAACATTAAGAATATTGCATAGATCATCTCCTGATAGGAATAGGCATGAACATCTCCATATCCCACAGTTATCATGGTAGTCATACTGTAATAGATGGATGTCATGTATTTGACAGTCCAATCTTCATCTTGTATTTTATATTCTGCAGCCCAATTGGAATCTCCTCCATCTACAAATAGATTCCATACACAGGCACACCAATGTGCTATACAGAGTATTAGTATTATTAGTTTCAACATCTAAGTGAATTAAAATAAGGATTCCATCACACTAATGTATTCTTCTATTCTCCCGAATATTTTCTTCAATTTTAAAGCTCTTAATAAACGAATTACTTTTATAAATTTTATGAACCTCAATAGTTTGATAACTTGGGCTTTACTTTGCATTTCAGGTGAATCAAAAATGATATCATATGGAAAGGAACTGATGACATCTATCCAAAACCACAATTTTAAATATTCTTTGACAATTACAATTCTATCTTAGACGAGATTGCCATCAATATAGATTGCTGTATTAAATTGTAGGAGTATGTCAGCGTAGAAACATCCGTTGACAATCCAATCATATATAGAGATACCTTCATTGTTGATGTCAAATGATAGCACTAAGGGTATTAAGAGCATTTGACTAAATATTAATATCATAATATATATGTTCCAGATGACTAATACAAAATCTGTAGGTAATCTTACTTTGACTATCTTCTTGATAGTGTCCAGATTCTAGACAGTTTCAATCATTTTGGATTCTTCACTCTAATTTGGTGGTTGTTCTTATTATAGCAATTAGTCCTCTTGCTCAGGGAGATTCTGAATAAAATACTAATTGCGCATAAAGACTGAGTTGACAGTAGCTATGTAGTAGAGTCTCTTTCTTTATTGATAATGTTTGCGAGATTCAATTCTTGAATTGTCAGCTAAGTCTTGCATTCACAACATTACCAATCATTTAACTCCATTCGGTTCTGATAGTTTCTGTATCTGCCTGTCCTTTACGTTTCATAATGGTTTTCAATTTAGAGAATAGATTCAGTTTAATATACTTTCCACTTTAATTATTCATTAAATATAAAAATAAGTAATTAAATCAAATAGGTTTGACTTTCTGTTTTTTATTTCCCAAGTAAAGTAAGCCCAGAGATATAAGGAGGAATATAAAAATGTCTAACACGACCAGAATACTAAAAATGTGTTATATTTGATGTTCTGTGAAATCCAAGATAACGATCCTTTCAACATCCCTCACATTAAATACAATGATGAAATAGAGAAAAGCTGGCATGAAGTAGAATAGTTCAATACTCTTCATAATAAAGTTCTGGACCTAAAAGAATCCATTGCTCTATTTCCTAAAATATAAAAATGATAATTCAGGTGGTATGAATATTTAATGAGTTTTTAAAAACAATAACCTCTTTTATAACCGATTGATTTCTTTGGTTTACTATTGAAATTGATCTTCATCTGCTTGATTTCTCCTAATTAGGGAATTAGTATCCCTCTCCAACACTCTAATCTTCACTTGAATGTCCTCAAACCACTTCATATAAGTCTCATAAACCATCTTTATAGACTTATCTTTTGTTTACTCCCCAATATTTAATAACTTATAAATTGATAAACCAAACAAAATCCTGGTTAAACAAAAACCACCAAATGATCCCCAACAAGACCATCTGTTGTCCAAACTGTAAACTATACATTGTAAAAATGTGATTCCAAAGCACATGACTCGAAATACGATGTTCAAGAATATATAGAAATTGAATGCCAATCTATAAATTCTTTTTGAATTCAACAACTATATCAGAATAGCTGATGTATCCAAATTGAATTTCTGTTTCTCCAACTTCCTCTTTGGTCTTGTTCTTTGCAGAATCACATCGAACCGATTGTGGGGTTGTCTATTATTAAGGTTCTGAATTAATTCTGGTTATTCCAAAATAAGCGATTGATCAGATTCTTCTGATTTATCACTCTCCCTAACCAAGTAAGAACTATCTTGAACTGTACTTCTCTGCAAATTATTCCCAATTTGAATTGTACATTAATTCCTACTCAAATGATCTGAGTCATCCTCTATAAGAGATTTAAAGAGGTCGCTTCCATCATCGTCGAAGTCCTTGAAACTAGAACACGACTCCTCCAAATCCATTTTAATAATATTTATTATGCATTCATTTAGATATATTTAACTTATTCTATACAAATTTATATATTCTAATTTTTATCATATGGATACTACCGACACATTGAAACATGCCTTCCTTGAATTCATCAACAAACTCAATCCTCTCTTGCCAGATTAATTGCTTTCTATCGTCTCAGACTTTAAAGAACAACTCTGGTCCAAAACTCCTACTGATCTCTATGAATTCGTTTAGCAAATCCCAGAACTCAAAAAAAGTAACTCCTCTTGCAACACATCTCCTGAACCACTCCTCAATAAAGTGCCATCCCATGGTTATAATCCTCTTTCAGTCTGTTCATAAAAGGAGTCCGATGACAAAAGTTAAAGTTCATATTCAGCTGAAAAATATTAATAATTGAAAATAGGTATTATGTCATTAAATCTTATGTAGAGATCAATAAAAATTTCTTTCTTAAACCTACTACAAAGTTCAACTCTAATACCTAAAATAAAAGCTCCAAAAATGTGGACATAGAAGCTAAAGTACAAAGAGAAAATATCAAATGTATAAATATACACAATTTCATCAATAGTGGTTGAAACTCTTAAGGATATGCCAAAGCTGAAGAGAATCTGCTTTGCTGAAAGAACAGGTCTCTTAAATTAAGTTTCAGAAGCATTGCATCAATTTAAAAAAGATGGCATTACCATTAATACGGTATATGAGAAAAGCACTGAAATTAGCACTCCTCAAACTCCAATTGATACCAGAACAGGTCTCCAATAATGCTATTATGTAAAATAATAAGATTAATAATAGTTTTAACCATTTCCACAGTAACCAGTATGTCAATTCAAAGGATATAGTGTGCATTCTAAGAGAGGATTCATGCAACCAATTCAATTTGACATGCAGTTCTAATTGATGCAACAGCAATTTTAAAATTAATTAATTTATAAGAAACTATACTTTTGAATAAATCATATATATATATAATTGTCATTTCTCTCTTTATTTCCTGGATTGTCTTGCCAATATAATAAAAGTTAAGTTATATAGGATCAATTCTACTAATTTTAATGGAAAACTGTTTAACAATGCAATCTAGTCTTCAATCATTTCATTCGTGTTGACAATTGATTGTTTATAGTTTAGGATCCGCCATGAATCTAGAAGTAGATTAGATACGGATGAAATAATCAAGGCTCCAATTATTTTATGTCTATTTTAATTAAGTTTATTAAAAAACAAAGAGGCAATTCCTATAATTTAGCATCCAAAACTACCAATAAAAACAGAAAATAACGATGGTCCAATATCAAACTCTTAGGTGAGTATTATCATTGAGTTCATATTTACTTATTAATGACCTTTGAACACTTAATGATCAATTTTTATGGGATTAATTGCATTATAAATGATCTTAGATATTAGTATATTCTATCCGACATCTGTGAATTGCAATAACAGAAATTATAAAGCAAATTGTATAAAACTCTTGGAGTAATTGAGCTAGAATATCACAGTAACATCAGACAATATAAAGAGTATTGTCAAGTATAAGGCCTTCACTTTTCCTTGATTGAAAAATCTTGGATCTATAACACAAAGTAAGATGATAACAGATATCAGAATAAACAAGAGGAACCTTTTGAATTCGAATTCACTTTGACCCAATAGGAAAAATACATAGACTGTAAGTTATGACAAAATTACCAATAAGAATAACAAAGATATTTTCCACTTTGTGAAGGTTTAGCCTGAACAATTGTAGGTATGATATTTGATTGCTAAAATGAGTAAGAATTATATTTCAATTGATAAGAGGATCTCAGGGATATAACCCATATCATGAAGCTAAATGAACACCAAGAAAGCCACTATTTTGAGAAGCTATTTCATATTATATTCTTTCTTAAGGATCACTAAGACCAACAATCCTAGGATCATAATCTAAGCATTAAAGAATCCACTTGATACAATGATCATGATTTCTTGATATCCCCAGAAACTTCTAATTGAGTATATACTAAAAAGTAATAACATTAATCCAATTATAAAAGATTCTTTTCTTGGAACACCAATTTATAAGTTCCTTTAAACATGAGTAATTACTTCATCAGCAGGCACTTTTTTTAATTCTTCAATGAATGTGGATGATACTTTGTATCCTTGAGTCTCCAGATATTTGAGCACTTAATTTTTGATCATTTCTTAATCATTTTAGATTTCTGTTCTATTGGCTGTATTTGGATAAAATTAAGGTATTATCTTTCCTAGATTTTAACTGGTTGGTTAATATCCTAAGAGGGAAGCAATGGTAGCTGATAAATCAGTGGGTTCATAAACTTCATAGATTTTATCATCTTACAAAAGTTCATTGAATGAGAATGCAAAAATAAAGCCTTCACATTCAAATGATTCTTAAGAACATTGATAATGTTTTCCTCTCCTACTTTGATCATGATCACCAATCACAATCAAAAGTTGATTCTCCTTTAGATTATTAACCACCCCTTCCAACATAGTATTAAACATTCTTAACAATTATATACCTTTATCGTAATCTTAATATTGTAGGGCATGTCCAAGCGCATCGAATCCCATCATATGAACCACATACAACTAGTAATCTGGCTGAGCTTATGAGAAAGATTACTTAAAGAATTAATAGGATGAGAGGTCTGCTATTTAGATGTTTTCTAAATTAAAAAACTACGGATTTTCAATATAAGTGAACTCTCCTGAAGTCATTCGCAGCCAGTCTTGTTTCTTACTTGAATACAGAGCTGATTTAAATTGTTTTCTGAGTAGGGAATCTTCGTAAGGTGCTGGATAAGACTTGAATATCACATCCAAATTGTTTTACATCTGTTTGATTCCATTAATTATACTCAAAATAGTAAAGTCAGTTGAAGGTGGGACAGCCTTAGTTTTCTGAAGGAAGGTATGTTGAGGATATATCTCTCTCAATCCCTTCAATAAAGTAATCGTTTAGAATATCTCATGATCCTTTCCTTCATTCATTATGTATCGATAACCTGTGGCATCCAAAAAGAACAATACTACTTGATCATATATTGGTTTTCGAAATGCAACAATTTCATTGATATCTCTAATTGGAGTCCTGAACCAAAATGTTGAGAAGATAATTAAGAAGCATCCTATCACACTTAAAATAAATTACGAATACATATTGATTAAAATCTGCATTCATTTAGTTAGTATAAAATCACCTCACAATCTCGATCTCATTATTACATTCTCAGCCAAATACTTATTAAATCAAGTGTGAAGTTCACCTTCAAGTCCTTCTATTCACTCTTCCTCATTTCTTCTTTATTTCAAACTACACAATCATCAATGTTTCTCTCCTCAATAATCTTCTGTTATTCACCTTCTTCTTAACCATCTTTTACACCTCGTCACTTAGCCTTCAAACAAGCATTTCAATAAATTTCCTCCTTTCCAAAGAGTTTGATTTAATATAATGCTCATTTTAATGCTTCCTTATAATAACCTCTTTCTCAACATAAGGCTTAAAAGATAAATATCTCATGCCCTAATTGTTTTCTATTGGCTTCATCGATTTGTAACAACTAAGCTGCAAAATAGCAATTCTCTGTACCAAGTGCTTAATTGACAAGAGCCATCTTTGATATGAATAACTAAACACTTTCTCCTGACAGCTAGTACTCAAAGTTTTCTAGAGATGTAATATAGAATTATTTAATTGACGAATAAATTCCACTAATTCAACAGGAAAATGAATAAGTTAATATATATTTCTATATTCTCATATCAATTTTATTATGGCTTACTTTTTGGTTGTTTAAAGTAACTAAAGGATAGTTCTTAATTTTAATACCCTATCTACAATTTTCAATCTCCCTTAATAAAAACTATAACTATTTAATGGAAAAATTTTGGTTGCTTACATAAGAAGCAATATATTAATTATTTATCATTATTCAAGAATTAAAGATTTATAATAGAATGATTTCATCTAAAAAATGATGCGAATTAATCAAAATATAAAATTAAGTTGGCTTGTCGAATTATTGGTTTATATTTAGGAATTTAATAAGAAGGAGAACAATTTGATGGTTTTGAATATTTTAGATATTTTAAAAACTTGGTTCAAGAATTCTATTAGAATGTAATAGAATACATTTTCAAACACTTTATACTTTCAACCAAACTTAATTAGAAGTAAATTAAGTAATAATATTCTGTTGATTTCTTATTATTATGTTATATAATTAAAGATTAATAATAATTCTATTCTAATCGGAAGAATATTAGAATAGTTTAATTTCTTATAAATCAAGAAAAGATGACTGAATTTAATTTACCAATGGATTAAATTAGACTCAAAAATAACAAATTAAATTAGCTCTACAGTTATAATAAATTCAGTTTTCTGGAGAACTGTTTTCTGTTTAACTTAATTCACATTATTACAAATTATCAGTAAATAAAACACCATTTTCATTTCTTCTTATCCACGGGGCTTCAGGTCTACATTCAATCGATTATGCCTAAGATGATAATAGAAGTAATTACGCTTAAAGATTAGATTATTTTGAAATCAAACTAAGGAGTCATGTCTTTGATTTATGGAATAGGCAATGAGAAATAAGGATAAATTGTATATTATGTTGAGATAAAGGGTTATAATTTAATTGTATCTGCTAACATAATTTCTATTCCTTATGGATTATCTGCTAATTAAAATTCTGTTTAATCAATTAAGAGATTCCTAATAGTTAATAAGACATGCTTCTATTCTGAAATTTTAATTAATTATTCTAGTTGAGTATGAGAATATTTAAACTTCTTCAACATCATCCAACAAAACATAATATTGTAATTTGTTATGTAAATCAATGTGTCTGACTTAGTCTACTAAATACACCTTTCAAATTCTTAGATGGCTTCTTGGTATTTCTGTAGATACAAATAGCAAACACCCTTGTATTAATGAAGGTATTATTTATTAAAGAAAAATGAGGACTGAGGATCAATCTTCTTTTGTAAGGTTAAGATAGCTGAATCGTACTCAAATTTTAGGATATGCTAATAAGCAAGTATCATATTTTAGTCAAATTATTTGTCTCTGATAAACTCTTTGATTTCATCTCCATCAAATTACTCTAATTAAAATAAACAACTCGCCATCTGCTATTGATGTTCAAGCGTTGGGTTGGGCTCTTATTTATAAGTCTTATAGGCCTCTTCATACATCTTGCTATTGTATAACAGATTGCCAGCACTCAAAAAGTCATCTACGAACTAGATATAGCTGTTCATATCATCAAAAGCAGATTGCATTTCTCCCAAATAGGAATAGCATTTTGATCTTTGCAAATAGGCTTTTTGATATTGTTCATCAATTCCTAGACAGACTGAAAAGTCTTGGACTGCATTTAAGATATCGCCATTCAATGCCAAGATTAATCCCTTCAAATAATAATGATCTGCCAGATTTTCATCTGCCTTTTCAATAGTTGTTAATATTTCTTTATAGGCATCCTCAATATTGTCCATCAACATGTATGCTAATGATTTTAAATACATCAATTAGGAGTTGTTCTGATTATATTATTATGCTCTGATTAAGCATTGCAATGAATTATTGACATAATCAGAATTCTCCTATTTTAATCCTTCTTTTATTAATAGGATTGCTTTATACATATTTGGGTCAATCTAATTGTAACTTAAGGCCTAATCAAATTTAGAATAGGCAATTTCAAATGAGTTAAAATTAATGATGCCTTCACATATAATTTGATTATATGGTAAGGACTTATTCTTTCTGAAATCTTTCAAAGCCTCTTCAAAATTGTTCAACATCATATTCAAATATCCCAAATAGGAATGATAGATCTCCTGGATGAGAATTGGGATTTCAAGTTATTCTAATTTTTTGAATGCTTCACTTGCTTAGGTATAATTCTTTTTCATTAAGCACACTACAGCTTCAGAGAATTAGATATAGGGTTACAACTATTATTTGTCGACATCCAAATATTCAGTCCTCAAGAGAGTATGATATAAGGAATAATAGTCTTTAGATTCTATTTTAAATTTGCTAATTTCTATCATGGCTTTGGAGACTGCATTTCTAGAATTGTTATTTTAAATGGCTTATTCATAGTACAATTAGCTTTCTTGTTTTTCACCAAGTTTGTACAATATTTGTCCCTTCAATTTGTTTGCTTCAGATGATAATTCATCTTGACTTAAATACTAATTAACAGAATAAAATACCTAATCAATCATCTATAAGGCCTACTGATAATTGGCCATTTCATAAAGACATATTGACATTTTGAGAATGTTCAATTTGGATTTGTCGCTTGTATCAAATTGCAATGCTATCTAGTAATTTTTGATTGCTAAATCCAAATTATTTTAGAGTCTCTGACAATCTCCAAGATAATGATATCCAGTCGACCTTTTTGAATTTATTCTGACGGCTTATTTCAAAGTTGACTCACAATCCTAGAATCTCCTTAATTTAAGTTCCAATTTGCCTTTGAATATCAATGCGTCATAACATTGAGGATAAAACTGTAAACATTCATCTAACTATTATGACAATAGAATTAATACAGTTCTTATTGACCATTCCAATTGCATTATCTTTTTGTAACCAAGTGCAAGTATAATATATACATTTTTATTGTAATTTGGCTATTGTTCTTTAACAAACTTGAGTTCCTTGATGCATTTTTCATATTAATTTTAAGAGAAATGACATACTCCCAACATATACCGACTTGGCACATGTAGAGAATCTATCAATATGCATTCATTATAGTATTTAATGGCTTCAATCAAATTCTTCTCCCTGAATGCATTTTAACCCTATAACGGCAATAGAAATATCAATACATATTAAAAATGTGCGATGAGATTACCCATAAAGTCATTAGCCTTGGAACCTCTCAATACGCTCCCAGAATTTTTGAACTTTAGGTTGGAATTCCTTCTCTTTTAAAATTCATAATCAAAGCTTGTGTTTCGAGATGTTCTTATATTAATTGAATCATTGAAGATGCTGTACTTTTTGTAATTCTTTGGACTTAATCTAGGTTATACACTCATTGTTATATAAATAAAATTATAACTAAAAACTAATCATTATCTAATTAGATAAGAAGCAAACTCCTTTTTTGTCATTAATCTTTAGTTCGAATCCTTATGATCATTAAATTGTCGTGACTCTCTATTCTATAGAATTAGTATTCTATACTTAGGCCTTTATATAATCATTGTGCGTTTTACTTATTCCAAGGTAGATGGTAGGATTATTATTATGGAATATCACATTTCTGTTTGATCAGCTATTATCAATACTACAGGCTAATGATTATTTATGCAAATGCAATTAAATTTCATAATCTTTAGATTTCTTTGGTTTCTTGCAAGTTTTTTGTTATTAATAGTAACTACATAATTTATTATTTTAGTTTTGCAGTCCCTTAATTAACAACTAATTAGAAATAAAGTAAAATTGTTGTGAGAGAATTATTTACTCTAAATATAATTATATAATTTGTTATTCAAATGTGAGGGTCCATCTTACAGTAATGTGTTGAATTCAAATTCTATGAGACAGAGGATTTTATTTCCATAAAAAATTTCTTAATCTTATTACAACCGTTCAATATTTTATATGAACATCGCTTGACTAGTGGATTTTCTTTTTTCTAATCTGATTCTTCTTTGTTACTCTTCTTCTTCTTCTATTTCTTCCTTCTAAATTCTGCCCAAATTGCCTTGGCCGATGAGTAATTAATACCTATTGAATTGGCAGCCTAATATAATAAATATCAATAGCACCGCTTTGATAGATTACTTCTCAGAAACCACAGCTTTTAAAAACAAATCCTTAATAGATTCTGTCATCTTTAGATATTTCTTTTAAGCTAGGCGAGGATCAAACTTTAACATCTCCTTCTCCACCTATTATTTGATGTCATCCAAGATTTTCATTTTCTGTATTTTTTATATATATAAATATAAAAAATTGGAGGATATATCAATAGAAATATATTAAGAGTCATTAATAGTTGACAGTATTAATATTTGATATACAATATAAGACATAGGGATTTAAAGCTAACACATATAAGGTGATGTTGATTACCTAAGGGATTTAGTATGAGTATATAATATGGCTTAAACTTACTTATTCTTTTAAATGATAATTGTGTTTTGTGAATTGAAAAATAATATATGAATTATTTATAATTATAATGTGTGATTCCTAATGGGGATAGCTGAACGGGTAATTTATTATAGTTGTTCGAAATCAACAACATGTAGAGGCCTTAATGAAAAGTGAATCGCAGTTACTCATAAGTCTAATCAAAAATGTACAAAATTATTCTCGACCTTTAGCATATTCCCGTTGTTTTTAAAGAGGATGTACATATGTTTGAGCATGCAATTGAGATAATATTGGATTACTTCAATCAACCAATAGAAATCATTGAAACTAATATTTTAAGTTTTTAAACATTAATCCAGAAATCGATTTACCTAAGACCTATTCCAAAATTGAGGAAGCTTAGAAAAAACAGAGAAACAAGTTCGACTGAGAGGGTAAAGAAACCCAATGGATATGATCGAATGTTTGCTATAATGAATATAGAAAAGAAACCAGAATAGGTTAAAAAGGATGAAATCTACGTTTTTAAGGATTTGTCCAAATGTGTTGATCCTTAGGTAATAAAGGGATTCAATAATGACTATGATTTCGGAGTGTTTATTGTGATATATGAAAAATTGGGGTTAAGTCACATTGATCTATTGAACGAGGTAGTTAAATTGTACATTTAAGAGAGGAACTCAAAAACATTATCGTATTTAAGTTTATGGTTGGATTATCGATAAGTAGATTTGATTAATGATAATAGTGTGTTCTGCACAATATTTTAGCAATTTTTGAATCTGGTTGAACTCATTGCTACTGCTAAATAACAATAGCAGGATGAATTACAAATGAAGATAACAAATATTTTAAATGGAAAAAAGAACATTCTTACTACAACTTTGAATACCCCCTCCCCTACTCTGCTATAAAGGAAATAGAGTTTTGACCATCCACAAAAGAGTAAAAAGTTTAGAAATTTATCAATGCAAATATCAAATTAATCAATAATTTAGAACATATCCTCTGAGTTTGATGGGAATTATTTCTATCTAAATTGTAATATTGAAATTCTCTAAAAATAATTTTGGATTATTGATATTGAACAATTCTCTAAGATAAGTATCACAGCTATGCTTAACTAAAATCATTTAATCAAGTATTGTCAGTAATAATTTACAGGAATCATGAAATTAGCGATTATTTTGATTATCTTTTATTCCATATGATTTTTAGTACAATCATTAGCACAAAGGACGAGAAATTTATACTCATATCAAAGTTTATCACCTTGTATCAACTCTCAAAAGAGGCTAAACATTACCAAATGCTGCATGTTGTCTTCACTTATTTTAATCACTACATTATTCAATCAATTTTAAAGTCTATTTATGCTTTGAATCCTCTTCAACAGATAATTCTTCAAGAGATTTTAGAAAAAGAACAGTTTCGAACTTTGATTCCAATAGATATCAATGATAGACAAGGTATTATTCCATGTTTCAGCCTCATTCAATTCTATGTTTATAAATTTTAAGATATCAAAGATCAACAACCTAATAGATTAATTTTACTAGCTTAATAGCTATTCTAGATTGTTCATCTACAAGTCCTTACTACTAAATTGAATGGATCCTAAGCTAATTACAAAGATGACTATATATGTAAATATTTGAAAAGTGGCCTAAAAAAATAACTTTTCAGCTATTTTGGATGTAATAAATCAAATATTGAGATTGAGATATTCAAATTTTATAATAATGCTTGAATATATATTTGATATATATGTTTATATAAATCATGATTTTTAACCTGTGTATTTGATCTCTCTAATTTATAAAAACAATAATCATATATATGCACCTTGGGTTGATTTTGGATTTGATTCATTTCAATAATCGTATTACTCTTTTTAAGAGTTGACATCGCCTTATTTATGAGGAAGCTAAGGAAAACGATACAAATCATATGAAAACTCCTCTAAAATCTTTACATCAAATAAGCCTAAATTGATTATCTAGCCTCCATCATAATTATCCTATCCTGGGTCTTCAAGCTAGGTTTTAATGCCTTTATTTTCCATCTAATTATAACAATTTATATACTGAATTATGTTTATATGTTTTAATATATGAATTATTGGATAGAAATTTATATAATTAATAAATATATAATGCTATTATTCATATTTTTAAACATAATATCTATTTCTAGTTAATCAATTAAGATAGGAGAGAAGTGTTAATGTAGTCAATTATTAATTCAAAACGACTGCCAAAAGATTTCATCATGTTATTGGGATAATTAATTGATGTAATGTAAAACATCAATAGATGTTTACTCTTAGAAGTATTTACTTGAGAATATAAATGAAATGAAAGAGAACAGAGCGTATTCCTTCTATTGTAATCAAATGACTTAAGAACAATGTAGAAAGGAGTCTTCATGTATATGGTTTAAGGAATAGTGCACTCATTTTACAGGATGCTCTGCCTACATGAGAGAGACTCACGAGGAGTGTTAGAGATTATCAAGATTATGTGTATCAGATTCTGAAATGTGTGTGAGTATTGATAATTGTAGTACTTATAAAAATTCATATTCCTGCTAATACGATAAATAAGGGAAGTATTGCAATTGGGATAAGGTTAAACGTCAATGTGAGAGTGCTTGGTAGTGTGATCAGTTACCTTAGGTATTAAAAACACATTAGGAATGCCAAAGTCAGCTAGATAATTGTATAATTTTAGATTATATGTGAAAGGTACTACAAAGAAAGGAGGTGGGTGTATAGCATTGACTTATTAATGCTATGATTTAATGTAGGAAGAGTCATGCCACACCAATAGTGGAAAAAATAAGGATTGTTTTTGGAATGGCAATAAGTGTTTAGAAAGAACATGTGATAATGCATCCAACACCTTAAGGAGTGATGAAGAATGTAAGTAATTCTTAGCTGAGTGTACAACTAAATAAGGAGGAGGATGTGTTTAAAGATCAAAATGTTAAGATGCTTAAGTGGAAGAGGCATGCGTTGTTAATTAATATGGGGAAGGGTGTGTATGGAATGGAGGTAAGTGTATGGATAATCTATGTGAAAATGCACCTCCAACATATACTACTTATGAACAGTGCCAAAGTATACACAAAATCTGTATTACGAATGGCAATGGTTGTATAACTAATTATGGTTGTGAGTTTGCACTTTCTGAGTAATATTGTTACAAAGATGGTGAAGACAATGAATGTTTATGGAGAGATAATCATTGCAGAAGAAAATAATGTTAATAAGCTGGAGACACTTATTTAGGACATGAGTAATGTGAATCTTTTATGTTCCTGTGTACTGGAAATATAGATTCAAGAGGATGTGTTGAGAAGACTTGTCAGAATGCTCCACTAAAATTCAGCACAAATTAGGAATGTGAGTCTTATTTACCTAACAATTAGTGTATCACCAAAAAAGGAGGAGGTTGTAGAAAAAATGTGGTTTGTGTTTATATAGATACTGAAGAAGCTTGTAAGATAGATTCTCTCGGTTCGACTTGTTTTTGGAATTATTAGGAAAATAAATGTCAAAAGGTCACTGCATGTTAGAGCATTCTAAATTAGAAGGATTGCATTAAGGACAACAATAATGAAGCATGTGATTGGATATCATCTAATAAGTGTGTTTAAAAGACTTGTGATACAGCTCCATTGCAACTTATAAGTGAAAAATAATGTTAAGAGTACTTTAAACCATTGAATGGGACAGTGTGTACATCTAAATTAAATGGAGGATGCAAGAATAAAAGTAGTTGTCAAAATCAATAGACTTAAGAGTCTTGCAATGTGGATAACTAAGGAAATCAATGTTTTTGGAATGATACACTTAAATTATGTAAGTTAAAGGAATGCAATGATATTCAGAGTAATTCATTCTAGGAATGTTTCTCATTTAATAAAAATTGTACAATTGGGTTGAATGGTCGTTGTGTTCCATTAAGATAGTGTAATGAAATTGGCAATAAATATGAATGTATTTTTGGATAAGATGGACCATGTTTATGGATTGATAATTATTCTACTAATGGAGGTAAATGTTTTCAATACAATTCTTGTTCAAGTATAAAATGGAAAACGGATAGAGAGTGTAAACTTATTTCCAATTATTGTACTACAAATGGTTATGAATGTGTTCCCATTACAAAATGTTAAGAAACCAATATTAGTGGTGGGTGTGTTACAGGAATTGAAGGAATGTGCATCTAATCTGTTACAGCCCTAGGAGCTTTGGAACAACCGAAATGTTAAATATTCTTACATTGTAGTCAAGCCTATTATGTGACTCATTAAGAATGTCAGAGAGCAAATCCATAATGCACAACAAATGGAATCACAGGTTGTAGATCATTGACATCTTGTGATTATTATGTTGAAGAGGGTTGTCATTTTAACAATGCTGGAATAGAGAGAAATGAAAGAAATTAGGTTATTTCAACTGGTAATTGTGTTTGGGATAGTCAATATAATATATGTAGAAATGAGGATTGTAAAGATATGAAATTTAAGACTCGAGAAGAATGTTAAGGTGCATTATAATCTTGCACTTCAGATGGGTAGAAATGTATAAGTAAAATGATGTGTGCTGATTATCACAATGAAGAGTTATGTAACTATGCTTAAGGAATGGAAGGATCTTGTATTTGGAAATAATAGCGTTGTCAATAGAAAACCTGTTCAGACATCATTTCACAGTGTGAAGAAGTTGATAATTGCATTTCAGATGGGATCAAGTGCATTCCCAAAAGAAATTGTTCTGAATACAAGAATCAAGTTTCATGCAATTCTATTGGTTTAGATGGTCTATGTTATTGGGACTCTACCATTAATTAATGTCATTTGATGAGTGGATGTAGTTCTGCCAATCACGATTAAATTGCATGTCAATAAGCAAATGATAGATGTTATTGGCAACCTAAAACTCACAATGAGCCAAGTCAATGCAAAGAGCATACTTGTTCCTCATTTGAAAGTCAAAGTGGAGAATGCTCACATTATCTAACTTGGGATTGGCAATCTTACAATATTTGTAGATTTGTTTCTTTTAAATGCATGAATTTTGATGTGAAGTCTTTGACTGAACATACTTGTTTATTGTATTCTTTGGAACTCTACAAATGGAATCCTATCAGTTCTGCCTGTACTGAATGTGACACGGGAGAGACCAATTAGGATCCTAATCGATCACCCATCCCATAAGGACAAGGCATAGCAGAAATATTGGTTTCGAAAATTCTAAGTACAATCATTATTATAGCTTAAATGATTGTTTGAATGAATGAATCAATTAATAATTACATGTTAATTATTATAAAAATAATTATTATAAAATTTAATATTTAAAATTAATTCATTAAAGCTTTATCAAAATAATTTAAGTTTTCAACTTTCTTTTCCGTTAGATCACATGCTCTGGATCACTGCCTTTTTACTCAAAATTACTTACTAACAAACTCTTTTTTACTCTGCATTCACTGACACTACTTTGACAAACTCTGAAAGTACTAAATTTATTAAAATAAGATTGGTCATTTGTTGGAGCTGACCCTCTTAGTGTCATCTAACTATGTGGTACTTATAGCATTGTAGGAGGATTCGAAAAATTTTCACATGGAGTGGCTGCTACTAATTTCATTTAATTACCTCCACATTATAAAATTATAATTACAGTCACTTTTTTTGTGTATTCTATTTTATTAATATCAGAATTGATACTTGGGATGTTAATGAATATTGCCATTTGTACGTGGATGAGAACTTAGTGTTCAATTAAGCATACATGTATTAATAAGGCCAAGCTCACATTTGTGGCTAAACAGGGAATAATCGATAAGATTCTATCCAAGAGATCTAAGTGGAATTTTTGCATAGCGGAGCAACGGCATTCATTGAATTAACCACTACATTAGATTAAATTCCTTTTGATGTATAAAAATTCTTAAAGTAGGAATCTTGGGGATTTAGGAATTTCAGACTTTTCCTTTACTTATGTCCATCTGGCTGTCTTACTTGCACTTACGACAATTCTTAGGCAGAATGTCAAACCTGGATCATCACTAACTCATTTTATACTGACATCCAATACAGCTCGTTTTCAACAAGTGGGTGGAATGTTCTCAATGGAGATTAGACAAAATAATAATGCTCAAGTAAAGACATCAATTAAAATAGTGATTCCATCTGTTTGCGGTTATGGTGTATGTGGGAAAGACACACAACTGACTATTAACTTTGTTTAGCTGCCATTCCACACAAGAATGAAAATTAAATTCAAATATCTCAAAATAGATAGTTGGGAATTAAGTGATTAGGCTATATTATATGTGAATCAAAATCTTAGATGGAAAGCAAGCTTATCTGTATTTGACTAATATTTATATGGAGTATGTGGTGGATCAGCTTAAGAAAGTTTTATCAATGTCGAGCTTACCTTTCCACATCATTTAACATTCTCAACAATCACTTTTTCAAATACATTAGATTAAGCTATGACTGATGAATCATTTGGAATTAGAGACATCGAAATTTTTGTGCGTAAATAGTTTATCTCTATTTATATAGAATAATCAATATGTGGAGATAAAATTGTTGAAGAATATGAATAATGCGATGATGGCAATTTGGAGCCATTTGATGGATGTTTCAATTGTGTTTATTCTTGTGCAGATGGATGCTCAATTTGTAATTAAGGGACTTGTCTAGGATGCTATTCTGGTTGGCTTTATATAAGATACGCATCAACTTGTGAAAAAATTTCTGTGATTACTTAGGTAATCTAAGACACACCTATTGATTAATCTTAATCAACTTGCTATGATTATATAGAAGGGTGTTAAGAATGTTTAGGCGGAACCTGCATTTTATGTAAATAAGGATACTAATTGAAACATGAAGCAAACGGTTGTTAATCTATTTGTGGAGATAACATAGTAACAATCGATGAGGAATGCGATGGATAGAACTGTAGTTAGTGTAAATTCTATTGCCCAGACTATTGCGAAATTTGTGAGTTTGGAGTTTGTGAAGTATGTTAACAAGGGTATTACTTATCAAATAAGCAATGCAGAAAATAAGAGACTGTAAGTTTATGTTAATCCCAATGTGAACTTTGTATAGATAGTGTTTGCTACAAATGTCAATATGGACACAATCTTGTTTTGGGATAGTGTTAAGAGATTTGTGGTAACAATAGTTTATCAGTTTATTCTCTTGATGAGTGTGCTTGTAATCCTTAATGCTCTGATTGTAGATTTGGATTTTGTTTTTAATGCAGTGAATCCTACTAATTATTAAATAATACATGTATAAGTAAATGCGGGGATAAGATTGTTTAAGCATATGAGGAATGTGATGATGGGAATGAATTAGAATTCGATGGGTGTTACAATTGCCAATTTTCTTGTACTTTAAATTGCCAAAACTGTTAAAAAGGTATTTGCACAGATTTATGTTAATATGGTTATCAGCTTGTTAATAATATTTGCATGACAATTTGTGGAGATATGATAGTAGCAGGGACTGAATAATGTGAGGATAACAATAATATTAATCATGATGGATGTTATTAATGTTATTATTCATGTCCACTTGATTGCAGTGATTGTATAAATGGGCAATGTTTAAAGTGTGATGCTGGATTTGTGTTGTATGACAATGTTTGTACAAACATCTGTGGAGATGGAATCCTATCCAATTTAGAATAGTGTGACGATGGAAATCAAAGCGATGGAGATGGGTGTTCATCAGATTGCTTTGTAGAAAGTAATTGGATTTGTAAAGTTGACGGTGATTGCACATACGTTAAATATCCAACTATCATTTCTGAATATCTAATGCAGAAGAACCAATATCAATATGTTTAATTATCATTCTCTTAACCAGTATTCAAGTAATCAAGTCTCAACTATTTATAAACTATCAAAACAGCAATTGTTGATTTGAATGAAACCTTATTCAATATTACAATAATGGAAGTTTAGGCTGCATTGTAGGACAAAGCAACAGATGTACAATATGTGTTGTAAATTGAAATATTCCAGAGCCTAGACTACTACCCAATCTTATAAATTATGTTGACTGAGCAATTATATAACGATAATCAAGCTCCGTTGATGTATATGATCGAGTATTTGTAATTGAAGTAGCCAAATTATATAACTGAGGAATAGGTATAAATTGCCAGTACTTTCCAATAAATAAATGAAGTTTCAGTTAAATCGTTATGTCTCCTCACTATTTTACTAATGCTGTTAGGGAATACCCTCTCTTTTTGGGGGATCCTAGATGCCCTCTAGGAGCAATCATATCTCAAATACATTAATGTCTTATATCCATAAACATTAATAATATATTTCTCCTCAAGTTAGGTGGTATCAGTTTAACCAGCTTTAAATGCTATTACACCTTACACAAACGAAGGTAGATTCCTGCAGTTCCCTTATTTGTCCTCCTATGAAAAGTTTGAGTTTTATGAAGTTAATGCTGATATTGCAGAAGGCTTTAGAGCAGAAGTACTGGTCTTTGGCACTCTTTTTGGTTTTTACTTGGGTACTTTATTTGCAGTCAAGATCCTCTCAAAATTGGAACATTTGGAATTCTTGTAGAATCAGCCTAAATTAATTAGGCTTATCTAAAAAGTAAAGAGAAAAGTGAATGCTAAAGTGAGAAATGCGAAAGGAGAATCTTGGAAAGATACCTTACGTGCTTGTACTTGGGATCTAATATTTATGGCATTATTGGAATTATAAACTCCACACAATTATTAATCTGCAAGATCATTTATTTGTATTTTTATTGCTATTTCAATTCTAATCACAACTCTAGTTATACTGTTGAATTAAGTCTCAGGACTGAAATCATGGAAAAAACAAAACTTCCGTCAATTTTGGCAATAAAAAAGAGATATCTTTCAAATTACTAAAAAAATACTCATTCTCTTAATCCTAGTATTCTTTTAATACGAATAAGAACTTTAAACGATGATTCTAACTTTGATTAACGTTTTTTACTTGTTGTATGTAATCTATTTCAAGCTTTTCGAAGATAGTTTAGAATATGTCAAATCGATTGTAATGGAGACTTCATTAGTGATATTCACAGCTTCAACATTTGTGAACTGGAATATCGTTTCTAAATATCTTCAGTACAGTCAGAGAATCAATATTGCTTGGATATAGATGTCAGTCTTGGTTAGCGTCTTAATCATCTTTATTTTCATCGAGTTATACAACACTTACTAGTTGGTAAGGTAGAAAATTATGGAATCTAGAGAAAAGAAATAGCAATAACTTGAAAAGGAAAGACAATTATCAGAAGTGAAGATTACAGATCAAAAGGAAGAACTTTCGAATAGTGATAATCTAGTAAAAAAGGAGAAGACCATCTTTTATAGAGCGCGTTTTCATAGCAGACTTCAACCATAAAAAATTTGAATCATCGAGTGTTTAATTTATATTTCTATTTCTATTTATAATAATTCTGAATGTTATATCAGAAGAAATTTAAAATATTTATTATTTATGTCTTTAACATCTGATGCCTTCTCTAGAAGCATAGTATTGACTTCGATTCCATTGGAGGAGTTGAAGTTCGTTTATTCAGTACCATAGATAGTTGATCCTGATCCAATCACGTGCATTATCGAAGCAAGTATGATTTAGTTTAGATATTTAATAGCCCATGAGGAGGGAGGAATATATGTTGGAGGTTATGAAGGAGCTAAGGATTTAGAGATGCTTAAGAGATTGAAAATCAGAGCAGTGTTGACTGCAAGTTAAGAGACAGCTGTTTAATATAGCGATTTAGTTGTTTAGTTTCATCATGTAGTGCAAGCACATGATAAGGATGATTATAATATATTGCAATTCGCAGATTAAACATTTGATTTCATAGAGAGACACAGGAAACATACAAACATATTAGTTCATTGTTTTTTGGGAATCAGCAGATCTCCCACAATAGTGGTTGCTTATTTGATGAGGAAATACAATTTGAATATGGAGAAAGCCTTATGGAAATTGAAATCAAAAAGAAGACAAGTGAATCCTAATACAGGGTTTTTGAAACAATTGCTAAATTTCGAAAAACTACTTTAATAACAGCAATAATCATAACAATATTAATAATAACAAGCAAAACCCAAGAGCATTTTTAAGATGGTTAGACAACAAGCTGTCCCCCAGACTTAGATGTTGCCTCAAAGTCGAATCTTACCAATGGACAGCAGAGTTATAATATAAAAGCAACCTTCATAGTATTTTGGATAAACTTATTATAAATGATACATATATATATTAATATCGATTATCAAATTATAAAGCCAAGAATAAGAACTATAATCGATAAGATGATTGTTGAACCACTATCAGCTGAATTTGATTAGTTTTAATTGCTAGAATTGTTAGTCTGAACTGAGTTGCAAATTGAGCATTTATTTGTAGTTGGATTCCAAGTGTATTGATATAAAGTAGCTATAGGGCAATCATTTTAAGATAAACTATTGGGTTCAGTGGACACACATTTACCTTGAGGACTGAATTAACACACCGTATAAGATTTAAGAGACCAGTCATAAAATCCTGTACAAGTCTAATCTGTTTGTATCTCACAAGTCTTGGGAGAACAGATGTATTCAGTTTGATTGGCAACAACAATGGATTACCAATAACATCTATCAGATAATCTCCTGCATGCCTTTTCGTAGACAGTTGCTATGGTACAGGTAGTCACTTCGACACATTTGCCTTTATTATTGACTGAAGTGATAATCCAAGCACACACACTGGTTGGACTACCATAATCACAAGCAGACTGAGTTTTGTATGAAGTGCAATCTTTCAATGAGACACATGATGATCCGTCTTGAATGCAAGTGGATGAATAAAGTGAACATAAAGTGACAGGATAATCTTCACATTTCATAGCTGTACAAACACCACTCTCCCAATAGCATTTCCCATCTGTACCTGTGGCAGTTATGCAGGAATCACTAGTTGTAAAGGTACTGCATGTCCCTTATACAACGCAACTCTTACCATTATAAGTACAAGTGCTTAGTTAGCTATTGCAATCTTCATGATTAGATCCAATGATTTCAGAACAACCTTAGGCAACACACTTCCCTTCTGACCATTTGCATTTTCCTGTTGATGTTATTGCTCCAGCTGAATTTATTGTTTTTCCGGCTTAATCGATGAAGCATGCGGATTCTACAGTATACTTTGTGCAGTTATCCAATTTAATACATCCACTTATACCATCACTTGTACACTAACCAAGGGAGTAATTATAGCAATCATTGTGATTTAGATATAAAGCATTTGCACAATCATTAAAGTCAATGCATTGATAAGAAGCTGATGCTTTTATATTCATTGGTGTCCAAATACATTTTCCAATTTAATTGTTGCTTATACCTATAAAACAAGCAACTTTAGGTGTGTTAGAACAATTTGTGATGGAAACACAATTAATCCCATTGGTAGTACATTAAGGATGTATAGAGTTGCACTTAACATGAGTTGGATATGTGAGATCTGTACATTTCGTATATCTATAACACTTCCCCTAACTCCATCGACAAGGTCCATCAGTTCCCTTGATACAGGCTTATTCAATCAGGGTGTTCGAACATGTTTTCATCATTGTACATTGAAATCCATCTGTTGTGCATTCTGCTTAAGCTGTATTGCATGTTAAATGATCATATCCCTGTATGTCTGTGCATGATCTCAATTAGCAACTTCCATTTTGCCACGAGCATTTCTATCCATCAGATTACGATATGCACGCTGATTCTACTTATGCATCTTTGCATTTGCCTTTTGTCACACACCCTCCTCCCTTTTTAGTTGTGCAATTGCCTTCAGGATAGTAATCATAACATCCTTTTTCTGATTGAATAGTCGTATCAGCAGTGTCGCAACTTTTATCATAACAAATTCCATTCACCCAAGCACACTCTAACTTACTAGCATTGAATTTACAGGCTTCTTCCACATAAGCATCTTGACATCTCCTGATTTCAATGCACCCGTTTCCATTCGTAGTACAGGTAGAAAGGAATGCCTGACAATCAGAATGAGTTTTATAATTAACAGGGGCTAAGTCACAACTGATATCTTGACATTAGTTAACAAGTACACACTTTCCACTCAGTCCCTATACACAGGCATCTGTGTATTTATATTGATCGCATGGTGTATAATTTATACATCCTTGCCCATTCGTAGTACAATTTCCATAATACTGACATTACTCATGAGTTGAAAAGTATTTGGGTGCATGATGACATTCTCTATTATAACAAGATCCATTCAACCAAATACACTTAGATTTATCTGTTTATGCAGTGCAAGATGCTTCAATATTGTAAGATGAACAAGATTCGTAAATATCTAGACATTATCCTATTCCTGAAATCATTACCCATTGACATCCAGTGTAGCTCAATGTTAACACACACTGTTTATTAGATGTGTAGGTAGAACACTTATCAGATAGAGATTAACAGCCAGCTCCACTTGCCTTTGCTGTACAAGTTGGTAAGTATTCAATACATAGATCATGATTGATATAAGTATTAGGAGCATTAGTGCATGCTCTATCTTCACATTTCATTTTAGAGGAATTCCATTGACATAATTTACTATCATCTATTTTAATGCATTGTCTATCGATTAAAATATCAGTGCATTTCGATGCTCTAATAATACAGCCAATTCCATCTGCTTACACAGTGCAAGTTGAAAGATAGGCTCTACATTATTCATCAGAGGTATAAATATCAGGAGCATTGGAACATGTTCTGTTTACACAACCTGCGTTCCATCCACATCTAGTACCATCAGATAACACTTAACATTAATTCTATGTTTATACTAAATCGCAAGATGTCTATTCAATAATACAACCTTAATTGGTCAATCCAAGAGTGCAAGTTTTGAGCCAACCTCTACAGCCTTCTTCTGTAATGATTGTCGTAGGGGCATCACTACAAACTCGATCTTAACATGCTGAAGCCGAGAGATTCCAACTGCACTTATTTTCACTAGCCTCCTTATCAGTCGCATAGATTGTTATCCTAGGACAATGATCTTAATCCAACGAGGCACAGGAAGTTGGTTATGTAATACATCCGTTTGCCTTAGCAACCGTACAATCTGATCTATAGGTTTTACAGAGAGCATCACTTGTATATAAGGTTTTGCTTGCATCAGTGCACAGAGCCACTCTGCAGTTGGAAGGATTGGCATAGCCATTCCAGAAGCAAGTAACTCCTTTGGAAGTGATGCATTACTATTTAACCATTAAAGTACAATCTGAAGGTTCATCAACACAACCAGCTTAATCAGATCTTACTGTGCAACTAGGTAGCCAGGTTTTACATTGGGCATCAGTCTGATATTTAGTTGGAGCATCAGCGCAAACTCTACCGCGACATTATAAAGCCTCATCAACGATAGTACTATTGAATGAACAATAAGTTCCATTGATCAATTTAACATTCACACATTGTTTTTGATTTAGACCATTGCAAGATGCAGGTTTTTCAATACATCCTAACTCAGGATCCCCAAGAGTACAGGAATCTTAGTAATTCTCACAGCTAGCAGAAGAGCCCTTAAAAGGACTATATTTGCAGGCTCTATCTTTACAAGTTGGGTTTTAATTTTCAATGGTTGTATCCCAACTGCAATAACGATTGAAGCTCAAAATAGTTCCTTCACATTACTACATTTCTTTGATGTTTGAACAAGTATTTAACATTTCAACACAACCCATCCCAACTTCACCAAGAGTGCATTAAATACTTAAAGCCTAGCATTTTGCATGAGTCATTTATGACGAGTTTTCATCAGTGCATCTGAAGTCTCTACAGAAATAGTTGTCAGTTGAAACATCGTAATAACATCTTGTCCCACTTATTAAAATGGTGTCTGCACATTATACTTAATTCTTAATTTAATCACAGGATGAAAACTGAGCAACACAACCAGTCTAATCTGCATTCAATGTACATGTACTTAAATAAGAGTTACATGATTTATGTGTATATAATTACCCTGAACCGGCAATTGGTGCATTCAAACAAGTTCTATTTTCACACCCATTCCAACCGCACATGACTATATTGTTTGGATCAGACACTAAACGTCTACAAGCATCTTTGGTTTTGTACCCTTTGCATGATGTTGGCTCATTCACACATCCACTTCCTGTTGGACTTAGTGTACATGTAGCTAAGTATTGTCGACAGCCCTCTTCAGTCTTTATGGATTAATCAGAATCTGAGCATTAACGATCTCTACACAAGGAATTATCATTATCCCAACTACAAGTTGATTTCATATCTATAAGAACTACTCCAAAACAATGCTATTTGTTTAGCATCAATGAACAACCCAAAGGTTTTTTCATGCATGTACTTGAAAGATCAGCAACTGTACAGGAGGGATCGAAAGCACTACAAGTTTCATTCGTTTATGTTCCTGGTATAATATCTGAGCAATCCAAGATTCTACATACTTTATTATTCTCATTATCATCATTCCAACTACATTTTGTCACATTATCACTTAACATTATACATTATTTTTCGCTCAATCTATCACATGATAGTGGTCTCTCAATACATCCTTTAAGTTATTAAGTGACTGTGCAATCATTTAAAAAGGCTCTACATTCCGCATCTGTTTTATATGTCAATGGAGCATTAGCACAACTTCTTTATTAACACTATTATCCATAATAACATTTTTTATTTTGATAATCAAAGGTACAATTATCACCTGTTAAAATATTCTTGCATTCTTGTAAAACACATCCTTTATAAGTAGATTTGACCATACAAGTAGACGAGAACCTCTTACATTCCTAATCATTTGTAAAGTCTTCAGATGCATTACTGCAAAGTCTCTCAATACACACATTATTCTAAAATATACACAACTTTCCATTCAATTAAGATACACACTGTTATTCTTTGGCGAAGAGAGAACAAGAGGTCTTTTTCTTTTCACATCCAGTTAAGTCAATTTGAACAGTGCAAGTAGATAAAAATTAAGAACACATTTCATCAGTAATATTAGTAGAGGGAGCATTCTCACAAGATTTTAATAAACACTTGCCCTCATTCCAAAAACATTCATCTCCTGTTAATGTCTAAACACATTGATTTGAAGCAGTGTATTTTGTACAATCACTTAATTTAGTCTAACAACCTATTCCTCCAGAATTAACAGTGCAAATACTCAACCATTGCTAACACATATCATGATTCTAATTATCATCAGATGCATTATCACAATTTTTATCTTCGCATTTTTTATTGTTCTTGTTCCAATAACACTTTTATCCACCACTGTTAATTATACAATTATTCTAAAGATTCAATGCTGAACATTACACTGGTAAATCTTGGCATCCATTTAATGTATCATTAACTGTACAAGTGGCTAAATATGCTGTACATAAATCATGGGTTGTATTGGTTTGAAGTGCGTTTATACAAGTTTTATCTTTGCATATATTTGTATCCCAAATACACTTAGTTTTTTGATCTAGACTTGTAAAACAAGCTCCCTCAAATTTTTGATTTTCACATTTTTCTCCACTTACCTCACATCCACCACCGTTCTTCATTGTGCAGCTACTGATCTATGCTCTACATAAACCATCAGAATTCAAAGTGTTTGGTAATAGATCACAACTTGTTGTCAATGAACATACCTTCTTATCAGTATTCCAATAACAAAATTTTCCAGTTTCATCCCTAACACAACTTATCTAATTTGTGTAATTACTACACTTATCCAATTCTATACACTATTCTCCATCTGTCGTACAACTCGTTGAGATGTTTTAGCATATTTCATTCGTATGGTATTGATATGTGCTGCATCCTGAGAAAGAAACGCATTTCTCAGAAACATTAGCACAACCTGGTGTACTCATACATACTTCAATCCCTATCAATTCGCAATAATTAGTAGTCTTTAAAGTTAAATTGGAACACACATTATTGTTCCAATAGCATTTACGTTCTTTGCATTCTTTCTCAGTTAAAACTTAAGTGCAAGAACAAGTTGCATTAGAAACACTCAGAGTGGTTGGCTCTGCAGAAGTATTTTAAACGAGAATAAGCAAATATATCAAAATCAGAGATTGACCTAGGTCTTTCATTCTTATTTTAAATTATGAAATATTCAATGATTGATTGCGATACATTATTATAATCTGTCATTTATATTTCTAATTATTGAAAAATCTAAATATTTAAAATCTATTATCAATTAATGAACTCCTAACCCAAATCCATTTATTATATAAGAAAATGTTCTGTGTTGTATGAGAAAACTAATTTAACCAAATTATAGGATTTACGAAAATATTCTGACATAATAATTGATATAAATAACTGTTGATAATTACTACCATTATTATTTTTAAAAAAACAATTTCAATAGCTATTTATAAATAATGAACTTGAGAATTAATTTTCTTTTTCTCTTATATTTTGAATAATTGAGAGAAATTGTAAAATATATTTATTGTGAATGATGACCTCAATTTCAAAAATAATTAGAATATAATGAATATGTCTTTTGAGTTCCAACAAAGTTAAGAAATAATTTAAATTATAAATTTATCAACTAATTTTTTTCAAATTCTCAATTAAATAAGAGAGAGAATTTATTCAGGAGTCATTAGGAATATCGAGACTTAATATTATCTATAGTTTTACATCTAGATTTAGATAATGTTGAAAAATATTCAATTTATTTTGTAAGGAAAATGTTAATAAAATTCAAAATAATTAAATCCTATGAAATCAATTGCTAAAGTCTTTTTAGTTCAACTTGAATTAGATTATAATTTCCAAAAGGAATAAAATTATTTTAATAACAAATCAAATTGTTTGGTGGATGGGGGGAGTAAATTATTAATTGATAAAAGAATATTAAAAAAAATATCTTGAGTTTTTTTTAGAAAACCATATAGTGTTTTTTTTTTGAAATTAGAAGATCTGAAAGATTTATAGAATGTCGAAAAAGTCTAAATTTACGAAATTGTTAAGGTATCAAATATATTATTAAGCGATGAAGATTATGAATGGCTATATTCTATTTATAAACTAATATATTCTAAAGTAGTCTAGTAAAAATTAATTATTGCAAGTACCTAATATTAATTTCATAGGATTTCAAATCGTCTCACGTTAGTAAATTAAAACACTCTTTAGCTGTATCGTTGAATTTTGACGAAGGGAAACTTATCTCTATCATAAGAAAGTAGAGTCATATTCTTTGAAAATCTTATCAATATGAAATTTCTTTAATCTTAGATCTTTTGCGAATTATCTCATATCAAATAATATTAAGATTATTAGGACAATAATAGTTGATTGAAGTCAAGATAAGCATCTGAGTTATCATGGTAGAATATATAGAAAATAAGTCAAAGAAAGTAGATATATTGTTATGCGATTGAAAAATAGAATTATATAAAAAATTATAGTAAATTATTAATTGTCTATTAATTATAATAATTATTTGTTAAATTTTAATAATAAAATTATACCAAATAATTGTGTAAAGTCATTTTTTTTAAAACTTCACACTGAATAGTGACAATACGAATTTGAATAAAAGTAGACCTATTACAATGGGACAATCTATTAATTAATAATAAATTGTTGGAAGATTTAAATTTAATCCTCGCTTTATTATAATGAATACAAGGAATCATATAATGAATTTCAATTTTATATAATGATGTAAACTAAATAAATTATTATTATCATCAATATAGTTATCTGATTGAAATCTCAAATAACAAATAAATTAATTGAAACTTTCATTGATTAAAGTGATAAAATGCAAGATCCTCTACCCAACCTCCTATTTTTTTGAAAAAATAGATTTCCAAACAATATAGCTTTTAACATTCTTATGGAAGTCAAAGCAAAATGTTATTGATATTGCCTAACTAGAAAAGTACCCCACATGTTGATAAAAGCCTTTTTTTTAAACAAAGCCCATAAATTTCCAAACTAGAGAGTAGAGAAAATTACTATTAAAACAATAAAGATCAATTTTTCAATCAGCTGCATGTAAGGAAGAATAATCTTGATGTCATTTCTGCATTTGAAATTAAGATTTGGGAAAGTCTTATAGATTAAATAACTATTACTAAAAATTCACAAATTCATTTCATATTTAATCTTGATACTTTTTAAGGAGTTTTAAGAGAAAATCTTTACACTAAAGTAGTCTATTTGGGTAATGAAGTTAATGCACTCTTTGAAGTATTTGTTGAGAATGTGCGTAAACCATTGGATATGTTTAAGGTTTTTATTCCCATCAGGTTGAATGAGAGTTAGAACTTTTAACTTTATCTAAGAATTACTTTATTTGAAGAACCAAAGGTAGTTAATTTTAATTTAATGCTGCGCAAGGTTCTGCATAGTTATTATTATGATGAGAGAAGGAATCTATAAAATCATAAGATTAGGGATTTCTAACTAGATTCATATGAATTCATATAATCGGATATTTAAAAGTGTTCAGTTTATATGTTGAATAAGTTGAAAAAGTAATTGAAATAGAATCCAAGCACATTTGCCGTTTAAGATGTTTTGGGGGATGAAAAATGTCCTTAAGTAATTAAAGTTAACGCTAATTATAAGTAATATGCTGAATTTAAAGTATGTCTTAATTAATATAATAGTAATATTAATATGTATTATTGAAGAGATAGATTTTTACAATGAGACCAACCCAAACCTATGTTTCAATTTTTTACTAAGAAATAGGAAAAAGTTTCATTTATATTTTTCAAGTATGAAAAATTGTAAGAATGTCACAATAAAATACTCTCTAATAGAAATTTAGTTATGTGTTCCTAGCGCAATCAGTTTTTTTAAATTTGGGATTGCGTCAGGAATTAGGGAATAGAATATATAAGAGTTTCAAAAATAGACTATTAATTTCTACTTATTAATAATTGCTATGAATTTTATTATTTTTTTTAATATACTATGTAATAATAAGACGATATTGAAATATAAAAAGAAGTGACCAAACCAAAAAATAAGGTTAAGAAAAGCAAAGAACGATTAATTATAAATGTTTCCAGTACAAATGACCAAGATAACTTTTTTAGGTTCTTAATACCCTGTGATTCGGTATGTTGGTAAAAAGATGTTAGATTGGAAAATTTAGAAAGACGAGAATGCTACAAATTGGGATGTTTGGTGGACTGATGGAGCCGTATTCTCAGATCTTTTGGGGAGAATGAACGGTAATCAATTAATCAAACCATTTAGCCCATCAAAAAGTTAACCATTTCCCTGGAATGTATAGTTTAGCTCGTAAAAATCATCTGGGAAGGAACTTAATGAAGATGCATAAATAGTTTCCTTAAGCATATAATTACTTCCCTTACACTTGGTTATTGCCAGCAGAATTAAGTGATTTCAGAGCAAATATTGGCAAGAATAAAACTTTTATCATCAAGCCTGAGGCTTCATGCCAAGGCAAGGGGATTATGCTGGTTAAGGATTCAGAAGGCCTTTCAATTCATGAACATTATGTTGCTTAAAGATTACTTGAGCAATCCTTTATTTGATTGATGGTTTAAAATTCGATCTTAGAATCTAATGTATTATTGGCTGGGTTGCGATCCTTTAAGAATTTATATCTTTAAAGAAGGTCTTGCTAGATTTGCAACAGAATAATACAAGAAAACCTGGTAAAGACAATTTGGATAATATCTGTATGCATCTCACAAATTATGCTGTGAATAAGGATAACGAAAATTTTGTATTTAATTAGAGTGATTAATAAATGGATGTCGGTCATAAGAGAAGTATGACAAGTGTTTTTGAATTGCTCAGAAGTAAAGGTGAGAATGTTGATTTGTTATGGAATACAATCAAAAAGATGATGATTAAGACATTCTGTGCCGTATAGCCAATTCTAGCTCATTAATATAAATCTTGTCAACCTAATAATCATATGAACAATATGTGTTTCGAAGTTTTAGGCATGGATGTCATCTTGGATCATAAGTTAAAACCATATTTATTAGAAGTTAACCATTCCCCTAGTTTTACAACAGACACTCCTTTGGATGCAACCATAAAAAGGTCTTTGATTTCATAGTCTTTGATTTTAATGAATTGTACTTGGAAAGCTAAACAGGAAATTATAAATTAAGAAAGACAAATACTGTAATAAAGAATGTTGACAAATAAACCAGTCAGATTAACATTTGAGGAGAGGCAAAAACTAATAAAGTAATGTTAAGAGATGAGAGATTAGTATGAGAATTAGAATATAGGAAATTTTGAAAAAGTTTATCCATTAGAATAATATGAGGAAGAGTATGATAAATTTATAGAGTATGCAGGGTAATTATACTAAGAATCAACAGGAGCAAGTAAAGCTTTAAAACAATAATAATAATAATAATAATAATAATAATAATAACAATAATAATAATAATAATAACAATAATCAACTAAAAGAATTGAAAAACCTGATCTCAAATCAGAATTCAATTTAAGAACTTTAGAATATAAATCAGAATCTAAAATTTTAGAACAAAAAACAGAATTTGTTAGATTGAAAAGTGAAAAATCCTCTGGTATGAAAAGAATTTTAAAAAAGGAGTATTCAACAGCTCTTTTAGCTGATGAAGTTATCAGAAACATTAAATTTACTGGTTTGAAACCTCAATAGAAAGCTTTATTAAAGTAGGAATCTGTGAGGAAGAACTTTAAACTTCCTGTTAGCTAAGGTACTTTTGTCACACCAAAATTATTTATGATTAATGAAAACAATAAAAATGGCAATAATCCCTTTTGATGGGTTTCATTTAATTAATTATTATATTTGCTAAATTTATAAAATTAAAATGAGATATAATTCAAAAATAAAATAAAATATCAAATTTTTAATTCAGTGATTACTTCAGTAATGAGATGATTGAATATTAATTCACTCAACTCCAATGCTACTTCAGTGTGTTCTTCATCAAATTCCTACCATCTATCATCTGTTTCGAATATCTACATATAATGAATAGCTTATTTACTTCCTACTTTAACATCTTATCTAATCTTTCTTCTCTAACTTGTGGCAAGATGTCGTTATCCACTTAACTACCTTATGGTAATAGTATACCACTTAGAGTCTCAGCCCATTGCATAACCCTTATTGCCGATTTCTCAAGCGTATCTTCAACAGAGCTTACTTGCCTATATATCACATTCTTCCTCCAAGGCAATGGTCTTCCTTTAATACCAAAAGGCCGGTGATAATCCAATGCCTCATTGAAAGCATCAAAAATAGCTTTGTTGTGTATTCTCTCCATCTCATTGACACAAACTTCTTCTGTTCCCACCTTCTCCTTAATTGAAAATATATCCAAATTCAACACTGCCTAATGTATGAATCCTCCATCTAAGGATTGTTCCAGCATTTCTTCAGTTAATCTGAAGAATCTTAAGATTTCAAAGGGAGATGGGCCAATACTTAAATTGATAATTTATAAGAATTGATTCTGATATTGATTTTTAACTATTAATTTGATGTCCTCTAAATATTGTTTAACATAGCCAACATGAGTCTATACATACTGCAGATTCTCAACTTGTCCCTACTCTTCCGTTTCTATTGGAACATCCCTTACTAAGGTAATATATTACTTCTAGACCTTGGATGTATGATGACAAAGTCTTATTTGATTAATTTGAATTGTATGATGCTAATTACTATTCTTAATTATCCAACTACTCCGAATGTTAAAGTGGCTTCTTCTTTTAATCTATGAGATTTTCCTCAGAATAGCTAGCCCTTAATAACTATAAATCATTCATAACAATTACATTAATTTTTAAATCGTTAAGTTAATTCTTCAGCAGATTACTTTGACTAACACTAACTGGCATCATCTTGCTAAAATGATCATCTCCTAATTTCTACACAAACCTTAAGTCCTTTTGAGTCTTTTGAATTGTTTCGTAGGCTTTAAACCATCCATCCTTGATTGCTTATTTGCTGATTTCCAATGCTTCCAATTCTTTTTCCCCCCACTTCTAAATTTCTTGCTCCTTCAAACCAAAGGAGCGAGGAGAGATCCTCTCTAAAACAAGGAGATCCTTCAAGATCTACTTTTCTTTCTTTTCTCTTTCCTTAATCAATTCGCCTCTAAGATATAGGATTTGTCCGATTTGTGGAGGAAAAACTTCGGATTTTTCTATGATCAACTTCTAAGGTTTCAATTTGATTTGAGGTTATTCAATAGTATTTGATAGTACATTTTCTTTGTTGAAATCGGCATATCTAATTAAACTCTCAATCAAATCTGCCAACACAACCATATCTTACTTGACTTATAGATTTTATAGGAATGCTTTTAGATTATCCCATCTTACCATTTCAGAGTCTTTCATTTATTAGAATTACTATATTTTGAGTAGCTTCTTCTATTTCTTCTTCAACCAAAGTTTACGAGCTTTGAATCCTTTAAACCATCTCTAGATGCATTTGGCTGCTTATTCTTTCATTTCGTGTTCGTAGTTTCTAGATTCTCTCAATGATATAACATCACTATTACTCTTTAAAGTTTTATATCGAGCCTCCAATTACTTAAATTGTTCCTTCAAAGATTTAGGGACTCCCGATTTCCGTGAAGTACTTTTGCGATTAGCCACATAACTTAACATAAGTGGTTTTGCACTAACTTTATTTGTACTGTCTCTCGGGGGTGATCTACTATTTGAAAGAGAATTTCTTTTTGCAATTTCAGCCAAAGAACGCAGATTCTCATCAATGTGCTTTTTCTTTTCTAACATGGATTGTTGCTTAATTGAATCTAATTGTGAGTAGAACTTCTTTTTCTCCTTCATGTAATGCTTTAATTCATGAGGAAAGCGATGTTTCTCAGGAGTGAGCGGAGGATGATGTGATTGTTCTATTGATGACATCCTATTACCTAACGCTATAGAATCATTAAAATACGCTCTAAAATTTAATCAATTCTCTTAGTGCCTATTTTATTTAAAAAACTGAGTCCTAGACGTTCACGATGATCTAAGAGAGTGTTAGGCTTTTCATTAAAAAAAGTAGCTGCCTTCTTACGACGCACATACTCTGGAGACGAGAACTCCAAGGTTTGGCTCTTAACTCTTTCAGCACTAACACTCTTTTTAATTTTCGTAGATTTCTTTTTTTTCTTGTACAACTGCTGACTCTTCTTGATGGCAGCATGGCGATCTAGTGACTTTTTTTTTTTTTATCTTTTCCGTACTCTTTGCAACTTTAAGTTCACTTTGGCACTGCTGCATATGCGATTTCAGGTTCTCATACTACATTATTTAAATTTTAGCAACCACACTAGTATCCATATCTCTCCCAGAAGGACCTATGATCTCCACCTCTGACGCTGTCTTCTTTTTAAGAACTTTCCCAGTCAACTTAATCTGGTTTGAAATGCGTCGACCTTTGATTGGCGAGTTGTTTTACATTAAATTTAATTAACAGTCAAGTTTTCAATATATTTTATTAATGACTCAATTCTAAAAAATTATTCATTCAAATTGGTTCTCATATCAGAAGAGACTTAAAAGTCATACTTAATACTTTCTACATATTGAGTTATGAGAATTTATTGTTGGTTATTCTATAGATTTGACTATGTTGAAAATATATACAATTTTATCATCTCCCTGTTTTCATTCATCTCTGTTAAAGGGAGAGTTCTCAAATACTCCAATTTACGTTATCATATGTAAACTTCTCAGTAACTGAGTGTGTATCTTAATTGTAGGGTTTTATTGGTATTACTTTCAATTTAAAAAGATTAATCCATAAATTATTACATTTGTTGAATGAATTCATTTAATTATAAAATAACTATGTTATGGATTTTAGCATTAATGCAGATGGCTTATGGAATACCTTGTGGATACACATTAGATCAAAATAACTTACCCATAGAAACAGATAAGGAGCCATGGATTAATGAAAATATGAGTGCATGTCAATTCTATGATAAATCTCCTGTTTGTTGCACTCAATCATAAGATGAAGGAATTGGAAACGATTTTGTCTCTTTGGATGCCACTTTCGGAAGTGATGGCGATGGGTGTGATATGTACAAATCAAAACAAGTACAATAGATGTGCAGCCAACATGAAAAGATTTTGGTGTGCATATTCATGTGATCCAAGATAGGGGGAATTTCTTAAAATTACTGGAAGAGCTAATGTCACTGACCCAAGGAATCCCAATCGAACCATTGATGTACAGACTGTAACTTTGCGTATTCATCCCTCAGTGGCATGTGTACATATATTTCATTAAAATAAGGATGTATTTTCTTCTTGTCAACGCACAAACTTTGCTTCTTAGGTCAGTGCCATGTAAACACCTGGTGGATTCTTTACTTTCTAGGCTGAATAAGGAGTGTATGAGCATTTCTATAAATCCTTAGATCGACATCTCTTTAATTGATCGCTATTGAATTTTCGGAATAAGATTCTTTGCTCATGCCTAATATCGACAATTGTAATCAAACATTTGAAATCGCTGATGATGGTAAATTCTATGATCCATACCAATTTGAAATCAAAAAACCTTGTGGTTGTAATACTTGTGAAGACTCTTGCGATTCCCAGAAAGTTTTATATCAAGAACCAGGTTCTATTCAATATTTATGAGTAGGAGTCTTTTATGGATTTGATTGGCAATATGTATTGTTTGCTTGGGGTTGGGCAATTTTATTTGCGATTGGCTTCACTCTTTATAGATAATGCAAGAGAAAGAATGCTGTTATTTTATAAGAGGAGGGAGACTCTATTTATATTTGATTATAATTCATATCAATATTTGTAAAAAATAATTGGGCTGTTTGGGTTGATATTAGACAATATAAACTTATTGTGGAACAAATGAGCATCACTCATTTAAATATAATATTTCTAATTGAAGATAGGATATTTATAAAAGAATATAGAATATTTAAATTTTGATATAATATTATAATGGTTATTCTAATATTCTTATCAAACTAATGAGTATTTATTAAATTCTGAATACTAGTTCAATATTACACATTAGGAAACCATACGTTGCTAGATAGAAAGGAAACATTCAAATAATTTATAAAATAATGATATGGTAAAAATTCGGAATTAAACAGACATACTCTTAAATTAGTAAGTTCCTCATTTGAATATCTGAAATCCTAAGATGAAACTCTTATCAAAAATAAATCATATTTATTTTTATTTTATATAATATAATTATACAATAAATATGAAAAGAGCATCATAAATCCAAATATAGAAGGAAGCTATTGTATTCTCTTCTGATGATTCAATGAACAGTGACAATTCCTTCAATTCTAGTATTGAGGAGGAAGAAGCAGAGGCAGACACAAACACTATTTTTCATCTCAAAGAGCAAATGGCACAATTTTTTACAGAAAATCCAGGATTGCAAGAAGCCATCAAATTTGAATAAGAGGAGAAAGATGAGGGTAATGCTGAAAAAAATGAATAAACTAAACACAAGTAAACTAAATGGTAATATCAATAGACCAGCTTTAATTTCTAAATCAGAGTAACAGTAATTTGTACATGGTTGGAAGTTGCTTGGAAAAGATGTTATAAGAAACAGCTAAGGAGGACAGACTCTACCGACTTTGGAAACTATAAATCATAGACTGAATATATTCAAATAGAAGGTTGACAAGGTAGATTATTTGGAAATTTTGTAACGAGAAACTCAATAGCAATAATAGAAGCAAGAAGAGCAAGTCTAAGTTAAACAAGACAACACCAAATAATAGCCAAGATCACAATCAGAGAACCCTAACAAAAATGACAATGAGGAATAGAAATTAGAGGAAGAATAAGATATAACTTATTTCAGTTTCAAAAAAAAAATGCAATTGGCTTTACACAAAAGATAATAACTATAAAGAGAGGAAGAAGAGAGGAAACAAAAATAGTAAAAAGAGAAATAGAAGAAGGTCAATGAAGCTGATTAACTTGCCAACGATGCACCTAACCAATAAACATAAAATACTTTAGTTGGATCTAAAATGGAATTTTAAACTCATGTTGGGTAAATGCTGTATTAGACTTACCTTTAAACTGGAGGAGACAAGGAGAGCTTTAAAAAGATGGCTGCTATTTTCCTTAAAAATTATCATAAGAAGCAGAAAGAAAATTTAGATAAATTAAAAGTATGCTAATTGATCAATCCAATAAGGTATTTCCACCGGCAATTCCAAAATTTACATCAGAAGATTGCAAGCATCTGAATTTGTTATTACCAGACTTCTCTACTCAATTATATGCTCCAAACAAATAAAATTTATTTTAAGGAGTTGAGAATTATAAATTTCCAGCCAATAGTCCAGAATAAGAATTCATAAACTTGGTTGATTAGATTATGTCAGGGAAAGTAATGTAATTTTGGAAAGAAATGCATTAATAATGAAATGAATTATAAAAATCAATTTTTTCATATTTTTAAACATAATATATATTTTTCAGAATAGGATCTTAGTTAGGGTTTTAAGTGTTGGGAAATGCAGTTTTTAATAGACAAATAATAAGGGAACATCAAAAATGAAGAGCTCTCTCAAAATAAATAAAAATTATGCGAAATACGTTAGTTTAATTTAAATATTAATAATCGCGATCATATTCTTTTAAAACTCATGTTTCATTCATTTTGACTCTTGAAAATGAGAAGAGAGGAGGAATTCGAAAATATTGTGTAAAGGGGATTTAGGGGTTAAGAAATTGATGAATTCTGAATAAAGAGAGAGTTATTGCCAGCAATGGTTGACTAATTTTACTCTATTCTTGGATGGAGATATAGGAGTTGATCCTGATTTGCGAAATGATTTATTTCTCATGGCTCTCTTTTTTTATTACTTTGTGATAGAGTGCTTCTTTATTCAATATTTATGTTATTAATAATTCTACTGTCTGTAGCTGCTTTTGCATACGTGCATAAAGAGGAATAACATGTGATGGATGTTTATAACAAAATGAATTCTATAAAGGAATTCCTATCCCAATTGGAGTATTATACGGCTCTGGAGAAATTGGAGGTCAGGTCGAAAGAAAATTTTGAGTTTGAGGAGGAAAGTTTTACAATCTACAGTGAGCATTACTAAGAAGTAAGGAGATTTGAAATTTTTAGCTCCTCTAAGCATTGAAAGCAGAATAGGTGTGTCATAAGAAATAGAAGGAAGACATGTAGATGTTCTTAAGGGAAACCTTTCCAGAAGCAATTGATAAGATAAAACGTATAATTGCAGATAAAGTATATTAGTTAATAAAATAAGGAAAAACTCATAGAAGGGGACATTAAAGAATTAGCAAAGATAAAACATTCTTAGCCTGAAGATATCAGCAAACGTTTTGAGGAATTTAATTATTTGCATCAAAAAATATAAGAAGGTAGTATCAATCAGATGATGATGTTTTAGTGTTAGAATCGAATGATCAATAAGACATTTATAAAGCCTTGGAATTATTGGAATCAAAAATAATGATAGGGTCATTCAAGCAGATGCAAAATTAGGAGGTGGATTTTTTTATGAAGAGCGTTGATAGATTATTCCGAGAAAAATCAAATCCTCATAAAAAGGAAGAGTCAATCTAATTGCTGAGTCTAATGAGGAGTGTTATATCTGAGTATCTGATAACGATGATGAATGATCAATTGGAGTAGTCCTTTGATTTATTGGATAAGGAACTTTTTTTCACTCAATCCAAGCACACTCATATCAATGCTAAAGATCAATACGTAAATCTGCTGCAGAGTATGGAATGTAAGTTTATGATTAATCAAAACTGTAGAGAATCATTACAATATTTGGAAGAGTATCTTAGAAATGAAATTTGACAGCACAATGCTCGAAGTAGCTGAAAAACAATAGGATACTGCAACTAAAATAGGGACTCGTGCTATGTAATATCATACACAGATGTAAGAAATGTTTAAGGCAATGCTAGAACGTTTTTTATAAAGATGAAATTAGTCTATATATATCATTAAATGATTTTCATCATCATTGCACAGAATTCCTCATAACTTATTTGTCCATCACCATTTTTATCAATCTCTTTGATCATGTTCATCCAATACTTCTCATCAATTCCTGTTATTGATGGTCCTAAGACATCCTTAATTTCCTATTCCGAGATAAATCCATTGCCATCTTTGTCAAATATTTGAAATGCCTATGAAATCTTAGATTTTAACTTACTTCCTTCAATTTCTCCTTCTGGACTGCTTTCTTTCTATCCATGGTGGCAATGATGAATTCAGTATAGTCGATAGTACCTGACCCATCCATGTCGACTAAGTCCATAATCTTTTGAACTTCCTGACAAGCAGTTTCATCATCCATATACTTCTTGTATGTTTCGAGGATCTCTTCTTTAGTAAGGATCCCGTCCCCATTCTAATCCATCTCTTTAAAAGCTTACATCTTATCGATAATTAAATAACTACTAACTAGTTCTTCTCTTCTTTCGAAATCATCGTTGTACCTATGAACATCAAAGTGGCTTATTGTAGTTTTTATTCAGCTCTGAAATTGACCAGATTCTTCAGTCTGCATTACACTATCTATTTGTCAACTTTCTCTTAATGTTGCAATTGAAGAAATGGATGTTCCAACACTTATTTAGCACTTAATCTCTTCTATACATCATATTAAAGCATTTATGAAACAAGATCTTTTGCATGAGCACTGACCGAATTCCAAACATCACTCTTAAAAATGACCAAATTCATCTTACATCTAATGTGTATTTCCCATACGTAATGCTCTTTTGAATCTCCAAATCTGTTTTTCCACCAAATGGAGGCATACCAGATAATAAAATATATAAAATAACACCGCAAGACCAAATATCGCATTTTTCATTATAATTACGCTTCAATACTTCTGGTGCCATGTAATACAAAGTTCCAAATTTCTCATTAATTTATTGATTGGGCGAAAATATTTTTGCTGTTCCCCAATCTACAACTTTCACATTGTAATTGCCTTAACTAGTTATGTCAAGTAAAACATTTTCTGGTTTTAAATCTCTATGCACGATGTTTTGATTGTGAGCATATAAAACTGCAGACATTATCTACTTCATCACATAAGATGCCTCTTTTTCTGAAAAACTACCTTTTTCAATTATTTTATCAAACAATTCACCACTAAATTCAATTTCAAATTAGTACCCTGTGCATAATTCGATAATAATGTAGAAGTTTTTTTCATCCTAGTAGAACTCATATAATTTAAGGATGTGAGGATGATCCAATTGCTTGTACACATTTATTTCATTTATAAAATTTTATTGCAATTCTGTAGTCGAGAGTCTTGATTTACTTATGACCTAGATTAAATGATAAAGTAATTAAACCTTCATTGCTCTAATTGCTCTAGTTTTTCTATGAGTCACTTTTCGAACTTATGAAAATGCACCAACTCCCAATACTCCCTAACATTATCTCTAATCATACACCAAGTTTATAGTCATCTGTATACGAATTTTGTTTTTCAACGATGAATTGACTAAAATTTAATTTAAGATGAGTTTGATTCATAAGTCTTATTTTTATGTATAATTATCAAATTGAATAATAATCAAAATCCCATTTATAAACATTTCATAATTACATCAATTTTTTAAAGATTACCTCTCCAATAAAATTAAAATAATTTTGTTAAGAAATTTTTACTCTCAAAAGTCATAAAGAATAAACTAAACAATTTAGTCGTAATACTTAATTTTATTTATAACTAAGTTATAATCAATAAATAATTTTGACTTTTCAATGTAAATTCAATATGCACATCTTCATCCCACAAGAAATCTAATTGTAAATTTACTACTTTTATATGTAAAATTGGAAGGTTGGATAGAATATATAAAGATAAAAAAGTAGTGTATAATAGAGATTTTTTAATTTCATCTGATTCATAATGAACAAGCACTTGATGTAATATGAAATTGGATTTAAAACAAGGATAAAAGAACTGGAAATAAAGCTAAAACTACTTTTTAGAGTATATTATAAAAATAATAAAGAGAGATTATGTAAATATATGAAATGATTACTAAATTTATGGTTACTTCAATAAGGAAATTAGAAAAGTTACCCTTTATGAATAAGATTTATAGATTTAAATAATTATTGATAACATTTGATTTAACTACTAATCTTAAGGTGAAGTAGAATGAAATTTTAAATAATAAGTAGTAAATCATTTTTATTTTCTTGTTGAACTCTATCCTCGTTAACTTATAGATGATTTTAAATGAGTTGATGAACTAGAACCTCTTTTCACCTGAGGGGGTCTCCAAGATAATTCATTATGTTAAGGACTCTGCGGTTTCTTCTTGCTTGTTAAAGTTTATAACATCTTTTATATCTACAATTATTTAGGATGAATTGGCTACATAATTGCGATCTATAATTGGCCGATCCGATAGCACAGTACTCAAAGTGGGATGATTGTCCTAACTCTTTCTCGGTTTCTCTTTCATCATTTATTAGAATGATTTGCGTAATAAAGACAGCGGCATAATACTCTATGGTGTGAGTGATTGTTTTTGGGTCTGAGTCTTAGAAAATTGCTTCTCTATTTCATTCAAGTTAAGTTATAGATTCTTCTTTTTTGTCGTTGATTGACTTATTTGTAAAAGCTTTTTATCAATGAGATGATCACTTTGAACTCTCATCTTCTATTTCAATTGAAATATATCTTTGTATGACTCGTTGACATAATTGAAGAAATCAAAGAGATCTTCAGAACTGCTTAATTCGCCTTACTCATTCTTCTGATTGAGATCAGTTACGTCAATCTTCAAGAACTCTTGATGTATATGTGTTTCATAGATATCAATGAATATAGGCATCTGATTGGATTTCTTCTATTTAACGGCTTGCCAATCGACATCACTAAACCAAGAATTCTTCTTCAAAGTAGCGAAGTCATGTATTCTGTCTGCGATATTCTTATTCAAAAGACTTTGCAACAGTTACATGACATCGCCAGTCAATTCTTCAGGAAAGGAGATATCCTCATTTTGAATTTTATGAAAAATTTCCTCAGTATTTTGAGAATAATGAGGTGGTAAGCCTAGCAACAATTCATATAATAAGCACCCTAAGGTATAGAAGTCTGCAGGATAAGAGTAACCTTATCGATTGACTATCTCTGGAGGCATATACTCAGGAGAACCACAGAAACTGTTGGTTAATTGTTCTTCACTCAAGTCCAATTTGGATAGGCCAAAATCAGTGAGTTAAATGTGACCCCTGAGATCAATGAGTATATTCTCTGGCTAGATATATAAGTTATTGGGATGTTACCTTTAAATCCCTGTATAGGACTCGATGTTGATGGAGTTCTTCAAGGGCACAAATGACTTCGCAAATGTAAGCTTTGGCTTCTTCATCTGTAAAACGGTAATTTTGAAGATGATAAAACATCTCGCCCCCAGCAGAGTATTCCATTAGAAAACACAGATGATCTTTGGTTGCAAATGTGGCATACAATGGAATGATGAATTTAGAGTGATTCAGAACCTGAGACAGAATTTTCTTCTCTCTAAGGATTTGTTCCAGTCTTCTGCAATCAGTAATGTATTATTTTTTGATCATCTTCAGAGCAAACAATCGTCCAGACACTTGATGACGCACCAAATAGACTTCTGAAGTGCCTCCCTTGCCAATGCATCTCTCGAATGTGAAATCCAGAAGACTGAGAATTGATTTGTGAGCATTTTATCTATAGACTCCAATCAAAGCTTCCTGTTTTAACTTGTGTATGGGCAGTTAAGCTGATTTAATATGAATTAAACGCTTACCTCTCTCTTCTGGTACAGACAACATGTAATCCATGGTGATTGAATTAGAGACCGTTTTCAGAGCAACTAACTATTATGAATTTGGTGTTGCTGGATGTTCACGAAGCTATTATGAATAACTCTCAAATACTCATACCTTGTTTAGGAGATCAGCCACACTCTTGTCCATTGCTATATCAATCGCCACTTGTTTATCAAAGCACCTTATCAATACAGTTCTAATTTTCTATGAGTGATTTCGCTTGTGTTCTAACATTATTTATGTTATAAAGAATTAAAATTGTTAGATCACTCAATCAGAAATTGAGATATCGATACGAATAGCTCTCCGCAGAGCTCTACTTCTTGAATTAAAGAGATTGCTATGGTGGCCAAAACACCCAAATCAGTCAAACTCAAACCATTGAAAGCAGCCAATCAAGGATATCTGGCAAACAATCACGAAAGTTCAGACACTTGCTATGTCACTGGAGTGCCCTATGGTTAAACCAAAGACAAATTCCAGAATTACGATCTCTTCAACAGTCTTAACACTCAGTATATCCAATTCCTCTACTTAGAATGCATCCAGATCTAATTGTATTGCAATTAGACCCTTCCCCTTATCTTGCAAGACAAAGATTCCTCGCTCACAAATGTGCACTCCAAAATGTGGAAGGCTACGAAATGTATGACACTCCCTTGATTGATCCCCTCAAACCACATGCTTGGGAAGAAGCAGTAGTCAATCTAGTCGTCTTGGATATGCTCAATGCAAATAAAAACATGGAAGAAATCGATTGGTCCAAAGGTCTCAGCACTTATTCCTATGCCAACATCCAATCCAAAGAAATACAAGAAGCCAATAAAAATCTATTCATATAAACTATCGACGAACACATTATCAACCATAGATATTCAGAATATTATCTCATTAATCGTGTCCTCTACACAGCCCTTATGGGTAAACACAAAGTTCTGTTGGCTGACATGCCTGATCATTTGCATAAATTAAATTTGGGTGGCACTCTTGAAATCCAAGAGGCTAGAGATCTATTCAAATACACTCTACAAAAAACTAAATAAATGAATGACATCCCCATCACTCTAAGAAAAGCAGCATATGATTTCTTGCCACATGTCTTTTAAACACCTAAGGATCTGTATATGACTGCTATGTTGAAGAGTGCTTTCGAAGGTTGCGAAACTATCAATGCCTATGTGGGAGTCCCTCACCTAGTACCCATCAATAACTATTGGGTCGAGGCTCCTCATGGCATCAATTATACAGAAGCCACGCGAATCCCACCAAGAAGAACTGGAGAAACTGATGAAAATTAAATTGAAAAAATGGCACTCTTGGATGTATTGCTTGAAACCCACACTTGGGCAGAACCATACTTAAGCAATCCATTTCCATATGTTGTCGAGGATCTTACACAAGTATAACTCATTCAAATTATTCAAAGGCTACAGCTGGAGATTTGAAGGCCATGAAAGAATGCTTCCTACAATATTACTAAAAATATAGCGCATATAAAAATGAATTACAAAAGGAATTGCCCAACTTGAGGAATCACGATATTAAATTTATTGAATAAACCAGACAAGCCATTCCTGATATGAAATACGAAAAATCCATTGAGATCAAAGCCTTAACAAACAAACAATTATAATAAAGAAATGTAGAAATAGTATAATGATTATTTTAATTAAATATTATTCATTCAACTCGTTTTTTGACCCATAATTATTGTTATTATACTAATTATACCTTTATATTACTTTTAGTATTAACTTTTATTTGTATTTAATATTATTAAATAACTTCTTTAAGTATAATACTCTAAATTCACTTATTATTTACGTTTACATATTTGTAGTGATTTGCCTTATGATAATGAAAACATTCACTCTTAATAGATCTTTTATCAAAATTTCTATACTGTTAATGTATTATCATTTAAATTATAAATGTTCTTAAATTCTATAGAAGAAGCATAGACTATTATAATAAGGATATCGATTTCTAAAATTAATACAATTTGTTGAATTGAGTAGTTATTTTAATTAGTTTTGATTGCGTGGTAGTATGATGTAATTATGTTAAAGGAATGAATAAGTTTTTTCAAGAACATTATTATTTAATATATATAAAAACGTATTAAATGCAATATTTTTTGGCTTTGTGTTTTGTTTTAGTAGCTTTGGGCTAACAGATAAAAGGAAATGGAAAACATCATAAACACAAGAACAAAGAGATAGGGTTTGTGTAGGTTTCAGCAGATCTGAATGATTAACGTATCATCTTGGAAGGGATTATACAATAGGTGAATCAATTAGCTCTCTTAGTATAAAGATAAAATGTATTTGATGATAGTTTGAGACAAAGACCTTTTGATTTGATGGGTTAATTGGATCGACTTGATAAATTGGAATTGTACCCAGAAGAATCTAAGATTATTGAAAGCTTAAAATAGCAATTAAACATAATCTCTAATGCCATGGATGTGGATGATTACATTCAGGAATGCGATGGGGAAGATGTTTGTTAAATCTGTCAAGCTTCCATGTACTATTAATTAGACGATGATAATTGGTATATGATTGGATTCGAGCATGGATTTAAGTAATTATGCATTGAAATGAAGAAAGGAATTCCAATTCCTATTAGATTCTGCGAAATAAGCACTAGGATCTGATGGGGATCTCTTGTTGGCCTTCTCAACTGAAAATCACATCTGTCTGCAATTTGCCAATCTCAAACATCCCATAGACATCAATGGTGTGCTTAAGCTCTATTTGGGAACTACCTTAAACGATTACCAAAACAAATTGATTCACTTGCCAACACATGGAGTGCCTTTGGAGTTCCTTGTCAGAGCAGAGTATACAAATAGGAATTTCATTTACAAAGACCTCAAATTTATTGTAAATGACAATTCCTAGAGAGACATCCTGGGGGGTCGATTGAACAAATTGCAATTTTCCATTTTCGATTAAAATGTTTATATTTTAGAATATCATACAAGGTATTCATCGAATACGACGGTCAATTTTATATCCAATCCCAAATCTATCCATTTTAGGTCAAGACTATTCAAGGGGACACCAAATCAGAATAGGTACATCCATATTTATTATAATACTCAATAGATCAATATTAAATATTCAAAGAACATAGCTGAAAAGTATTTGTCTAATTCCATTTTGAAGGATACTTTCAAATTTAGCTAGATGCAAGCTTCTACTTATACAAATAGTACTGATATTGTAATATCTGTTGAATTAGACTGATTTTTATTTTTAATTCTAATAATATTTAATGAAAAGGATATATAATAATAATCAGCCAATCAACAGACCCCTTTATCAATTAGGATACAAAGTTTAGGATCAAGTAGTTCCACAAGGGATAGCATTTTTTTCAACATCTGGCAAAAGACATTATCCAGATAATCAAAGGGGAGAATTGGAAACCTACTAAGGAATGCAACATCTCTTTGACCCACCCAAAAGGTAAATCGTTTTTGAAATCCTCATAGATTGGCTCAAGACTACGATAGATCTTTAAATACAAAGGACATCGATGGGGCAGTTACAAATACCCTACGTAGCAAAGTTGTAAAAAACATGGAATTAGCATAAGTCTATAAACAAGAAAAGCAGAAATCCTTATGGGAATAGGGCAGTAAACCTAGTGATCTTGAATCCTAATCCTATTAACCAAGGGCTAAATGGGATGAGAATGATCCATATAAAAATAGAAGTGCAATCTACACCAATAATCAGGATTCTAAAAGGAAACTAGAAGATCTAAGTGACAAACATCTAGATACCATTCAATATCCTGATTCTACCACTTTCAAGCCTAATCAATAATTTAATGAATCTCATCATTAATAGTAATTGTATCCATAATCATATGATGATCCAAATTTGATCGCTTTGCGTTAACAAACACAAAACTAGCAACAATTAATTCAACTACAAAATTCACAATCTTAACCAAATCTAGTGGTTTAGCCCTAAAACCCTCAATTATTCAACTACCCTGAGTAACTACATTAGTAAGTTCCTCTGTATCAATATTAGTTGGAAGATGAAAGATTAAAATAGTAATAATTGTTAATGCAAAAACAATGGGAGTAATAAAGATTAGAGAGTCTTCAAAGATTACAGCAATAATAAAATGAAAAAATCAGAGAACAACAGAATCTTAAAATGCAACAGGATTAAGACTATCAAATTATGTAATAATAACGACAATAATCATTAAACTAAAAATAGCAGTACGCTCAAGATTTGAGATCTTAATAGGAAAGTAATAAGGAAGGAAGTCTTAGAAAAGGATTCACCCCTCCACCTGCAACCAAAAGCGAACTCATAGGCGCTCTCTTGCAACCTCCTAAAATACAAAAGTCATAAGGTTTTGATGGAGATAAGAATCAAAATCTGAGAGATTCTTTATCCAAAGAAATAGAAGAAAATGAGAGAAAACTAATAATTAATAGATTTAGACCGCATGAATTGCAATAATACATTTACGACATGAAAAATGGAAGAATAGGCGGCAGCAAAACTAGAAATAACCCAACTTTTATGTCCTATGCTGGACAATAATTAGTGAATCAATAATAATGATAACATATTATAATAATAATATATTATTTATTTTTTACTTTTAGTTTTTGTTATCATATTCATATTTCATTTGTGATACTCTCAATTATTTAATATCATTTTATACTTCTACTTATTTCAAGTATCCATCATCAATCTCACCTGCATTCTATGATCAAAATCAGATTTTTACAATCCAAAATATAATTAAACTAAAACTAAAATTATAATTAGCAATATGGATATTCATGAAATCATTGGTAATTATTGGAATTCAATAACAATAGATAATTAGTTTTGTTTATATTTAGAATATTAAATCTTGTCAAATTTCATATTCCTCCCATGAGTTCTCTTCTTCAAGAATGTCCTCAACTGGCCTTGGGTCTTCATAAAATAATTCCTCCCACGTCATAGCATATCTATATTTATCTACGATATTTCAGTTTTCATACCTTTAAGTGCATCTTATAATAATTTCTTTCTGCTTCTTTCAAGGGTTGGTTTGTACCAAACACCATAACCCCAATTCCTATAGTATTTATTTATGAACACAACCTTTTATTGACTTCTGCTTAAGCAACTAATTCAGCCTCTGAGAATTGTCTTTATTTATAATATGCCCATTTTCCAAAAAAGTAGTATCTACCACCATAGAATGCTGTGAATGCAAAGCCTCCCAAGACAATAAACTTAATAATAGATATGCTTAAAATACAGGTCTGATTCTTCTCAACCACCAGGCATTGGTTTCCCAGACAAAGTTTGTCCACTGATAAACCATTTTATATTAAATTTAATATTATCATTGATTTGTTTGAGTTCATAGAATAAGGATAAAATACAATTGCATATTTCTGATTTCTTCTTGGAGTGATGTTATTAATCAATTTAAATTAACACATTAAACTAAGACAATATTATCCAATCCAATTATGAAACAAATAATTTGGTTAGGTATTATAATTGGTTTCAAAATATAATTTTAGAAATTTTGCTACTCAGAAGAGAATAAAATTACTAATACAAATTGTTTGCCAATTTAAAATTTAGTATATAAAAATAATTAAAAGTATAAAATACTTAGGTTATTCTATTGAGTTCCACAACCCCATATAGAACCACTTTTATTTTCTATAAATTCTGAATTTGTCGTCAGAATGTAGTATTTTTAAATCCTGTATATTTTAGAGAAAAGATAAATATAAAAAAAAAATAATAAAATATTCCTTCAGATTTAATAAATTCATTCAGTATTTCGCTTCGGTCATTTTTACAAAAAAATTTTTGAAATTAATATAATATCAATATAAAATGTTGATTGGAAAACAGCATCTTTTATTCAGTGACCTTTGTCAACTAATTTACCTAGCATATATTAATCAAGGTTTGTATTTTATTAATCATTAGCCAGTTCCATTATTATATTATCTTTGATAACTGTACTTTATGCTAGCAGCATCATTTTTGAGATTTTATCTGTAATACTCAAAAATGAACGCAGAAATCAAATAATCCATCAAATTGGATACTCTATTAAAATGATTTCCTTCTGGTTTGCATATTAAGCAAAATAAGAATACATTCTTTGCTCTTTATTATAAACCCAAATATTATTTAATAATACCGACTTAAAATAGAAGCCTTAATATCCTATTCTAATTTTGAGTTAAATGTCTCTATTCATTTTTGATTTTAAATAAATTGTGCTTGATTATGAGTAGATAATTATAATTATTGTTTAATTAGCTATTTTTAGTTTATGGTTATATAGAGATAGATGCATAAAATAGCGAGATAGCATTGAATTTCGTGAGCAATAGAATTAATAACAATGTACAATTGATATATAAGTCAATACTCTTAAATAGCAATAGAATCTTATTTAAACAAATTCAACGAAGAGATTAAATACGACATAAAATTCATTATTATTTAATGATTAATTTGAACTCTTAGAAACACAAATTAATTTTGCAGAATTGCTAACTCATCAAAATTAATATAATTAAGCATTTGAAATACTTTTAAATTTAAATTTTAATTATATTTAAGAAACCGCACTAAAATAATGTGAACTTAGAATAATAGTATTAGAAATGCAAATTGATGAACAACTCCTCTTAACAATAGATAAGAATGAGTATTTCAAATATGAAAATTATGCCATGCTTATAAATTGTATTGAAATAAATGAAGTTAGGTGTTTTTAAATTCAATTTTTTCCTCTACCCTTAAAAACGAATAATAATAAAGAAACAGATGAATCAATGGAAATAGATATGTGCAGATCATTATCTCATGAATTGGGAACCAATTTAAATAGCATAGTAACATTTACAAAAATGGCATTAAAGGATGACAACGTCGATTCCCTTCTTAAAAGTAAATATTTGGAACCGATAAGAATTAATAGTGAATAGCTTAATCTAATCGTAGGAACGATTAGAGACTATAATTTAATAAATTTAAAGCAATTCAGTTTGAAATTAGAAGAATTGGATTTAGAATCAGAAATTCGATTTATTGTTTCCTTATTAAATGAGAGCATTGAAAATAAGAACATTAAAATAGATTATCATTTTGATTTACAATCGAATGTATTGGTAAACGACAAAATACGGTTTAGATAGGTTTTATTTCAATTGATGTAAAACGCAGTGAAATATACATTTGAAAGCTCAATCACTATTACAATCTTGAATGATATTTTGGAGTGTTTTATCTCAATTGCAGACAATGGAATTGGAATGGTATTATATAATACTATATTATATAGACTGAATAAGAAGCAGAAAATATGAATTCATTGTTGCAATCTAATAAATTCGTAAAAGTGTCCGAATAATCAGTAGGAGTTGGGCTAGGACTAGGAATATCAAATTAACTAGTTAAACAAATGAGCGGAAAGAATAATTCCATTTAGCTTAGTCGAAACAAGGAGAGAGGATGTTAGTTTAGCTTCTTTATAAAGAATCATCAATTAGAGATATCAAAAGAATTTATGAGAAAGTAGTCTTCAGGATTCATTAAAAAAAGTAGTTAAACGATTCGATTTATATCAGCCAACACATATATCGAAGATTAAGTAAAAGGACAATCTATTTAAAAAATTCAAATATAAAAGAGTCAAATTTAAACCAACACAAACTCATAATAATAATTCAAAATTCCATCCACTAACAGAATCAATTTCTATCAAGAAAGCAAAAATTAGAGTGAAGAAGATAGTCTATCATCGATTCATCCTCCTATTTTAAGTCCAAAATTTTAGTAGTCTATTGTACAATGCAGTCTTAACAGTGATTGTTGTTCAAGAGTTTTAATTGTAGATGACGAGTACTTTAATATACAATGTCTGAAATTGCTGATGACCAAATATTAATCTAAATGTGATTCTGCTTATAATGGCAAAGAAGCTATATAACTTGTAAATCACAAAAAGCATAATCCTTGCAAGAAGTGCGGGAATCGATATTACAGTTTGATTTTCTTGGATATTAATATGCCAATTTTAGATGGTTACAAAACAGTTAAAGAATTGAAACATTTAATGAAATAACAAATTATCAATAAGGCTTGGTGTATTGCTAATACAGGATTCTGTGATTTAGACACAAAACTGAAGAGCTATGAGGCAGGAATGGATTATTACTTAACTAAGCCTTTGGATTAAAACGAACTTAGAGGCATTTTGAATGTATTATTTCCTATTAACGATTACTGATTATAAATTGTTATAAATTATTAATATTCTACTAATTATTTCTTTTTATCCAATCATATAATTTGATGGAATTTTTATAATTTAAACAGATATACTATCAGATTTGTGGTTTAGAAGTGTATTTTGAACTATTTTGTGATGAAGCAATGATCTTTCTTGGTACAATTATGATTAATAATTTAAGAGCTCAACTATTGCAAAAAGGATATCTTAATTAAATTCATTAAATTAGATCAAGATTTAAACCCTTATTTTGTATAAGAAATACATAGTATTGAATTAGAAATTATTTGAAAAGTGGCATAATATGCATATTTTAAATATATGTTTTTTTTGATATAAATTACCTTTCCTATTTTATCGAAATTATAAACAATTAATGCATTCATTTTATAGTCTAAATCTCTAAAAAAATCAATATGATCAAGATGAAATAAAAGAATTGTTAATAAAGAATGAAGAGTAACAAATTTGATTTTTTCTTTCTTAATAATTTAATGTTTAATTATAATATTGATGACTATTCGGCATACATGATATCTCATGATCAAATCAGTCTAACATATAGAGGATAAATGTAACACTCTCGAAAATATTAGTACAAAGGACATTTATCAATTTAAATTCTTAGAATTCGACATTTTAGAAGAGATATTATTTTAAAAGTAAGAAGAAACTGCTGTTTCTTTACCTTGGGCAAAAACAATAATTGTTAATTTTTGGAATATCCCCAAAGAAAACTATACATTGTTTAATTTATATGGAGGTATGAAAATCCTATTTGACATGGACATAATCAAGGATCTCTAAGAAGTTCAATTCAAGTTCTTTTCAAATGAAGATATCTAAGCATTGATTAAATTAAAATGGCTACAATCTGACAATACCAACTACTTTTATTTTGAAATACAAGAGGAGGTACAATTATATATTTTGAATCTATTTAGAATCAATATGAATTAACACTTTAATGGAGAGATCCCATCTAAAATGCTGAATGCTCAAGCTTAGAATTGGAGAGGTAGCTACTAAAGAGGAATCTTACTAAATTGTTAAATAAAATAGGTGATTATAGGTATTATGAAATAATGATAATATCTTAGTAATATCTATGATTAGTAAGAGTTATTTGATATGATTTTGGAGAATCAATACGATACGATCTATGTTTACTTCCCTTCAATAATAAAGTTAAAAATCCATACTAAAATATTTGAAAATAGTGAAGAATAAGTTAGATCAGTAGAGTTGTTCATTCATAATGAATGGTTCAAGGAAAGATAGGATAATTTAATTGCCTAATTCGAGATATTGCATACTCAAATCTAAAGATCTATGATTGATAATACTGATGAAATAGTATTAGATTACGCCTTGATTTACGATGAAGAACAAATCAATTGTTCTCAATTAATGAGTAAGATCAATTCATTGATAATTAAAATATTGCTAACAAATAATAAAAGAATTCAAACTATCTTATTGTCTCTGATGCCTCTGGAGATTCATTTTGAATTAGATATGAAGAGATAAGAACTAAATCTAGATATCAATTTGCATCATGAGGATCCATAAGATATATATTAAGAAGGATTGATAATTTTACTATAAACAATCACAACTTGCAAATTGTTTTAATCTTTGAAGGTTGATATTCAATAGGAAGATGATTCAAATAATGTAAAATTTCAATTGTTCTCCTTCATCATGATGATTCATGAATTCCAATAGACTCTTATTAAAAAAGGAACTTTTACATACAATAATTATTCCTTGATTCCGAGATACAATTCAGTTTGTTCAAAAGGGGCAATGAATTATTTAATTTCAGAGAAGAAGTAAGCGAAATGATGTTATTTTAGGTCGATTTATTCAATTTCTGATAAAGACTATCTTGATATTCAGAGAGAAATCGGATGCTTCATCCAATATCTGAGTTTTTATGCTAAGGAGAGTAGTTCAATTATAATTTCCTGTGATATGTGTGAGTTGAGCAATTCTAGTAAGTAATTCTACGATCAATTGATTGAATAATTAATAAAACAGAATGGAATATTGGAATTCGGAATATTAGATAGTGGGAATCGAGATCAGAAATATTATGAAAGAGTAATCTAATAATTATTATTACCACTTATCAAATATTTTAGATTAAAGAAGAGGATGCTGACAACATTGTTGATGATAGATAAAAAATATCAGAGCAGAATGAGGTGGGAGAGTATAAAAGAACTGATTAATTATTTGCCAAATGAATATCAATGCTTGTTACATTAGTAAAATTGAATAAAATGAAAAAAAATTAAATCCTTTTAAATAAATTATTAAAAAAAAGAAATAATTCCTTAAGAGATGCCATCAAAGAGAAGAAATAATGGTCGTTCAAAGAAAAATAGAGGTCACGTCAAGCCAGTAACATGCTCAAATTGTTGCAGATTAGTCGGCAAAGATAAAGCCATCAAAAGATTCACAGTGAGAGACATTGTTGATGCATCATCAAAGAAAGACATTTTGGAAGCCTCTGCTTATGAATCCAAATAATAATAGTCAATTCCCAAATTATTTGACAAACTTCAAGTAGTCTTAATCTTTAAAGGTAGTATTGCATTTCTTGTGCCATCCATGCACGTATCGTTAGAGTGAGATCATCTGAAGACAGAAAAATTCGTGTTATTGAAAGAAAACGACCTGTTTAATAATCAACATAAAAAAAAGATGCCCCAAAACCATAAGCTCCAGTTGCAGCTTAATGATATATCTAATACAAACATACATTATAAAATTTGAATTTCTTTCATTTATCAAGCATCTTGAATGCTTTTTGGGTATTTGTATAAATAATTTAAAAAAAAATTAATATCTTGAATCAATGACACATAGTTATGGTTTGAAAAAGGGAACAAGAAGTAAGTTTGCAAAACCATTCAGAGGACATGGCAATATAAGCATTCGTAAAACACTTTAAACATTCAGAAGAGGTTAATTATTATTATTACAAAAGGTGATTTCGTTGATATTTTGGTTGATGGAGCATAACATAAAGGAGTCCCCTTCCAATATTATCATGGACGAACAGCCAGAGTTTTCAATGTTAATCCAAGAGGAATTGGAGTCTCATTATAAAGAAGAGTAAGAGGAAGATATGTGGAGAAAAGATTTCATGTTAGAGCTGATCATTTGAGACCATCAAAATGCAGAGAGGAATTTGTTAAAAGAGTTTAAGTCAATGATAAGAAAAAGACTGAAGCTAATAAATTGAAATAACATATCTCTACTAAAAGACAACCTGTTTTACCAAGAAGTGCTGAAATTGTCAAACCAACAGCTACAGTCTTTTAACATCCAAAAGCATTTGTAGAAATCATTTGAATTATAATATCATAAGTATAATAATATAGTAATTTGACAAAAAATACTTTTAGATTTATTATAAATATTATTAAAATAATGAGAGATTGGTTTTCATGACTTTTTTTAAGCTTTAATCTAAAATGAGCTTGAGATGTTGAGATAGAGATAGAATTTTATTTAAATAAGATTCATATATCTTTCAGCTTTAGAGATTACCTTCATATCTATTTCTATAAATTATTAAAATATAAACAAGAAATAGAAGAATCCAGAGATTATTCAATTTATAAATTTAATGAGGTTATTTATAAGTCAATTTAAACAGTTTTATTGGTATGATATAATTCAAATTTATTAATCCAATTCTGTTTCATTATTTAAACTTCGATTTCTTCTATTTTCTTCTTACAATCTCTTTTTCTCCGATTCAAATTCTTCTTTTAATAAAATATTCTTTTTTTATTCTTCTTCAAACTTATCTCTAATTTCATTTAAATAAGCCATGTATGATTATAACATTTTTTATTGTCTATCAAAATTGTCTTTCAACTTTATAAGCTATTGCTAATACTTTTACTAAACTTCTTTGGCTTTATCCTCTAATTCTGACTTTTCTTTAAGTTATTACTGCAATTTCAAAATTTGTTCTTAGCAAGCTTTTAATCTGTATTCACAAATTTCATTTCTTTCTTTTAATTTATTTAGTTCATGCTATTTTTATTCCAATTTTATTTCCATTTATTGTTTTTCTTATTCCTTTTCAGAAATTTCAGATTTAGCAGATAAAAACAATTGTCTTTCAGTCTCCATATATTACTCAAATTCTTAAATAGTATTTTACAGCTTTTCATATGATTCCTTGTCAATATTGGTATTTGATAAATCTGTGATCCATTATTTACATTCTGATAAAGACTATTATGATTAATTCATTAATATTTTTTCAATTTCAGCATTCATTAACTATGTTTATAATTTATTGTTTTCTTAAATAAGTTTATCAAAAGTCTTTTGTAAGGAATATTTAAATGTTTCCATTTCCCTTTCATGTTCCTAGATTTGTTTTTAATACATCTATTAGTCTTCTTAAGTCATTCGTTATACCTTTTCCAATTACTATTCAAAATTCAACTTTTGCAAAACAATCTCCCTCTTTAACTGTTCATTTTCTTTTTTGTATTATTCAAATTAAACAATATAAAAGTCAACGCTTGGTTTCATTTTAGCAAGCAATTTATAAATAATATGTTTAAGAAAACAAATTTTTGGTTAACAATAACTTTTTCTATTAAAACAAGTCTTGTATATTAATATATATTATCAATTTTATTATTTTAGTAGAAATTTAAAAAATAATAATTTAGAGACCAGATAAAAAATTGTTAAATTCTAAATTATATTTTTTTCAACCTAAATGCACCTTAGTATATTTGTATTCGATGTTTTATTTTTTACTAATTCTGATCATCATATTTTTCTTTAGCTAACTATAAAGTTGTTCCAAATGCATAATATGTTAGAAATCTCTTGAACCTTAGGTTTTTGTCCCCTTATCTGTAAGAATATGATTTACTATTGCTATTAATTTGTAAACTTACATGTTAAAGTTCTCATCCAGTAGACTATTATAAGTTTCTGAATTCAAATAGATTGCTTAGAGTTCTGAAATGATTTAAACCCCTTATTCTTTAAAATTTTTAATTCTATCTTCTCTTAATATTATTAGAATATTTTATATCTCTAATATAATTCATTTAGATTATTCATAATTTTCAGAATCCTTTTATTTTTCAAAAAAATTCTTGGGATTGAGGAAATTGATAAAATCTTTATAAGTTGAACTTTTTATGATTCACTTAGTTTATAGTTAGTTCATATTCCAGCATTGCTTGAAAATCTATCATTCTTTTCAAAATTATGTTTTCTTATTAAAATTTAAGTTCATTATATCATAGAATAAATATATTATTATAATATATACTCTTCAAGGGATTTATTTTATGTTGTTAATTGATTAATTGTTTCTCTCAATTATTATTTTTAGATTTCAAATTCTTCGTTCTACCTTCTTTTTTATATTTATTCATATTATTGGATTTGTTCATTTTATTACTTTAATATGCAATCATTTTAAGCTTTTAATTTATCAATTGTTGAATCATATGTCTATCTCAATTATTAGGTTTAGAATTGAAATTCTTCTTTCTCTTTTATGTTTTACATCTATAATTATTAATATTTTCGTTCTGATTCTTCCAAAGCCTTCTTGCAATTGAATAATTCAGATTCTTTAATCTAAAGTACTTTTTTGACTTTTTTCAATTCTTCTTTATATATAATTTGTTTTTTGTCACAAATATCTTTACCTATTTCGTTTTCTTCTCTCATTATTTGAGAATCCTTTTGGCATTTTTATAATAATTCTTAACATATTTTCAATTCATTCTAACATTTTTTCAATTAATCTTAATATTATTTCGATTCATCTATGTAACTCCTGCATTTTTATTTTTAATGGAGATTTATTTTTTCTAATTTATCCTAAATATATTCATTTTCTTCTTTCATCTCCTTCAATCTATAGTTCTATCTCTATTTAAATTAGATGCAACTATATCTATATTCCAAAATTTTCAATTAATCCTGCAGTTGTTTAAGATTATCTTATGCTTCTTTCGATAATTCATTGATATCATAACCTTGAATTTTAACTTCTTAGGAAGAAAAATTCAATTTTTAAACTTCTTATACTAAATCTTTTTGATATTTTTCTTCATTTTTATCTATATAATTTTAATTAATTTTCTCCTAAAGGTTTTTGAAATCAGTAAAAACTTTTTCTTATTATATTTTTAATTATTCGTTGTTGAATATCAATTTATCTATATTGTTGTTAGACTGTTTTAATTGTTATCTTAAGTCATCTATTTCCTATTCCTTCAAATTAATACTTTTTTTAAATGATATTTAGTTTTATATCAACATTTATTCATAGTTTGCTATAATCTCTAATGTGTAACGTTTTTCATTATCTGCAAGTTATCTTAACCCCGCTAATTTATCTATGAAATTTTGTTTCAAAGTTTCTTGTTCTTGATTATATTGCATTAATATTATTTAATGCTCTTTTTGTTTATCTTCAATGTATTTTTCACAATCTGTTTGGTACTTGGATAATTATTAATTGATTTATTTCATTTTCTCTCTCCTTACATTTCTGTGTAATTATTTGTTAGATCTCCTTCAAGCCAAAGTCAGCACTTGATTGCATTTTAAATAGATATCAATAAATAATATGTTAAGAGAATCAAAAGTTGCTATACACTCTTTATTTCTATTAGAAATTTAACTTCCTATTATTAAATATATTCTTATTTATTATATTTTTTGGAAATGTTTAAAATTGTTTTTCAGATATGCAAGTTCAAAGTAATTGCAATATTTTTGGTTTATTTAGTATGAATTTATAAATATTTTTTGAACTTCTAAATAATTTAGACTATAATAATGTTTACAAGTGTTACCAACAATAGATTACGCCACAAAATTGTAAAAGACTCCATTAATACATTTGAATCATTTGATTTATATATTATAAGATCTATTTTGAACAGTATAAGCAAAAATATTTCTTCAAACAAAATATTAACTTTAATTTAAATTTTTTGGTTGTTTTTATGTATTTATTTTAAAAAATGTATAAAAATTTTTAGTTTGACTAATTTCATTAATTTAATGATTATAGCTTTTTCCATTGTATTATTTTTATATTTTTTAAATTTCAAAGGTTGTTGAATTAATTAATTAAGTGTTTAGTGAATTATGAAAATAAAATAATTTGATTTGATTGTTATTTTTCGGTAGATATTTTAATAGGATAAAAATTATACATGATAAATCTGATTATTTTTTCGTTTTTAGATGCAGTTATTGAATTTTTGACATGGCAATAGCTTGATCAATTTTATGTTTTTAAATATCTTATCTAGAGATTTCGAAGTTATGCACATAAAGTATTTTAACTATTCATTACAAGTATTATAATCTAAAACCTTTTATTAACAGATAAAGAGTACTTAGAACAATCAGCATTTGGAAGAAAACCCCCAACTTATCACGTTATTGTGCAGACTTTTTTTAAGCTAAAATATTTCATATTAAAACTCTTTTAGAAAGGTTACTTTGGACTTAATGCATTTTATACAGATTTCTTTATCAACCAATCAATCATCCTGTTTATTAATCAATTTGCATTATTAATTCTTAACTTCTTCTTGGAATTGCTAAATTTCTTAATTTTAACCTATAAAATAGGTCTTATTTACTCTGAGAATTTCATAAAATGAACTATTTATAAAATTCGATAAAATATAGACAAATCGTCCATTTGGATTTGATCTTAGTCATAACCTAAGTCTTGGCCAATCAACATAATATAGAAATTAGACCCAAAAAATAATATCTTTAAGAAATCAGATGAGCAATAAAGAAAAATACTAAAATTTAAGAGCAAATTGAGATTTTAATTATAAAGAATTAAAAATCAAAGTAATATTGTCAAAGCTACAGCAATATGCTGCTAATTAGCCAGATTGAGAAGTAAGAAAACTCATTAATACTCTAGTAATTTGTTAAGATACTTTACAAAGCTTATGATATTAATGAGTAATGAAGCTCATTATTTAAAAAAAATATTATATAGTTTGAAATATTCCAATAGTTTGATTTATTCTCAACCAAATAATTAATTTTTTTCTTTCCAAGCTAAGTAAAACTGTGGAAGTCGCAACAGATCCACTCTTATAAAAGTATAAACTCCTTGTTTGAAATATTTCCATTCAAAACCATAACACGACAATAGGCATTCATTTTGTTTAGGTATGTCCCATATGTAGTCATATTTATTTAAAATTGACTTCTTCTAAGGAATCTTATCTAAGAAACTCTACAAAATTCATAAAATAAAGTGCAAATGTGAATAATGAATATTCTTTCCAGCAGTTTGAATAATATAAAACAAAAAAAATCTAAAAAATACTATATATTATATTTTTAAAGTAATGTAATACCACAAATAAATAAGCAAGTCCACAATTCATTTTCCCATCAGCTAACTACTTGAAGAAAAGTGAGCTGGAGTAGAATTCTGTCTTGACTGTACTATTTTTTATTAAATTTCTTCCTTTACAGTGTTTTTATTTCTATCTTCTATTATTAAGAATAGATATTGAACTTCTTTGTGCTTTCTTTTTGTAAATTATTAAGATCTTTTCTTTCAATTGGATAGAAGCTATTCATTTTTTGTTTTTACATATAAATTCTGATTTTTAATTTCTATATTTATGGAAAGATGCTCCTTATCTTTTTAGTTATTTAACTTATCAAAGGTATAAATTCTATAAATCATTTATTGATAGTTAATTTTTTATCAAGTTTTGATTACCTGAAAATCTTAATAACTCATCTGTACCATTTTGCACATTTTTAGATATGCTATGTGTCATCAAATAACATGTTATTTTTTATGAAGCATAATAATAGTAACCTTACTTCTCTTTTTACTTATAACCATGATATTAGAGTAATATACATCAATAATGTAATTGACAAGAAATATTAAATCAAAAAGTGTAATATTATTTTCTATAATTGAGAATGTAGATATAAGTCTATAAATGTTGTAGATGATTAATTACTCGAATGCTGTAAATAGATTGTAATTAAATAATAAAGTTTGATAAACCTAATTTATTATATAATAAATATGAGTACATTTAATAATCTAAGGATAGATTTTTAATAGAAATAGAAAGTCTTAAGCAACATTTGATTTTCTTAAACTTATTATTTTTAATTTCTGTCTAAAATGCTACAGAAGGTTGACATTGACCTTAATTAAGTCAATGAAACTATTAAACAGAAATGTATGGAAGAAATCATGAATTATCTCAACAAAGAATTATCTGAGTATCAGGCCAAATGTTAAAATTATATATTAAAAATCCAATAAGAGCATGAGAAATTGCAAAATCAATATAGAGAAGACTCAGAATAATTTAGTAAAAGTCTAGTTTAGAAGTTGAGATCACTAAAGTCACTTGTAGAAGAGGAAAAGAATAGCGCATTAGAATTAATAGAAAATTCTTAAAAGCATTTTTTAAAATAAGCACAAAGTTAATTTAACGATCATTTTACGGATAAAAGTTAACTGAAGGAAGAACTTTAAAAAAGAAATTAAGAATATGACAAATTAAAAAAAGACCTGGATAATCTTAAGTTTAGTAAAATTAATGAAAGTCAAAGCCTACAGAGGGCAATAGAAAAATAATAATTAGTTGAGAATAAATTGGAGGAACTTTAGATCACGTCACAAAATATAATTAATGAACTTAAAGAAAAAAATCAAAAATAATTGAAATAAGCTTAAGATGAATTTTAGAGATAACAAGATATTTACAAATAAAATTTAGACTAACTCAAATCAAGTAATATTGAAACTTTATAATTTTTGTAAAAACTTTAAAATGAAAATTCAAGTTTATAAGAGCAAGTTAATACAGGATAGTCATAATTATAATATTAGAAAAAATAGTATGATTAATAATTAATAAAATTTAAAAATGAAAAAGGTTTATTAGAACAATAAGCATTAAAAGCTTAAGCGGAGTACCAATAAATCATAGAATCTAGATAAACATTTTAAAATTAGCTTTAAGAAGAATAAGTTAAATTTAAAAAATAATAACAGGAATTAGTAAAAAGAGCAGAAGAAAATAGGATAAAACAAGAAGAATAAAAATAGAAAGAAATTTAAGAATAAGAGTAGATAGCTAAAAAAATTAAAGAAAACTATGAATAAATAAATGAAAAAATTTGTAATTTAGAATTTGAAAAATAGAAAATTGAATAAGAATAATTAATTAAAGCGAATGCGAATGAAGCTTAAGATAAGAAAAATAGCTAAATGAACGAAACACTTTAGTAAAAAGAAA